AAAAACACCCCCTCAACATAAGCCCCTCCCACCTCGCAGCCCCTACCTAACAAGCCTTGTTTACAGTGAAGAGAAAAGGCAGTATTCTAATTTTTTCCCCCGGTTTTGAGTTAATCACTATGTATTGCATTTTCACAGATGAACGAGGTTCAAACTGGCTACTTTGGCCAATCTATCATCCTCCTTAAAAGGGGTGTGGCTAAAGGCGGTTCCAACGCTTCAGTGAATGACCCTGAACGGATGTTTCATTTGAAAAGCCTAATTTGGGATGTGTGCAAAAACCGTTCACCAAAAGGTGTTCAATCATAACATAACTGGTGAATATATAGCAGGCGGTCATGACCGAATGTTGGGGGGTGAACAAAAGAAATAAAATCGGCAAGACGTGTGGCATTTTGGTCCCCAAATGATGATTAGTGATAAATCATGAGTTGAAGGGACTATCTGGCCAATGTTAGACACACACTGATAGATTAAACCCTACATCCCCTAAGTATTTTATCTTACAGGTGCAAGAAGGGGCATGGAAGTAATCGGGACAGGTCGCGGTTGTGTTGAACCCCTCAACAAATGGTTCATATTTCCTCATTTCTGAATGTGTGAAGGTAGATGGCAAGCGCGGCCCAGCGTGCACAGCCAGGTCCGGGACACGGGCGTTGTGGGAGCAAAACCAGCCGAGTCTGGCGTTGTAATCCGCCGATTCCCGTAATTTATTTGACAATGTTTCTGATGGAAACGGAAAGTGCGTTTGATACCCTGTTCCCTTGGACACGTAAATTATTGCACCCATGGGAATTCAGCCCTTATGGAATTAGGAAGTCCGCATGCGTGGAATTATACCAGAATAATTATAAACTCATGCGGGGCTACGTGACTCACTCTCCTGCTGACAGCTTTTCATAATTCTAGGACAAAAAATATCGGCAAACTTCCGTCACATTTCGCGCGGGCCTCTATCTGACGGGCAAAGCTGCAGTGCGGTGGGGATTGAGGTTAACCTATGTTATTTTATGTCATTACAGCCATTTTACCTGTTCACTTTGCCTGTCACATTATTTTGGGCCTGATTCTAATAACCTGTGTTTTTACTGCGCACAATAATTGACGCCATATTGGCACCTGTCGTTCAAACAAGAAGCTTTGCACGTGACTGGTTTGGGCTCTTTGTGTAGAAACTATAGATGGCGCTGTATTGACTACTCACGAGAGCGTGGGTGAAGGACACATCGAGCGTGTGCAGCAATTCGCGCGCGTATTATGTGCAGCAATTCACGCGCATATTAATATGTGCAGCAATTCACGCGCGTATCGCACGCAATTAAGCGTGTCAGCCAGTGCATGCTGTGCACGCACAAACCTGTAGCATCTGCGCGTGGGACAAACGCGCCTGACCCGAGTGACGCACGGCGGTAATGGCGCTGGAGTGTCCTTCAATATTGGCGCTCTTTCATTTCCACCTTTGATGGGGTAATTGAATGCAGATTCCAAACGGATAGTATTTAAATGACATGAGTATCAGCTGGACTTTGGTTCCTCATCAATACCGTAATCCCATCAAATACTGCGTCTACTCTATGACTTTGGACTTCACAGACTTGTAACTTTGATGAAGTAATTTGCAGGGCTTGGCTGTACAAGTTGTTTCATGTAGACCGGACGTGGTACAGGATTTGCCTTACAGTCGTTAAGCCCTGATAAAGACATGAGACATCTCTCCAAGCTCAGCAGTAATTGTCGACACTCACGAAACATTGACCTCCAGTATAGCTTCCCCTTTCCCCCAGAAATAATCACTCTCACCCTTCAGAAGAATCTGTGTTTATCTTATCTCGCAGGATCATCTGAACCGACCAAATGCAAGAGAAGGGGTGATTTGTGGCTGCTTCAAATCGCGTTGGACGTCTCCTAAGTGTGGCGTCAGACAGAATGTTCCGGTTTTGCTGTGGATCGGACACGAGCGGTCTGGAAGCTGCTAGCGAGGCAGTACCGGGGCAAGCGTGGGTAGCTGCCCCGTGCCACCTCAGGCCATTGACACGCTAGGGTTTTTAATTGTCGGAAGCGTGTTATAATCTTGTTTGACACGGCACAGATTGATAGATAAATTCACGCACTGCTACCAATTGCGGTAGTTCGTGGATGACAAGACCCAAATGCTGAAAGTTATTATAGGAAACAAATAAATGGGAAAAGCAGCTAAATCGTGTTACGGGAAATGAAAACACATTTCAACTGAGTACATAGACATTGCACAATCTTTCTACTGCGTGCAACAACCGGTAATTTGTCTCACATCAAAGTTATACAATACTACTAGCACACTGTATGCTTTTCCTAAAATGTAAATTCTCTCAATCACGAAGACGCTTTTACTACAATATTTCTATATATCGTAAATCATTGTGTTGTACATTTTATTTCCTTTTTGTCACTCAGGTATATATTGTACAGTGTACATGTGTAAATTATGCATTGTATAATGTGGTAACACATCATGGCATTTCAACTTATCTTTGACACAGTTGAAGTCTTATACAGTTACATATACTACCGACTGTCGCGCCTTTTTGAAACGTGCCATCAGATTGGTGGTTTTTGAGACTTGGCCTTAAAGATTCCTACAAGTGTGGGGAATAATCAAATTATGCCGCCAAATATAATAACATGACAAAGGCTACAAGATCCATCATGCCTGTTCATCTGTCCAGTACACCGCTCATACTTGGTGGATGAGATGGCGGGGAATACCTGTATCCTTTGTTCATTACTAATCAGTCCCCAAAGACTCAACTCTGCTTTTGCCCAGAGGGCCAAAGTCTGGAGACCCGTACCCCCTTCGATGTATTCAAATCAGTTGGGGTCAAGTTGATGCATTTAAAACAGCACTGTATGCCCTAGTAAATTGATATCTATAATCATTATACCACCCCAGTGTAAACTACTGCGATGCGAAAAGGAATTCGGTGATTAAATTTATTGTATCATTACGCGGTGATAGTCCAACTATTGCTGTCTTTAGGGAGTAGTTTAGATGTTCTGTCATTTGGGGGGGGGGGGGTAACCGGGGCGCAGTAATCGTAAAAATGTACGCCGCGGTTAAAGGGGATTCAACTTACCGGAGCCCGCTAAATAACTGCAGGGTTCACGTAATGGTGTCATGGGTGCCACACGGCGAGTCCGCGTGCCGGACTTACCAGGTACTTTCGGAGTATTTTACGATCAGTTCAGTTTTTGTTTTGCCGAGTCTCGGAGCTGTCGTTGTTATCTTAACCTACGAGACCCCCATATATTTTTTTCATACCACTTTCGGTTAATACTTAATAAATTTTACGACGCCCTTTGGTCCTGTTGCTTAGGACGCGGCGCGGTAAAGTCAGAGACCGAAACTAAGACAGAGATAAGTCGGTTTGTGCCAGCAAGCTTTAAACCGAAGTAAAATTCACGAACCAGCTCTTTTAACAATAAAAAAGATCAGAATTAAAATGATCGATTTCCAATCTTTGCGTGAAGGATTTTGTGACTGCATGTGCCTTTTTGCATCATTCTCTCGGCATTCAATTTTACTCTATAGATCTCTTCAGTAGGCCTTCTCAATACTATTCTTAAAAGTTCCTCTGTATCTCTTTGTTAACGTTGTTGGCCGGTTAAAAGTTACACCATCACAACTTACCGAGGTATACAGGCACATACAGTGGAGTTCAATTATAATGAGTGGAACGAAACATTACACATAGCACAGAATGTCTCTTCCCAAAAATAGAGCCTGAAAGTTGACCCCTGGTGGCGCGCTTCCGGACCCCTCGAATAGGTTAGCGTGTAAAAGTCGGAGTTTTAAAAATTAATTTTGGTACATTGATTTCTAAAGAAAATCACCCTCGGAAATGGCCTTTGTAAAATCTCAATTTATGCATGAAACTGAAAAATCGCATGACGTGAAAGAGAAATATCGTGCAATAAATTGACCTCTCACTTCTGAAAATCTAAATACATGACGACTAGTGGGACTCGAAGCACTCATACAAAGATGAACATTTACGAAATAATTTGGTGGCGGTCATATCGTCATTGGGTAAAAACTGAAACTTACATAATAAGACTAAAAAGTAAAATGTCTTTTGGGGCACACCATTTTTAAAAATAAACTCGAGGGACAACTTTTAATAAAATGACCGTTGATATATAAGAACTGTATTGAAATATGGTTCAAGCAAGCCCGACTAAGAATCCATCGGATGTAGGTAGGTAAATCTTTGCGTCGTTATCATTCTTTTTATCATACCCATCTCCAACTGATTCCTCATCATTTGCTCTTTTGGGAATGCCAAGATAAAACTCCAACATGAATGTTTCTCCGGGTGATTAGGCCTACGGTTAGAAATCACTCTGTCAAAAATTATAGCAAGAGTCTGCTGAAACGGCAAGTCAGTGTAAAATGCCCATAGAAATTAGAAGGGTCACGGAGGGGTCCGGAAGATCAAAAACAAAATGGCGTACTTTCAGGCTCCATACCCATAGACCTTCCCAGCTCATGCCCAGTGCACCCCAACGCAACAACCCCACAACAGATCGTCCTAAGAGGTCATCTAGGAATTCCTGACCTTGGTAAAATAAAAACACAACTGACCTTGGTCCCTGTCCCTAAGTTATATTTTAAACAATAAAATTAAAGGCCTGTTTTGGAAAACGGCCACTAGCACTAGCATAGGCGGCCTAGGCATATATGCCTGAAAAGGTTGAGTGACATTGTAGTTCATACTTTGTAAAACACATAAATAAAACAAAATGGCCGGTCGAAAAATAAACATACAAACGGGAACAAGTGAAAGATCGCGCACAACATACATTTTAGTTTTCACCACGTGCATCAGCACCATGACGCCATCTTGGAGCAATTGTGTTCAGAAAGTTAAGGTCTTTTTACCATTTCGACCCAACTAACTTAGCCTAGCGTTTTCAGTGACTAATAAAAACAAACCTAGCATTCGTGAGAGTCAAAAACTTACCCATTTAACGACTTTTCCTGTTCGATCTACCCTTCAGACTGGCGCCATTTTTTAAAAAAGTTACAAGTCTCGCACTTTGCAGGTTCTGACTGGTTGCTATGAATACCGCCCTCTGTTGTTATCAAGAAAGTTATGAATAATCCGTTCATCGGCCTCGACGCACGCGTGCAATAAATTCAATAAATTGGGCATATTTGAAATGTATCTGAATATTCCAAAAATTATGATGGGTCAGAATTTGTTTTTTCCTATTCCATTCCAATTCCCTTTCTCAAAAATGGTGGAATGCAAAAATCTGTCATTTCTTCGATGATAACTTTATTTTAATTCCAACAGAGAGTCATCAGAACACGTCAGATAAAACAATGTGACAATGACAGGCAATGCTTAATCTATGCCAGAAAATAAAACTTCAGCTGTACATTCTCTGCTATTTACATTTTTACAGCACAATTAAAAAAAAAAAAATCAGGATTTCTAACTTGTGAAGAATTGCTTAGATATTTATTAGTGAAACTGTTGCTGCTGTGTTATGTGTATAGGCGACTATATCTGTAAATTTGGACAAAAAAATTTGACAAGAGCCTTCAGTGAGATCAATTAGAAGTGAAAAATACTCAAGAATAAAGCACGACTGTGCTCTAAATTATCTCCTTATTTTATGTAACCTGTAAAAGAAGCTGGCCATAAATGATTTCAAACAAGTTACTCTCAATACAATAGTTTTGCAGGGCATGCAGAGATAAACAGTACAGAAATTGAAAATTGTACATAAGCAGATTACAAAACCTACGTTGCAGGCAGCTTTAAGTCGAGAAACACGAATACAAATGCATTCTTTTCACTTAGTCTTTAAACAGGCCTTAACATACCTTAAGAAACAGGAAAAACCTCATGAGCTTATGTAGCTCTAAGCACACAAATCTACTAAGCAAGGTGGAATCTCGCTAAGTAAAATTAGGTCACAATTCAATGTGTCATAATATGTTGCTAGTGCATGGTCGCGTGCGTGCTGATTTCTACAAAGCACACATTAGATAAGTAACATTTGATGCTTAAAAATTCTATAGAGTCCCCATTGATAGACCCCAAAAAGCTCAACAATGTCTACTGTTTAAGCCTTCTGTATGATTTCAGCCAGCTAGGCTTGTCTTGCTCAAACAAAGCGACCGCACACTATCCGTCTCATTGTTGAACCCAATATATTAAAATTCAAATAAGCGCGTTCCAATTTTCATATGTAGTGAAATAAAATGACCAGTTATACTTTTTAAACATGAGGCAACAATTACCTTCTATAACATATTTAATAATGCAATTTAGAAAATAAATCTAACATAAAATGTCTTTATTTTTTGTAATTGTATGACTTACAAAATTATGTACATTTAAAACAAATGAAAGGTTTCTTGATGCATATTTGTTCGATGTTTTCATTGAACGTTAAAAAATCTCTTCCTACCAAACATTTTATGTTTTATCAAATGTAAGCAAAATACAGCTGCTTATACTTTGTGTATTAATACACCTAATTTCTGCATCATTTTTTTTCTCGTAAAAGCTGTAATTTCTAATTGCTTGGAAACACACTGAAACTTTTCAGGAAAAGAAAAGTTCTTTGTTTGAAAATTGAGTTTTCTTTTCAGTTTTTGGATTGGTGAATGAACAATGCTTGGTGGTCCTCAAATGGTCTTACTATTTACCAAGCATCACAAAAAAGGATGATTTCTGTATTTCATAATGACACCTTGTGTAGTTTTTCTCAATATTTCAAATTAACAAAAATATTTTAAGCTTCTCTTTTAAAAAAATTCTGGGGTATTATCAAAACAGGGTTTTTTTTAGAGGTAAAATACACGAACAAGATGTCTGTATATGGAATTTTTAAAAGTAGGTTCTTCACAAGCTGACAGGTCAGTCAACAACTTGCTGAGAAGAAACATTTGCTAATTTCTCGGGAGACTTGTAAAGGCATTCTTTACAAGTTTAAAAATATACAGTACACGTGTCTTACACGTGCCAGGGCTCCATAAATTACTTAACACTCTTGGCAATGTTGCCAAACAATTTAATATATTACAGGATCTTTGTCGACCTTTCTTCAAATGAAAGCAGAGGAGAACGCCTCATGGACAACCCCATCGTAAATTCTCACCCGGATTTTCTTCGATTTATACCGCTGACTTGATCAACGGACCGTCCAAGGAACGTCCAAGGAACGTAAATTTTGCAGGATATATGACTGAATTTCTTGATGTTTTTCGCTAAAACTGTGGCAGGTTTTCCCATGTTAAATAAACAGGTTTTGGGAAAAGCGACAGTGTTGTTGCAACATGGATGAGATTAAGCACCATTAGCTGTTGATTTAAAGATAACGAGGAGATGCAAAGCATCTTCTGGCTAATCTCATGTGGTCAATTCCACTCTACCTATTTTCACTACTAGGTCGTTATCTTCATCCTGAAACTCATCAATTTCCTCTCACAAAGACTCTAGGAGCCACAGGGGAGCAAGCAAGGCGAGGCTCGTCTGTCGACAAATGGTAATCAATCAACCAAAGCAAACACCCAATCACATCGAAGCTCTCACAGCTTTGCAACAAGGGCATGCGAAAAAGCTTTGTTCTCATTGGTCGAAAGTAAGCAGGCAGTCTTTGCGAGTTGATTCCGATCTGTCATTTGACAACAAAACATTCCTATACCTTGATACATGTACTGATGGTATTTTTTTTCAACAGAAAGCTCCACACCCATTGGTGGAAAGTTAGAAAAGCAGTCGCTCATTGGACAAAACCTTTCACCTAATTTGCATATTTAACATCTATTGTGGAAATAGTGTCATTGATGAGATTTTCTACACCTTAAGGAACCTTCAATTTTTTTTCAAAATTGACAGCCTACATCATCAAAATTGGCTTTGATAAGCATTTCTGCAATACTAGTTGAATATTTTGCTGTCGCAGCATCACATAAAATTCAAAAGGAACATTGAATGTCCACAAAAGATAATAAAAACACAGATAAATTTCATATACATTTTTCTCTATCTACATATCAGGGCTTTCATCAAGATCAGCTACCATCTCTGAGGAGCGATGTGACCCACAAGGTAGATGTTGTCATAGAGATGACCTGAGAGCTCATCGTTTGCCTCTCGCGTGGCGTTGCGGACATTGCGGATGAATTCTCTCTTAGACATCTTGTTCTTGACGTGGGGGCTGGTCAGATCCACAGACAGGAGAATCAAGGAATAACACAGGATGCAGATACCATCTATTTAAAAAATAAAAGACAAAGTTCAAATAATCAAATTTGCTCATGAATATTCATTGAATTGACATCTCCTAAAATGGTTACTTTCTGAAAGTGCAAAAAGAAACTTTGCCAACAGGATTTACCATGCCTTGTATGATATTCACAACTATGATATATTCAGATATAAAAACCCTTTTTTTTAAAGGATCTAAAAAGAACATTTTCACATTTCTCATCACCGAATACTGGATTTCAAGGTGGATCTCTATGAAAGCAATTAGCTGGGCCAAAGACTGTGGCAAAAGAACAACTTGCTTAAATTGCACAAAAAATCAACAACAACCAGGCAACCAAAAAAGCAGGCATTAACTTTACGACCATCCAAATGAACAGAGGTGTTTACAAAAACCACCAAAACTGGGGCTCTCCACCTCTGTGCCTAACCCCTTTTTCTGTTCCGATTTGCAGGCTGTGGTTTTTAACAGAATTGACACTCTTAAAACCCGACTTCCCTTTTGGCTGCCGACTGCTCATTCCTGCCATGTGTTTGCGTGAGTGTGTGGCTTGGCGGGTCGGTGGACAGTACTCATAAATTATGCTAGGAGGTCAGTATCTAGGAAATTAAATCAATCCTGACCAGTGTATAATCTACCCTGGTTATTTATGATTGGACTGCTCGTAAATCAATCACAATCCAAAAAAGAGTTGGAGAAATATTAAACACGCACCAATATTTCTTTAGTGACTTTAGAATTTTTTATTTTTTAGGAGTAGAATTAGAAACTTTTCCCTTTAGATAATTGAAGTCAAGTGGGTCAGACAACAGCTGGTATTCCTCCAAGAAAAAAATATTGTGAATATCAAAAGATGGTTTTCTTAAAAGAAAATGCAACTAGAGCAGTTAAATTTTAAAACTGGCCAATTCCTTTTAAAACAAGGTGAAGTTAACTTCTTGAACATTAATGCAACAGTTCACTTTTTTATTAAAACTGGCAGAAGAAAAAAATTAAGTTTCAAACTAAGATGTTAGGAGTTGTTTATGCTGCGATTTATATTTTTAAAATGCACAATTGGGAATTTGTTATACTATTAGTTATGTGCTATTTAAACAAAAAATTGGACTCTGTTTAAGGAAGCCATTAAATTGGTCACAATTGCAACTTTCTTTTTGATAATAAAAGAAAAACTGGTAATCGAGAGCACCCTCTTGACTTGTACTGCCCCAAACCACCCTGCCTATTACTCCCCGAAGTGCCGAAAATCGCAAGAAAATGCTATGGTTTTATGGACACATCAGTACAGTGAATGTAAACAGTGAAATAGTATAATGTAGTACAGTGCTAATGGGTTAAGTACACTCAAACTGTTTTCACAATATTTAATCATTACAAACTAATCTACTTAATTCAGCATGACAGCTCTACCAAAATTAGTCCTGCAGATCGACACGAACCATATTGGGCCAACAAAGTGAACAGGAAAAATGATTAGAGGACAGCGCCCTCATGAGACCACAGGCTCAATCACTCATCCACTGCCTTCAGGCAGACTACCGTTTCACGTCCAGAAATGATGAATACAATTTTTCCGCTTCTGTTTAGCAACATTTATATTTCCCCCTTGACGGGGTTTGGGCAGTGTCGTAACATAACGAGGGTATTAACAGCAAAGCCACGGCCTGACTGCAAAGTGCCGTAAGACATTCCGGTCTGCTCAGGAAAGTTCTAATTTCAGACCGATGTGAGCATGATTGTGTCAAATGCTCGACAAGCAAACGGACTGCATGATCAATCAAATATGACAGTCCCACTGGACCCAAACTTTCCTTGCAAAACAAAAAAGTGGGCGGCCAAGTCTCAGACAAACGACCTGGTTAAACCCTCCTGGGAATAGACTTCTGCCAACTTGTACCTACTCTGTACAACATATGTTCCTCTGCTAGCAGCAAGGTTTTTTTTTTTGCACAACCACTGCACTTCATTTCCACACTTTTATTTTTCTAATGTAAAAGGCTAATTTCTACTGGAAACACTCAACCAGACACAACCAGATCCAGCCCTTTCTAGTTAGCAGTTACCAATGTCCTGTGTCTTGCCTGTTCCTGCCAGAAATCCGGCGGGGCCTTTTGCATCTTCTAGATACTGCCCTCTAGGGACTCAAGTAATCCTACGAATCCATCAATTATACCTTTGGACAGGCCGCATTCCGGGTTGCAACTGACGAAACGCTCGGCAAAGATCTCGAGAAGTTTCTGCAGTTGGTGACCGTTCGCCCCAGGTGATTGGATGTTGGAGAAGAAGGTCCGTAGCGCATTAGGCAGCAACTTCTGCTTGTAGTCATCCAGATAAACTAGCTGCTGAAGGATGTCTTGTCTGTGGATATAGAGTATTGCAAAAGTAAATGTTTTTTTCTACATTTTATTTAAATCAAACCAATGATTTTCTGAAAATTTCTTCAAACTTGCTTTAACCACAATAATGGTAACACAAATATAATAGTAAGGCTTCAGGAAAAACTGGGCACATACCTCTTAGTGAGTAACTGTCGGACTTGATACCTGTCCAGCTTATTAGTGTTGTGAATAAACTTGGCAATGGCAAGTGGTGTGTCGTCAATGATATGGTTCTGAATGAAATACTCCAGACCCTGGCAAGTCAACACAGATTGGAAAGCTTTTATGAGGCTTCATGCACTCAACCATTCATTTCAAAGGAATGACATACATTTGTAAAATATAAAAACAATAACACTGCCTTTCAGTCCATCTTTTGAATAGTTGCAGTCAGTAAGCTCACGGTGTTTCAAAAAATAAGATTGATCAATACAATCTTCAGATTGGAACGTCACAAATGTAGGAGGCAACATTATATATTTTAATTTAGAGAGGGATGATTGTTTTTTTGTTAGACCATTGGAACATGCACCTCTATGTATTTCAAACTGCACATATCCAAGCTTAAATTTAAAAAAAAAGTTCACACATGAATGCAACTGTATTAAAGAATATGAAACCTGTTAAGTGTTATCCATTTTGAAGAAAAAAGTCCATGTATAGAAAAATATCCTTGGTAATCATAGCAACCATCTGGTTGATTATTTACCATTTGAGCGTCAGCATTGAACGTGAGTGATCCTTCATCGAGCTTCATGTAGAGATCCATGAAGCAGAAGCCTGGCTCGTTAGCCCTGTCGTAACACGACACGTAGCGCCACGTTCCCCGACATAACCTGAGGGCAAGTCAAGCGTGAACGGGAGTGAAAGCAAAGCTATTATTAACTTGTGCTAGATAAAAATGAAATATTGTTCACCCTTGCTTGCACCATATGAAGAACTGTCTTGTCAAATCATAATAAAATAATCTATGAACTACATAGGTCAATTGTCAGCCATTACCTAAAGTATAATAAGAACTCTCTAGTAAACTGAGAAAAAAAGATCTGTGAACTGGGTTGACTTGACAATTTTTGTTATAATAGCACCCAAGTGCATAGTACCATGCTACCACAATTCTCAACAAAATGTAACAAAATATGAACCAAATAAATAATGTAACAGGCCCGTAAACTGGGGGGGGGGGGGGGGTGCCCTCAATTACAGGCCGAATTCTTAAGTTAAGTCATACACTACAAATATTGACTCTTGAGAGTCATTTGTACAATAGTTGCACCGAGTACAATACTTCTTACAGTAACTTCACACATGTCCATGTATTTTGCAACTCTCTGAGGCCCCGTCACAGGCCGTGTACAGCGGCCAAGTTCAAGTTCAAGTTCAAAACACATCACAGGGAACCACTGAGATGTATGTCCCCCACCGGAGGCTCGGCGAAAGCTTGCTGATTTCACCAGTCACCCGCCCCTGCGAATGTACAGTGCCAGATAGTGTATACAGGTCCTGCGGTATTAACTATTACAATACGCTGGCCCAAATTCACTCAATATTTCCAAGTTTTTCCCCACATGAAACTCCACAATAATTTCAGAATCAATTTATAAGTAACTTACCCTTGCCACAGCAGATCATCTCTTGATAATTCCCTCCACAAGTGATTGACACACATGGCTAAACACAGATCCTCTGCATTCAGGTTGGACAACACCATGTAGGCAAGTTCTGGTGGCATCTCGGATAGATCGGGCAGCTTGCTTGCTGGCTCCAGAAAGCTTGGCATACGGGACGGCCGTGGGTAGTTCTTGTGTCTGCGTTGCTTGCGTAAGGACTGTCCCATTGTTCTGAAGTCTGCTTGGTCTTACTCATAGAAACTTTCCATTTCTAATACTGATGAGGATTTGCTGGTCTATCACGAGCAGTCTTTTGTTCAATCAAACTGATCAATTTCACATTGTGTCACTGGAAAATCGTGTGTCCATTTGCCAGAAATTGTTCCGGATGTCTGTGTTTGGTCCTTACATGTTTTTACATTTTGGTTGTTTCATCATCAGACATCAGCACCAATTGGTACCAGTTCCTTGTGTTATGAAGGTATTGATCAACGGACGACTACATCCAGTGTTTTCTTCTCCTGATATCCGATTAAGAGTGAAGACAATCTGGCACTGTACTGTACACGCAATCTACAGCTTGTCGGTTGCCACTTGTCACTTCAGTCTTCACTGAAAGTGGAACCTGAAACAAAAGCAACACCAAATAAAAAACACTGAAAAACACAACTATTTTTAAGCTGTAAATCAAAGCATGGTAAGCAAAGAAATCTAACAGGCTGCAAAAATGAGACTGTTGAAAATCTAGCTTGACAGTTATCGTTAAGCTTAATTGTCCTGCGCTAATTTTATAACATGTCCACCAAAATGTTATCGGTACCCAAAAAATAATGAAAGTTTGCCTGCTTTAACGAAATTTTTGTCACAAAAATCAAGAAAAATTAAGACTATCCCTCTACACCAATTCATGATAAAATCTAACTACGCATTCATGTTGTCTTGATTCTCCATACAAGTCAAGTATTCAACAGAATGCTCAAGTCACTATCACAACATATATCACCAAATACTGCCAGCATTTCAATCACATTATTGGCAATTTTTTGCAGGTGAGTCTTAACAATTGAAGGCGTGAATGCCGGGCTAATCTCATAATCAAAGTGCCGCAGGATCCAATAAATCCCCAGTCACTGCTTGCCGTAATATCAATAGATATCTTGCCTCTCATTTCACACCAGCCTGGTCAACTGTAATTTTATTAGGGGCGTTTCAGGAAATCTCATAATGCAGTGACTTGTGAGACCGTTTCCATTTCAATTAAAACATCAACACGAAATGGCCTGGAGATATTATTTTGCCATTTCAACAATATTATAGTTGAGCCAATTGTATATCTTCCTTGTTTATGTAAGATATGATTATTTGATTAAAATTTGACAGAGGAAGGCACATGTTACATACATGTATTTTCTTTTGATATTATTTATGACTGCATTGGTTATTTTAGCAATGGGATAGATAGATGTCACACATGGCCTTACAATTCATATACATTCCATAAAAAAAAACATTTTTATTATTTTTTTAATCACATGCCACTAAAGACAAACAAAAAACCTGATTTTTGACTTTCGACTTCATTTAATGATTTTAATCTAAAAGAGAAAGAAATTGACCTTTCATTTTTTTTTCATTTGATGAACATCTACCAGTTGTACAGAAAGGTCATAGGGTTCAGAATTTGTGTAAAATAACATGCGTTGTATATTTTTCAACATGTACATGAAACTGGAACTTGCTATGAACTTATTTGACTTCCCCATTTATTCATTTCACACAAAATCAAGTAAAATCTTGCAAATTTGGTTGAGGGTGTACCTAACCTTTTTTTTTCATAATCTTTTCCTATCTCTTCTTGACTTTGAACCTGCCCAGTGCTCTCATTAATTTGCATAATTTATGTATCATAAATGATAGAATAAATATTTAGTCGTTTTGTCCATGATAACAGATGATCTATTATGTTGGCAATTCTTTGTTAAAAAGTAAAACAAAACATACTGCACAGAGTCACCTACATGTAATGGTTGGTTGTGTAATGAAAATTGTATATTTTCATTAAAAAAAACACCAGATGAATTAATTTCTAAATGCAAAACTCAAAGCAAATATATATTGGAAGTATGTCCCTGGCTATACAATGACAGGAAGGCCAGAGGTCATTTTCAATGTAATATTTTGGTTGATTGTAACATCTCTCTGGCACAATGACAGGAAAGGAAAATGTCACACGAGTTGCAATTCCATAGGTCAATAGAACGCCAGGAACCTATTGTATACATTGTGGGCATTATCATGTGTTCATAAATGGAAAAATATTGCAAACTGCAACATAGCTTATCCCCCCCCCCCCCCCATTTTAAAATATACATGTGCATCATTTAATTACAATGCTGCTTATGGGAAAGTTCCAAATGAAAAGAGCATTAAATTGCAGATAACTTCACTATGCATGCGAAGGCCAAAAAAAATATAGAGAACTGCTTCCAATTACATGGCAGTTGAAAGTAGGGTGGGTACAAATGTAGGTAGGGATTTTGTTTCCAATTTTTTTGGTGCACGGTCATATGGAGGCGTCTGCATATTGTCAAGGGTAAAAGGTAGAAGTTGATGGTTTTCTGGATTTTTTTCCTCATTTTGCCCATAAAAAAATTAGGGTAGGGGCTGTCAGAATAGGGTAGGTAGGGAAACCGGAAGCAGAACTATTTTTTTTTTGCCTAATTAATTATTTGCCAAACATTATGCAGAAGTTCTGGCCAACAACATTCGCATCATGGCCTTCAATACATTTGGAAATACACAATGAGTCACAAGTATTGTTTGTGATCCATGAACATACATTGTACATGTCAAGGGCGGATTTACTGATATGTTACTTAGGAGATTCATTTATTTATTCACAACTTTAGATTACCGACAATTGTTAAGATTGCAATGCATGAATATTATACAAATTGAGTTGAAAGAGAAATTGACCCATTTTAAAAGCGAAAACGCAATGAAATTTACTTATCTGTTCACATGTTTATTTCACAAACAATGGAATTACACAAAAAGTCACAATCAATAGGCACCTTTCGGCACGCAAAATGCACATCTATCCTAATGGACTACCGGAGAGATTTAATTGCTGCAGGAATTTAAAAATCTTGTTACAGATTTGCCATATTATGTTGCAATTTCATAATTATAGAAATCAAACAATGTGTTACAGCTTCCATAAAAATAGCCACAGTGTGAGGTTTAATTTCAAATCAATAACATGTAGACATCCTTACAAAATTATGAGCAATCGTGTGGTTTAGAACACCGGGGAGAAAATGTATTGTCAATTCGCAGCTCCCTTGATTTTCTACAAACTGTCCAAACATGTCAAGGTGCGAATTTGGAAATCTGGCCAAATTCCTTTTCTAAAGATTTTATTGAAAAAATATTTGTGTATCAAGAAGCTTACATTTTCCTTTTCAAAATGCACATCGTCAGAAAAAAATTATTGGAGATTAATCCAAAAGAGGTAGGTTTTTATTTGCAGCGATCCGGAACTAGGACAAATCCAGAACTAGGAAAACGACTGTAGTCCCAAAACATAACAGTGTCTTTGCATTCTCTTATATGAGAACGGGGTCCTAAACTACAAGATTACATTAATATCAATAGCACATTCCTGGGCAACCAGGCATAAGCTTATTAGTTGCCTAAGTGCGAAAATTTGTAATTTTCCCCTAAAACTCAAAATGTATTGTTGTATAAACAAACAGACAATTTTTCAAGGTGGCAACATGAGCAAACCTCTTCAAGTTCTTGAATTAAAACCCTTCAAAACCAATTCATTTTGTTAACAAACCTGCTCAAATACTGATCAAGCAGGGGGCAGTCACTAGTATATAATACTAGTCAATTAAGAAGCAATGGAATTTACAATTAATTACCATGTTTCATTGATATTGATATAATAAAAATGGTAATCCTTTCTTTTAAGTTTTAGGACACCTCTATTTTTTACGAGTTCTGTTCAAAACTGACTTTTGCAGATGACTGTCCAGTACCAAAGTGACTTTTGCAGGCTAAAGCTAGCTAGGATGATCCTTAGCGTTATGTTTATGCAGGCTAAAGCAGTCTTTTTTCTTCATATAAACTCATGTTAGTTGTAATTTTGAAAGCACTTTCAAAGAAAATGTGACTTTCCTACCTTTTTTTCGCAGTCAGACGTGCATGTTGTAGTTCTCACATGCGTGAAAGCCTTACATAATGAAAGCCCGATGCTGATTGGCTGCTAAAAAAAATAATTAAGATGTTTATTTTTTATCAGCCAATCAGCATCGAGCTTTCATTGCATCGAGCTTTCACATTTGCCATCTTGGTTTTTGAGTCTGTTTTCTGGTTGTCATCATCGTCTTTTACCCCTGAATTTCCCTCATTAATCAAAGCCCTGCCCTCTTTCCACAAATATTAACGTGCTGATATTCAAGAAGGTGTCATTGCCAATTGTTCAGATGTGCCAAGAAATATCATAATGTCAATTTTGAGTGTCATTTAGTCAACTGTTTTGGTGAGTCTTTCCCTTCCTATACAGGAACGGGGTCCTAAAAGTAAGGATTACCATAAAAATGACAGTCATGACAGTGACAAAAAGTATCATGACCAAACAAATACAAACTTAGTTCAATTCAAAACATACCAAAAGCGATCTCAACTGACGCAAAACAATACACAAAATGGCCTACCATACCTCGACTGTCAATTCTGCATCATACAGCTAAAGTCAGACGAATCCAGATTGAGTTTTTCTGCAACAAAAAGTGCAAGTCTTCTTTGTTGAATAATTTATGTTGTCAAAATCTTCACCTCGCAACAAATATTGTATTAGCGGTCAGGTAACTATCATTTCTATATTTAATGGCGTAAATGATAAAGCAAGGTGCCAGACTAGTTTGATGTAAACACGAATGACCGAATGACACAACGCAAATGACGTGGAACTGGAAGGTCACACACAATTACACAAACTTAGCACAAAATCACGTCACCAAAATTGGGTATTTTAAAGTGTCAAGCTTATTTATTCATTTTAAAACCGGGAATTATATCCTTCAAGTTTTGACCAATCAGGATTTGGATAAAATTGGCAATCGGCGGTCGGTCACCTGTCGATGTCACGTGACTCGTGACTCCGGCCGGCGCGCCATATTTAAACAAGTGTACGGGGTTGTGTTCCTGCTGATCGATCACGCACTTCTAAATCATTTTTTTCTGAAAAAGTATCCATAAACTTGTACTTACAGGAGGAAAAAGGTATTTTCTTGTCACAACAGATTATAACGTAATGGGTAATCTTTATATTTATGATGCGGTGATCATAAGTAAAGGTGTTTTAAGGTGTAGAATTTAAAAAGTATTGTAATTGATTCAACTGCACTTGAAACAGTTTAAACTGCAGGTATTAATTTGGAATTAAGTTGCAGCTTAAACTGATCTGATGAAGTTTCTAAGACCTAGTAAAACAAATTTTTACTGAATCAATCTGCAAAAATGTATCAGTTTAGCTGTTTGAGTTTAATTCTTTGAATTTATCTATAGCAAAATTTTCTAATCTGTATCTGTAGGTATAGCAACTTATCACATTTTTGTGTGTAACATCTGTGCAGATAGTGGGCGGAAAAAGATGGCCACAGGAGACCTGAAAAACAATTTGAGACGTCTGCAGAGCAAGGTGAAGCTCATCAACTATCCAAAGGATATGGACATGAAAGGGTCTGTATAATAAATTAAGGGTCAAAATTATTCCTGGGAATTTTGTGATTGTTTGGATTTTTGTGCAATCCTCAAATTAAAATGTCTTGACTTTAGTTCAATCGCAGAATGATGACAAATTGTACAAACTCCATGATCACAAGGATGGAACGCTTTGGAGGCTGGATATTTGAACCCAACATTCCATCCTCAGTTTCACACATGAAATAGCGAGCCTGTCCCATGAAAACTCTAAAACTTTGTGATTCTCAAACAGTTATTGTGGTTTCAGCCAATACACCTACAAATTAAAATAATCACTACTTCTTCATTTTTTATCATTTTTTTCCCAGAGTTTCCAAAGGTTTAGCCCAGGAGTTTCTTCCATTGTTGCATTACATCTTACTGGATTTCTCCCATCCAATGGCTGAGCACATTGTCAACAATGACATGGAGCTATATGGCAAGAGTGATGATAAATTCATGGCAGCCGTCTACAAAGTGAGTTGTCTGTCACCTAACTACCAAGTCTCAATGGGCTCCGTGCACAAACAAGAGAGGGCGCTTTTGTACCACTTTTGAAAGCCCTGTGGACGGACACTGTGTAGATAGTGCGAAGTACGCATGACATTTTATCGTGAATGTGCACAAAGTCATTGTATCTTCGCGTGAGCGTCAGCTGTTATCGGCAATGCATTTGAATGTCCCTCCCAGTGGTCTCCCCAAACTCTCCCCTTCTTTCCGTTGAGGGGGTACTTGTGCACGGAGCCCATAATAACAAAAACAGTCTTTGATATTCACCAGTAAAACAATTGATCAGTAGTCTTTGAGAGCTGCCTTTCCTCAACATGACTGGCCAATTGTATCTTGACGTCTTTATTTGGACTTGTGAGATTGTTTTCACAAAAGTGTCAGTGGCTGGAACTCAATTATTTAAAAAAAAATTCATTTGAACTCCAACACAAGCTAATAAACTGTATGAACCCGATTAAGTTATCTCAACCTCTATTTGATAATATTTCCTATTCCTATTCAGGTTCTCCGAGATATTTTTCACTACAAGCCTTCCATTACCAGACAGCAGTTCTTCAGTCGCGGCTTTGCCGAGCATAAAATCATCCTAGTGGTTGATCTGATCCGAATGGTAAAGGAAAAGCACAAGGCGCTGACTAAAGGAAGTCTTGGGAGCAGACATGCATCTGGAAGCCTTGTTAGATTGCGTGCTACACCAAGTAGAGGTATGTGTAGACGCTCGGTAAATTGATAGTCTTTAATCAAGTCTTTATAGACGAGATCTGTGTCCTGCAGGTTCAAAAATACACATGTAGTAATAACAGCTTGAACAGAGACTACGTTGAAAGTGACGGTAATCCTTACCTTATAACGTATTGAATCGCAACATGTACTGCATTGCATGCATAAATTTTATTTCTCAACAGAGCAAGTAGCATCAACCAGGTCAGCAAATGACTCCGACCAACCCACGACCCCCGACCTTCTGACAGCATCTTCTAGCGAGGCAACCGTCTTCCTGCCAACTACTACAGAAGCATCTAAGATCACTGAGAAAGACACTGGGTACCATACTGCCGAGACCTCGCCAACCATCAAGACTCCTGATGACCAGGTGAGAGTTCTGCAAAGCAGGCTTGAAATTAGTCTCACAATGGCAAGCCATTTAATGACCTATGTCGTAGGGGTCAAGCTAATTTAAATATTTGCGCGCTTACCAATAGGATGAAGCGTTAAGCATGACACATGAGTGTGTTAGAGAAGTAGGCCAATCGAATTAAAGGGGAGGCGACACAACCATGGCACAAAGCAACCAAATTCACAGCATTCCACCCTCAATTCAATATGTTCATAAATGTTCTTTTGGCCATAAGAAAGATCAGGCTAGGTTAAAATTGACAAGCTCTCCTAGCCTATACAGTGAATATATTATGGGTCCCTCTAGTCTATAAGCAGCAAGTCTGTAGCTATTTTAAAAATCTGAATACATTTTAAAACGTATTGCTATTCCAAGTTCCTCAGTTTTGGCAGAGTAAAACTTTTGGGAAGTTCGTTTTACCCGTCTTCTCCCCAACCCCTTAAAACTCAACTCCCTGTCTTGATTATTTGAGAGACTGTTTCATGTTCTATTTTTTACAGGAGGACGTAAGGAGAGTCTCAGTGTCTGTGAATGAGTTGCGTGCTAAGTTTGAGAGCAGTGGTTTACCAAAGCAGGAGAGTCTGGAGAGTAAACTGGTAGGAAATTCAAGATCTATCCTAGCGAGAATCAACCTCATTTGTGGATGAGTTTTACTAAATATCTGGGGATAATGTGATAGTTACTGTATGGAAAAAAGTATTTACAAAATTTCGAATGTGCCTAAATAATCTTTTTGAAATCTCACATTAATAATTCACCGAATACAAGAAATGTGCAGTTGGCATCAAATATGAAATTAAGGTTTTGCTTGCTTGTGTCATTCTTGCTTTTTGCCTTACTCCAGAGTGACACGGATCTAGAAGAGAGCCCCGTCATACAGGCTCTCGTTAAACAGATTGTACATTTGGAGGACCAACTGACTGAGATGTCTGAGGAGACTAAGACATGGAAGGCACAGGTGGAGAAGATGCAGAGTGATATGCAGGCACGTATGGTGCTGATGCAAAATACTATCATGCTACTAGAGAGTAAGGTAAGTGCTGATGTAGTTCAGGTTAGGCTGCTGCTGGTGCTGCTGCTGCTGCTGCTGCTGCTGCTGCTGCCGTTGCAGCGTACACAATTTAATTTGGATCACCATCTCCCTGTAGGGCAGTGCAGTTGCAGTCTTTTCTTATTTTTGGTGCTGCAATGCTTATACAGTCGACTCTCGTTAGTACAAACTCTATTAATACAAAATTCTGGTTATAACAAACATAAAGCCTTGGTCCCGACTGTGCATTTATGTGCACAATGAATGGGACTGATGTTCCTCTTAATACAAAATTCTGATAGAAACAAACAATTTGGCTAGGTCCGAACGAGTTTGTTATAACGAGACTCGACTGTAGCTGTGTTTAATAGCATACTACCAGGAATCAAGTAAAATAGCTGTAGATTAGTTGCCAAACAATGTCTTGGCTTGTTTCAAACTTCAATTCATTAGTTAGGATTTTGTTTTGCTATTTCAGGTACCAACCGAGCAAGCAGAAGGAAAGCCGGTCCGCTCAGTGCTGACACAGGGCATAGCTCAGGGTAGGTCTGAAAGTTCATTTTTACCAACATCAAAGTGACGCCAGCTTTCAGTTAACATATGTATTTGTAAAACATCTTTACAGTAAATACACTTAGTAGTTATTTTCTGACCTATTTTGTCATTACAGATGTAGCTACTGCTTTGTTGCATCCGATCAGAAGACGCCCAGAAGACATACCTCTACCCGACTCACCAGCCATCCCACGAACCCCCAACCACACCCCATCATCTGCCAAAAGTCCGCTTCCTCCCCTGTCCATCTCAGCTGTGGCCCCAGATCAAGAAGATCTCAGTATAGATTCGCACAAGGATCCTGTGGAGCATGAGGTTGCACAAGAATCATCTTCAAGATATCAGCATAGACCTGTCTCCGTGGTTGGTCCCATTCAGACTCCCATGGTTGACAGTAACGAGCTCCCTGAGCCGGAAGTGGTCACCATTCTTGGAGCAACAAGCCCGAGTCCCATGGACACAGAGTGGATGCATCGTAGCTCATCCACGCCTATTGAAGCTACCGCCGATGATGCCAACCAACGCAGAGGTACGGGAACTGGCGTCATGGCCGCTGTGGAGCCAGTAGACGCTACGGCATCCACCGATGATGACATCGATGAAGGGCTGGTTGATGTGGAAGATGGGGACTTGGGCGATTACATCGTGGAGACTGTGAGAGATTACAGCAGTGAGATGCAATCCGCTGGAGATAATGTATCTGAGGCAGATGAGGCAGGGGAGTCTCAGCTTGAGGAGGATGGAATTGATGAGGTACCAGTCAGAGATGTAGGGCAAGCTGGTATCTCAATGGATGTACAGATGGAGACTGAGGGTGTGGCCAGCCAAATGCAAAGAGTTCAAGATATGTGAGTAAACATCAACTTAAAACAATCTTTCAAAATCTTGACTAAACTCTCCTGGGCAACAAACTATGATTTCTGATGGCATATGCTTATTGTTTAGTGGTTATTTCCAGTGTTCTTTGCTTTAGATGGTTGTTTTGTTAGCAAGAATGAAACCTTTATTATCAGAGTTTTTTTCTTTTTCTTTTGATGCAGGTTGGCAAGCACTCAGCAAATGCTGGCAATGAACACTAGCCTGACTGATGACTCGCTTGAAGAAGACTAGCTTAACACAGCGGACAGAGAGGTGAAGAATTGACCGGAATATATAAAGAGTACTTTAAAGAAAACAAGTAGAATATGTGTGCTTATACATAAAGAAATATGTGTGGCTTGAGCCAAGGTAATGAACAGGTTGGGCCATTCGCAGTGACGCTAAGAAAAGAACACCACTTTACAAAGTTTTCCTTCACCAAAACCAACTGTTTACAAGCTTAAAAACATTTTGTAATGTAAATATTTGCCGACCTATTTATGTTCTGTAAAATTATGAAAAGTTCTCTGCTTAGCAGATGCATACGATATTGCCTTAAAATGTGAAATGTGTTTGTTTCCGCTTCTAAAAAGCCAAGATGTTGTATTCCCTTATAAACATGTATTTAAAAAAGTATAAAACAGGGGAAACCAACAAAATTAAAATGCTTATAAAGACTACATGTACTTTATTATAACTGATTTCAACAAAATAACACGATTTAATTAATAAAAAGGGAAACATTTAAAAATAAATCTAATCCTAGTATCAGCAATTCAGAAACTATTCAACACTTCAATCGGATGATATAAAATTTAGATTTGTACTTTTTGGTGTTTGTTTATCGTGGTGTTTGTTTATTGAAAGATGTTAAGATTTATTTAATTTAAAATATTTGAAATTCTTTTGTTGATGAACAGAAAGTTTTGTAAGTGTTGCGTTCAGTGGAAGCACACTGGAAAATAAATACATGTTAACAGGATGCTCTGCACAGATGTCACAATCAAAGAAAGTTTTTTTTTTTTTCAGAAGTAAAATTGTCAACTTTGTGACTTAAGAATTATATTTTTGCAGAGATGAAGACTTTACAAAAATAATTGTGTTTTGCAAATGCTGTGTTTCGTTTGTTTCTGTTTAAATAAAGCATTACATGACTGAAAAAGCATTGCCTTTCAAAATAAAATCTCTGTCTTCACCACCAAAATGGAAAAAAGGAGAAATACATGTATATAAGAAAAGCTGTTTGGATTTTTGTCGAACAAATTCCTGGATAAATATCCTAAATCAATGCATCCTACACAAATCCACATGATAAAAAACATTCACAAGCTTCTGATTTTTTTGACTGAAACAATTCCCTCAGTCTTTTCCAATTCTCTGTGTCCAGTCAAACGGCTTCCACCATTCTCCAAACTGCAACACCTTACGGCGTTGGTCGTCAAAGTTCTGCCGATGGGGTCGCCTCCATAACTGGGGTTCAAGGTCTATCATTCCACCAATAATCTCCTGTTGGCATGGGAACCAAAAAAGAATTGTATAAAAAAAAGACAAAACTGTATAAGCTTGTGCTTTAACAAATGATTCATAGTTTTAACACAAAGACTATCAAAATCCATTTCAAATGTTCAACTTGCTCTGTCATTGATATGTCATTGTTCTCAACAGCCAAAAAATATTGGATTAACTATAAAGTAACACAGGCATCAATCTTAGAAAAAGTCCTTGTTTGTTTTTGTTGACCTTTCCAAAGTAGTGAGGAAACACTTTGTCGTCTTCAATAACATGAGCAAAGCCTCCATCCAACCCAAAGTCCACACTGAAATATGGGAATCCTTGTGGTACCTGAGGAAGAACAGAATAAAATCAAAATTCAAAAATTATTCATTCTTAATGAGACACGAGTTATGTTTTTCACAACGCCTTCCCTATCACTAAATTTTTACCCTTCAAAAATTTGATGACCTTTTATCTGTCCACCTGCTCAAACTTTTATGGAATTCTTCTGAGATTATTTCTCTCTCAACTCACGCTTTTACGGATATCCTTCTTTCTAGTGTCAACCAGTTTCTTGTTCTGGGACCACTCTGACTCCGATTCCTGGATGGCTTTCTGTGGGGAGAAGAAAAACAAGTCAGGGAACAAGACTTCACAACAAATATAATCACACCAGACCATATTCAACAATACCACATTAAAAAAATGTTTTCATCCTTCATGACAAAGTAACGTAAACATCATTACCTTGAAGTATATCGGAGCCATGTCACCAATCTCCTTAGGCAGGGGAACACACTCTATCGCCATGTGTCTGTGACCTTGTGGGTTCATGCACGTCTCCAAGAAAATGGCGTCTCTGTCTTGATCCTCAAACATCTTGGTCAAACCCTTGCGATAGATCTATAATGATAGGTAACAAGAGCAGTATAAGAAAAGTACACTGACTGAGAGTTCATACTATTGTTAATTTCAACCCCTTCTTAAATATGAACACTACCAGCTCAACATATGGCCCAATAATATGCTCAATACAAGATTTTTATCCTTTTTTGTTCTGACAAATCCACGACTGGTAGTCTCTCTTTACAGCTGTCACAGCAAATCTAGACCCTGCCCTTTTTTACTGATAAGTTTAGAAAATGGTGGAATAGAAATTGTGTTGGGATCATCTGACAATATAGTACAACATTTCTGCTGACATTTTGCTGATAACAATACCTGCACTTCGTTCCACACGTCTTCATCAAGCACAGTGCTAGCCACTGTATGCTGCATGGGCACGATAAGACAATGGCCTTCAGTCAGAGACTGGGCGGCTGGCAGACACAAGTACACCTGAAACAACATCAAAACCAAAACAAAACAAATCATTCATTGCCAAGTTATACTGGAAAATCTGTTGTTTTATTGACTAGCCATACACAGCTTAACAACATAGGCAATAAGGCAACACAGTTTCAAGTTCTGCAGCAAGTGATGGTAACCTATCACATTTTATTATCATGTTATTTTGTTGTTTCAATTTTGAAATGAATGCAATATTTTGAACCCCAATTTTTAGCTAAAAGTCTAACTGTATCCAAAACAGTTTTTTAAAGGATATTTCATTTCCTGTAAGTACAAAAGACAAACTATAAACCAAAATAAGGTTCTGGATATATTTCCTTTCCTTTCAATATAACAAAAGCAGAGTATTACTTTCTCTTAAAGGAATTACCTTGATTCCCAGCGCAATGATGAGGTGTTTCTGCATCTCGGGACTATCCAGACAGAATGGACATTTAGACATGGAGGCAGCCATCTTACGATGCTGGCTGATTGCCACTGCCTTCTGTCTCTCCTCCTCCTGAGTATTAGATGTCTTCTGAGCAGCAGTCGATACAAACATGTCATCCAGGGTGTGGTCGTCGGTAAGCTTCTTGAGGGCCTGAGAAAATAAGTCAGATCATTGATAAAGGTGCTAGCTGCAGTCATATAAGTCATGATAACTTCACTTAAGACACATCTGATTACTTGTTACATGGGAAATCCAGTTGGTACATTGTTACTTGGGAAATTCTTAGGAGATGGAGATGAAAAACACAATGAGACAAATATTTGACTGAAGTGGAAACGGTATGAGTGCATGGCTAGCGTACCTTGTTGGCTACTTTGTTGAAGAGACGAAGCTGATCTTCACCCGATGTCATTCTTTCTTTTCTGACCATGTCCCTCAGGTCCTGCTGGTCATCATCTGCAAAGTACCTCTCCCTCTGTCCATCCCTGTCATGAGTGATGATCTGCCAAACAGATCAATCATATACATATGTACTTGTTTCTGAAACTGATCCAATTCTTGTCCAATTTTGTTTAGGGGTCCCAAATCTGTTTTGGGTTGCCTTGTATTCTCATTTGAAACATTTGATGTAAAAGTCTTGCCTCTCCTTTTTCCTAGTTCCAGAATACTAGGTCTCATTCCCATTACAGTTTTAATTCAATTTTGTTCTTTCAATTTTTCAGTTTTGCTTGGATACAGGAGATCACAACAGGTGAATCTCAAAGTACATGCACTGACAAGATTGACTGAGATAAATAAAACCTATTCCCTGTAAACTTTAAGGCTAAACCCAGCATCCACACTTCTGAACCAATGTAATATTTCTCTCTGGATTAATAAAACTCACGTTCTGTTTCTTTGTCCTCTTCTTGCCCTTGTTACTTGGACCGATACCGGATTGTTCCGGTAGCGGCCAGCTCTGACCGGTTCTATCCACTCTGGTCAGTACCACTTCCTCATCATCTGAAGATCCTCTTCCTGTCTTCCCCTTACTACTTGATGGGCGTGGCTGGGCGGGGCCTTTCATGGCTTGGTTGGCTTTAGCTTGGCGAGACTCTTCTATCTGTGCCTTCAATTTCTTTGCAAGATCCTTAAGAATAAGCAAATATTTGTACGTGATTTTTTAGTCTTTATCAATGAAAGTCGAAATAACTGTTTTACGACAATTCTTCAGATTAATCAAAAATCAGAAAGGAGGAAATTTACCTCGTTTCCCATGAGCTCTGCTTTGACAATCTTAGCTCCGAGTTGGTTCATCTCCGCTTCACTGAGAATCCTTGGGGGAGGGGAGGGGCTTCGCTCACTCTCTGAGTCACTACTACTGTCACTCTCAGACCCAGAAGAAGATGAGGACTCACTTGAACTTCTTTTCTCAGGATTCTGTGATTCAGTAGATGTCTCAGTGTTGGTTTGTTTTTTCCAAGCTGGAGTACTTGAAGATGATTTTTTGGACGATGCTCCCATTGAAGATGATGAGGAAGAAGGTCCAGCATTCTTCTCAACATCTTCATTTGGTCTCATAAATGCCTTCTTCTTCCAAGCTGGCGTCTCATTCTCCCGTCTCCTATCACCTCTAGGATATGTATCCCTCCTCCTTGAGTCATCCTTGTTATCCAAAGATTCCTCCCCAGGTTTCTTAAACATTCCCTTAAGACCTCCTAAAGCTCCAAGGCTACTAGCTTTTGAATCCTTGTGTCTTGGACGGTCATCAGATTCACTTGGTCTCATGAATGTTCTGCTTGTCTTTGCATCGTCACGTCTTGTAGAAGATGAGGATGATTTAGATTCCCTATCACCATATCTGTCTCTGCCTCTGTCACTGCTCCTATCAGGGCTTCTGCTTCTCCCCTGGGTTCTTTCCACTGGTCTGTCCCTATATCTATCACCTTTCTGGTCATAGTCTCTTTCATTGTCTCTACCACGATCTCTGTCTCTGTATCTGTCTTCACCTCTCTGTGCATCTCTGTGTCTACCTTCTCCCCTCTCCCTCCTGTAGTCTGTCCCTCTATCTATGTCCCTGTGTTGCCTGGGTTTGTCTCTATCTCTATGCCCGGGTCTGTCCTGTGCACCTTCAGCCTTGGCCAGCAATTCATAGTACTTTTCTAGTGACTGCAATAAAAATAACAAACAGATGAAGCAAGTTGATAATTCAATGTTTTCAAACTGATAACTCCTGGTAAGGGTTTCCTTAAAAATGTTTACACTTACACCCCATCTTTCGGATGCAAGTTCCTTCACTGATCTCCCCTCTTCCTCGGATCGTTCCACAATCCTCTGGTATTGTTTCTTTAACCAACCAACCCCAGCATCGGCAATGCCCACTTTAGCAGCAGGGGTGCTGTGCTTCTCCTCTGGGAGGCCAGTCCCTCCGTCCTTCCAGAAGGGGTTTAGTTCTCTGTCGGATCGACCAGGCTGTTAGAAGAAGAAAATTAGGGAAGTCAATCCAACTTCACTTGAACTTAATTGGTCTGTCTTGACAAAGTATTCATCTGCACTGTTAAAAATTGACCTCATTATCTATAAAGATGAACAAACTCTGACTTACATTATCAAGGAGCAGCTTTTGTTCTTTCTCCTTTTCTGTCTCAGCATTCTCCTGCAGTGCCGCCTTCTCTCTCCTCATGTCGTCACGGGAATATGTTGCCATGGTGAAGGGGTTGCTCATCCAATCATCTCTCTGTTATAGGATTATATTAATGGCCAAGAGGTCAAACCAGAGGTCAATAGTTTCTGTATTATTAGCCAATAATTACAATATAATTGGCGGTTATTCGCTGTTGGCTGGGAGATATGAATAAATAAATAAATAAATAAATAAAATACCACTAAACAGTTGAAAATTGTTATACTTGATAAAAATTCCTTTAAATTTTGAAGTGCAAGACCGGAACCCATGCCTCCTGCTTTTACAAAAGATCATATTCACAAAACTGTCGCTTTGGTCATGTTGGCCTTTGCAAACTTCGAAAGTAATATGGCAAGCATTGACAAGTTGTTTTTGTCAATATTTTATAGCCTTTGGTTTATTTTCCGGTACCTGAGGCATCTTTTGCTCATTTGAAGCGCTAACAGTTTGTACTGCTGGAGCAGATGTTGAAGGGTTGTCCTCCACCCACTCCATCTCTTCAGAATCTTCCTGCAAGCAATCAAAATAATTCGCCATTGACTTCAGAAAGAACGGCAGGATTCCTTTAATTCCAATCATTTCCATGACAGACTATCACTTGTTCAACAAACAGCTTGATTTTGGTGGCAAGTCCATCTAACTTACATCCTCATCAGATGAAGAGTCACCGTTGCTCTCCTGCTGCCTGTGCTTGTGCTTTGCTTTCTTTTCCTTTTTCTTCTTTTTCGTCTTCTTTTTATCCTTGATTTTCTTGCATTTCTTGGACTTCAGCTTATCACCCTGATGAAATAAACACAGAAATGGTTACAATATTATTTCCTATTTTTTTCTTCAAATTCATTATTCTTTGACTTTGCCTTTATCTATTACTGAATTTCAGCAATGATTCGAAATATGCCCAAAAGAGCAAAAACCAATTGTTGGAGAAGAGCAGTAATCTTGCTTTTACCTCAGCCTCGATCCTGTCAGAAACCGAAGACAGCATCCACTTGTCATCGCCTCTCAATTTATGGGCTTCTTTTCGTCGTTCTTTTCTCTCCCGCTCTTCCTTAGCCTACATAATAAAGAGGAAAAAAGTTCTGCTAAAATCAAGCTGTTTCTACAAACAAGTTACTGTTGTTTGAGTCTACCTACATAGGCAGGCCTATGTAGTATGTTCATTTCTTTGTTGGTAGTGGCTTCTGAACTGGTACTGGTTCCCAATTTCACGAGGCTACAGAAGGGGCAGCCGTAACACAACATAATGCATCAGTCATAAGCCGTTTCGCGGGTACTGCCATCTCTGAAATTATGGGGGGGGGGGGCATTACAATGAAAAGACTTCCTGTCATGCTCAGCTGCAGTTGCATGATGGGACGTATTTTCATTGTAATTGCCCCCCCCCCCAAAAAAAAAAAATTTAAAGGAAAGAATGTGGCAAGTGCAACCTGACACTGCTTTTTTCTTCATATATCCTCTCAATGAAGGTCAGTCATTGCAAAAATGATCATAAGGGTAATCCTTACTTTTAGGACACCTCTATTTTGTACGAGTTCTGTTCAAAACTGACTTTTGCAGATGACTGTCCAGTACCAAAATGACTTTTGCTGGCTAAAGAAGTCTTTTTTCTTCAGACAAACTCATGATAGTTATAATTTTGAAAGCACTTTCAAAGAAAATGTGACTTTCCTACCTTTTTTCATGTTTTTGCAGTTCGCCATCTTGCTTTTTAAATATATTTTTCTGTTTGTCATCGTCGTCTTTAACCCCTCATAAATCAAAGCCCTGCCCTTTTTCTACAAAATTTAACCTGCTGATATTCAAGAGGTGTCATTGCCAAATGTTCAAATGTGCCAAGAATATCAGAATGTCACATTTGATTGTCATTTAGTCAGCTGTTTTGGTGAGTCTTTTAACCTTATATAGAAAAGGGGTCCTAAAGGTAAGGATTACCATGATAAGACATGATTAATCTGGGACTGTGAAAAAACATTCACAATTTTATTAGGAAAATCTGACGTCATATATAAGTATTAAGTTACCCTCCGTTCTCGCTAGTCCGGAAATCGGACCACAAAATTCGTAGCAGAATTCGAACTCTGCCAAAAAGATAACTTTCATACACACTTAAACGGATTCAATATTATACAGTTATTATAATGACAATACCTTTTGGAGGATAACAGCCTGCGCTTGACGCTTTTCTTCTCTTTCTTTACGCCGCTCTATTTGGCTAACGAAAGCTATGGGGGCTGCCATTTTGATTCTCAAAAACCGAATCGCTGGAGGGCGCTATTAACAAATTTTCCACAACACATGCATGTTAACTTGCTGGAGACGTGAGGCTCAACATCTTTACACAAATTCCATTTAGAAAGATAGTCACAAGATGTTTAAAAAGTGAGTGTGATTTCAATTTTATTAAGCTCCAGGTGTCTTGTAACTGGGCATCACCAGAATTGCAAAATTAAGAGTAATTTGAGCTTGCTTCTGTAGTGGTCAGACACTGGCAATGACTGGTTTTGCATGTTTCCCCGCACAATGATCAACAGATATAAACAGATCATCATCATGATGATTATAATATATAAATATATCATTCTCCAATAATTTAGGTCGAGCAGATACTGGATCATTTTCATGGCTCTGTTTCAATATTAACTGTACATGATTGAACTTTGCTAATTGTAATGAAGATGTCCTTTGAATTTTTTTTTCTGGCGTCTCATCTTTTTGTTTCTTCAGATTTAATGATAAAGAGAACATCTCTGGAACAACGCAAGTCAAGTCCTCCGTCATCCGCAGCATCCGAGAAAAACTCCTTGATACATATCCTGACATCAAAGATTACCTCGATCAGATTCTGCCCAAGAAAGAACCCATTAAACTGATCAAATGGTGAGTCATGTACAGAACACACAAAAAACCCTGCCCCTGAGAATTTAGGTAGCCTCCCCACGAGTTGTATTTCTTTAATTACATTGGTTTTTCTCTTCTTGTAGTCATGATCACATAGAAATTCTAGCTCTGGGTGGAGAGCCAGTCTTCTTCAAACAGCGGGACTTTTTTATGCCAACACTGAAACTTCTCCATAAATGTGAGTGAAAATTGTCTCCTATTTTCCTTTTTTCAAATGTGCAGTGCAATTTTGATATTTCATCACTTGAAACTATGTTGGGAGACAATAAAAAGTAAAATAACCTCATTTCTGTGTAGTTTGTAGTCAATAGAGGGCTCGTCTTGCTGATTTAATTATTTAATTGCCTCTTACATACAAATATTGAAGCTGACGTGATCATAGCTTGAGTAACTCCAGCTGACATGCTCCATATTCATTCACATGTAACATGTGAATGAATATGAGCATGTCAGCTGGAGTTACTCAAGCTAACGTGATCAGAGGTATTAATAAATGATTAATGGCCAATGGTCTTAACTGTAGTTGGGACAGTCCCAACTACAGTTAGGCATTCCATACTATAGTTGGACGATCCTAACCGTAGTTGGGATCATCCCAACTATAGTTGGGATGATGCCATAATTGGGGTGTGACATTGTGTATAGTAATTCTACACAGCAGTAATGAATTGAGTGTTTGGTGTTTCTTTGCCACAGATCCTTTCCTGCTACCCCATCAGCAGGTGGATCAAGGAGCCATTCAGTTTGTCCTGAGTGGAGCTAACATCATGTGTCCTGGTCTGACGTCACCAGGGGCTCATCTGGTCCAGGCTGACAAAGAAACCGTAGTTGTATCCTTCTTAAGCACCGTCTTAAGCCCACTGCACACCTTTTCCGATTTTATCGGTTCACCAGATCATCAGGCCATTCGACAAATAGATCGGAGAGGTTTGCACTGAAAAATCGGACCGATCTGACTTTAAACCAGGCAACTGGATGAAACAAACATGTTTGATTTTTTTGCATTTGATTTCACCTGATCTGATGTCACTAGAAAGGTGTGCAGGCAGCACTCCGATTTCACTGGACAGACACAATGTTTATGTTAACCAATCAGATTCACAAAGGAAGTCACATGATTCAAAATTGACAGCAGCAATTTTGTCATCATGTGACTGGTCATCATGTGACTGGTCATCATGTGACTGATCATCATGTGACTGATCATCATGTGACTGATCATCATGTGACTGGTCATCATGTGACTGGTCATCATGTGACTGATCATCATGTGACTGATCATCATGCGACCGATTATAGAACAGAATCGGGCATGTGTGTGGGTAACATTGCGGTCTCAGCAGCGGTGAAAAAAAAAGGACCGGTTATCCAGTGAACTGGTAAAATTGTCCTTAGCAAGCTTTCCATTAATGACTGTCATAAAGTGAGTAGATTTCATGTGAAAGATCGATTTCAATTTTTTCAAAATTGAAAGGATGATCATACCTAGTTGATGGATATCTTGGTGAACAGATAGATATTTTACGAGCTAGGCATGTTGGCTTTCTAGGTCAGTATGGCAAGAAAGTTAATTGTAAGTTGTGAGAGTTACAAAGTATTCCTTGACAGATGTTTGTGTAGGCTGTAATGGCTGAAGGGAAGCAGCATGCATTAGCAATAGGAGTCATGAAGATGTCCACAGAAGCTATGTAAGTATTAATAATATTATTTTGTTATCGTACAATGGAATAATCAAACCCTTTTATTACCTTGAACATAAAGTAAAACGGTGGTAACTGAAAATGCAGAAATATTAAATCTATCAAGCATAATTTCTTCATTCATGTTGTAGTCCTATTCAATATTGAAATATTCATAACATAATGTTAACAAACACAAAGGTTATTACTATTATAGGCATTGGTTCAGTAGGGAGACATTCCCATAGACTTGTGCCAAAAAAATCCCACCTTTAATGACCCTTAAACCTAACCTAACCTTATTCAACCCTCTCCAAACTTTGCAAATTTGATAAACTATTAACATTTGTACATTGGTGTTATACAATAAACAACAAGAGAAACTAACAGGATTGATCGTTTTGTTCATCTTTTCCCATCACCTTCCAGTAAATCAGTCAACAAAGGCATTGGGATAGAGAACGTCCACTACTTATCAGACGGACTGTGGCACATGAAGGCGCTCAAGAAATGACGACCTCATCTCACTTTATCATTAGCAAAGTTGAACTGTTCAATTTGAAGATTATTATTAACAGTGCGGATATACTATTACCTTCACAGCCATCTGAGCCATGTAAGGTACGGAACTGATTCATATCTGCCCCTTGCTTTGGGTTAGGATATGGACTTTGTCATAGCTCAGAATACCTGCAGCTTCCATGCAAATCAAAAGCATCAGTCTGAAACTACCTTTACAATTTTATAAGGATAGCCAACTTAAAATTGTTCTCGTAACTACTACTTGTACGGTGTTTTATCGACAAATTTCAGGGAAAACTCATTGAAATAAGTTTCATTTAAAATGTTGTTGCCATTTCCAGGAAAACTCTGGGAAATGCACTTGATTTGTACTTTCTTGTGGCTTTGCTTCTTTTTAAATACAATAAACGTTATCAAAATTTACTTTTACTGTATTTGTAGGCATTGTCAGCAGTTCAATACATATGTTACTGCATTTTAACTGCAGTACAAAAACTAGTCTTTATCAAAGACTTGATTTGAATTTTTTCCCCTTTAAAACAGCCAGTTTGCAACAAGCTTGCAAGGATCTATCAACAAGCTGTTCAAATCAAAATCAAAATCTTGGCAGCGCTACCTGGGAATTTCCGAGCACACCTCATACACGCTGTATTCAAGCTAATGAGGTATGCTCGGAATTTCCTGGGTAGCGCTGCCAATATTGCCAATATTGCCAAGACTGAATTTTAATTCATCTGTTGATAGAGACCTCTACCGCCGCGGCAACTTAACCGCATTTGTCCCAGGACAGGCTGCAATATAGAGAAATAATAATCCAAATTCTGTCTTGTACCAAGACCATACTAAAACATGTGCATTTGCCTTTCCTTTAAATTATGTGCAAGGAACATTGTTACAATCTCCTTTCCAAATAATAAATGGTTGTAATTTATGCATTTTAATTTTTTTTTGGTATTTTGGGGCTCCAAAAGAATGTTACGCTTTTGGTAAAAGTCCTAATAGAAACTTAAAAACCTGCTCAAACGAGAATTTTTTTTTGGAGGGGGGGGGGAATATTATAAACTACAAAATAGTACAAATATTACTATTATTTTCCTTGGACTGTAATAAAGAAAATAAAACAGCTGAGAAATAAAAAGATTATACCTGCACTTGTATTGTACAGATTTTTGCCTTATAGGCTTGTGAAACGTTTCAAATTTGCTTTATAAAAATATGCCTTTACATTCAGAAAATGCAATAATATACAAAAAAATGTTTTATGCTCAAGTCAACAACGGTACCTACACAGGACTAGAGCGAATATTCAAAGCAGTGATAATTTTGTTATAAAATATTTCATGTTTGTAAAGTGGGTGGAGATTAAAAAAGTTAAGTTGGAATTCTTCAGACGCACATTACCATAACTTAATCTGCACAAACCCAAACTTTCCCGGATCACCCCTCCTTGTTCTCCTCACCGCTTCCAAATCTTTCTTTGAGACTTTGAATAAAGGATGAAAGAAAAGAAAACGATTTGGTAAATATCCAGGATAAGTTACTGACATGCAAATCTACTGCATCTTTAATGATGCCACAGCAAATTCGACTACTGTATTCATTGGGGGGGGGGAGTTGGATAAGTATGAAGCACAATAAGTCTCCGCCTTGGGAGATATCAAAGTGGAGATGATGCTGATATTATTATGTGCCTCACCTTCTGTTCCTGTCACTTTAAAGTCCCATTGGTAGATAGAGATGACAGTGATTCTGCCAAATTTGTGACTTCCCGACTCTCGGTGTTCAACCCATCCAGCTTAGCCTCAAGGGAATGGATGTCTTGTTCTAGCTCACGCTTCTTGATAACTTTCTCCAACTTTGCTTTCTTTTGTCGAAGAGTGGGTAGATCATCATCTTCAAATGATTCCGATGAGGGAGTGGTACCATGACTAACGTTGAGGGGACTGCTACTTACAAATTGACGTTTCTGCTTATAAACAAAAAAAGGAAGAGTTGCATTGATGAGGTTTTATATACATGTAAGCCCTAGTATAAGGGGTCGAAGTCTCGAAGATGATACAAGTCTCCTGTAGTTCAACAAAATAAAAGTCATCCTTGATTTTTTCCCAGCAAACAAACAAATTATTGTGACGAAAAGTTTCAAACTTGAACTAAAAAATGACTGACCTCTACTTTGATGTCGATATCAATTTGAGTTTCAGGAAAAAATCCTCCTATGCTATTACCAAACAGACCACGGTGTGCATCTGTAATGAAAAAAAAAGAGTCTTTTGGGGAGAAAAAGGGGGGTCCTTGTATGGTACAGAGTCTGTACTTAACTAGCTCATGAAGTCCTTATACATGCATATGGACATACAATTTTCTTCAGTCATCAAATTAGTGCAAACGGTTCGAGTGAGACCAAATAAATAATTTACATTTACTCATAAATATAGTGTAATCTTGAATTTAGAGCAACACATGGTGAAACTGCAAAAATGTTGAGACAAAAAAAAATTGACTCACATTGTGGGCCGGCACAAAATTTAAGTTTATCCAGACAAAAAGTGAAGCGACTTCTTGACGAATCGGTCGATTTGCCGATCGGGTCAGCAGACTTATTGTCCACGTGGGTCATGCCTCGACCTAGTAGACCTGTCGATGTAGTTGGTTCTTTCCATTTAGCAGTGAAGTTCTCCAAATACAATTACAGAAATAATACAATTAACAGAATGATGTTACATAAACAATTGCTATCTCTCTGAATTTTTTTCAAGTCTCACCCGAAAAATACATTTTATATTCAAACGTATTTTAAGAGAATTTTAAATGGCAAAAATAGAAAAATGGCACTTTTAGAAGGCACCTTTTTCCTCATAACACATACAAATTGAAACAGTTTTAGGGGATGGAAAAATATGTTTAAGAGCGTGGGTAGAGCTTTAAAATCAAAACTAACAAGAAACGTACAACAATACAATTACCTCTTTTTCTAAATAAAAAAGAGTGAAATCCGACCATACCTCAAAACCTTTGTTTTCATACTCCTGGCGTGTTGTACGGACTTTGGTATGTCTGCCACTCCTTCTGGTAACACGCTAAATAAAAAGGAAAAAAAAAAAAGATCAAATGTTTTTGAAAACCTGGAAAGTCGTACCGACAGAGGGGTTAGGAGTTTGCCAAAAAAGACATTTACCTTGGATTTGATAGTGCTTCCACTACCAAACGCAAACAATCTCCCTGTGCGAGCACCACACAAGCCCCTGTGTGTCCTTGTCGTAGACGTCTGACCAGAGAGTGATGCAGGAGACTTATCAAAAAGGGAACGTTTGTCTTCAAAGGCTGCAAAGACACGGTTGAGACAAGATATGATAAGATTTATTCAAGATGCAGAACGAATTCTGTTTGAAAATTACTATACTTTCTGAAAAGAGGTTTACTCCTGTCCAGCCTAGCATTACAAACCAATTGTCCTCTAAGTATGCTTTGATGCAAAAGCTTTATCAAGAATTGCTCTGCGATGAGATACCAACGTGAGACAACAAAACGGTCATCATTATCTTCATCATTTGTAGCACTGAAGCGCCTATGGGCAAAGAATCCATACTTGAAATTTCTATACGGTCAAACAATTTCGAGCAATTATCAAATGTGACGAAGTTGCTTGTACAAAGGTTCACCTGTGAATCTAGAACAACACAAGGTAAACCTACAACAATGTGTAGAAGAAAAGTTGACTCACATTGTGTTTTTGCCTGAAATTCAATTTTATCCAGACAAAAGCTAGTTTCTGAGGAAGCTTTCGATTTGTCGAACAATCCACTGGCCTTACTGTCCACTTGGGTCATGCCTTGACCTAGTAGACCTGTACTACCCGGTCCTTTACGATTGGCAGTATAGTCTTCCATACGTAACTCCTGAAAATATTACAAAAAGAGTCAACACAAAGTTATATTTAAAATAAATAGAGAGAAATAGTATTAGAAAGAGAAAGTATTTTCCATCAACACAATGCCTAAAGTGCCTTTCAAATAAAAGTAAATTGTTTGATCCTACCTCAAAACTTTTATTTTCATATATTTTCATAGCTGTGATGACCTGATGTCTTGTGTTGACATTGAAATGTACTCCATACTTCATCACAGTATCCGTGCTAGTAATGGGCTGAAAGCAAAAAAAAAAAAAACAGAACGTTGTCAGAACAAAAATTGTCAAATTGTTGTAGGTCACGCACTGGCGAAAAATAAGGCCTAGCACCCCTGTCTCACCAGCCCCTTGTTATCCTCCCCCCCCCACCCCGACAAAAAAACCCAACCCACCAGTGGTCAAACGTGCGCACAGTTGTTCGACTTTGTAACCACGCTAAAACCCAACTATTTTGGTTCACTTACAGCTCTTCACGGGAACTTGTTTACCGAATGCCCACTTGGTAAATGTTAAATTGTACTTTACTGAATTTAACCACAATAACAATTACTCACGGTAAATTTGATAGTTGTTCCTTTGTGTGTCCTGCCAAACAAGTCCCCACTCCCTGAAGCCATCAGACCAAAGTGTGATGTGGTTGTCTTGCCAAACAGGGTTGTTTCTCGATACATTGCGAAGACAAGGTTGAGACTTTCTGTGTTTGACAGAAGTTTGCTTTCTCTTTAAACTTCTTTCTTCTTTCTTTCTTTTTTTCTTCCCTTTCTGACTATTATCGGGATTAATACTATTATAACAGTCCCTTGCTCTGTGCCTGTGGTGAGATACATGGTGAGATGTCTGTTTATATGAAATACAACTGGATATAAATCTCAGAATGTTTTTTTTTTAATTGAAAACGCAATTTACAGCAACCAAATGCCGGAAGAATCTAATGTTTTGTAGATTAGGTGACTATAGTGTAGATCCATTCATAAATAAAGGACTTTCTAACCAACAGTAAGCTACTGGTGACAAGTTTTAATGTCGAAATTTAAGGGGAAAACCATAAAATCTATCTGAATTTGCCTCACACGCATATTATAGGCCTATTAAATATTGTTACATGTACATGTGCTTACCTTTGTGTCTATTCAACCATTTTAACATTACATGAACGCATTTCGCTCTATAGTACGGTGTGAGCAATACTACCCCAAGGCTGTAGAGGGTCAAGGTCCACCGCAATCAGTAATTAATTGGCAGAACTACACATCCTTCTTTGATGGGACTTATACTTGAAATTTACATGTCACATGTCACAAAAAGTTACCGAAACAGCCCTATGTTTGTCCACAAACATATATTCTAGTTTCATGTTACACCGGTCTCTTTAGCACGGAGGGGCGGAGTCAATAAAAACCTCCCCAATACGTATCCGATCCCATCCACATCCACCACGCAATGGCACAAAATATGGGTTGTTTAGTAATCAGAGGCATATCTAGCCTTGGATGAAAAGATAGACTTTGATGCTTCGTCTTTGTAATGCTTTAAGACCCAATTTACAGCAACCAAATCCTGGAAGTCTATAGTGTTTTGAACATAATCATAGGTGTAGATCCAGTCGTAAATAAAGGACTAACCTTCGTATACATCAGTCGGCAAAATTTGTTTTTTTTAATAGCAGCATATAGACTTCCAAGCTACATTTAATGTTTTAATTTGAGGAAAAACCTTGACAAAAATCTATCTGAACTTGCCTCACAAGCAGAGTAATAATGTTACTTACCTTCATATCTGATCAACCATTATTACATTAACGTAAATGTTTGCTCTATGGCGTGATGAGCAATACCAGGAACCAACAATATGTCACGGTCCACGGCGTTCGGTAAATATCTCAGGCCGGGGAATCCCCAGAAATATGGATGAGAAACCTTCCCAATGCCACCACGTCACATCCACCGCTTACTGGCACAAAGATATGGGTTGTATAGTTATCAGAGGCATATCCAGGGGCGGATCGGGGGGGGGGCAATGAGGGCCATGTCCCCCCCCCCCCCAAAAAAAAAAAAAAAAACAACGAACCATTTTTTTAAAGTCACGTCGCAATAAAGGCAGTCAATGAGTACACCACCATCTTTTCCTTAAAAAAACATTGGTTTTGTGGTCAGAAATTGCCTAAGATCGCACCACAGAGCATCTAGAATCCACCACATTTTCGGGGCCCTTAAGCGGGCCCCGAACTCCATGCCGTAATTTTTTGGACCCACTTTTGGGGGACCAAAATTTTTTTGGGCCCCCCAAAAATTGTGTTCTGGATCTGCCCTTAAAAATGTCAATGTATAAATAGGTGGAAATTAAAACTGAAGTTGAGATTCTTTGGGCGCCTGTTTGCAACTACCCATTACCATAACTCAATCTGCACAAACCCAAACTGTTCTGGATCACCTCCTCCTTGTTCTCCTCACTGCCTTCTGGATCTTTCTTGGAGACTTTGAGTAAAGGATGAAAGAAAATAAGATGGTTACGAATCATGTCGTTAAATATCAGGGACAAGTTACAGACATGCAATTCTACTGGCGTATTTGATGATGCCACAGCATGTATGCGGCTCAATAAACAAATCTCTGCTTTGGAAAATATCAAAGTGGAGATGCTGATGTTTTTGTTTTGTGCCCTATTTTCCGTGGAGTCTACATCTGTTCCTGTTGCTCTATAGAATCCGCGACTCTGTGGGTCTCGGTGTCTTTTGACGGTTAGGGCGTGGCTCCTATTGATGAGGCATCGTCAGTCTTGCCTTGCTTTGGATCCTTCATCTCACTCAGCTTAGCTTCCAGTGATTGGATTTCCTCTTGCAGCTGACGCGCTTTGATAGCTCTCTCCAACTTTGCTTTCTTATCCTGAAGATTTTTTATTAGGTCATCATCATTCTCCACTGATTCTGATGAAGGAGTTGTTTTATTTCTTATGCTGAGGGGAAGGTTACTTCCAAGTAGAGGTTCCGCCTGCATATTGTCAAAAGGGAAGACTGTTACAGCATCAGGGCGAGATTTTGCAGGATAGAGATTTTAAAAAATCGACACACGATTTTACTCTTCATCTTTGTATGCTATGAGATAATTTGTCTCTTGTAACTATTTGCCCAAATAACAGCCTAAAGAGAAACAGTTTGTAGTCTGGATAGGCCTACAAGGTATAGTTTACATCCATCATAACAAAATAACCAAATTCACTAGGAAGCAATACCTACAATTTTCACAACAGTTTTAAACTTTCTTAAACCACACAATTACTCATGTTCACCTTGATGTCGGTACCACTTGTGGTTGAAGGAAACACTCCATACACACCATGATATGCGTCAGCTAGGAAAGAATTCAACAGAAAAAGGGGCTACTCTTGAAAAATACCAACAATTGGTTGAAATATTTGAGACTTCAAACTTACCCAGAGGCCAGAGATGAAGCAGAATTTTTGGAAAATGTGAGGGACTAGTTGTGCACAAAGTACACTCCCAATGAACTAGCAACATGCCATTAATCTTCAAGCAACTTAAATGTAACAAAATCATTTTCTATCACTCAATAGATAATCTAGAACAAAGCAAGGTGAAACTTAAGAAATTTGCAACACACTCACATTGTGCTTTAGCATGAACTGTAAGTTTTTCCTGACACAAAGTGAAGCTCTTTCCTGATGAAGCTGTTGACTCGGCGAACACTCCATCAGCCTTTTTAATAATAGTAATAAAACTAAAAAGTAATACCAATAAGGAGTTATACAGCGCACCTATCCGGAAAACCGATCAAGGCGCCAATACAAAAAATGTTGAAAGAAATAATAGTCGTATTGTCCACTTGGGTCATGCCTTGACATATAGTAGTTGTTCTTTTACACAAAATGGTGGACGTGTAAACATCTTCCATCGCATCTCTTAAAATAATATAATTTCTTGAAGGTTGTAACAGAAAAACAAATTCAAAATTAAATCAAAACGAACTTTACCAAAAAAATTACCTCGAACAAAATCCCCTTCTTAACGAACAAGTGAAATTTGACTTTACCTCAAAACTTTTGTGTTCATAATGTGTCATAGCTGCGATGACCTGGTGTCTTGTTCTGATACTGGTTGATACTCCACTCTTAGTATCGGTGCTAGTAACAGGCTAAAAGAATAAACACAAATACATTTTCTTGGAAAACCGGTCATAAAGTCATTCCATGGATGAAGTAGATTTTGGCTAACAGAAATTGGCAAACTTGGGATTGCAAAAAAATGACTTGTTACCAACCCAAGTCAGACGCTACTCGAGCGACCCAATACACTTTAATTAAGCTATTATACTTTTAATTAGCTTTTTCATTCCAGAAAATAGACCTCAGTGACTGAATCCAGTAAAATGAATAGTTCCCACTAGTTTAAAAAGTGTTCAATAAGACTGTCACTACAAACTACAGTTTTCAATGACCAATTGTCTCTTGCTTAATGTATTGGTTGAACAAACTTTGAAAGGAACCTTTCATGAAAAGAAAGCAGGCCTTTGTCAATTGCATGTAAAATACCGGATAGCCTAACCCATTGGTAGGCGTTTAGTATACATGAAAATTGAACAATAAAGTGTTAGTATACTACATGTAATCGAGTGAGGAAGTCTTTTTTTTCACGGTCATCTCAACATTTATTTCTACAATGTAAAGTAAATTTATTAAAGTATAAAAAGGGCTAATATCCGACAGATATGTGATAAACTACAAGAATAGTAATTGCAACACATTGAAAAAGGGGAATTAAGGAGGCATGTTAAAAATAACTCGTAAGTTCATGCCAGGTTAATTCTTTTAGCTTATTACAGCTGGACAAAATAATGTGCAACTTGACGTGTTCTTGGACAAAGATACTTGTGACTTGACTTGTTTTTAGACCAAATGACTTGTGACTTGACTTGTGACTGGACCTAATGACTTGTGCCTTGACTTGTGACTGGACCTAATGACTTGTGACTTGACTTGGACTTGCAAACAATGACTTGTGACTTGACTTGGACTTGCAAAAAATGACTTGCTGCCACCTCTGCGAGTTGTTTCAACATACTTTTTGACGAAATCCCGATGTGCTCCCAGTCCCAAACCCAGTGGCGCCACTAGTGGGTGTAGAACCAGACTCACTCTTGCTTTGGGTTGTAGGATCCGTGTTAGACAGACCAAGACTCTGTGGGGTCATATGACAGAGTGTGCTATAACTTAGACTGCCACAGAAAACTTGAAGACGATGTCAAAATGTGAATGCTAATGATTGTGGTATAGTGTAAATGTCTGACATATCACGCACAGTACAAGCAAATGATTCAAAGTGGATCTTAAGTTCAATGCAATTGATACGTAATAATACAGGTGAACAGTTTCAACAGATTGACTAAAAACAAAATGACAAAGTAAAGTCTCCAGAAGTTGCTTTTTTTTTATTCGTTCAATCCCCCACTGAATAAAGTATTCCTACTTAACTGATCCACAAATGTTTACGACGTAATGTTTCCTTGAACACATAAGAACTCTAAATACCCATGTCAGGAAAAGTTTGTTTTTGTTTATAATTACCTCGGCTCCAATCTGACCATGGTCTGACCGAATACGTAGGTAGACTTATCCCTAAACCCTAATTTGGTGCTCCCCGCCATTCCAAAGCCCATCTTCTGACCAAATAAACCCCCTGTCTGCTGTGTCTGTTGCCCGCCAAACAAACCACCGCTGCTGGGACTAAACCCCAATCCAGTGCTCCCTGTTGTTCCTAAGCCCGTGCTCTGACCAAATAACCCTCCAGACTGCTGCGTCTGCTGACCGCTAAACAAGCCACCACTGCTGTTTCCAAAGGCAGCTGTAAAATAAATATGATTTTTTTTTTATATATATATAAGTGGTCGGAACAACTTGGATCAAACTGTGTGTATTGAAAATCTTTCCTAAACTTTGTCTTATTAATCTTGCAAACAGAGGGCGACAAACCTTAACAGATGATGGGTTTTACACATTAAAAACAAAAGACAAAGAAAAGATAAAAGCTTAAAACATTGTGTTCCTGTGCCAAACATTGGTCAATTCTGACCAAAGGTGGATCCAGTACCAGACGAAGCTGTTGATTGGCCGAACAATCCACCCGCCTTATTGTCCACTTGGGTCATACCTTGACCTAGTAGACCTGTACTACTCGGTCCTTTACGATTGGCAGTATAGTCTTCCATACGTAACTCCTGGAATATTGAAATAACACAAACATTCTGACATTACAAAACTTGAATGTTTAAAGTACATTAATGCAACGCCTAAAAAATGCCTTTAAAACTGAATTTGATCATACCTCAAACTTTTGTCATTTTCATATTCCTTCATAGCTGTCATGACCTGATGTCTTGTGTTGACACTGGTTGACTGTCCATTCTTAACCATGGTATCAGTGCTAGTAACAGGCTAAAAGAAAAATAGAACATAAAAGTCTGTTCTTATTCCTCCATGGTCATAGTGACGTAAAATAAGGTCCAGCTGCCCCTCCTTCCTCAACAGCCCCTTCTATGCTTGCCCCCCCCCCCCCAAAAAAGTGGTTCTGAATCTGCTAGTGAATCTGCAAGTTAAAAAAAAAACACATACATTTAGGCCAAAAAAAATAAGTCTCCGGTTTCTGGTATGGAGCTTGCCCAAAAAGTGATGCGGCGACGCGGCTTTTTTTTTTTTTTTACCTGATTTTTTTGCCTCAAATGTCGGCTGATGACTGCAAATGGTGCCCGACTAGACTTAGTGCAAATACATGGGAGTCCAGGGAAGCCACGTAAAGCATTCTCGATCATAACCCCATCTAAAAACACGTTAAAATTGTGCAGCAGCAGGATTCCAGTCAAACCAGTGAATTTGGCGGTGTTGAGACATCATCTTTCATTGGAAAAAAAACTTTTTCATTTTGCCGACGCGCATGGCTACGGCGACGCGCGCGCATACCAGAAACCGGAGACTTTTTTTTTTGGCCTTACCGACTCTAACAAGGACTCACAGTAAATTTGAGACTTGTTCCTTTGCGATCCATGCTGCCACACGTGCCAAATAGTCCCCCAGTCCCTTCACCAAACACGCCCCCTGATGCTCTCGTTGAAGCCATCTGACCAAACTAGAGTGACATGGTTGTCTAGACAGAAAAAGGAGACGTTTCTCTAGAAGTTGCAGGGACAAAGTTGAGACTTTCTGTGTTTGAAAGAAGTTTCCATTCTGTTGATTTTTCCCCCTTGCTTTGTGTATTGCGATAAAACATTATTAATATTTTAATTATTTATTCGGCCAAATTACAAAAATACATCAAGCAATCCACAAAAATCAACAAAAACAACCCAATCCAAGCTGGCCAGGATTGACAAAAGTATAATAAAACACTGTGACTCAAAAGCCTGTCAATATGAAATACAACTGGTAATTATCTCAGAATTGTTTTGGAAATTGAACGTTATCAACAGCCATCAAATCCCGGAAGTATACTACATTTGTATTTTGTACACTAGGTTTAAATCCAGTCATAAATAAAGGGAGTTTCTCACCTACTACAGCTCGTTTAACTTAGATTTTAATGTCAGCAGGACTACTGGGCAAATGATAACCCAGTTAACATTTGAAGGGAAAACCTCGACAAAAAAAAAACCTTATCTGAGTAACTTACCTTCATATCTGATCAACCATTATTACATGAACGTAAATGTTTGCTCTATGGCGTGTGCGCAATACCAGGAACCAACAATATGTCACGGTCCACTGCGTTCGTTAAATATCTGAGGCCGGGGAATCCCCACAAATATGGATGAAAACCTCCCCGATGCTTGTCCCACCACGCGCGTCACATTCATGGCACCTTGTTTAGTTATCTGAGGCATATCTAGGTTTGGATGAGGAGAGAGGGCATACAAATCCTACTCTACTCCTCGACAAATTTTGAAGCTTTTTCCTCGTTTTTGAACATTTCATTAAATCGTTTTCATCCTTATTGTCAAACATATCATGTCCTACAATGTATCACTGGGGATTCTTCTAATTTAACAGCTGTACAGAAAGAAACTGTCACTTCCTCTGATCTTCGACAGTTTGCAAGGGGAATTAACACAACAAAAAGAAAAACCTTTTTTTATTACTGACTGTATTTATTCAGGTGGTCCAGGATTCATATATTACAAATAACCAGACTTTTTTAATGGCGGAAGTGTACAAGATTTACGACGAAAACGTTATCCGTTTTTCTGAAACACATGTGTAGGCCTATACATGTAATCTGCTGGGGATATCGTTCGACAATTCAGCAAGAAAGCATAGCCCATTTTTTGTTTGTGGAAGGCAAATGCGATTTAAAATCAGGGTCTGGTTTTTGATACACCACGAATGTAAATATAATTTGATCGGAATATCTAGTGAAACAAAAAAACTGCAGCAGTCTAAAAATTGAAATAATTCTACCCACAAAAAGACTCCATAGCAAGGTATTTTTCAGAAGCGTGTTTTGGGACATTTTCCTGATATCTAGACAATGTTGGACAGTACATTTTATTCAACTCTTACAGAATGTAATAATAATAGCACAGTAGTGTTTTTCACATCAAGTGTAACTTAATTTCAAAACCTTGCTTTATGAAGACTGGTAACGTAAAATGTTCCTTTGTATAAGTTAAAGAAACAGATAAATACATTTATTTTTTTGCAATTGAGAGTTTAAAAAAAAGCATGCCCACTTGTGCATTCTATTCTGAAAAGTTGTTGCATCAAAGAGAGAGTCCTCGTTCATGGATCAATGACGCAATAAACACATAAAGCCAGATATACTCCATGAAAGTTAAATTTTCAGTCAAAAAAATGTTTGACCCAGTTGGCCACAATATAGCAGTCTTAAACTCAACATGATACACTCTGGATGATGACTTCTGGGGAAAGAAATATGAACTCAGTCGGAACCTTGAAGTTTCTCCTAAATTATGAATTCATGTGTTTTTTATTTGTATCCAGCTTATAACTTGTGACCTTGCTCTTTATAACTTCTTTTCTTGACATAACTGGGTGCCACTTAATTCAAGTTTCACACAAAATCCACACATTTCTGGAACTCAAAACTCCAACATCTCAGAGTGGATTCCAGTGAGATTCCTGTGAAACCCTGCGACCTTCGACCTGAGGACTTTAGTCTTCTAAGAAGAAGTACTGGCCAGACCTCTTCTGATCTGTATCCTTGACTGAATGCATCTTGTTGATGCGGGGCCTGAAGTTCTTGGGATCTCTTCTGAAGGTGATCGCCAGCGAAGCCAGGAAACGGTTCATGCCGTTGAGAAGAGACTGCGGCCTGCAATCAACAACAGAGAGGGACATGATATCTTTTGAAAATTTAAGGTACAATGTGGAAGACAGTTTCTTGCACAGTGGAAAATTACTGATCTTCTGATCTTTTTTACTTTGACTTATTCTGTCGGTCCCAGCCATAATTAGGCAGGCCGTCATGGTAGACTCAATGCATTCTGGGATACTTACGAGTTAGCCTTGGTCGTGATGGATGGTGTTCCTTCAAAGACAATGACACGATCAGCGAGGTACGTAGCCATGATGAAATCGTGTTCAACAACGAAGCCGGTCTTCTTAGCATGCAGAATGAACCTGGGAGTATCGAGACAGACCAAATAAAAATAAAATCACTCCAAAACCTTAGAGTTAACTTACAAAGAGACACAGAAAAAGTCCTTAATCCTAACAAAACTGTATGAATGCCACTAATACGTTAGATACCTGCCTGCTGGGAAAATATCCTCAAATAACTGTTATCCCCCAAAAAATGATAACACAAAGCTTCCCACAAACTTCAATGACATTTGATGTTCATTTTTAACTCTGATATTTATGCCTGCGGAAATGTTTATGCCACATGAAGACATTTCAGTTATTGTGATTTTTTGCTCTTTATACCGACCTCTTGATGACCTTTGCAGCCACGAGACGTTGTTCAGAGTCTAAGTAGGCAGAGGGCTCGTCGATGAGGTACACATCGGCTGGTTTACCAAGGCAAAGTGTCAAAGCAACACGCTGCAACTCACCACCAGATAGATTCTGAACCTGTAAAAGTCAAAAATACAAAAAGTTAATAGTAAAATAGTGCAAAATGAAGATCTTCCTGTAAACACAAATGACCATGGGGAAGTGGATTTTAATGAGTGATTTTGTGACCTTTTGAACAACCCTTGGAATCAATGTAGGAAATCATAAACAAAACAAAAAAAGAGTACTGAAAACAAATTTGTCAAGATACCTCTTGGTCGAAGACACTCTCAATCAGCAGAGGTTTCATGACGTCAGCGATGAACTGAGGATGGACGTAGGCATCTCGGATCTTCTCATGGAGAAGTTGTCGCACTGTACCCATTGACTTAGGACTGATCTTCTGTGGTTTGTAACTGATGTTCAACTGAGGAACATCGTCTGTACAGTGATTCGTCAAGAGTGTTAGATATCAACATTCAGTGTTCCTTTGGATTCATGTCAAACCAATACCAAGGGAACAAAATCATTTACCAGCTGTAAATTTATTATAACACGTTTCTCTTTACTAGCAAGATGCTTTTTGAACAACTTTCAATTAGACAGATAGATATTGTATGGCAAATAGAACTATATGGCTAACATTTATTTGTGACTTAGGTTGGACTCATTCATACTTATTAATGTTGTTAAGCAGTGTTTTATGCTTGGGGCTTCTATGACAATTGGTGCTGGATGTGGATTATTCTAGTCAATAATTATCTTGAAAACTACTCACCAGAACCCTCATCGGGTCTGAGCTTGCCAGCCAGCATGCGGATGAATGTCGTCTTGCCAGTACCGTTCTCTCCAAGCATGACCAAGATTTCTGAATCAGTAAACTCTCCTGGTTCAATGTCTAGATGAAAACCACCTGGTGGCAGAAAGAAGGAGTTGAAGTGGACAGGCTATTGGAAATAAAAGCTTGGGACTGTTCTTGAAATTTTATCCTTTCTGAAGGTTGAGGGTGGGGTAGGGTTGGGTTACGCTTGGGGTTGGGGCTGTTTTGCAATGGGTTGGGTTGGGCTGGGTTGGGTTGGGCTGGGCTGGGCTGGGTTGGGCTGGGCTGGGTTGGTTGATTTGGGTTGGGATGGGTGCGTTGGGTTGGGTTGGGTTGGGTTGTGTAAAGATAGGTTTGATTCCATTGGTTTAGGGTACAATTGGGTCAAGCAGTATTTTGTTATCTTTACCTAATGTCTTGGACATCTTAGGGTATTTATAGCGACGCATCCTCTTAATCTCTTCCTCATCCGCCGTCTCCGAAACCTTGAAGACCAGGGAGGTTTCTCTGAAACGAAGATTTTCCGTCGGCACATAACCATCCAGAAAAATGTTGATACCTGCAAGGAAATCAATTATACAGCCCATTTAAAAACTGTGTAAGTTAAAAAGGATCTTGTAAAAGAAATCCTCTTGTACCTTCATCTTATTAACATCTTACCTTCTCTTACACCAAAGGGCATAGTGACCACTCCATAGACACCAGGCAATCCATACAGGCAACAGATGAAATCAGACAGGTAGTCTAGAACACTAAGATCGTGCTCAACAACAATGATGTACCTGAAAACAAGTAAGAAAGGCCGTTAAAAATATACTGCTCACCCTCAACACGTGGATCTAATCAAACCAGATCCCACAGCAGGCAATGGATGTTGAATGCTGAATTGGATATTACTTGATAAAATGGGGATGTAATGAAAAATGGAAAACCAAGTAGGTCTAAAACCCTGCCAGAGATTAGCTTTTTGTTTTGTGAGTAGGGTTTTGGTTAGGGTTTGAATATGGCAACCAAACATGTCTGGGTACGTACTTGTCGAGTTGGAGCAAGGATCGTATAGTAGAGGCAGCTTTGATACGTTGCTTGACATCAAGGTAACTCGAGGGTTCGTCAAACATGTAACTGTCATCAAAAGAAAAAACACAACAATTAAAGGACTGAAACGACAAAATCAGCAACAACCCAAGGCCAACTTGATTGAACTGAGTATTATTTTTGCGGCTTGTAGCAGAACCTTCCAACTGGGGAACATGCAAGCCCCAAAAAAGTTAATTAACTAAACAGCGTAATTAAGCACTTTGGAAACACTGGTTGTACTTGTAGTCATTTACTCACATGTCAGCTTTCTGTATGCATACTACAGCACAGGCAAATCGCTGCAGCTCACCACCAGACAAATCCTCCACATTACGATCACGAACTTTCATCAAATCTGCCACAAATCAATCAACAGAGAAAAAGAGATCCTGCCATTCATTTCTCCAAAAGAAACTTGCTATTCAGTTTATAGTACTAAAAGTGTTTATCCAGGCAAGCCTTTCCCAATCCTTATATGTCCACACACACAAAAGTATCCAAAGACTTGGAATGTACTATTTGCTAATGATCTCAATACATTCACCTTATCAAAGAGACCTATCCTCCATAGTTTTCAAGTAAATGTAGTGAGTTTTCATATAAATAAAGTGTGCAATTCCTACCAAGCCCTCCAACCCCACGCTTACCGAGCTGTTCACAGATATGTACTTGTGTCTTGGTCTCATCTTTCTTGTCAAGGAGTGATTGCACAGTTCCCTGGCAGAGAAACAATTATAAAAAAGATCTGCGATGAACAATCTGTTAGCTTCGACAAAACAGCTTGGAAAATACTAGTTGCCAGCTACCGAATGATAGCAGATGATACTGAATAAATGGATACTACGTGGTTCCCCACTACTACTTTTGTTCATTGGGTATTTAACCCTCCCTATCTCAGTGACAACATGGAGAGAGATCCCCTATCGGTCAAAATCTATCAGGTGACAGGTTTAACAGTTCTGTAAATTGGGCTCATATTGGTACAATTGACAGGCTGTGGTAGTTTTGTTAACTGAGGCTACCATGCCTTGACTGAGATTGATAGATGTGGTGGGTCAGTAATCAAGGCCACTCTATACTATCAAACCCCTTCAACAGGTTTTGACAGTTATGTGGTTTAATCCATGTGGGTTCTGGCGGTTGGTGACCAGCGTGTACATATGCTATGGGAGAGGAAGTGGATTGATTTTTTGACGGTGTGTGACAGTTCTATCAGTAGGAGGTTAATGAAAATTAAGTTGTGAATGGCAAGTTAGCTAAACCAGCTACTAAGCAGTCACAGATTAAGTACTGGCCAATTACTTGACTCCTTTTTAAGAAGCTTTTGATGAATGTTTATCAAGGTATTTACCTTGACTGCTCTAGGGATCTGATCCACATACTGTGGCTTGATGATGGCTTTCAAGTTGTCTTCTAAGACCTTGGTGAAGTAATTCTGAAGCTCTGAGCCACGGAAGTAAATCAGGATGGTCTGCCAGTCAGGGACACTCTGTCAAATAAGGAAAAAAAAAGGTGGTTATTTCATCTCAAATTTCAAATGACGTCTAAAGTTTCAAGATGACAACCAAGACGCAAATACACAGATGGAATGACAAAAGGGTGGACACCTGGACAAACAAATAGTGAGACACGAGTCATTCTGCTTCTTCCAACTTACATCAAATTTGCCGAGGTTGGGTTTGAGTTTTCCTGCCAGGATTTTGAGTGCCGTTGATTTGCCGATACCGTTGGTGCCCACCAGACCTAACACCTCACCTGGCCTGGGTATGGGTAACCTGCCATGAACAAACAGATTGACTTCAATTTCATATTTAATACAAATTGGATTTTGAATGTACAAACGTGCACAAAAGTGAATCGCCCATCTTATACTAATCATGTTTGATCGTTGACTTTAGAAGCACTTGGTACACTCTCTGTACTGTTAAATTATAATAACAATACACAAAATCTATCTATCCTTTGAATATTTCCCACTTGCCTGTGAAGCTTGAAGGAGTTTGCACTGTAACGATGCGTGGTGTCCTTCTCTAAATTACTCGGTAGGTTGATAATGGTGATGGCCTCAAAAGGACATTTCTGTCAGAAATATAAACATGGGAGAAGATAATGAAGGGGAGACCAGTTGATCAAGTGGTACCTCCCTCTTTTTCCACCCCTATGACCTTGGTTGGAATCTCACTCACGCCATGGGTAAAGCAAGGCATCCCACATAATTCAAGTCATTAAGCAAGTAAACAGGAAGTGGGTTTACCTTGACGCAGATACCACAGCCAATGCAGAGGGTTTCAGAGATGAAGGCTCTTTTATCTGCTGGTGTGACCTCTATGCACAGCTTACCTGCAGATAGACAACCAGGGTTATAGATGTGTCAGGAAGAAGCTCACAGAATTTAAATGGTTTTTGTAAAAGCTCATAGAAGATGAAATTCGTAAAAAAAAAAGTTAGGGCAAAGCAGGATCACATCAGCTGCTGAAGTCATCTTTTCAGCAGCCGTGCATTTTCACAAGTTACATGTATGTGTTACCATTCAGCACTCCAGACTCAAGAACAGTGAGTTTTAAGCAAATGAGTCTGGGAACAAGACACGGAGATTTTAAAATGTATTGGATGCCCGTCTTAGCTTATTGGATACAAATTCTTCCGGCAGTTTTTGATGTCTTTAGAAATGAAACTGACAGAAAGTAAAAATCTCAATTCAGGCAAATATAATAATTTCCACTTGTGGTGAATTTTGGACATTTCTTAAACTCCAAAATCAAAGACTATTTGTGAATAAACTGAAGGCAGGCTTAACTATAAATAAAATTAATGAAAAAATACTATAATTAACACGGTGACAGATCTGAAATATCCAGCACTAATGATTCTACCCAATGAACCTTGACAGACTTGGACTGGACAGTATGGAAGACTTACCCATTCTGACAACAGGGCAGGATTTCTTACACTCTTGACGACATCTTTTAGGTTTACATTTGTCATTGCTGACAACCGCAATACGTGTCAGCTTGTCAGCCATTATGAAAGAGTGTTTCACAACTCAACCTTGGAAAATAAATGAAAAGAAACAGCATCACCCTCATATCATGATTTATACAATAGTTTCAAAAGGCAAGCTGAGGCGAGAAATTTATCGACTGTGTAGTAAAAGGATTGACTCCTGCAGCCTGCATCATTCTGTCTTCTTTAAAATTCTGATGACTCTATTATTTTTGCAATTTGAACAGAAGGCCCTATGTTTCAATAGGAAATGTAATTTTTTTAGTTTTTTTTATGCATTTTTATGAAAATCGAAGTTCTGTACATTCACAATATTAAATGTAGTGCGCTGCGATGATGACCATTTTTAGTTTCAACGAAATTTGATGAAAAATACTGCACAACGAATGTGTTTAAAATGATCAGAAAATCAAAGATACTCTGGTACTCTGGTCTGGTACCACATGCACAAAACAGTGGGAGTCCCACCAGTGGGTACCCAGCTACCCGTCTTACATGGCAGGATGACCGTAATACCATGTTAAAATTCTGCTAAATCCACTTTGAAAGTCTGCCAAATCAATGTTCCATTGTGCAAGGGTTTGTTTCAGGGATCATTCAGTTGTAAAAAAATGAAGCTTTTTCAAACCAAACGTCCTATATTTCTCTATCTTGTTCTTTTTTATCAGAAACACCAATCTACATACCGGTAATTCTGCTGAAAAAAAAATTCTGCTTAATTTTCTGTGCAACTCATTTTTTGTATGCATATTTTTCGTGAAATTTCATGTTCAAAGTTTGATAAGCAAACGTGTGCAAACGAATCTGGAAATTTCACGAAAAATAGACATCTGAAAAAGGCAGCACTTTCTGATTAGCCTATAAAAAGGGTGAGTATAGGCCTAATGAGTATGCTTCTATTAAAACTAAAGCAAAAATAAACAACAAACTAAGCCTAAATGTGAAAATCAAAATTGACAAAGTTCTACATGTTTTTGTACATGTTCCAACTAAAATGTGGCCTTTATTTACGGAGGTAGTCCAGTAAATTGGCCACATTTATGGGGCTAATCTATCGGCAATTTGCACTGTGCAGCTGCACTCGCTACGAACTACTACCCCGGCGGTCATTGGCGGTCATGACGCGGACCGTCCCAACTATAGTTGGGACGATCCCAACTATAGTTGTGTTCCTTCCTCCATGGTTGGGGCGTAACATACCCATGGAGGAATCCTCCATATAGCCTACCCAATCAGACGCCCAAAATTTAGCAATCACTGAATCAGTGTGTGTCCGCAAACTGGCATGACTGGGCAACATAGCTACACACGTCATGCGGAAGCATACGTCAACAACATTGTCATGGACCTGGTCAACATAACATGCATAATTATATAACAAAACGTAACTGAATAACTGATTTATTATGTATAATAATTATTAAAACATTACTTATGTGGGGACAAGACATTTGAATAACTTACCCGCCGTATGTTAGAAAAGATCTCACGAAGTTGCAATGGCGGGATATGGGAGAAATTCCACATGTACGGTGAGGTGAAATAGCGCCCTCTATCGACAATTAAAGATTGCGCAATAATGTGAAAAGAAAATGTGGTTCATCATCGTGGGCGGAGCTTTAACTCTAATGAAAAAGGGGTTCCCCCAGTAGCATATCCAGCTTTTGATGTCGGGGGGTGGGGGGGGGGGGGGGGGGGCAACCGCACATCTGCGCCGAAATGTAAACATGTTTTTTCTCCGGACACTTGTTCTCCGTAAAATCAAGGAGGCGGGGGGGGGGGGGGGGGCTGGTACCCATATCTTCCAAATGACCATTATTATGCATACTGCAAATTATGCCCATTTTCACGGCGCATTGTAATGGTTTTTGAGCGGGTTTTTTTTTTTTTATTGATGTTGGAACTCTCTAACCATCTATTGAAATAATTACTGAAACAAATAGCCTAGGCCTATTTGTCATAAAAAAAAAACACGCCGGGGAGGCAGAGTGCCCCCTCTGCGCCCCCCCCCCCCCTCTCTCGGTCATCGAGTGACGAAAAAGTATGAAACTCGGTGCATCATAGAACAAAAGTATGTTTCGAAAATAGATAACTTAGTGTTTCCGTTTATCTGGAATGGCAAAACAGACAAAATTTCAATAAAAACAATGATTCGCAATTTAAACGAAGGTGGTCTTAACCTAACTGACTTCCAATCTCATAATATAGCATAATATAATATAAATGTAACTGGGTATTTAAATTGTTAAACAATAAGATTGGGAAATGGAAAATCCTTTGCAATTTTTTTTAAACTCATGTTGCCCAGACCTTTCAGTCCTCAATATGAATTTTTAAAAAGCAAAGTGCTGTTCAAGTATTACATTAAACCTTCCACAATTTTATAAAGAGTTAATATTTTGTTGGCAGGAACTAAACTCAACAAAGACTGTACAAATTGATTTACAGCCAACTAATATAAAAGCACAAATACTGTGGGGTAATAACTATATAAGGTATTTTTGAAAAAAAGCCATTGTATTTAAGCAACTGGATTAAATCCAACATCATTTACGTTAATGACCTTCTGACCGAAAATGGTGAATTGTCAATTGAGTATATCAGAGACAAACTAATTAAGAAACATAACTGGTTAGCAGAAATGTACACATTAAAGAAGGCCATACCAAAAGAATGGTTGAGAACCCTAGCAAATAATAAAAACAAAACTCCCTTTGAAAGGCAGGTATACGTCAATGTGCTTTAAGCAGTTTAGAAAATATTACAACTAAAGAAATATACAAGGTTTTAATTGACGAAAAGAGTAAAACGCCAGTTAGTCACAAGCGCTGGGAAGATGTACTAAATGAAGAAATACAGTGGAATTCTGTGTGGAAACACAACATTATGAATATAAAAGAAGCTAAGTTAAGAAACTTTAATTACAAATTTCTACACCGCATACTACCGACCAAAAACTTATTGTATAAATGGAAAATTGTAAATAATCCGTTGTGTTGCTTATGTAACGAGATTGATGATTACAATCATAGTTTCGTGACACGTGAACATACATTAAACTTTTGGAATGAATTTGCTCAGTATTACCAAGCGATAACAAAACATTATTTTGAATTGCCAAAAATGTTTAATTTAGTAACAAGCCTTGATTTCGAATTTGAAATAAATTTGATTATAACAGTAGCAATGTATTCCATATTCAAAGTAAGATTAAAGACATATCAAGACAATAAGTGGATCAACACTTTTGACACTTTCATTCGAGAACTTTACTGGAGAGCTAAATTACAGAAGAAAAACAAAGTCTTCTGGAATAAGTTTTTGTAACATGTTATTTTAATTAATGTAATACATGTATAATGTAACTATGTATTAAGTACGTACGTTTTTCTAAAAAATGTAAACAATGTTGCGAGAAATAAAAGCGCTAGACGCAATAAATGAAAAAAGAAAAAAAGAAGAAAAAAAACAACTTATTGTGAAAATACCCAAGAAATTGCATGGCATTTTACTCGAAGGACGGTAGTTCTTCTCAGTAGTATTCAATTTTAACCAATCATTTCTTTCTCAGCTAACAATCTGCACAAAAATATAAAAGAAAGAAATGCAATTGCCCCCGAACAGATTACATAATTATGAAAAAGATGTCGATTTTGTTTTCAAAAGGTAGTTAGTCTCTATAATCTCAACTCATTTAATTCCGACAAAATATTAAGATTTCGCTATAACGTCGAAGATGCTTTTTAAGAATTAAAAAAAAAATATGGGAAACACAATTCTGCTGGTTGTGACCATGGTGAGTTGAAAGATTTATAACGACATTACATTTGTGAAAATTTGACAGCATGCATGGAAGTTGGCATACAAGTGGGTATCCGACAACATGATAGTTACACTATAGTGTTAGTTTTATACATATATTACTGATACAATAATAGTCCAGTTAGACCTTAAAACGACTTCAATCAAAATTATAATGAGTAACAATGAGTAACATTACTTCTCAGTAACAAAGAAAAGCTAACCAACAAGAAAGTCTTCTTTTGAACAATCAAAGTTAATCATCCTTATTAATAACCAATTGTAGCCAATTAAAGCATATTAAGGAATGACCAAGTGGACTTTTTTTTTCGAAAAAAAAAATCGGAGATATAATGGGCCATTATTATCGACTCGGACCAGTTAAGTCATGATTCCCTCTCTCTTCAGTCGTTCGAACAGCTTCTTCATGGCGTGTTCGATGGCTCCCTGCCTGCTCTTATAATGTTTAGCCTTTTCGCTGATCCCGCTCATGACGTCCCATGCCGTGCCATCATACACCCAGGGTTCTTTCAAACTATGCACGCGCCCCTTGGCACTGTATTTGATTACACGATCTGCAATTGTCACCTGCAATTAAATGTGATAATAATTTCAATAATACAGGAGTTTGAAAAGAAAATGACATGATTGGGAGATACACAAGGTTTCTCTTTATCTGTGACTCCTTCACTTGCCACTCTTTCCTTTGCGAATTCAATGACTATAATCTAACCATATAATTATCGGCCTACCTGTCCCTCCTCATTGACTGTGCTGTTGACGAATTCCACTATCGCCTTGATGACATTTGGGTCGAGGATCGCATTTGCCATACTGATTGGTATCTGGCAAGAAAAACAGGATACTAAACAAATTAATTAATGATCGTCATCCATGAAAGACGTCAACATTTTCCTCATTATCAAGAGGCACAATAGAGACATGATGTCATTTGCACGTCTTTAGTTCCCAATAAAAGAACACTGTAAAGAATCCAACCTGATCTCAGATGCTCACGTCCCAGACGACAGGTTTTTTTTTTTAAATCCTGATCACTGTCTTGCCAAGATATGTTGAATGAAGATGGAATTGTCTTCTTTCGATGTTCAGTACCGATATAAGGACGGCTTACACTGACGTGCCTTTTTATAGCACTGTTCGCCCGTGACTCAAAAGTGGAAATTTTACAAAGATGTTTTGAAATAGGCCTACTGGCAAGGAAATAGCAGGGACTTCCCGGATCCCGTCTGCATGCCGCAGCCGGGCCGGAAAAACCCAAAGGTCTTGAATTCTGGGAAATCAGCAGTGCACCATTGTACTTAAAATTATGTTAAATTATGTTTTGGAAGTTGAGTTTAGGAGCCAGGGCTCGAAGTGAGAAAGAGTATGCTAATTATGACCCCCCCCCCCCACCACCCCATCTCTTGAAGTAACTAAAGATGGAATGCCCCATTGGAGATTATACAAAAGTCTCGATCCGTATCAATTTGCCCCTAGTTCTGAATGTACAAAGCGGTACATATGAAGCAATACAGATGGAATATACATTTTTTGTTCATACTAAAATAGCAGCAATAGGCCTACGTGCGGAATAATAAAACCATACATGATCTAATTACACCCTTCACCTTCGAACTCAATGTGAGAAGTTTAGCGTATTTTGAACGCATTACGTCAACGACCTAATGGGGAAATCCCCGGGCTGTAACATTCTCTCTTATCATTGGAGGGGTGACAAACAAAGACACTCGAAAACATTTACACAATTTTTGCTTTAGCAGTGCCAAGTTTAATTTCAACTCTTATTCATAAAGTTTGAAAATGCTGTGCAGTTTTATAAAGGTTAGGTGGGAACAAGTATAATTTATTATTAGTGCTTGGAATACACGTATACAATACGGAGTAGTGCGGGCACAATGTCACATTACAGAATTAGTAGATATGAGAAATAAGCTTACACATGTAAATACAAAGACAAATGACAACAAAAATACGAAATAGTCAAAGAAATAAACAATGACTTGTGACCTGACTTGGACTTGCAAAAATGACTTGCTGCCACCTCTGAACATTACATTTGTGAAAATTTGACAGCATGCAGGGAAGTTGGCATACAAGTGGGTATCCGACATGATAGTTACACTATAGGGTTAGTTTTACATATATTATTACTGATACAATGATAGTCCAGTTAGACCTTAAAAACGACTTCAAATTCAATCAAAATTATAATGAGCATACTTCTGAGTAGCAAAGAAAAGCTAACTGGCCAACAAGAAAGTCTTCTTTTGAACAATCAAAGTTAATCATCCTTATTAATAACTCACTGTAGCCAATTAAAGCATATTAAGGAATGACCAAGTGGGCTTTAAAAAAAAAATACAATTGGAGATAATGGGCCATTATAATCGACTCGGACCAGTTAAGTCATGATTCCCTCTCGCTTCAGTCGTTCGAACAGCTTCTTCATGGCGTGTTCGATGGCTCCCTGCCTGCCCTTATAATGTTTAGCCTTTTCGCTGATCCCGCTCATGACGTCCCATGCTGTGCCATCATACACCCAGGGTTCTCTCAAACTATGCACACGCCCCTTGGCACTGTATTTGATCACACGATCTGCAATTGTCACCTGCAATTAAATGTGATAATAATTTCAATAATACAGGAGTTTGAAAAGAAAATGACATGATTGGGAGATACACAAGGTTTCTCTTTATTTGTGACTCCTTCACTTGCCACTCTTTCCTTTCCGAATTCAATGACTATAATCTAACCATATAATTATTGGCCTACCTGTCCCTCCTCATTGACTGTGCTGTTGACGAATTCCACTATCGCCTTGATGACATTTGGGTCGAGGATCGCATTTGCCATACTGATTGGTATCTGGCAAGAAAAACAGGATACTAAACAAATTAATTAATGATCGTCATCCATGAAAGACATCCAGACAATTCTAATTAGCTATTTCATTCCATTTGCTCATAAGACGTCAACATTTTCCTCATTATCAAGAGGCACAATAGAGAACTGAAGGCATCAGCACATCATTAGTTCCCAATAAAAGAACACTGTAAAGAATCCAACCTGATCTCAGATGCTCACGTCCCAGACAACAGTTTTTTAATCTTAAATCCTGATCGCAGTCTTGCCAAGATATGCCAAGAATGAAGATGGAATTGTCTTCTTTCGATGTTCAGTACCGATATGGACGGTTTACACTGACGTGCTTTTTTATAGCACTGTTCGCCCGTGACTCAACAGTGGAAATTTTACAAAGATGTTATGAAATGCTGGCAAGGAAATAGGGACTTCCCGGCCTGTCCCGTCTGCATGCCGCGGCCGGGTCGGAAAACCCCAAAGGTCTTGAATTCTGGGAAATCAGCAGCTAGTGCTCGATTGTACTTAAAAATATGTTTAAATTATGTTTTAGAAGTTGAGTTTAGGAGCCAAGGCTCGAAGTGAGAAAGAGTATGCTAATTATGACCCCCCCCCCCCCCTCCACCACCACCAAGATGGAATGCCCCATCGGAGATTATACAAAAGTCTCGATCCGCATCGATTTGCCCTTATAGTTGTGAATGTACAAAGCGGTACATATGAAGCAATACAGATGGAATATACATTTTTTGTTCATACTAAAATAGCAGCAATAGGCCTACGTGCGGAATAATAAAACCATACATGATCTAATTACACCCTTCACCTTCGAACTCAATGTGAGAAGTATAGCATATTTTGAACGCATTACGTCAATGACTTAATGGGGAAATCCCCGGGCTGTAACATTCTCTCTTATCATTGCAGGGGTTACAAACAAAGACACTCGAAAACATTTAAACAATTTTTGCTTAAGCAGTGCCAAGTTTTATTTCAACTCCTATTCAGCAAGTTTGAAAATGCTGTGCAGTTAAAGGTTAGGTGGGAACAAGTATAATTTATTAAGTGCTAAGTGGAATACACGTTTACAATACCGTATACGGAGTAGTGCGGGAACAATGTCACATTACAGAATTAGTATAAGAGAAATAAGCTTATACAAGTAAATACAAAGACAAATGACAACAGAAATACGAAATAGTCAAAGAAATAGGGAAAGAGAAACAAAACATTCATTTGATTTCTAAGAAAAAAGATGAATATTAATAAATAGCTGTTTGCCTTTTCCTCATATAAATCAACACGTGTGAACCACATCATTACATATCAGTAAAATACAGGATGTAAAACCTAAGTGCGTAATGATATTACTTGTGGGTCTTCTTTGTAAAACTTAAACGATAAGATGCTTCACAAATGCAAAGGCACTTTAAAACTTGCACGAAATTTACACCGAATTTAAGACTTGTAAGATTTTAAGATTTTGCTTCGAACAATATCCGATAAAATATCGTACAAACAGTCATCTTAAAACCTATCACCTTTTACAAGCACAATTCGGAATCGGAACCCATAAACGAGCAAATAGTGTCAGGTTACAATAGGCTTCTTGCCAGGGACGGCTTAGTTTTTGGAAAACAAATTATAAAAACCGAACACATCTTTCTTGGAAATGTTAACTTCTGGAACCAACATGAAAACAAAGACAGATTTTAATAAAATGCAATGTAGTAAGTTATTTACATAATATAATGCTACCTGCGAGATTAATTTTTATCACATAAGCTCAGCCATAACTTCGGCTTGCATTCAATGACCACATTCAAAGATGTAAAGCACACAAACTGAATTACACAGGAACAGTTGCACAAGGTTAAATTTTACTTGGCGAATAATACTGTTGCACATGTAATCTTTTCTGCTCAATGTGTTTCCTGTGAGCACAAAATCAGTCAATAAAATAATGGTTACTTCAACCTATAACTGTGAAAGAAATACAAACCTATAGCACAGTTATGCAGTATTATTTCAAGACAAAGAACTCAAAAGTAGTAGCTTTCTTTTGGTTGTGTAATAAATAGATGTCATGAGTAAGGCACTTTTTGTTTTCCAATGGTTTAAACATTGTTCAAATAAACAGTAACACTTAATTTAGTTTTAAATAAGAGTATCAAATATGTGTAAATCGTTAGGTTATCAAACAATAACTTCCTTTGTACAAATGAAATCAGTTGTCAACCATTATAAATTATCTCACAAAAATCGCTTTTCATTTCACTTTGTAATCTCACTGATTTGTATGATTTTTTTTTTAAATATAATTTATGAAAAATCATGGGAATATCAAAATATAATTAGAAAACCACTTTTCACTTTTTCAAAAATAATACACATGTATAGTTTTATATACTTTTCCTTAGTGAAGAAAGACAACATTTTTTGTTTAACTTTAGTTGCATACAACTTTGATTTTGAAAAAAAAAACCCAATATCAATATCAGAACAAGATCAACAAGTTACATACATGTATCAACATAAAGAATTAGAAATTTCAAATATAATTGAAACGATTTGGCAATATACTGCAAGTAAGCAACACAAAAACGCAGTAATATTAAGCAGGACATTTTTAATAAACAACGCTCCAAAGAGTTTTAAGTTACAACTGTGGATCTGCTTTTAAAACAACAAAATTCTGATATAGATATGTCTGCAGATTAATAAAAACATTTTTTTTAATCACAAACTCATGAAAGTTTGGTAAATTTTGCAACAGCAACTTTACAACACAATTCAAACAGCTTAAAAAGAATCTCCCAGGTATAATATCTTACATTAATTTAACAGGCTCAAACGTATAGAAATAGTAATTAACAACCAAATTTAGTTGTTCATTTTACAAATAATTTGAAAATTGCTGCTTATAAATCTAATGACTGCATCCCTACTAACATTGACAGAGCTGTTCATATTTCAACATACATATCACAAAATAATTTGAGTTTAGATATATATTCCTTTATCTTTTAACAATAAGTTTGGTTTCGAAAACACAGCTCATTAACAAATTTAAACTTTTTAAACAATTCTTCTAGGAACATGTAGCCAATATGAAAAATCATGGGCAATTTACATCACACAGATAAAAGAGAATTTTTTGAAGGAAACAAATGTTTAATATGAGAAGTACATGTATGCTTCAATTTAAACAAACATTTCTGTCTTTGGTTCACTGCCCCTAAACCACAACAGAACTGCACCTTTCAAAATTTATTCAAATGCCTCACAAAATATTTTGTTAAATACTTGTTAATAAACTTGCTGTGATTTTCAATCCCCAGATGGGTACTATTATTCAAAAGAAAAGTGTAGATTTCAAAATGATGTTATACTGCTACCTTAATGTCTGTTTTCATTTTTCGGAATATACAACTTGTCATGGTTGCTGCATCGTACACTGCCATCGACAATTAATGTCATAAAGAATATTTCTGAACTTGAGTAGCATTTCAGCTGAGTCATTTTTCTAACTTAAATTTCACCTCCTTACAATGTATTTCTTGGAGAGCTTCAATTCATAAAATATTCTTTTGTAAATTTCAGTAGTAAAAATGATAAGATTGAATGCATATTAATGATGTATTTTAAATTGCTCTCTTTCTTTTTGATTTAGAAGTTGCAGATATGTTTGTAATTCATCAAAAACAAAGTTTAGAAACAATTTCAAAACAATGGGACTAATCTCGAAGAGTAAACTTAGCTGCATTTGAACTTTCTCAGCCAAAACATTTTATTATAAAAATAGAAAGCATATATTTTCTGGATTTATTTTTAGTCACAGTTTAACCACAACAATCAAAGTAAAGAAACTTCTTCTAAACCCCAAATATAATCTGTTCTTTTTGATAACGACTTCCTGACGTAATCAATTAAAAATAGTGTTCTTCTTTTCGTAACAATTGCATATTGCATTTACTGTCTTTAATCTTTGAAATCTTATTAAAAATAATTTTCTTTTGAAAATCTCTTTTGTAAATTATTTAATAAAACCTGTTTACCCTGTTCGGGAACGTTTTTCATTTCTCTTTCCATCAATCTCTACAGCATCTCAAAAAAATGAGTCAAAAATACTTTCTTAGTTTTGATACTGAACAAAAAATAACATGTCTGTGGTAACCGTTCATCTACACCACTCGTTAAAAAAAAAAAAAAAAATTAGAAATTTGTATCCTCTACGAGAAAAGGCACTGTCACTTATAAAATTACACTTTTTTTTAACTGAAGTAACAGTAATAATGTATTTCAATTTACATGGACTTGAATACAGGTGTACTCACTTGTTTGCAGTTAAAAATGACTCACACAGTAAGCACTAAACGGAAAGTTGTCAGATCTTCTAACTTTGAACTGTTTGATGTGCTGGATTGCTATTAGTTATAACAGAACTCACATTACTGTTGTCAGTACAACAGTGGTTGTGATTAACTGTCCAGTTATTGTCCTATAACATTTTGACTGGTATTCAAGGGTATGCCTGCTATATTATCAAAAAGCTGAGTAACATTTGTGTTACAAATTTTAAATGGCATTACTTCATTTTATGAGAGCACAGTAGATTTGCAATGCCACGAACCACTTTTCCATCAGCCCAAAAAAATATCTAAAGGATAAATGTTGTTATAACTGAATCATGACAAGGGAGTGCTTCCTCAAAAAAACGTTGACCTTAAAAAAAGACACTGGTAGATTACCCTGTTTACAATTTGTTATGATTACAAAACAGAAGTAAGAATTGTTGCATATTTCCATACGTTGCACCAAAAATGTCAGAAATAAATTAATGTTTATTTCACCATTAGATGCATGAATTAACACTAATATAACTGACAAGAATTGAAAACAAACAAGAAATCCTCATGAATGTTCTTTTTGGTCATTTGGTTTCAGTGAGAAGTGGGCATATACAATGCTGGTGCTGAAGAAGGTGCATTGCTTGTCATAAAGGTGACTGGAGGGCTTTGGCCATAGGCTACAGTGGGTACCTTAACTGGGCTGCCATAGGGAAATGCAGGTTGCCACTGACCTTGTACTGGGTACTGATAGGTGCCTAGGTTCCCGGGTGGTGGGGGTGGAGGTGGAGGTGCTGGGTGGTAATTCATATGTGGGTAGGGCTCAGATTGGATGGCCGGTGGATTAGCGTGAGGACTGAAGAAAGTGCTGACAGGTGCTGGTGCTTGCAATTGCTGCTGTTGCTGCTGCGGAATGTGCTGATTGGCTTGCGAATCAATGTAATACGGCTGCGTTGGTCCTGTTTGAGACAACACAGGGGGTTGAATAGTGATATTAGTATTGTTAAGAACAGGAAAAGGTGACATGGGAAAGACACCTGGACTAACAATATCAAAGGGTGATTTGCGTCGGGTTGGAGTAACAAGATTCCTAGGTGCTGGCCCTGACGAGGCCTGGATCTCTAAAGGACAAGCAGGAAGACAGGATGAAGGTGATTGAGACCCCGGAATGTGAGAAGGAATATTATTGACACTTCGATCTTCTGATCTTGGAGTAGGGATTCTAAGAGGCATGCTGGGTCTCATTGGGGTCACAAACGATGCTGGTTTGCTTCTAGCGTTGGCTTCAGTATCAGGTTTAAACTCTGACACCACGTGGTTGTCTGTATTCTGTTGTTGCTGTTGCATTGGCTGGCCATTCATACACCTCAGGGGGACATTTCTGGGGCTCTGTCTGCCATTCTGCTCTCGTTGTTCGTGACCTGGGAGAGAATTAGAGGGTTGTGTACTGCCAAGAGAGAAACCCACATCCCGCGGTGGGAAAGTAAAGTACACAGCATTCACTGGCAGTGGAAGGAATGGTTGTCTCTGCTGCTGTCGCTGTTGCTGCTGTTGCTGCTGTTGCTGCTGTTGCTGCTGTTGCTGCTGTTGTTGATGTAACACTGGTTGTCGAATAACATTTGGGCAAAGCGTACCATTTTGCTTCACACCAGACGGACTTAATGTTGGCTGCTGAATGGTATTGACAGTCATACCTTGGAGTCCTGGGAAGCAATGTTGGTACAGAGTGAACACCACAGACGTAAACAGGACAATACAGCACATTCATTGATAATAGTTATTCCCGTCTAATCAACTATTCCAGACCAGCCTACCAATGTTGCTTGCATCACCAATTTTTAAACACTGTGCATATTGTGAAGTACAGCAGAGATCCACGAAAACCCCTTTTTTTTATGTTTCACCGAAGGTCAACTGAGGACATATTCAGAGTAATTTTGGCACACAGATGCAAAGTATGCAACAAATCAATCACATGTATACCGATGATACGTGACACAAGTTACTCCTCATTTAAAAAAGAAAATGAAATTTTTAATTTCTGTACCCAAATTTAAGCTGTGTTGATGGAAAGAATGCCTGCTTACCATTGGGAGTGCAGGATCTCTGACGCATGCCTTCTTCTGTGTCATCATCCAGAGCGTTGTTATTAGCAGACATAGCGCCCTCTGGAGAGAAGTGATTGCTAGCTGACGATGTCTGCATTGCAGGTTGCTGCTGTTGTTGAGCCTGTGACACTATGGGACAAGACGACGGGTCTTGAGGTGGATGGAATGACTGCTGCTGTTGCTGCTGCTGCTGCTGCTGCTGTTGCCACTGGTGCATTTGAAGAAGGCAGAGACGATGGTGGTACTGCAATAAAAAGAAAGAAAAATTTTTAATGGATTTATGATTTGGGTAGTGTCTTAATCTTTCATTTTTGCTCACATGCCAGACAAGCAACTTTTTGTCTTACGATACATCTTGTAGTGAATTGTTAAGAAACATAATTTGTTAAAAATAACCAAAGGCAAAAAGAGTTGAACTGGGAAAATGACTGTACAAAGAGTAATTCTACCCAGTTTTTATCGTGGTATTTTTTAGGAACAGAAGCATTCAAGACTTACCTCTACTCCCAAGTTGTAGTAATAGCGCAAAGTAGACACATCTGTAGAAAATTTAAAAACCAATTATGTCAGTTCAAATATTTCAAACAAATACAAATGCAATGGTTTTAAAATGTAGCTGATTGAATAAAGAGAGATTTGTACCTGACAAAGGTAGATCGTAGCCGTTTGGGTCTCTGGATGCTGTAGCACTAGCGTTGACCGGTCCTGTCAAATTCTCAGTAACTATGGCAGGCAAAATGAAAGCAATTTTTATTTAGTCAAGATTTTAAACTAATTCTATTGCAACAAATTCTTAGAAGATGTTTGCCTTCACTGACAAGATTTTAAAGGTGTTGCAAGTTTTCTCAAATCCAATGAAAACAGACATAATATGTTAGAGTGGGCTCCGATCCATGACCTTCTGATAAGAGTGAGGTAGACCTACTTGGAATGACCAGCGGATAGAGTGGTATCCATCCAGGCAGAGTAGGCATTGGTGCATTATAGCTAGGTATCATGGGTACAGCAGGTGGAGATGGCGTGTTACCAGCCGATGGACAGGCGTTGCTTCCACTGGTGCTCAGGGTAGAGTTAGAAGAATGCCATTTAGGTGTGCCTGGGGATTGGTTGGTGTGCGGGGTACCAGCATTCTCTCTGGATGGCTGGTGGGGTGGTTGGTAAACCTCCTTGTTGAGTTGCATCTGAGGAGACGCAGGCATAAAATCATCACACAACTGCTTTGTACGATGTTAAAAACATGGAAGGGAACTACAAGCAACTGCACACGACCATTTTTGAACAGACAAATGTCTTTATTACGAGCACAGCTACAGCAAACATTTGATTTTTAGATTATCTCGGTTGTGTCTCGCTTTGTTTACAAATTATGTCATCACTTTATACTTTTGGGGTCGGGGGTGGGTGTTAAGATCGTGGTGTTCTATCGTTTGAATTTAAGGTCATACCTTTCCCGAATTAGGCATCCCATGTCCGTCAGCTCTGTCTGTAACAAAAACAAAAACAATAAAAGAAAAGACGAGAAAGAGTGATTGAGACATATTTATCTTTCAAGGAACTACAATTTACATTTGATTGACATTTATAAGCTCATAAGATTAAGACATGACTTATTGTGATCACTTCATCACTAGTAAAGACTAATCAGCAGTGTTGTAGTCGAGACGGGATAGTCCGAGACCGAGACCAAGACCGAGACCTGAAGATTCGAGACTGAGACCGAGACCGAGACCGAGACCAGCCCCTTCAAGGCGGACCGAGACCGAGACCAATATGGTCCGAGACCGAGACCGAGACCGCTGATAATAAATAACAATAGTCGAAATAAAAAACAAGACACGTTATTATAGTTGAAACTTGTAACCTTTCTATTCACAAAGATTTCAGACCAAAATTTTGACCAGTGACAGTGTTGACAAATTGATACATGACACGTTATTTGAGCAAAAAGTAGTTATACTTAAGAAATATGGGCTGCACCCAGTCTTGACAAAAGTAAAAGTTAAAGGTAGATGTTTCATCTGTTATAGGAACTCGGATCCTAAACTCAACAGTCACCCCTTGGTTTCAGCTATGACTTCTAACGGATATTTAAAGATGCAATTTTAATTTTACATTGTGCCTCTTTTTTCCTAAAATAAATATAGGACTTAACTTCTAACAAGACTTGTGTACTTGATTTTAAAAAATGGGAGCTAGAAAATGTTGAATCAATTTTTAAATTTCTGTCATAGAATGTGGACTTGTACATGTAGACCCGTACCCACAAGTTGCGAGGTGGTAGCCAGAATGTGCCAGATATGGATTTTTAATTTTTTTCTGAGCGGGATTTTAATTTTTGAGGAATAATGGAGTACTTCAAACTGAGCAGCCAGAAAATGGGGTCTCATCATACACTCTCATGGCAACAGTGAGTGGTAACTGGTAAGAGTGTGTGAGTTCAATGCTGGAAAATCAGGTAGAAAAATTTACTTTTTCTTCAAAATACTGTCCCAAATTAAAGAGATCATGGTGTGGGGTCGAAAATATAACTCATTTGAAGCACCTCATTTATTATCAGAATACAAAATGCAAGTGATTACGCCCACAGGGGTGGGCTAAACTACACAATCCCCGAAAATGGTTGACTCTTATTGCATAAATTGTTACAAGTTTATTCTTTGCTTTATGTGCCCGACTTAACAGATAAATGCCAAACTTGTTCCAAATCGTTCAGTGACTGGTACTGCTGCAGCTTTACATGTACTTTGGAGACTTTCCAACGTGCAGTCGAGTCCAAACCGACCGCGATATATAACAAGCTTGATCTACGGGCTAGCAAATGTTTTAACTATCAATTGTACTGAACGAAGTGAACAAAAAGTAATCGATCGAGCTGTAAAAGCTACATATTGCCGGTCTCGACCCGAGACCAGCCAAAATATCGAGACCAAGACCGAGACCGAGACCAAGACCGAGACCACAGCTCCCGAGACCGAGACCGAGACCAGCAAAAAGTGGTCTCGAGACCGGTCTCGAGACCTACAACACTGCTAATCAGTTATGTTTAGTTTACCATTGTCATGAAGAGACATGTCTTGAAATTGTCCCTGCATGCCGTCACCATGAACAGGTCCTCTACCTATCAACCAAAACAAAAACACAGATAAACATCATGGTTAAAAGAGATCCAAGTTTTGTTTAGGTTTTAAGAGAGCCATTTAAATGACCCCTTCACTGACATAATTTCGTTAACACTGCATACTCAGTGTTGTCCGAGGGGGAATTCACAAGCTTACTCGGGTGGGACTCGAACCCATGTCCTCCTGCTGACTAGTGCAGATGTCTTAACCACTCACAATGAGCTTGCCCAGATCGGCTGGATGGTTCAAATCTGGTAGCAACTAATCACTATTTGCGCATGAAACTTTTTCTTCTGGTTATCTATGCACTTTTAAAAACAAAATGATCACATGAATGTTAAACTTAGCATGCTCACCTTCAAACATAGCCACGGGAGATGGTGTATTGATTCTCTGGATGGGAGAGGCACTCTTCCTGCCCTCCTTCCTGAATTTATCCCATAGATTGACTGGACTTGCCGAGTTGATGCGACCAGTTGAGTGCCCCTGTCAAATGTTTATAATCATTATAAATGATCAGGTTATGGAACATGCTGATGAATCTCGCCAATTTATGGTTCACATACTATTATACATGTAAATACGTTTTGTCCTATTTCCTTGTTTTACATCACACTTTTCACACAAAACTTAAAACTTCTTCTCTTTATGCTGGCTTTTTCCAACAACTGAGGTTTTTTCTTCATTTACATCTAGACCGGTGCCTTTGAATGGCTTCCAGAGAAAGTGCGCGTCATAAATTTGTGTTATTATTATAATTAAGCTGTGACGAGTGATCACGGGGTGACATCAAATGTACCATTTCGTACATGATCAACAGATGTCAAAACAATGTTCATTCCTAATACACTTCCACCTAATCTGACTCACAGAACATGAGTAAGCTCTTCCATTTCCAGCTTAAGTGCACTCTGAAACAGACATCCAATAGTTCATCTCAACTTAAATGTCACTTAGTCTAGACACAAAGGAAGGGTCGAGACAGCTGCAAGGTGAGAGATTTCCTCTAACAGACTTTTATTTGCATGAGTGATTGTACTCATTTCTCAGCCTTCAACATACCGGCAGAGAAGGGAAGGATGCAGGGTCTCGTTCTTGAAGTTCAAAGAGTGCCAAGGATTCCTCCAATGCTCGTTTCTCATCATACTCCTCCTGAGACATGGCATTGTGCATGGTGTGATTACAACGACCACCCCCTCTTCCTCTTCTTTACCAAAATTGGGGGGAGAAAAAAAAACATATTTGTTTGATTACTTTATCACTATTACTTTAGGCCCCCCCAAAAAAGTCTCCGGTTTCTGGTATGGAGCTTGCCCAAAAAGTGGTGCAGTGACGCGGCTTTTTTTTTTTTTTTTTACCTGATTTCTTTGCTTGAAATGTCGGCTGATGACTGCAAATGGTGCCCGACTAAACTTAGTGCAAATATATGGGAGTCCAGAGAGGCCACATAAAGCTTATTCTCGACCATAACCCAATCTAAAAACACGTTAAAATTGTGCAGCAGCAGGATTCCAGTCAAACCAGTGAGTTTGGCGGTTTTGAGACATCATTTTTCATTGAAATTTTTTTTTTTTCATTTTGCCGATGCCCATGGCTACGGCGACGCGCGCGCATACCAGAAACCGGAGACTTTTTTTTTTGGCCTTATCAAAATTAAGAGTAATATGTGAAGTGAGGTATGGATGAATAAATTATCTTTAACCGAGTTGGCAGAAACCTGTTGTCCAGAGGTTCTAGGTCAAAGTTTTGGTTGGATAATATTTTCAAGGTTCATCTTCATTGGGTTCTTACTGGTAAGGAGAAGTTGATCTTGGGTGCTGCCTGTCTTGTTGCATCAATGGATGCACGAAGGATGGATGCTGCTGTAGCTGCTGCTGCTGGTGACACGGCTGATTGTAACCTGGATAATTGTAAGGAAAATGAAGAGGTGAAGAATTGTGGATTACATCAGGGGTGGGAATCTTTGTTCTGTATCTTTTTGGGACAAGTAAGATGTTCACAATAGTCTTCACATCTCGGCGTTCTTAAGGTAATCCGATGACTGGGATCTTCATCAGGAATCAGTTTAGGGTTTTGCAAACTATCTAAGATGCAACTCAAATGCAAACAGTTTATGTCCCTGCATAAATTACACATCCTTACCTGATTCGTTGTTCACTCCATTGGCATATTTCTGGAAGTACCCATTTAGATTTTTGTAGCTTCGGACTCCCAGAGGGCTCCAGGGTCGACGAGGACTCAGTGACTCCACTGGTTTCAGATTCTTCATTGGAACGGTATGCCTTTAAACAAGAAATACCAAAGAAACTTGTCAGAAACAAACTAGTTTTTCAAACGTCCAAGGAATAATTACACAAAATAGTGTACTGCTCAGTATCAATTACTTTTTTGTTAATCTTGCTAAGCATGTGTTCAACGTGTTCTGGCAACCTAAGAGTCTTTAAAACTATTAATGTTTATTCTCAACACCGATTCCAGTCTCATGTATGACTCTAAACTAACATCAGCACATAAGTCTAGATGAAAAATTGAGTTAACGCGACTTACTTTTCCCCCAGATCTTCAATGAAGACAGTGACAGGACCGTTGTTAGGTTGAACATCCTGAATGTGAGCATTGTACAGCTTCTTAGGGTCATCCAAGAATACCTATCAAGTATAAAACACATTGATATCATCTCTGAACATTACGTTAAAACTACTCAAATACATTCTCAAAATTTCTTGTAAATGAGAAGTAACACAATTATTTGCATAAATTACAATTTTCAGCAATGAATCAAAATTGATGAAAATGCACGTTTCAAAGGAATTGTACAACATCAGATTTTGGTGCGTAAATTGTGTCTTACCTGACACTTGTCACCTGGTGCATATTGCAGGACAGAAGCTACCAGATAATCCTGGTGCTGTTGTTCTGGTGGAAGGAAAAATAGAAAGAAATTAAAAAATAATGAGCCGTTTTACACAAAAATTATGCAGTACCCTCATTTTAAAAGGAATATTGTGTCAGTAATAGGAACCGCACTAAAACTTGTCTAGAGTCTTAATACCTTTTCTTGCTTCATTCCAAGCGTCAAACTCCACATTACGATAGATCTCAGGATCCAGAGCTTTAGCGACACGGTACGGAAGTGGCGGTCTCTTCTTCTCTTCATGGTATCGACCAAATCGATCTCTCCCATCCTACGAAAGAATCAGTCATACAAAGCACACAACTTGAAAAAAAAATAGGCAGGATGGACTTCTGAACCATTTTGCTTTGGTAAACCAGATTCTAATGCCACCTAGTGCAAACTGTAGATTGCATTCAGTGGACTCTTCGTGGGCTTTTCTCAGATTAGAATCTCAGGCTTTACAACTAAACCAATTGTTTCCTATTGTTTCCTACATAACCTGTCTCAAGAATTTCAGGCTAAATTATAGTATAAGAATAAAAGACTGCAAGAGTTAGACCATCCCATTTATAGGTTATTCCAATTCCTTACCCTGTCCATTCCCATGTGATCTCCATCCATGCCTCGTCCATCTCTCATTCCATCAGGGCCATAGTGGCCATCTCGCCTCATGGGTTTCTTGTTAGAGCTGCGTAGAATATCCACTGCCTCGTCAACTTGCTTGGAGAGCTTGAAGACATCTTTGTACAGAATCTCATAGATAATTGCTGTGTAAAACATGAAAATTATGCTGACTTCAGTTGTAAATTGTATATTTTGGAAATGTTTCCTGTTCCTGATAAACGTCTTTCACATTCTGCTTCTGTGGTAAATGGCAATAGGTATGTCAACTAAGAGTGCTTAGCATGTTGAACACGTTGCAACAGTGGTTAACATAATTCTTAGTCATAATATTAAAGAGTAACCAATATTTGAAGACCACATTTGTTTCACTGAATGTTTTGCCATTTAACAAAAATTCATAGAATTTACAACATTCAGGTTCACAAAAAGACAAAATGTGGCGAGTTAAATCTAATTGTCAGGATTTAGTTACAGTCCCCAAAGGCCATATCAAACAACAACACAGAGCCTTTCTACATTTATTTGAATAAAGATGAAATATGAAACATAAACACTTAATTAATTACACTGGCAGATGGCAGCATTCTCTTGAAACTTCTTGGAGAAGACACTGTCGTAGTGACTGCCATGGGAGAAGCACAGCACAATCTTTGGAACCAAAATAAGAAAAAGAAAAAGAAAAGAATTCAAAGTCTAGAAAATCAACTTGAAGACTTATCATTACCTTGCGATAAATTTATGCTTCTCTGGAATATAGCAAAATATATCTCTGCAGAAATGTTTGTCAAAGCTTGGTCCTGAAACTATCTAACTGCAATGCAAATATGACTATTGAAAAAACAGGAAAAAAAACATGAAGGGATATGGGATAGTAATACAAATGGAGTAATGTAACAAACAAAATACTTAAAAAGTGAAAATTTCATTACAATAATTTTTCCCGTTTACCTTATCTGTGAATCCATTCTGAGTGACGTTGAATGCACCAATCCCAGGCTCTTGATAGACAAAGAAGTCTCGCCTAAGTAAGTGGACACAAAACACACAAACAAAAACATTCATTTTCAATCCCCCATTCTTCAAATTGAAGTCAATTGGATTTATTTTTACTACAGGATAATGGCAAAAAAAAACCCGTTATTCCTTACTACATATTTTTTTTTCATGAGTGCATCCCACAATTTACAGAGTTTACACAAACTTACTTGTACATAAGAGACAATGCACTAATCTCCACTTGGCCAGCCCATTCCTGGAAGAGAAAAATGAGAATGAAATATTAACATTAAATTAATACATTTCGGTCTTCTCCTGAAAAGTCAAAGTTTCTGATCTCGTGCAAGGTCATATAGAAACAAATGAGAAGCAAACTAACATGACAAAACTGCAGAATTTTCCAGTCATAATTCGACAGGCTAATAAATTGCCAAGTTGTAGCACTTTTGGTTGATATGTTTATTCATCCTTACCAACTAAAATAGGTAGTTGACTCTGACTGTAATAGCAGTGACTAACTACACTCTCAAGGCTGTTTGGCATTGAGACCATTACACAATAATCATTTACCTTTGGGTCCTTTAGCTTCACAAGATGTTGGTCAAAGGGGCCCTCAACGAACTGGAAGAAAACAAACATTAAATAAGAATAAGGCTTATACCAACAATTTAAGTGATTTTCTATACAGTCTTATTTCTGTGGATAGATTTTTTTCAACTTACCGGAGCAAAGCGGTCTCTGTTATTTTCCATATACTTGACACATGCATCTCGCACTTTGAGATGGTGGGCTTGGGTGTGAAACACCTATGAATAATTAGAGAACATCACACACATGTATTAGGAAAGATTGAAGACCCAACTAAGAAAATAATACTTGTTTGAGTAAACATTCCCAGTTCTTTAATATTGACACGACAGAGACATTGTTGATAAATTTGATTTGTTTAAGAAATTAGTAAATGAAAATTCACAATTCAATGAGGTGTTGTGTAGTTACACTGAATTAGTGAATAAATTGCTACATTTCCCTAAAATAATTTTCACAAATTAATATAAATTTGTAAATAGCAAACTTTGTATTGTAAATTACGACACGTGATAGTTTTCTTTAACCGAAGTCTTCTATGTTTATTTGCTGAACTATTTATGAATTAAATTTCGTTATTTGTTGACTCTGTTGTCTCGACAAACGTAATTAATCCATGCCATGCATTTCCTCACCTGTTCTGCAACCGCGCGGAAAAGGCACGAGCCATCCTTCGCAGTGATTTTCCTGTACAAACCAATTGAAGACAAATAGTCGTCTATCGGCTCAATAATTCTCTGGAACCGACGCATTGTGACAGCTAAATATCACTAAACAAAGGACCTCATGCGACTGTCCAACACTGCCTTTCCCATGAATGAAAATTCACGGGAAACAATGAATATTTAGCAACAAAAAGGGAGAAAAATGAACTTAAAGAATGGCAGCCGACTTCCCTCAAACTGTCGCCATTTCTACTTTGTGTACGTGCGTGCGCGTTGCATGCGCGGATATTGCACATCCACATGTGGTTTTTGTTTACAGCTGATTTTCGAGCACGTGTCGTGTAATTCAGCCAGGGCGATCTCTGATTGGTTGAATTTTTTCGGCCAAGACAAGTCTTGGTTGACATTATTTATTTGACTGACCACTTGCATGCATATCAGCACTCTTTAATCGTCACATTTTCTTTGAATCAAATAGATTTTTTTTTAAGTAACAAATGAATAGAGACAAGAAAGAAAAGAAAAAGAGAACACACAATTTGTGTGGGATTTTTTTTTAAATTCTAGAACCCCGCGTTCAGTCAGCTCAGCTAAGTGAGGTCGGTAAAGCTCGCCGCACACGAATCAAATTAATTTATTATGTTTTGATTTGCTAACTTCCACCTTTTTGCCCTCCACACCTTAAGAAATTTACCACTTTTAAATCTATCCCGCAGTTAAAGGTGACCACTGCTTACCTTGCTTCCTTTCGTCCACATTAGCCCCTCCCCGCTCCCCGCGCGCCCCGCCTTAAACAGTCGGCGCTTAAGTAAGCCAGCCTCACTACAATATTACCATGCCAATGGTTAATACTTTTTTTGGGGGGGGGGAGCATCCTCCCCCCAAAAATCCACCCCTTGCCATGGTGTCCTCCAATTTGTGGAATGCAAAATGCTTTTTATATTGTTAAAAACACTTTTTGAGTGCTCCCTCCAGAAAACTGGACCTCAGCAAGGAGCATGCTAACTCAACAATTTGTGTTCCTTCCTCCATGGAACCATGGAGGAAGGAACACACAAAGAAGTTCGCAATTTGTTTTCGAAGTTGTTTAAGTTAAATTCAGCAGATTCAGTAGTGCACGCGTGCGCGCGCGTACGCGGATATCAAAAACTAATCGAACGACTGGTCAAAGTTTAGGTCAGTCTGGTACCCATCTACTAAACAAGTTTTAGAAACAAATTCGTTTAAGCGCAGCATGGTACCTATGTAATTGGTCTAGAGTCCGGCCGCCTCTAGCATGCGAGATAGGCGAGTCAATGTCTGTTGTCCAGACTAAATCACCATAACGACTAGATAGCTATTTTTGCTTGTCGGCGGAACTAAAAACGATGATATAAAATTAAAATGTGAAAATTTGACAGCCAACCAGCCTGTATTTTCTTCATATATATAACGTTTGATATTTCATCAATTTATGTATTTAATTTCTGCGTCCGACAAGGTAAGGAAACAGATGAATTTTACTGCCACGTCAATTCGTTTTTTGTGCTCTTGTCAACTCGCCCCAGGCTTTCTCGACGAAATTGCCCCCACCGCGGTAGAATAAACGCGTCTGCCCTCGTTGTTTAAGTTCTGTCAAAGACGATGTCATTTATTTTGGCGATCGTACTTCAACATGTTCAACGGGTTCCCTATCCACTTTTAAATGACTTTTACCATGTTGTCACTCACTCACTCACTGTTCTGTTGAAAATTAATCTATATTATTTTTTTTTTAAATTAAAACTAAATAAATTATTTAGGCCTAGGCCTAGTTTTAATTTAAAAAAAAAGAAAAGAAAAAAAAAAAAAACGAAAAAAAAACCTGAAAAAACCCCTAAAAAGTAGAGGAACTATGGGGCGCTAGCTGGAGTTACCCAGCCCTGAGTTTTATCATTGGGTTGTTATCTAGGGCTGGAGCGCATTTTTCTCAAAACTTGTAGTATTTGCAAAAAAAATTGGAAAATGTTCAATTTTGTCCCCGTTACACACTAATTGCACCTGCAACTCACCCCAAACTTGCCTGGAATAACCATTACACAGGTCCTTGAAGTAAAACACGATCCACGATGAAGATTCAGCCTACAATTGCAGTGAAAACAGGAGGAATAACCGCTAACTTGACAACCTTGCTGGATTGGCCAGGACCGCTATTGGTCGGTCATACTAAACAGCGTCAACACAGCGTCAACACACTCCAAAGCGTCAACACAGCGTCAACACATCCAAAATGCATTAAAATTGACAAAAGCAGTATGTAACCCATACAGTATGGACAGAAACAAGATTTGTGCTTAAAATCAATAGGTTAAACGTCTGAAAATCGCGATTTTTAGTTCAAGAAAATTGGCTCTCCGTGCCGCTCCGAAATGGCTGCCGAACACCCGCCATGTTGCCTCAGTGGCAGCGTGGACCATACCATTATTCTAAAGGGTGATAGCGTTGTACAATAAACCAACAGAGAGGGACGCGGCCGGGGTCGCCAGTGTTAAAAATATCTGCAAAGACCAAAACATAAACACAACTCACAAAATAATGATCTACCACTCCTCCGATCCTTAGTCCTCACACAGATCTGGTATCCCTCTGTCTAGTCTGCAGCAAGGCGCCCTCTGTTGTTTATGACAAGATAATGTCATTACCTACACACCCCTACTTGAAATGGTGTAGTCCAAGCTTTGTGCGAAGTCAAGATGGCGGACAACGGCCGTGCAAGTTAAGGTCATTTTTTTCGCGTGAAAATACGATATTTTTAACAACGAAATGGAAACTCAATCCAATGGAAATTCTCTTTTATTGTATGTTTCACAATTATATGCCCTTTTTGTCAATTCAGAATGTGTTTTGGATGTGTTGACGGTGTGTTGACGCTTCTGTCATGTGTTGACGCTGTGTTGACGCTGTTTAGTGCGACCCCTATTGGTTTGTGCACAAAAAAAATTGTGTACAATGAATGGCGGTCGATTAACAGGCACAGAGAGCGATCGCTGTCAACTACTCGTTTTTTGCCGGCTGCGCTGGCTGTTGGCGCATGACGTCACGCGGAAGCGTATGACCCAATGACTGTTTCATGCACTAGTATAAGGTTAGACCCGTGAACGTGGCGTTGTATACAACGCCACGTTCTTGTTTCATTTCGAACCTGGCGAAATCGATCCGACATACATAATTCCGTATGGGTGTTGAGTACTCACCTAGAAATCTAAATTTGCCCGTCCGATTGTTTCGGTTGTGTAATTTCGACGAAATTTGCCCATCAGTAAAGACCCATACGAACGTGTAGAAATTAGATTTTAACCTGACCCTGACAAATAACCCCGGACGCGTCTGAGTCGCTTGGACAGATTGACGGCTGTTTCATGTCGCAACCACGAACCCCCCCCCCCCCCCCCCCCCCCCCCCCGCAGCGCAGACGATTGGCTGCTCGGCTCATCTCGTGTACAGTACGTGTGTGCACACACACGCGGGCGCACGTGCGACCGCGTGCAGTGCGGTGAGAGAGGAAAGGACTTGAAACTTGTCTAAAACGATGTCTGTTTTAGCTGCGACAGTAAACAGCCGTCGAATCATACGAAAATAAAACGCAATGCGCATGCGTCAGTTGGGAGAAAATGGCAGCTAGCAGTAGCGGACGGACTTCATGAACCGGGGCCAGAATTTTCCTCAATTTTCGTCAAATGCAAGTTTTGACGTACAAATAGAATTCAAGACAGCTTCATATGTGAGTACTTATTACATGGGCAAAATAACGTCCAGTGTGTGTAACGGAGGGAGTCAGAAGGACACGTTCGCCAGGTTCGAAATGACATAAGAACGTGGCGTAGTTTACAAGCCACGTTCACGGGTCTAGTATAAGGTTTACCAGTCGCATCACAGCTTTGGTACTGGAACCGCAACCAATAGTGCATGAAACAGTCATCGGGTGTTACGCTTCCGCGTGACGTCATGCGCCAACAGCCAGCGCAGCCGGCAAAACCGAGTAGTTGACAGCGATCGCTCTCTGTGCCTGTTAATCGACCGCCATTCATTGTACACAATTTTTTTTGTGCACAAACCAATAGCGGTCCTGGCCAATCCAGCAAGGTTGTCAAGTTAGCGGTTATTCCTCCTGTTTTCACTGCAATTGTAGGCTGAATCTTCATCGTGGATCGTGTTTTACTTCAAGGACCTGTGTAATGGTTATTCCAGGCAAGTTTGGGGTGAGTTGCAGTTGCAATTAGTGTGTAACGGGGACAAAATTGAACATTTTCCAATTTTTTTTTGCAAATACTACAAGTTTTGAGAAAAATGCGCTCCAGCCCTAGATGACAACCCAATGATAAAACTCAGGGCTGGGTAACTCCAGCTAATGGGGCGCCACTTGCGCAGAGTCCCATTAATTAGGGCCTAGGCTAGGCCCTACATGCAAACATTTTCCATAACTAACTGAACTGAACTTTGTTATGTTTCTTTTCATTTAAGGTGGGCTTGGTTGAATGTTATTGTTACTGTGAGGCAAGATTTAATTTTTCTTTCAAGTTAATGACTTTGCCGGATTTGTATTTTATTGAAAGTAGGGCCTATTACTAGTACTGTGACTGTGAGAACCATTTTATGGACAACAGACACATGTCTGAGTCATGGTTGCCTTTCTTAAACTTAAATCCACCGTATTAGGCCCTTTTTCTTAAAATAAAAAAATACCTGTAAAAAAGCACTGAGTGATTAGTGATGTTCATTCTTTCATTCAGTTCTGAAGTAACTTCTCCAAAATGGCTGCGCCACTGCCAGCCATCCACAACACAGGAGGCCATTCACCCATCCATGATCAAGCCATTGCACAGCACCGAGTCCCAAGCCCTCCCAGCAAATCCAGGCCACAGGATCAATATGTCAAACCCAAGCTGAAAGGCCAGGGCAGGAGGGAGCGAGAACACATGATGAAACAGCAACTGTTGAAGAACAAGAAGCCGAGCCTGACAAAACTTGATACACAGAAGTAAGTACTTGATGAATAGTAACACACCTTTTCAATTTGTTTTCTCATATAAACAAAGCATTAAATACATTTTAAAGTTTTTTTGGTGTTTTACTTAATTTGTAATTAATGCGTTACTTACTTCTTCAGGTATCGCAACACATCCTTTCACAACCTGTGCCTTGAGATGTTAAAGGATGGTTTCCATCGCTCCTTCTCAGAGGTCTTTGCCTTGGTTCAGCAGCAGAAGGCTGAGATAGATGCAGCAGGACCAGACTCCCTGCTGCAAGACCGGCGTCTACTGGCAGAACAGGAAGCCAAGCTGGAGGAGATGAAGAAGAGATTAACTGAGGCAGAGTTGGCTCTCAGGATAGGTATGGGGTCTATCAGTAAATGTTTGCGAGTGACCATAGTCATCAAGACAGAAGTGGTGTCATGATGATAAATTCAATATGGGGGTTTGCCCTTCACCCACGTATTTTATAAAAATACAACGGTGAAGGGTAAAACCCCATATTGAAGAAGTTCCTTTAGTTTGAAGATCAGCAAAAAATGTTCATATTTTTAGAGTATAACAAACTTTTAAGATACAGGGTGTTTAAACAAATGTAGCAGTCAGTCGATAAATAATAAAAATACAAGCACTCTCTTTTGCAACACTTATATATAGAGTCTGAAGGTGTAGTAAATTCTCTACACAATGGTCTTTATAACCATGTGCAATTCAGCTGCAAGGCTGCAAAACATTGGATTTTTTTATTAAACCAGAATAATAATAATAATCCCATCTCACTTGGACACCCCAGTCTAGAGATAATTAAATGAAACAACATGAATTCCAAGTTGGGCCACTTGGTATATAATGAAAGGCATTCACATACCAAGAAGGTGAAGAAAGTGGCCCAAACAGATTTGGACAGTCTTTACAAGCTTTGCCGTAACTTTGAAACAAAAGGTCATATCACACAGAACAAAAATCCTGTTAAGAGTAAAGAAACACTCTATCATCTCATGGTAGTTTTAAAAAACAGTTTAGTTTCTTCGGGAAAAAAAAATTGTTTGACTGCTACATTTTTTTTGAGACACCCTGTAGATATTGGTGAAACAATTTTGGAGTTTCTTGAGTTTGTATTTCCGAACAAAAATATCATGCTGTACAAAAAATCTCAATAAGGATGAATTCTAATTGTCTTATAAGTCTCTTTGAATTTGTCTTGTCTAACAGATGACATGGACGGCGTCTTCACAGCCAGAAACCTCCTTGCTGAATACTTCTTAGACACAGGGGATCTGTGGCTGTCAGATCATTTCTTCATCTCGTGTCTTGAGATGGCACAGAAGATCAAAGGAGACGGGAGGAGGAAAGAGGGAGAAGCTCATTGTAACATGGGTCGTGCTTACGAGAGGAGAAGTAAGTCATGGTTGAAAATTGTCAATGAGACACTCCTAAATCTGATAGAAAACACTTCTCCGATTAAAAAAATACAGCACAACCCCCCCCCCCAAAAAAAGGATTTTGTGTACAAGATTTATCAATTCAGGTCATTCCAATCTTTGTATTAGCCTGAGCATACTGTATATGTACATATCCCTGTTAGGTATACATGTATGTAACACCAGATTCAGACTTCTCGGTTTACAAGTACAAGACACGAAACTATTGGTACAACCTGTATTACTCTGTGTTAAAAGTGGAACCCTTTCTCACTTGTTGCCAACTTGTAGAGGAGTACCAAGAAGCAGTCGAGCATTTTGAGAGCTTTGATGAGCTGACATCCAAGAACCCTGACTGGACAAATGCCGAGGGACAGAGCCTTCACTCAGAGGCCTGTGAGCATCTCAGGCGGCTGTACACAACGATTGCTGAGACGTACCAGCAAGGAGAGGACAAGGATCTTCAGGAAGCAATCACTAACTTGCTGAAAGCATTTGAGAAGGCTAAAGAAAGTGAGTATGATCTGGAGTCGTTTGTCAGTGCTTAGGAGGAGAAGTTATGATCAGTATAAGCTAGAGATGAATTGTGTCAAATGCAGAAACATGTGGGAAAGGAGACTATTGTGGTAGGAATTGTGTATTAAGGAGTCAAGTGTACAGAGCTGTTCTTGAGAGAACTCATATGGCTTTCCTTTTTTGAGGTAGGGTGGGTAGCAGGGCGTTGATCGGAAATGGACATGTTTGTGTAATTGCATGTCCTTTTTTTTACACATAATTGAGAACAATTAATTGTCTTATTTCAGGTGGAGATGGGCAGAAGGAGGGAGAGGCCAGCTACAGGTTAGGTCTCGCCTACGAAGGCATCGGTGACTCAGAAACAGCACTCATGGTAATCCTGCATTTCTTACAATCAGTAGAGACAAAAATGTATGTCAATTTAAATGAGCTCACCCAAGTCAACTCAAATAAAGGCAGACGGGTAAGCCACAAAAGCCGTATTAATCTAACGCTCAAACTCAGCCATCATGGTCCTCACATGACGTCTGTAGCCGTGGCTGTAGCCATTGACAAAATGCCCTTTTCAGATTTAGTCTTACTTTGAGGTCTACTGCTTTTTTGTGAATCGCAAAAAGTAACAACGTCAGGCTGGAATTTTAGACTCTCAAGTCGCAATGAGATCAATAAATAATTATATTTAGACTTCAAATAAAGTTGGTTTTGGTCCACTTGATCTCTTTTGCTGTCAAACTACCATATTTGTCCGCTTTTTTTGATGAACAACATTATGTGTCTAATGTATTTCCACCACGGACTTTGCTCCACGAGCGCAGTCTGTGGTGGCTGACCCAGGTGAAAATGACGTCAGAGTTTGTCGAACGCCATGGGGCTAACCCGAGTCGACCCAGGAGAGCTAAGCAAACTCACCCAGAGATTGACTTGATAACTAAGGGCTAATCCCACTCTCTGATTTGACTCACAAATTTGCCTTGTTTTAAGGCCTCTTTTCCGTGTTCTTCTCCAGTACCATACAGGGTTCATGGACATCTGTAAGAAGTTGGGAGACCAGGATGGTATGGGCAAAGCCTGCGAAGCTATCGCCAAATCATATGAAAAGTAAGTGTCGTAGATTTCTTCACACTTGAAATATAATTAAATATTATTTGAAGTAATCCCCTCAATATGAATACTTGGAAAGAGTTGCCAGGAAAGGCAATTTTTTTCTTGCTTAATAACAAACAATTATACACCCAATGTAAAATAAAATTGTCAAATGGATTTTATGACGGTTTCTCCTCTCATCGGCTGATTTCTGTCTGCGAATCTTTTTTCAGACAAGGAAAACTTGACGAAGCAGTCAGATACTTGGAGATGTTTGAGGACATTGCTGAGAAGAGTAACCAGTTGACAGCACACGGAAATGCCTGCAGTTGCCTCGGAGCAATCTACAATTCCTTGGTGAGTATGCAGACTGTACAAAGAACTTGTCATGATGAGGGCGGGCCTAAGAAATAGCACTGCTGTTGTCCTTAAAGTTTTACCCATTTCCAACTGATTTTTCATCTATTCTGAGGCAATTTTGTCAGTGTTTTTAATAAACACATCTTATAACTTAACCCGTTAAAACAGTTGATAAAATCATACACGAATTGATAGGTTTGATTTCTGAATTTCATGATTTATTTCTTCCTGTCCTTTCATCTTTTCCGTATCCCAATATTTTTTGTCTCGCCAGCCGGGCTACTTAAGGAATAGTTTGACTAGCCTGCCGCTGTTTTGACTAGCATTTGGCTAGCGGGCTACCGCTAATTTCGAACCCTGCATTAAAGCCAGTTCCTTGGGACTAAGTGATCTTGACTGTGAAGGGCACCATTTAGGGCTAATAATTATTTACATGAGGACGTTCTCCAGATGCCTCTGAAGGGAGAAAAACCCATGGGGCCAACAGTGTAGCTACACAGGAAGCTGCTATGGGTTCTGTGAAGTATAACATAAATCTGACAAATGAAATGTAATGAAATTCTATCGTTGTACATTTGTGAACAGGGAAAGTACAAGAAAGCCTCCCACTACTTTGGCAGTGCCTTCAACATTGCCCGTAGTATGGACAACCCTGTCTTCTTTGAGACGATGAGGGCGGAGTTTGGGATAGCCAACGCCCACCGAGCCCTGAGTCGATTCATGGGAGTGATTGAGAGACCTGATAAGACCAATACGCTGAAACTGATTGACTGGAAGGATGTCAGGAATGACCAGATGGCGGAGGAGGAAGGTGGGTGAATAGGACTGTAACCTGAGACCTTTGGACTACGAGTCCAGTGTTTCACCCACTACCTAGCCCCTACAAATAGTCTATTCGTTCTCTCTGTACACCATATGTGCATTTATTTGTCTTGTTTGTAGGTGAACATTCCCACTTGATTCAAAACTTGTGCCTTGAAACTGGCGAAACAATTTTTTGAAAATTTATAAGAGTGACCATATTTAGTGTACTGAGTAGATGGTTTCTGTATGTGTTGGCAACATGTTTGGGTAGCGTGCATACTTGGCATTTTGCTGTTGTTTTTTCGTCTCTCTAAGTTTTGCTTGTCTTTATCATTTTATTGCAGATGAGCCAAGTGAGTGATCAAGCAGCGCCAACTTTTGGACAGTATATTCCTTCTAAATTCCCCTAAATTTCAATCCATTTGTAGAAAAGATAGAATTAAACAAACACAGATAAACTATAGTTTCTTAAGAAGAACAATATCATCCAAGAACAAAGGTTGTAGTAAGAGACAAGAAATAAAGCCACTGTCCTGACAGGCAATAATCTTCCCCTCCCAAGATTGTTTGATTGTACCTTTTTGTACAGCGACAGCAGACCAATTCAAATTAAAAAGAGTGTCATCTTGTCCCGAAAGAACAATGCTTGGATTAACACTCTTGTATCTGTTCATTTTAAAATATGTTCCTAAAGAGAGCAAGAAGATTAGTTGTTCATGTGACACCCCCCCCCCCTCCTATACTTTAAGAAATCTGAAGACTTTAACTTGTGTTTTTAAGATTTACAGAACAATATTGATGAGAAACGGAGCTTAATAATTCAGGTTATTTGGGGGATTTCCGTTATATTGTATAAACATTGTATATAGGGTTTACAGTTTCATAATCTATTCAAACCAATACATTGTATTCCCTTAAATTTGATGGTTTTGAGTCGTTGAGTAAATTGTATATTTAATGGTAGTTTTTATCTTTGTAAAGATGATACACTGTACTTTATTAAGAAATGTATATATTTTTGTTTCATGCGTCCGTCCATCAACAAAACGTTTTTCAGGTCATGCATTGCTTTGTATGCATCACATATGGTTGCCTTTAGGCAATTTGTGCCATTCCATCCAGTGTTTAAAAATGTCCACTATCATTCCATTCTCTGTCCAGGAACTATATTTCTTGTGATCTAATAAAAGAAAGAATGATGAATACAAATTTCAGAGGCCATTTTGTTCAGTTACTCACTCTGGTTCACCTGTCTTTATTTCCTTCATAAAATATCCAGAATCAAAATAGAATTCCCCAATTCTTTGAAGTCATAAAAAATACATCATAAAAATTGTTAATAAATATTTCAAATAAAATACTTCAAACGTTTCAGATGGAATCGTATTTGCAACACTCGAAAACAACCACTGTCAAATAACCCGCAATCAGCTGTAACCTTTTAAGTGCACTATATTCTACACCAAATGGTCAAGTTAAATGAAACAAACAGAAAGAAAACTTATGCTAAACAATTGACAACATTGGGTGAATAAATTCACATTCAAAATGAAAAATGTAAATATAAGCATTATGCCCGTATCCATGCTTTAATTGACTACATGCAGTAATAGGTCAACACAGAATCTGACTTTGCTTGGGATTCTAAAGCTCACAGATGTCATCAAGTGCATACTACATGTATAATTATTCCACTATGCAATATTTCTACAACTTATCATGTAGCTGATAATAGTACATGGAAGCATTTCACCAAAAGGAATATAGCATTAGAGATACAACGTAACTTACTAGGCATATACTCAGGGATAATAATGTCTTAACTTACTGAGACACATTGACCACAACAAGGCTATCAAGTTGCAGATGAGATTTTTGCAGTTTGCGAACATTTCAAGAGCTTAACTTGGAGACAATGGAACAAGTTGCTTTTATAATATGGAACTAATGCGCAGTAACATCAAACTGGCTATCTTAAGCAGGTGCCATTTCAAGTTGATATATCAGCTCATGACGTAAAGAATTTTAAGGAAACCAAGCATAATTTTCATGCCTCACAAACTCACGGAAAAGAATTTCAAAGTTGATTACCAATTCACAACCTGACATACGATTTGTGGCAAAATGTCTCTGTTACTTAGTTGTTACATGTATATATGGAAAAGCAAACTACAAGCTATTAATATAATGGTTAACAAGATAATGAACTGAAAGCAGTGAGGAGAATGCAAAACTCGGTCCAGCCAAAAGTAATGCATCCAGCATACTGCCACACCTCACTGCTAGATCTACTCACTCAAAGCATTCAGTGCAACATCCACACAGCCAGGTCAAAATCTAGGATACTAGATCTAAAAATGCAATAATGGGGCGAGATTTTTTTAAATAGAATTTAAACTAAGCTTATTCTGATACGAAGGAGATTCTTTATAATGTTACCCCCAGAACACCACCCGAGCCCAAATCCATGACTCTGCAAACTACAGAATTTGGCACACCACCATTTAATGCTTACAAAGCAACTGCCACAATTCTGTGCCAACGTATCCTGCAAACATAAGCAACGACCTTTCCAGTAACAGCAAGAACCATGAAATTGGGCCCTGTTTGTGTACACAACTGGAGACAACAGGAGCATGTCAAGTGTAGAAGGACGACTGCTAATACGCAAGAAGTACCTGTTTCTGCTTTTAGGGAGCCTTCAATACCAAATCTAAAGGTTCCAAATTTTAGACGAGCCTGACAGAATATTCAATGTCAATTTCAAAAATGTAGGTGACTTAATCATGACAATGATTAACATGATAATTACTTCATCCTCATAAGAAAGTTTCAACATAAAACAATGCTGTGCATTAATTTTATTTGATTTTACGGGGGGGGGGGGGAGATCACAAATCGAAAGTTTCACAACTGTAAAGAATAATTTGTCCCGTCTTCTTTTCACTGAATGCCTTTGATCTTGCTGGTCCCATCCATCCAACGATTACTTCTGCTGCTGCTGAGGCTGCTGTGGCTGCGGCTGCGGCTGCTGTAGCTGCGGCTGCGGCTGCTGCTGCTGCTGCTGTGAACCAAACTTGATAGCATCCAGAGCACGATTGATGTCTCCTGCTTTGGTCTCCAGCAAGCGAGTCAACCAGCCACCGTCATCAGTGTATCCCATGGCTTTCATGTAGCTCAGGGCATTGGCAATACGCTCATCTAGGGTGTAAGACAAATTGAGAATAAGGGAACAACAAAGCACCAATTTTTCCTCCTGGTTTTACATCACAATTGCTTCATATAAAATGTCAATAAAGAAAGGGTATGGCAGTGAAGTTTTGAGTAAGATAGCGGTGATAAACATTTAAAAGTTAGTTGATTCCAAAGAATCCAGTTTACCTGGATGAGGGCTGATGTGCAGATCTTGCAGTTTGTCAGCTTCATTCTGCACAGCTTCGTCTGTGGCATCAGAACCAGTCACAGGCGGAGCTGATGGTCCCGGTCCAGACTGGCTAGAACTGGATTCATCCAGCAAAGTCCAACCAGGCTCATCCTGACGACCTCCAGCAGCACTGTCAGTCTCCTGAAAAACAAAACCAGAAGCGTAATTTGACAATAAATGTGTATTTCATATGAGCTCCACAACAGGTTTGTAAAAGTGATTTCTAATGTAAGTCGTTTTTTTTTCTTCAGCTTTAACAATTTGAAATACTTTTAAACACCTGAGATCTGTAGAATCCCTGCTATGACTTTCACGTTAAAAAAGCATACTGATGCCACTTTCAGCCATGATTGTTTCACAAAGTGGATTGTACAGTACAAAACATGCACCAAGTGTAACAGCAATTTCCTATCCCCAGCTCATCGTAGTCATACCACTCACCATGGTCTCATTTTCCTTGGCTCCTTTCTGGCTGCCTGACTTTCCAGCATCTCCACCAGCCTTGTTAGTGGCAGCACCAGCTCTAGCAGCTGCAGCAGCACCTGCAGCAGCAGCTGCAGCACCCCGCATTGCCTCCCATGTCTGTTGCTGCTGTTGTTCCTCCTCACTGGACTCACAGTACTTCCATTTCCCCTTGCAGCCTTTCTTCTTGCCGTGTTTGTGACCATGATGTCCGGGACCGTGTCCGTAGCCCCAGTTGTGGAAGCGCCCGCCGCGTCCAGTGCCACCACACTTGCGACGCTGGCCCTCGTGCTCCACATCTATGTCAACATCAATGCCTGTTGATGAAATGCACACAAAAGTAAAGTCATTAGAAAACAAATTGGAAAACATCACATAGTACAATGTATTTCATTATCTCCTTACAGAATATATGCCGTTTGTGCACATATTCTAGCCAATGAAGTCTTACAACCACATAGCATTTTAGCTAGTTACTAGAAGATTAAAGCCTCTCATCCAGGGAGTCATCATGATTTCAAAAGAAGAGAATGAGATTTCTTACCCAGAGGATCCAACATTTGAGCCACGCTCTGTCCAATGTCATGAAGGAAGCTCGCAGGGTTGAATGGTGCCTGGCCTTCTCCTGGGGTAGCCCCACCCTGGCCACTCTCCTCAGGGTTAGATGCTCCCTCTGTGTTCTGGGGATTGTCCTGACCACACCCCTGCTGCGGCTGCTGTGGCTGCTGCTGTTGCTGCTGCTGTTGCTGCTGCTGCGCCCACCACCAGTGGCGCCAGCCTGGGTGGCCGAATGCACGCCACATGCCAGGGTGGAAACCAAATCCCTGTCATCAGAATAGGAAAAAAGATAAGTTAGTTAGTTGTCATAGCAACATATCATTAAAAGATGGAATTTTGCGTCGGGGTGATATAAATCAAATTAGGTTTTGCCCTTCACCGACGTTTAAACACTGTATACTCAGTGTGTTACCTCCCGAGTGAAAGATGGAAAAAATCACTCGGGTGGGACTCGAACCCACGACCTCCTGCTTTCTAGTGCAGATGTCTTACCACTCGACCACCGAGCTAACGGGATCAGTTGGCCGGTTCGAATCTCATGTACATAGCAGCGGGTACCGCATAAACTATTATAAGATATCATTAATATACACATCACATCATTACCAACAACATAACCAAACAATGGACAAGGATCCATGAACTAAGATGGCCAAATCAAAATCATGAGTATTATCCGTCAAGATCATTGATGTAAATAAAACAAGCGTAAGACTTTGTTTCACAACTCACCCCGCATCTAGAGCGGCCTATCTGTGGGCGGCGGAACTTGACAAACTGGTGCTGTTCATGCAGACCTTTCTCCTCACAGACTTTACACAGGTCGTAGTCAGGGCACTCGATGCACTTGAAGCGCGGTCCACGGATCGGGGAGTCACAGCCATCACAGATGACCCCTGGATGGAAGATGTCTTCCTCATGGACCCCGGGGCCTGAGTCAGTGCTAGTCTCACCTCTACGGCCTGGGAGCACTGCAGGAATAAACAACAGAAACAATGTTTTTGAGATTAAATATCATAATAAGTGGTTTCTTATATCACAATAAGCTACAGGCAGAACAATGCACGTTTCTTTCTCATTTTGAAGCTGCCAACTTGAGTGGCATTAGGCCTTGCGGTTGGCAAATTCTGTTTTGACTGAAAAAATAGAGAATGCAGGCCAACTTCAAAAAGTTCACAATGTGATCTGATATTAGGTCAAGCTTCTGTTGCTCTCTTTGAAAACAAGGTAATTCAGTTTGGATGGAAACTAGGAGCATATCTACTAACCTCGGACATAGATGCGGAACACATCTTCACTCATCTGGCCCAGTGCCTCCACAAGCTCCTCATCGCTGGAGAAGGTGATCAAGTCATTCTCAGAATCTGTATTTGACAAAATAAATTTGGAAACAATTTGAAAAATATATTTAGGTACACAAAATATAATAATTAGGTATAATTCAGCCCTGCTGAAAAAAAAAATGAAATAATAATTTAAAAAATAAAATCAGTGAGGCATATAATATTCTAAAAGGAGATAATAATTTTATCCGAAAAATATTTACCATCAGGCAAGCTGAATTGTGAACCATGTCTGTAACGTCTGGATTTACAATTGTCCTATTGTACTCTGTTGTTTACCAATATTCTTTGCCTCACTTTGCATTCAACTGAACAAGTCCAATAACACCTGACCAATCATGTTTACTTTTGCTCATATACACTATACATTATGCATGAGCAATGGCAGCCTTTCAAATTTGGTTGAGTCACTGTCTGAGTCTGATTGGTTTTGTTTGCTTTGGCTCATTGCCAATACAACCCTGCAGAAAGGATTATAATGTATGCATATTCATGAGAATGGCTGCTCTTCTATTTTGCAAGCATCATCAGTGATACTCGGCCACGTTGCATAAAAAAGACTATTTATAGCCATGACAAAATGGCTATTGATAGCCAAACAACATGGAAAACTTCCGAATGAAACATTGTGAGATCATAAACAAATTGCTTGTAAAAGGATATTATGTCAACAATCCACGCAAGAATTTGCTTTTGCTGCATCGCCTTCTAAATATTTGGCTAAATTTTTCTGGAAGCCAATTATAAACTTAATTTGAAGACTGAACAAAACTTGTACCATACTTCTAGTTACAGACAGTGAGACACACTGGAAATTCAACTTGTCATTTAATATTGGCTATACACCCAGGAATTTTAGTTTAGGTTTTGTTAGGAGAACACACCTTTGTAGGCCAATGTAAAGTTGTCAGGGTTTCCCAAGGATGGAAACACATGAGCTACGGTCTTGGACATGTACTCATAGTTAGAAGCAGCTCCTTGGTCCACAGAGAAACGCCGGATTTCCTTGTTGGCGTTCTCGCCGCGTTTCAGGTACGCTTTGACTGTCACAGACATGGTCAAACTTCTACACTTTCCTGTTGAGACAAACACATGACAAAAAAATGAGAACAAAGCCTTTGAAACATATATACTGTGGGCTTTTTTGCCTTCAAAACTTTGAATCGATTTGGAATTAGACATCTGAACCTCTTTTGAAAGAAAAGCCATTTTAATCATAACTATTTTGCATCCATCATTTTTGGCAGGTGTTTCATATCTTACATTGTTTTCAGTCCAGCCTAGTAATCATTTCTACATTTGCAGTGCAGTGAATGACGTATCATCAGTAATAAAATCACACACACATTTTCCCTGCAAATGTGGAAACAAAATTATTCTGCCTTTCTGGTGTTTCTCTGTAGTGGAGTTAAAAGATCTTCTCTGTCATCATATATTGTCATGATTGTTTTAAAAAAAATATGACATTGAAATATTCTTTAAAAAACACTACTAACTTGAAGAAATTTTTATCAGTCCATAGGCCTACCTGTTAAAAAAAACCAGTCATGAACAAAACATAATTGATACATTTTAGCTCCACAATAATTGGCATTGCATGCACCACTTGCATGACTTGCTGACTTGAAAGTTGACTTACGTTTTCCTCCAACAAAACTGAACGATTCAACTAGTTGTATTCTCTCACGAATTTCAGATGGTAGCTAGCGTCTGGGAAAATCAGAAATGATGTCCAGTGGGGGCAAGGATGCTGCTTTTAAAGACTGTTTCGAATATTCTAGAACGCAAAATGTCGACTTCAATTATGCCTACTCACAGTCTTACAAAACGTAGCTCTGTTGATATTTTGATCACCTGTGTGTACACGATTTGCATGACAGATGTCTGTTCTAAATATAGCGATTACATCACCATGAGGTTTTAATTTTGACGGGCGACATTTTGGTGATTTTTAACTTTTGAAATATGTCGAATTCGAAAGAAATAGGATGATTGAGTCATCAAAACTTTAATGTAAGCGTAATCGATTATTAAAATTGAAATTTCAATCGGAAACAAAAAAATTTAATTCCTCTGTTGAATTTTCGTGGCCGTAAGATGTATCTAGGTTAGACTGGCTCCTTGTGTACCTCCAGACTACGTTGCAAAGGACGATCATTGAGTAGGGTTTCAGACTGCAGAGAGCGCTGATAGTTCTTAAAGGTGTTTCCCATTCTCTTACATAGATATATAGACAAGTAATGCTTTGCAACTTTAACACAATTTCTGTTTAACAATCAAAATAAAAAAAATTCTTGACTTATTTTTTGCAAAAATCGCTTGCATAAAATTATGGTTAATGATGTTAAAAACAAGTTGACAGTGACCGATACATGAAATTTATCACTTGGATATATCCCTTTAATAAATTATAATTGCCACAACTATCAACATGTTTGTTTTAATAATTACATTTTAAAAATTAAAAATAAACCCACACACAAACTAAGCAAGAACAAAACAAAGAAATTTAATTTAATGGCATATTAATTACGAGCTGTTCCTAATAATGTCATCAACAGCGGAAAGCTGACTTTTTGAGACCTTCACAGGGGGGACAAGCTTAATGGCAGAGTGTTTAATTGACGACGGAGGGGATGGTCAATGTGGAGGAGGGAGCGGGGGGGGGGGTGTCATGACTTTTGGGGATCACTTATTTGGGTGTAAATTGGTACGTTCCCCTGTACGTTCCCCTGGTTTCCCTGCACGGATCCCGGGATAGCTCTGTTCCTTCAAGTTTCCCAATTTATAAAATGTATTTTGTGCATCTTACTTTTGTGGAGTATACGTGAGTGTTTATCATATAGTACAGGAATTACTAAATAAGCAGCACTGTTCAACAACATATTAGGGAATTCAAAGCAGTTTTCTGGATGAGGAAGATTAATGCACAACATAATCTTGTGTCTATGTACAAACATCCACTGAAAATTGTATCATTCGTATTTTTAATCTTTTGATAAACCCTATAATATTATGACACATGAAACTGGACTACTCCTTTAACGCAAAAGAGAACGAGACCATTAATTATGAAGTGCGCCATCTATTGTTGGAATTAAGTAAACGCAACCTAAAAAAAAAATAGACCATTAATTTTGATGTGCGCCATCTAGTGTTGGAAGCGCTCGCAACCTAAAATTGCCTCATGCATCAATAATTTGCATATTGTTGTTAAACACATGACGCAGAATCGTACGATGGTAGCGCGCGATCTGATTGGTCCGATTCTCGTGGTCTCACTCTGTTTTTCTGGGCAGTTCGCGTTGTGTGATTCATCATGCAATGCAATGTGATTGAAAACTCACGTAGCTAGATATAGAAAAAGTGTCGAATTAGTTCGCACCATGGCGGATCAGCTGCAACAGTGGCTGTTTTCGTCCGATCCTTTAGGGGATCTGGATCCGAATTTACAGTCTCCAGGCGGCAGTGATGTTCTTTTGGATGATATTGATGGTATGTAAAAATTTCCTCCTTTTTCGTGGCTCGGGTGTTGGGATGGGCGTCAGGAAAGTGTGTGTGTTTTGTGTTGCTGGTGGAAAAAATCATTGATTGACATTTTGAAAACCATCATGTGTAGAAACTTTAAGACAAGTGTTTTATTTTATACATTTTTACAGTGACATTGTATTGTATACATTTTCTAAGCCGTGATATATCTTTGTTTTGAAATTTTAATATGAAAATAATTAGAAAATTAGAGGCCTCAAATTAAGTCAAGTTCATCTTCATGACTCTTTTTGTTTTCTTTTTGTTTTTTGTCATGTTTGTCCCTGTTTGTCATGTTTGTAGCAATTGGTAATTTAATGCCTTCCAATTTTGCCATTGTTTTTATGAGAAACTAACTTAGCCTAGTGACTGTGTTTATCTATGATTTATTCAAATAGTTGACAGCTTTTCCAGCCGCCAACAGTTTTTACTTACTGTTTTGTAGCCATGATTTTTTTGCAGGTTCGCTGAATATCATGTTTATACGCAATATTAAATGCAGTGTTTCAAATTTCCTGAGCTCTACAGTCAAGCATGCCGGAAAGAATGTAGTATCCAGACACCACTTCAGTGGTTGTGCACAAAGTCTATGGAGAGTAAAGAAAACTTAGTTCCCAACATGAACAAAATTGGAAATGTTTCTCAGTCCCAGATTGATGTCTTTTCAACATTTTTGCAATGATTGACTTATTGAAATGAGTGGTGTCCGGTTGCAACATTCTTTCCGAGCTGCCAATAAAAAACAGATCAGCATCAGTCAATGGTCAACACATTTGAGCTATTAAACATTGGTTTTAAGGGAAAATATGTGACAAAAGACACTGATCAAGTGATAACTCAATGTCAAAAATGAGTTTGCAAATTGGTTTTAATTATTCAGTGTAAACGTGAAATGTTTACGTTGATTTTGAGTGCTTCAGTTCAGTCCGGCTTTCCTGGTTAAGGACCAAAAGGAAATTCTCCACAGGCAACAGGGAGGCAACCAAGTACACTCCAAGTTAAGAGAACGGTTAACAGAACTTTTATTTTGGCAAATAATTCTTAGCAAATTGTTCACTTGTCCTGAAACTTTTTGAAAGATCAACAAATGATAGTTATCAGATATTTCTTTTGAGATAGTTCTCTTTTCTTTTCCCCACCCAAGGTTTTATCATTTTATATGGTCTCTCTGAAGTGATAGTGAAAAGTTCACTAACTTGTTGTGAAATATTCAGACTTCAAGCTTTTGAGTGATGAGATAAAAGACAAATAACTTGACTTCAGTGTTTCTTGCCAGAAATGTATTGAAATAAGATTCCTTAGGATGATGGCAGAAAATAAGTGATAGTTATTCCGTAGTCAAAAATAGAACTTGTTCGTGAGGCCTGCAAAAGGGCAAATTCAGTTTTTGTGCATCCTTTTATTAGATACTCTCAGCACAACAAAGCAAACCTGCCTGCCTTTTCAACTTTGTATGAGAGAGCTATTGAATAGATACCCAACACTGCAGTCTCACATATCAATGTAAACAGCCTATGAGGAAATCTATACTGGGGAAGGTGGCAAGTTATTGAATTGTAAACAATGACCCTGGGTCCTGCCATAGAGGACGACGATGAGTTATGAAATAAGGGAATATGATCGTGCCAACTCTCAATGCCCTATTGATGAAACGTCCAGGCTTCCAATCAATGTGTCATGCGGTGTGCTGACCAGTTCCCTTCAGTTTGGATGCTTGCTAAAGATCTCAAAGGAGTTTACTTGAAGGTTGGGGTGCAGTGTTGAGTTTTAATGCCAACATTTCTTGCAATATTACGGAGCTTTTCTACGACGTTAGGATTAATCAATTTAACTTTTTCAAATTTTAACCTTTTTTAATCTTACAGATATTTTTTCTTAGGAGACAAAGGACTGTGCACTTTTCAAAAGGTGACATTTCGGGAGAAGCCGGTATTGATGACTAGTTTGAAAGCCTTGGAGCGTACATTGTTGTCGTCCTTTCAAAGGCTGTTACTTGAGATATCACAGTCCGGATATATCCCTGAAATTCTACCCTATTTTGTACATCCCTATTCATTGCTTTGTTTTTGTTTTCTACAACATGAAGGCAAGATCCACTTAATAATGGTGTCTCAAGCTCTGTGCAAGTACTTAAGACCCTCGTTCATTCTATGATCCTCACTTCCTCCTGAAATTCACTGGTGCTCGCATCACATCTTGCAGCAGTCTTGAAAAAACGTTGGACGCTATCTTGATGTGCTTTTTTGATTGATGTGCTTTCTTCACAGATGTTATCAAATATGAGTGTCCAGATGATTCTCTTCTACTTGATACCACCTTGGGATCAGCAAATCTCAACGATTCTGGTTTTCTATCACCGGACTCGCACTTTGATATGCTGATGACGTCTCAAGCATCGAGACTGCAAGATCAGCAACAGCAGCTACAGCAGCAACTTAGTCCAGTACAAGTACCTGCAAGCACAGAGGTACAGCAAATCTCTCCACACCAGATACAAACGCAGCAGTCACAGCTCCAGACAGAGCAGGCAGAAAAGGAGCAACTGCAGAACCAACTGCAGCAGCAGCAGCAACAGGCTACCGTGCAGATACAGCAGTTGCTGCAGCAGCTTCAGAAGCAGGCACAACGCCAAGCCCAGTTGCAAGAGCAACAGAAGCTGCAAGCACAGCAACAACAGATTCAAGCCCAACAGCAGATACAAGCCCAGCAGCAGATACAAGCCCAGCAGCAGATACAAGCCCAGCAGCAGCAGCAGACTGTTCAGTTGCAGCAACAGCAAATACAGCAGCAGCTTTCACCGACTGCAACCCCCTTGACTGTTCAGCAGGTGCCTCAGTCATCTCCACTCAACTCTCCCAATGTTCTGAGTACAATTGCAACATCACATGTGCTGACTTCAAGTAACATACCGACTGGCAAAACTGTAGTCGCATCACCAACAATTCAGTCACTATCTCTGACTCCACAAGTACTGCAAACTCCATCAAGTCCTCAGCTAACAATCCAGACTCCTAAACTAGCTGTGTCTCCAGCCAAACCAGTTCAGCCATTGCCAGTCACTACAAGTTATCAACAGGTAAAGATTTCAATGAATTTGTTGCATTTTACCGGAGTAAAAAAACGTTGTCAGTTGGCATTGACAGTATGCAAAGTGGTGACCTTGGCCTTGACACTGTGAATCCCTAGAGGGTTTTCTGCATATTTTACTGCAGAGTCCAGTATTCATTGCGTCAGATTGTGCTTGATGTTTCACTTAAAAACTTTTTGCAAGGAATGATTCCATTGCTTTATTGCACGTTGCTGAATGTGGGTGGAATCGGCAAGATACTGATCAAATGTTAGGGTTAAGTTGAGGTGGACATATGGCCATTTCATACTTCTGTCATAATGCCATTGTTCCCCTTAAATGATGGTACATGTTGTGTGCTGCACTGACTTTTCTATTAATTTTGCAGGATCTGTTCTACCATAGCATAGTTGAATTAATTAACTTGATATATCTGTCTTGCAGGTTGTCGTTCCAACCCCAATCATCAAGGCTGAACCCACCAAATGCCTACCCGTGGTCTCGGTCACTAGTGCCTCCCTCCACATCAACAACGATGGTGGTGCAGTCATCACCAGTATTCCCATGCTGCAGGTTGACAATGACAAGCTGCCTATCAGTAGGCTGACGTCGACCCGGACTGAACAACCACCGCCGAAGAAAGGAGAGAAAAGGACAGCGCACAATGCCATTGAGAAACGTTATCGATCCAGCATCAATTCCAAGATACAGGAACTCAAACAGATGGTGGTTGGACATGACGCTAAGGTTAGTTTCTGCTATCAAAGTTGTCTCTTCACAATTATGAATCATAGACCTCTCAGTTTGCTGTCTGGATTTGTAGGATTAAGGATTCCACCGTCAAAAAAACCTTAGGTGACTAGAAATATATTTGTCAAATCCCAGAAGGTCTCCCTTTCGAAAAATTAAAAAACTTTTAAGGTGATTGCAAACCATTACTATTGTCGTGTTTTACGTGCAGATCCAGAAATCTGGCATTCTTCAGAAGGCCATAGACCACATCAAATTCCTGCGCAACACAGTCAACAAGTTGAAACAAGAGAACATGATACTGAGGGTCCAAGCAGAGAAGGCCAATCCATCACACACACTGCGTAAGTGACTTTCCTCTCGATGCCTGCTAAATTTCCAATTGCATTTTGTTTTTCAGGAAACTCACCAGATGATCCAGTGCATCTTCATCGTTAAAACAAATTCGCTAAATATCAATCTGATCAAGCAAATGAATATGAAATGAATTCTGTTGTTGTCTTTATATACAGTGGGTGATTCCATCAAAGTAAAGACTGAACCGATGACGCCACCCCCATCTGATACCAGCTCACCCCTGCGTAGCCCCATCAGCAGCACCTCAGACGTCTGTAGCTCTGACATGTGTGAAGAAGAAGCCATGGAGCAGAACTTCTCTTACAGCGAAGAGGAAGACTTCAAGTCTGAACCCTACAGTCCCGGTGGTCTGCTTGACCGCACACGCCTGGCTCTTTGTGTCTTCATGTTCTGTTTCGTGGCTCTGAATCCCCTCGGATTCCTGTTTGACTCGCCTGGATCTTCTACAAACCTTGCTTTTGACAGACCACAGGGACACGGACGAACCATTCTTGCTGAAGAAGGTATGTTGTATTTAACAAAGTATCAGGTTTTTTTCAATTACGGTTTCTATTTGTTACCAAAGTAATTGTAATCATTTTTTTTTTAAATCGCTTTAAATTACTTTTTTATTGACAGAGCTAATTGAGCAGACTTGGTTCCAGTGGCTGTTGTCCTCTTGTCTGGTGTGGTTTGTCAACGCAGCGATAGTCATAGGCTTCTTAGCTGGTGTCTTCATATTCGGGGAACCAGTCACCAAGTCCCACAGCGATGCATCAACAACGTTCTGGAGACATCGGAAACAGGCGGATTTGGATCTCGCTAGGGTAAGTGGCTCACTCTGTTGCTCAAATTATTCAGTTGCGTCTGGAAAGATAAGTTCTTTCTGGAGAAATGCTTTTTATTCTTTAACAAAAATTATTTCTTCATTTATACAGGGTGACTTTGCAGCAGCAGCCAGCCAGCTACGCACCTGCCTGTCAGCTTTAGGCCGGCCTCTACCAACATCTAGACTAGACCTGTTGTCATCTCTCATCTGGAACCTGGTACGTCATGCTCTGAATCGTCTTCTCATCGGTCGCTGGTTGGCTACTCTTGCTGGTGGGCTGCGTAGGAAGAGAGAAGGAGAGAAGTGTCCTGATGGCAAGACGTCGTCTCGCAATGGTGCATTGGTCTATCACAAATTACATCAGCTTCATATGGCTGGTGAGTTTCTAGTCAATTTTCATAAATTCAATGCCTAGTTTGTTATATTTAAAGATCTATTTCTGCAGAACTCTTTTGGCAGAACTGCTTATTACAAACTGTAACATGTTTATTCCAGGTTATTTGACTGACGGTGATCTGTATGCCATCAACATGGGCCTGTGTGCCATGAATCTTGCTGAGTGTGCTGGGGATACCATCAGTCCAGCCACATTGACTGAGATCTATGTCACTCAAGCACTGTGCTTCAGGATCAGACTGGCCAGCAGACTGCAAGTGTTTTCTGTGAGTCAAATTTTGTTGTTTAAGTTGACCTCAAGAAGTGTTTCACTGATCTAATTGATAACCAAATGGTTGTAAACAAAGTGCAGTTGAAAAGTCGGTGGAGCATTTCCAAAGGATTGGTTGCCAGCATGCATATATCATACCACTATTGTCAAGTTCTATTTGAAGAGAAACTGTACGCACCTGCTGTAATTGATTAATTGTGTACATTTTATATTTCCTCAGAGGTATTTCCTGAGTCGTGCCCGTCATATCGGTGCTGGTGGCTCTGAGTTACCATCCCTGCAGTGGTTGTTCCATCCTATGGGATATCGTTTCTTCCTGTATGGAGCTTGGACCTGTCAACCCAAGGAGAGTCTCTACAGTGTGGCCGGAAATCCAAGTAAGAACATTTCACACAAGTTTGCATACTGGTGTTTTTGCATTGTGAAGGTTTAATGCCAAGTTAAGTTTAATATAAAAACCTGCTGGGAAACGATTGGTCATTATAATCTTCAAACCGATACAATGCAACATTTCATCAATTTATGTAAATATATCTTGACATCAGATGACTGTTGACATTATTTGTTCCAATTTTAATAGATTTAAGTTTTGATTTCTTCCATTACAGCGGACCCACTCTCCTTTGTCAGTCAGGCCTACAGAGAACATCTTCTAGAGAAGGCTGCCTACTCCTTGGAATCTCCAAACTCAAACTCCTCTTCAAGAAACCCAAAAGCTGAAAGGTACCCATTTGTTTTATTTACATCAGTTCTCTTGGTTCTGTAGCTCTAATCATTCCAGCAAAGATCCTACAAGCTGAACCACGCAAGGTTTTCACTTGGTATTGTTTAAATTGAATTCCACAGCGATCCTCAGTGTTCCGAGACACTCCAATACCTTCAGCTTCTGAGTGAATGTTCTGATTCAGCCAGCACTCCCAAACAAGCCTTTGCCATCGGCTCAAACATGTCAGCTGCTTCAGGTAAATCTCCCAGTCCAAATCTCAATCAACTTAAGCATTTGAAACACTGCCTTTATACGTTCTTTGTAGTAAAATTGCTTTCAGGTTAAGTTTCTAGACAACTGAAACCTTCAAGAATTGTGTCTGAATGAAGAATACAATATTTCCATGTTATGGAATGATGTAAAAATTAGCCATAACCTAATTGAAAACTTCTCTTAAAAAATTCAAAGCTGTTGTTTATGTACAGAGTGCACAAGCTGAGTCATCAAAGAGTAAAGTCAACTTCTTTCTATTCTAATGCATTGTGTTTTTTCTGCCCACCAGGTGCAGACCCAGTCTCCAAGTGGTGGTGTAACATTGTCTTTGTGGCTGTGTATTGGCTCCTGGGAGATGACGCAGCAGCAGAGAGACTCTACTCTGCATTGGAATGTCTGCCACAACAACTACAAAGTGCAGAGTAAGTCAAATGATTCTCACAATTGTAGTGTAATTCACAATGAAGTAACTAAAGTTTGCCACATCAGGATATTAGTTCTGGATCATGATGAATGGCAGTTGCATTTCTACAACTTCTTCCTCCAGTAGTTGATCACTCCGAGATATTTTAGTTGAAGTAATGAGTTTATTCTTTAGACCGTCACTCCACAAATCCCTGTTTGCCATAATTGTTGAGGGTTTTTTTGCAAGTGTCTAGGAGTTTTTGTAAAACATTAAATTTTGTCCAGAAAGAGGGTTCTTTCTAATGATTTCCTTGTGTTCTTTGTAGGGATGCTCTTCCCAAGGCCACTCAGCTGGCCTTCAAAGCAAGGAAAGCCTTCCTCAGCCCAGACAGCAACAGAAAAGAGGCCTTTCTGGATGAGTGTATCTACATCTGCAACAAGTCCAGCGCTCATCTGAAAAGCAGTCTCAACTACTCGGGGCAGCATCGCCATGAGAAAGTCACTCAGGTAAGAAGAGATTCTCACAGCAAATCAACCCAGATTATTGAAATCTTGAAGAAAACAAAATCATTCCCTAAAGAATTTCTCCTAAAATGATACTGAATTGAGATGCAAGGGGTAGGTCAGGCATGCAACTTCTCCTCGGATCAGCTGATTTCCTCTTTTTTCACTTCCAATGTGTGCCATTGAAAATAGAAAAACACTGTACAAAGTCTTGGAAAGATTTGAATTTCCTCTTTTTTTGTGACTTCCCAGTTGCATGCCTGGTAGGTATGCATGGATGAATGAAGCCAGCAGGATTTGTCTTCAGTAAATGGAGTGGAGTACATCTTCCATCGGAATGCTTCTTGCCTCCCTGGTGCATTGTAGTTGCATTGCATTTGTTATGAATATGCAGTGCATCTGCAAAGCAACAGGGCGTCAAGACAAGACAACAAGGACGTTATGAAGAGCAACAGTCAACTGAGAGACAGCATTTAATGCTTAGTATTACAAAACTGTAAAGCAAAACGAACATGTTGGAAATGTTGTTTGTTTTTCTTTCACCAGGCAATGCAAGTCTTGGTCTGTGATTGGCTTCTCTCAACTCGCACAGCTGTCTGGCAGAAGCAACAAGGCTCTCCTAACACCCCAGTCACCTCCATCTCACCTCTAGAGCTCTCCTCCTTCCAGCAAGATCTGTCCTGCATCCGTAAACTCTCCACATCCATCAAGGCAGCGGTGCCCAGGGTGTATGTCTACCAGGCTACCGCTAGGCTGATGGCTGGGGCACATCCGGCCAAGACACAGCAGCTATTGGATAGAAGCTTGAGGAGAAGGGTGACCAATGCATACTCAAACATGAAAGGTGCGTGGTTTTCTTCTGAAGTTTGTACCGATAAGTGTGGCTAATTGTGGCCAGCATTTGTCTCCAGTCTCCATGGTACGAAACAGCTGAAAAGATGGCTATTTTTTTCAACAAGATGCTGCCAAGTAACTCCTAGACACCCATTAATTCTCCTGGGTGGAGAAGTGGCTTGCCAAATTAGAAGTCGACTTGCAGTTGGATTTGAACCCCTAACCATCCAATCATGAGTCCCAAATACTGAATCACTTTCAAAATAACCATTTTCTTTCTGTTTTACAAGTAATTCTTGTGCATTCTGTTCTTGCAATTTGATAATTATCAGTGTAAATCATCAGATTTTTGACCTTTTCTTTCTCATTGATTTTTTTAAAAAACAGATGATGATGAGGTGACAGTGAGTGATCGTGACCGAGCCTCAGCCCTCCTGATGGCCTGCAGACACCTCCCCTTCCCTCTTCTCTCCTCCCCTGGTCAGAGAGAACGCATGCTGGCTGAGGCAGCCAGGGCACTGGAGAAGATTGGTGATCACAGGGGACTACAAGACTGCCAACAGATGTTGAGAAGTCTTCAGAATGGCGGCAACAACTGCAACGCCACTGTAGCTTGCTGTTAGTCCTCTAGGGAAAATGGAGTAGATGAGCCTACTTATTGGCAAAGTATAACACTACCTTGCTTGACAAATCAGCTAAATACTGTTTCTTGAGAGTGGAGTTTTCAGCCGTAACCTTCCAGCACAAAAATGCTGTGCTGTAGTGTTACTTGTACATTGTATTTGTGGTACTGTCTGTAACTTTTGAAGATTGTGAATACATTTCTTTTAAATAATCCTGTAAATATGTTTTGAACAAAAAAGACACCGATTAAGATTGAGTGTGCCCAAAACAAAAATATTTATTCCTCCTTAAATTTACAATGAAAAAAAATTGGAAAAGCACCAATTATAAAGTACCAAGTACTATCTAAAGAAAAAATTGTTATCAAGTGTGAGGGGTCTAAACAAATGTTATATATATCAGTATCCATAAATGTATATTCAGTCTATCTGCCATTTTATTTACAAATTAACCATGTATGGTCCTACAAAGATTTTATTTGAAGAAAAAAAAAGATGTGTTAAATAGTTATATTTAAGCTATTTTGAAAGACTTTAGACTTCGGTTTATGTTGTGCTTTTGTTCTTGTTCCTACATACACAATTCAGTGCTTAACATTATTACCATTTTAGATAACACAAAAAAGCCATTAATAATGGTTCAAGTAATTTTCTTTGATCTTTCATATTTTAAGCAAGTTGCCTACATGAATGCAACTGGCCTTGTGTGATATATGGGATGAACTTTAGGATCTATCCATTTACCTTCAGCTGTACATAATGCTCAGCTGGGAAAGTATATTTTCAAAGTAGATTACTTATTTCTTGTTAAAGTTACTTATGGTGTACGTATCAATTGCCGTTAATAAGTTACCCAGATTTCCTATTATCGTTTATTTTGAATTCGTTAATTTCCATCTTAATATATAGAAAAAAAAGCTTTTTATAGCTCACAGTCCTATGACAAAATACACATACTTGTACAAATGTGAGTGGTAACGTTTAATCTTTGAATAAATGAAATGTTACTATAAATGTTTGTGGATGTGATATTTTGAAGTTAAACTATCTTGAACCCTGATAATTTCATGGCAGATTTGGATTATGTTCTAAACTTCTGAAACTAGTAACTAAAATCGTCGGGCTTCAAAGGGATTTCCTTTCATATCTGCATTGCAAACAATAATTTGACAACTGAGCAGATGTTTTTTTGGAGTGGGGAGGGAGGTGTGGCATCTGGAAACTCGTGTTTCCAGAATTATGATTTTGAATATGAAAGGAATTTCTCAAAACGGGGAAGTAAATCCGAGTAAAATCACCGATTGATGGTTTGAGCGCTTTGTTCATTGGTTGAAGGTTCTTTGACGTCACCGGTGCTGGATAGATTGGCTCCTGTGATTGGTCCAGCGTCGCGTAGAGCGCGGATGACTCTCCTGTATAATCTCGGATGACACTTTCTCAAATGGGTTCTAATTCGTTCAAACCTGTACAATGACGACAATAGCATGATGAATAAAATTGGAAAACTTTAATTTTACACTTTAATTGAATTTTAGTTTTAACTTAACGTTATTTGGGAGGAATTCTGAACAATATTAATTTCAGGATAGTTTGTATAGAGGGCGCTTTGAAGATACATTGTTGATCGAGCAAAATATGCTGTTAAATAAACTTGCAGGATGAAACAAACTTTGGTAGGCCTACTTACTTCAAATGACATTTTCCGCACAATCCAGGCTCGTCAGCTATCCTATGATGTCCTCCTTTTTTAACCTTGACGCAAAATCTTGATTTCCTTTGGCATGTCTTGGATGATGAAGACATTCCGCCGTGCCTCAACTGCCTCTGCAGTTGGGATGATGCGGTCTTGAGAAGAGTTGGTTGGGATGGGTTGGTTATGAACGGACGACCTGGATTTGACATCATTATATATGTCATACATTTCGCCCCAATAAATACTTTACCATCCTATATAGATGCAGCTTTGGATTTTGCATACCACCGGCCCTAGGAAAATACAATAAATACACACACAAAAACTTTCCTTACTTTTTATCCTTGGTGGAAGTTTGTCCGGGTAATGTCCTGGTCGAATAATTGTGAAAAAGCCGCGCCCGGGCATTGCGTCATTCGTTTTGATAATTTTTAAATTCAAAAGGGTAAATTTTGTCGTCAAGTTAATTTGGCCACTGATTTTGCGCGTGTTCTCGCGCGCATCAAGGGGAGCGATGATAGGCGGGCCTGCAAAGCACGCAGGGGGGGGGGGCAGTGCGGTATGTTGATTTGGAGCTGGTGTTTGGTGTGGAAGTTGGTTCTTGTAGGCCTTTATTATTTTGTTCGTACTTGTTCGCTCAAATCTTTTGTTGGAAAAAAATAACATCAATGCTCGGTCAATCAAAAGCCCGCCACTCCCATCCCACATGACCACGTCCACTTCCATCCCATAACAACTCCCAGCCGGAGCTCGGCGCGGTAACTAACACTCCATTCACTACATTTTTTAACATAAAACAATTTCGGTGCTTTCTCCGTGTATACATTTTAAGACGTTCTACGTAAATTGTCTCTTTTTTACCATGCCAATGCAGGGACAAAATATTGAGGTTTTATTCACTTTAGGTACCAAGCTAGGGAAGCTAGACCCTTTAAATCTAACAGCCCGTTGCCCTCGTGACATGCGGCGAATATGCGGCCTTTTTACGAAGATGTAAAAATTTGTTCGGTATGAAAAAAATTATTTCCGATTAAAATAAAATGAACCCCTCCTTGAATTTTTGAACCTCCCCCATCCCTGGCCCTAGGTCAGCCACTGACAGCCGACTACGCCCCCTATATTTTTTTGCCTGGCGTTATGTCTGAAACCCTTTTCAATTTGTGGATATGTTTCAACCCAATCAGCGGGACCCAACTATGCCTGTTCTTGTCAACATGGCGGCCTCCGTGGATGGCTTAAAACTTCTCGAGAAATGCCCCTCTGAAAAACTCGATTCGGTGGGTATACCTAACGACATGAGTCATATCAAACTTATTTTAAAACTTTGTAGAATCAGTGGAAATTTTTTTTCTTCGTATTATCTAAAGGAACGCTTTGAATTTGGAGTAAGTTTTGTTGTGTTCTCCTGCACTGCTCGGAGTCGGACCTGCGGACTGCTCGATTTCCGGAGAGAAATTATTGTGCACAATTTAATATTACGTAGTGGCTATCGCATCGGTACGGCAGCCATAATACGATACGGTATTGCAAAATAACCATTGTGAATCTAGGAAAGAATGTTGCATCCCGACGCCACTTTTTCATCATACATGTCATATAATGATATATCATCTCTCAAATTGTTGAAAAGAAATGAATCTGGGACTGAGAAACATTTCCAATTTTGTTAAAAAATAAATAGTGTATATATATTGCCGGATCCAGCTCCTTTTTTTTTAGTAAAGTAAATGATATTAAGGCAGAAAGATCGGAAAAAATTCCGTACTGGGCCACCACTTTTTAAAATTAATTTTCAAGCGCCATTAGTTACTTCATTGAGATTCGAACCGTGGACACTTGCCTGAAAGACAAGACTTTTACCACTAGACCACGCGCACGATCGCATTGCAATGATAGATCTTTGGACGTATTTGAAATATCCATTGAAATAAACTTAATATTCATGAGAAAATAAATATTTATAATGACGTATTGCACTATCATTGGCCGGCTCATGCGTTGTCATGGTTGTCGATGTCATGCGTATAACATACCGTAGCCCGACTGCGTCTGGCCGTACAGTACTATCGCAAGCTCTGTAGTACGGCCAGACGCCCGATGCTTCCACAGAGACTGAATTTTGTTGGCCGCCGATGTAGCGATTTTGCTACATCTTTCGATCGCGATTATCTTTTCATCCAGGACACAAATTTCCAAAGTTAAGGTTCGTAGTCGTATAGAGCAACTCATACCTTTTCGAAAAAACGTTGTTTGGTCTCAATATTTTCATCCATCTGGCCACAAGACGAATTTCAGTTATCAGATTCCACAAATATCGTCCCCCATGCGATCCCCCATGCGATTTCAAAATGGCGGCCGCGCTGTAATGTTGCAATATGCTGGCGCGCCCGCGCAAACTCATGAATATGCATAAACAGTCTGTGACGTATGACCTCGTGTTTTTGGAAGTACGGCCCCGCCGCAGGCCCGTCCAAAAACACGAGGTCATACGTCACAGACTGTTTATGCATATTCATGAGTTTGTGCGGGCGCGCCAGCATATTGCATACATTACAGCGTGGCCGCCATTTTGAAATCGCATGGGGGATCGCATGGGGGACGATATTTGTGGAATCTGATAACTGAAATTCGTCTTGTGGCCAGATGGATGAAAATATTGAGACCAAACAACGTTTTTTCGAAAAGGTATGAGTTGCTCTACGACTACGAACCTTAACTTTGGAAATTTGTGTCCTGGATGAAAAGATAATCGCGATCGAAAGATGTAGCAAAATCGCTACATCGGCGGCCAACAAAATTCAGTCTCTGTGGAAGCATCGGGCGTCTGGCCGTACTACAGAGCTTGCGATAGTACTGTACGGCTAGACGCAGTCGGGCTAAACATACCGCTGTCTTCCAGACACTACATGTACTTCCATCAATTTGACCGGCTGCTATACTGCCTAAACCCAATAAGAACACGTATAGAAACATGTTTTGTTTTAACATGTTTAAGCGTTACTTTTACTTTAGTCTAGATCATTTCAAAATCAAAATAAAAGTGAAAAAAAGGAAAAGGTACCAAGTAGATGAAATAATTTGTAATTGTATTTTTGTAATGTCTGAACTTTAACTTCTATGTCAACAGTTATTGCATGAGGTGATTGATGGAATATGTGGGCATTGTCGTCCCAGATTGCAAGACTACTCAAGGGTCTGGACTGGTGAAGTATGGTTCCAAGTATTAGATGCTTGCCAGACATGGATAAAGAATGCTGTGAAAAATGGACTCACTAAAGATGGGGTAAGTGTTTTCAATCAAGCCTCAGACCTTTCACATACATCTTCACTTCTTGAATTTATTGGTGAATGTTTTCAAAAAATTTATGAGATGTCACTGTCATTCATCTTAAATCTGTGTGTGATTATTGTGATAGCCTCTGTCATTTTACATATAAATCAACCTGTAAGTTTTGTCAACTCCAAAGGAAATGGAACTACTACCCAAGACTGAAATGTAAAGAGTAGTTGACAAACCTCCTGGACATGGCACCGTGGCATGACATAGAATCAGTAAATTGATGTGTTTTCCGTTTATCTCTCTGTTCACAGATGGAGAAAGACCTAGAAAATCTGCCAGCAGAGATCCAAAGAAGACTAGTGGAATGTGTGACAGTAAGACGAGGGGACATCCGGGCTAGTCTCTTGGCTGATACTGCAGCCATCTCACAGGCGCATCTCAAAGACTTTGACTGGAAACTCAAGGTATGTTATTGGAAACGCAAGGAACATTTTAGTAACGGAGCCTGGCTCATAGCTTTTGGACCCCACATTATATTTGTAGTCATTTGGCTTGTGCACAATTTGATGTCTTCCACTGATGACATTTTTGTGCACATTTAAACCCCAGCTGGAAATTGTCAGGTCTTACAGATGTTACTTTCTTTTCTTCAACAGCTTGCCCTCTCAAGTGATAAGATTGCATCTGTTCAAGAACCGCTCCTAAATGTAGACTTCAATGTCCAAGAAGGAGACCACAATAAGACAGTGTCTCTAGAAATGGACAGACAAGAGCTGAATAAACTCATAGCTTCTCTAGAAACAGCCAATAAGGTAAGAGAAACTAAGGACAAAAAAGGGTTTTGCTGGGCATTTCCACTTGATGTGGCTTTGCCTTGACCTTAACTCCCCAGCATAATTTACTAGGAACCATACCCATTCAGGCAAATTCCAACACCCACATGGGAAATCATACACACACACTAATGGACTTAGTTTCTGGAGGTATGCCAAACCCAATGTAAAAGTCCATCAGTGTAGGGGTACTGTACCCATCCCAACAGATTTCAACAAAACCTGCTGTTGGGCTTTGATGGGCTGAGTTCGGTTAGGGTTAATGCGGGTACTGGACTTTTGAGTGCAAAAGGTGGTCATTTTGCTGATGATAGTTTGCGCATATCAACAAATTGCATACAGTATATATGTGACAAATTTCAAAATGAGTTATAAATCAACAGGAACAATTTTTGTCATTGACCAGAGCTCTTGTTTGGGTACGCTGTAGATTTGCCTTGGCTTTGAAGTTTAATCGCCAACATATTCTAATGCATATGTAATTACTTCAAGACAGTATTGAAAAGCTTAAATCTTTATCATTAAGTACAAGTTTTTGTGGGTGGGGAAGCCTATTTTTTAGTGAAAAGGTAAAAAACTAAAATGTGTCACTTCACTTGTTGGCAGTAGCCAAGTACACTATTCATAGCTTTTTAGGATAGGATAAATATGCATTCATGAAGTTTAAATTGGTGTATTTTGCTTTTCAGGCTGTATTACAAATGAAGACATGAGGGATGTTTCTGTGTGTGTCATCTCACCTCCAATAAGAATGTCCCCGTAAGTTCATTTTTTTGAAAGGAATTTCCTAAAATTCCTAGAGTTTATTGTATGAAACCTGCCTCTTAAATTGATAAATGAGGAAGATTTAAACCAGCAGGCGCTAATGTCATGGAGCAGCTGAGCACGGATATTTGTGAAGCACTGAAAATATCTGCTAAGCAAGTACAGATTATTGGCACTGAAAACAATTATAAAATTTTGTAGAAATTGTACATTGTTTGTGGCTGTTCTCAGTGGATTCCTGCTTTGCTCATAAATTTTCTAAGCAATATTTTTGTCTTGGCTACTCCATGAAATGTGCTCCAGTCCACTGATGACTTGACTTGACACATTTGATTTAATTTGGGATAAAGACAAGACTGTTGATCTTTTAGTTGGCGTCACGCAGGACAAAAACGTCATTGAAAGCTGGCAAGATTTTTCTTTTCACCATTTTTTCCATGGAAGCTTGGCTATTAGGTCGATGAAAAATCCTGAGGAGAAATTTTATAAAAAAAATTACTCTTTGAAAAGATTTAATACTTAATCATAAAATGACATCAAAATCTATTTGTATGCCTGTCATCATGATGCATGCGATATAATTAATGTAAATACTGATAAGGAAGTTTGTCCAGACAAACTCAATTTGTTTTGATTTTATGAATCCCGCAGACGTTTGATTAAGAACCAGTAATAAAATATCAATATTTGGACTGATGCACACGATTGACAATAAACTGACTAATTTGGGATTCATAAATGTCTCATAATTTATACATTACTTATTATTCAGGAATACACATGGCAGTTTACCCATTCCTATTGGTCGAGAGCCCGTCACATGGGTGTTTTTTTTTGCGATTGATAAAACACTGGCTGGCTGGTTTTAAATACTTTTCCAGCGTCCCATGAAATTTGGACTCCTGTGAAATCTGGTCCCTTTACCCTATTATTAGTAGAATATTATCGACGACCAGGCCCTGAGCTGGTTTAAAAACATGCATGTACTTGTTTAAAACCAGCCAAACACATATTTATTTCCATGGTAATACTAGGGAGTAGTGTTCATCTTTGCAATAAAATTGAAGATAAGGCTGCTTATCTTGAGTTGCTTTTGAAGTCAAGTTTTAAAAGTTCTTCCACTTTTGTCTCCAAGACATATGATGCCCACTGTCGGGTCTTACATCTTTAGAAGTTCTATCGGTCTTGTTGAACTGATTTGGATTTTCAAGGATTTTTACATATGACAAGGTTTTTAAGATATATTCCTTTTAAAATTTCATAAGTTTAATTTTGCATATATTCCAGAACCTCTGACCAAATGTATGCATTTGACAAAATTAACATGGACCGGTACTTAATAATAGACATAGTAATAATAGGTACATACATAGCGCTTTTAATTAAAAGAAAAAAACGCTTTACATTATTATTACCCATGATCATTGGGCCAGTGAAACATTCCAAATACAATCTCAGCTCCCTGGGGAGTATACAGTTCGATGACATGTGATTACTTAAGGAGTATTAGTTTGTTAATCAATGTTATTATTATTATTATTATTATTATTATTATTATTATTATTTTTGGCATGGGAAAGAAATAAATGAAGCTCCATATGTAATTGAACTGTTGTCTGTAGAAATAATGTAATCACAAGTTTATCATGATTATTTGTTTTTTAAAGTCTCTGAAATGTTACAAAATATACCTATTTACATCATTTTGTTTAACTCTTTTACCACTTAACCATTTCTAAGGCGCACAGCATTCTTAAATTCTATACACAACGCAGAATATTTTGCGTGCATGTCTTCAATTATTCCGACACTGATTAGACGACCTCTTGGCTAATTGGTTCCCTGTTTGTACAGCCACGACATTAAATAGATGTTTCATCAAAATGGTAAACAAAACTCTGAAATAGAGTTTCCAAGGCAAATACACATTACCTTGTTTTAGATACAAATTGCAATTAGTGGTTGAAACCCACCATCTGGTGTTTAGTTTTTCCATTTCAGCAATTTCTCTGTCCTTTCACTTTATTTTAAAATGACGCTTATTATTTCAGAACACATGTTCATCTATCAATCTTTTTGCCAACCACATATCCCTTTACAAAATAGGAATAAAGCCATTACAAAACCCAGTCACCGTGAATGAATTAAGGGTATTAGTCGCAGAATGAGTTACAAAATTGTTGGGTGAGATTTGTTGACAATTCCATTTATATGCTTGACGTCGTCACGTTTTGAACGTTGACCCTTGAAGAGAGATTTTTTTTCCTCAAGGCACTCGCACGAAGTCTTTGTTCACGTTGTGACTTCTGGTTGGTTAGTTATCTGTGCCTGTGAAGTGGTGTGTTGTCTCATTTCAGCAGTACTGATTCTGAAGTGGTCTGCCTCTGATGAAAGTTCATAGCACTCAGAGATTGAGAGACACAGCAAGGTGGTTCAGACGGCTTGTCGGGAGTGATCTAGCTCTCTCAGGAGCAAGCACATTGACACTAAAAGGAGGTTAGGAGGCGACAGGTTGCACCACAGATTAGCACAACTGCTCTTTGGTGGACGCACTCTGATTCTGACGGTAATTGAAATGGCAAATAGTCAGGATATTGTATGCGATATTCAAGAGAATTTCACAAGTGAGGAAGAGACGTACCTGAATGTGTATGATGCAGGGGACAGGTTTGCTATTGAAGTGGTCTATCCCTGCATCATGGCCCTAGGAATCATCACCAATGGAGCATTTTGTATCGTCTTGTCTCGAGTAAAACAAATGAGAAATGTAACCAATCTTTACTTAGTCAACTTGGCTTTGGCTGACATGACTTTCTTGATTGTAGCAGTGAGTGAGAAGCTTGCTCGCATCATCGCCTCTCCAGTTCAACTTGATAAAACTCTGTATGGATTGGCCGGTTGCATCCTGATTCCCTTCATCGTTAACTGCACCTATTTTGCCTCTATCTTTATTGTCACTCTAGTTTCCATAGAGAAGTTTTATGCCATCTGCCGTCCGTTACAGCACCGTAGAATAAGCAGTTTTGAGCGGACAGTTAAGTTACTCATTGGAGCGTGGATGCTCTCCATCCTGTGTTCTTGTACATTCATCCCAGGCAGAGCCAATGTTGTCACTATCTGCGTCCAGTGGCCAGCAGACTACGCTGACATTGACCTGCCTTCTGTTGTCACTCTGTGCACATCGATCAATGTCTGGAATTGGTTCCAACACGTCTCCAACTTCTTACAGTCTGTGCCGTTTTTCGTCGCTGCTGCTGCAAACACTGTGATGTATGTCAAAATTCTGAAGACAATGCATAGGCGGGTTGGCGCACAAGACGATCTGACTGAGATGAATAACAAGAGAGTCCAAGTACGCAATCAAGTAGCTGCTATGCTCGTTGCTAATGGTCTAGTTTTCTTCTTATGCCAGATGTTATTTCAGTGTGTCTCCGTTGCCTTGGCATTCCGACATCTTAGGACTCCGCCCATTTTGACCGTCGCACAAATTGACAAGGCGCTACTAGTAGCCAGGATCCTCACCTATCTGAATTCAGCAGTCAATGCCATCATCTATAACATCGTCAGTTCCCGCTATCGTAGTGCGTTCAAGGAGACATTTTGCTGGCGGAAGGCTCGTAGAGTTCATCCCAGACCCAGAGTTAACAATGTAGACAATAACCAAGATCTTCTCAATCCAGAAAGTGGCCAGAGTGACTCAAGAAATCGCACATCCGTAGCTGATAACTCAAGAAATCGCTCGTTAGAAACTGAAAACACTCTGTGTTAGAATTGATTCAAAACATTAATAGTAATTTTCAAGAAATATTTAGTTCTGTATTAAGTTCTTGTAAAATGAGTCTCCAAAATCAACAGATTACAAATTTGATAATTTTGGGTTTTTTTAGTATAGAAAAGAGCCTACATATCTCTTGCAATTTTTTCCGCATATATTCAGCCTGGAATTGACAGTTTTTATTAATTTGATCACGGAAGTAAATTGAAAGACTTGTACTTGCAAACTAGATCTAATAGTTAGCGCCTTTCAACTCTTCGGGTGATTTATGGCTTAAAATGAAAAGAAAAGACAAAAAGAAAAAAAAAATCGGTAGCCAAAGTCCATTAAGACGTAAGTAAATACTCAAAGGTGAGATATGCAAGAACCTCTGACCAATTCAAATAAATGCATTTGCAGATTTTATTTGAAGGAGCGTTATCAAATTTATCCATTATGGAAAGTTTTGATTTAAGAATGCCGTTTCATATGAAGCCGCCATCCCCATTTGTGGTTCTCGGTTGATTGAAAGCTTGCATTTCAGTACTTGTGTGAACATGAAAGTGGTCTATTTATTTAAGTACGAGACAGTGCACGCTCGTTTGTACTCCGTAGTTATTCTATTACAGGCTTATTAGGTAGGAGGCTTGTGCTACTGCTAAATTTAAGGCTACGTTCTGCTGGATTCTTACAAAAATGTGGCTGCTGTATGTAAGTGGGAAAAAATGCCTTGATTGAAGAAAAATTCACTTGTTGTAGCTCCATTTTCGTAACTGTGTATATAGAAAGAATGTGAATGTTTCTGTAAATATTTAAATATTTAAATGTTTAAATATTCAAATGGTTAAATATTCAAATATTTAAATATGTAAATATCCAAATATTTAAATATTTGTACGTTTAAAAGGCATGACAAAATTCATCACAGGTGAACACTTGAAAACTGTCTGTGTGTCTATCATGTGAATTGGTCAGGTTGCTAGGATCAACAAGGGCAACCTCTTAATCACCCTTGTTTTGTGAGTAAGTTTGCATTTAAGCAGCAGGTGATGGGTTCAAATCTCACCGAAGCCAGCTGGTGAAATTGCCTCCCAGGTTTACATTAAGCACAGCATGTACAGTGCCTATTAATGTTATTAAAAAAAAGAAAAAAAAAAGTAGAATTCAAGCCAGTGAATTTTTTTTATTGAAATCAGTATTATCATTTACAATTGCACAAGTTGTACATAAAGTAGTTTAGTTGGTAAATGTGTGTTCTTTAAATCACAAAAAAGTTATTATCAATGCATGTTTGTCTAGTGAAGTCAACCAAATCCTGAACTTAGGCCTGTGTATCAAAGTTTTAGAAATAGAGATGTTTGTTCATATAGTAGCTTTTTGCTTCTGCAAAAAAAATAAAAAAAATCTTTAACAATAATAGAATTTGTTTTGTGTGGGAAAAGTTATGTAAAAGAGGGACATTTACCAAGGTTGTTTAGTAAGTAATTTAACCCAAGGCTTCCCAAACCTTCAAATAAATCCTCCTTGCATAAATAGAGGATTTTGCAAGATTGAGGCTATATGGGCTGAGGATGTACTGTGTCAAGGTCTTATGGGCTGGACCTTGTACTTGGCCGTGCGTAAATTAGGCCACGGCCTATATTATACTGGGAATTCCTGCACTGCTCCAGGATGTCACTGGCTCTGCCTCTGCCTCCAAATATTGACAGTATTTTGCAGGATTGAGACAGTAGTCACCAAGGACCACATTCAAGAAACAACTTATGGTTTTGGAGCATTGAGGCTGTATGCATTTTTTTACATGGAGGCAGTTGGAGGATGTTGGGATTGAGGTTGCATCCTAGCAGAAATGCCTAAGGGTTAGGGTTAATGAGTACATAATGCTACACAGTATCAACAGTAATGCACTATAACACAAAGTGTTATTTTTCCGGATAAAGTCTCTGTCACAACATGAAATTTGATTCGTAATCGAACAGACGTCATCTGTCCATTCTAAAACCATGGGACTATTGCATATATTTTTCCTTGGTGTTTACCCAGGGATATTATAAACATAAAAGCTATGATTACCTGGAACAAAGCCACCTATTAGCCCTCAATCCATGTACTAATTATATGTTGTGCATAAAACTAAGGCACTCAATGTCATTGATGTTTTGAAGACTGATGACTATTACTATATGACGTTTATGGGAATCAATCCCTATATTCAAACAAATTAACTGACAGGTCATTAATCTTATATCCTTCATCGATCAAAGAAAGTGCAGTACATGTAAACATGTCTCTGTTTTCTTGTTGCAAGGATTAAAAGTTACGTCATTAGAGTCTATAGCTTGTAATGTGAGCCCAATCTTAATGAAACGTCATTAACTTAAGTGCATAGCGAATTGATGGAGAGACGTCTATAGAGATTGCCAAGATTGCATGGTAACTGAATTATTTGATTGCACAGAAATAACCAACCGTTGCTATCAGCTGGAACGGCTATCGTCAATGCATAATTGTTACTTGGGAGTGTACTTTGTTTATCCCTTCAACATCAGCAGAGTGCAGAGTCTATGTCGTGAATTTCATCATTTTGTTTCTCTGGTTTTTTTTTTATTACAATGCTAACTGGTGTAAATAATACTCAAGTAAAGAAATGCATTTAATACTGTAAGTTACAGAAATGGAGTAAGGTTTTGAAATACAGTTGGTTTCCTTTTTGCATAAAATACAGATATAAATACAGTGTATTGTAATGTTCATGCTTAGGTAAATTGAGTGGATGTGAAAATGTATTTTAAAAATTGCATTTACACATAGTGCTGTAGTTGAGTCTGTAGTTGAGTACTGGTGTAAATGTTACTCAAGTAAAGAAATGCATTTAATATTGTAAGCTACAGAAATGGAGTAGACAAAGCTTTTGAAATACAGTTTTTCAGCTTCTTATTGCATAAAATAAAGATATAAATACAGTGTATCAGTAATGTTAATGCTTAGGTAAATTGAAGAGTTACAAGTGATAGGAAATGTATTTTTAAAAAAATGTATTTACATGCAGTGTTGAAGTCGAGTCCATCTCAAGTCCCTGCAAGTCCACGCTAGTCTATCACAAGTCCTTCCGTCTCAAGTCACTAGCTATTCAAATGAACTGTGACTTCGTCATTGACTGGTTCAGCTCTTTACTTGTGACTGGACTTTGGAAAGGACTTGTGAAAGGCCTTGTGATGGACTCCAACTACAACACTGTTTACATGTATTGCATATTTACATTTTTGGTTAACATATTGCATAATTTTTTTTTCAATTTGTGAAATATTACAACAATTGTTTATTTTATTTTACATAAGTTAGTAATGCTGTGCAAAGAACAACATGTTCTTTTCTTAATACTCATTTCTTACTTAGGCCAAAGAAAAATAATAGTTCTGCTTCCGGTGACCCTACCTACCCTATTTTGACAGCCATTACCCTAATCTTTGTTTGGGAATAATGAGATAAAAACCACCAAAAAACCATCAATTACTACCTTTCACCCTTGACTACATGCAGATATCACCATATAATCGTACACAAAAAATTGCCCCCCCCAAAAAAAAATTAAAATTATTCCCCCCCAAAAATCAGTAATTCCAGCCAGCCCAGCTGTGTGCAATGAGGAGATAGCACATGGCCACAAATGTAGTCACTAGCATCATGGGGAATCCCACCCTGGCAATAGAAACACAAGAAAATATACATGAATGGAAAATTAGTTTGGGCTGTTTTTCGGACACCTAAGTTAAAAAAAAAAAAAAAATCCAGTATTTCTGGGACTCAACAAATGTTCTGAATTTGAACTGTATATTCTTTGTTTCTTTTTTCTAAGTCTTAAAACTTGATTTTTGTGTCTTAATTTTTATTTTGTTGAAGCAGGTACATTTTTATGATACTGGCCTTTTTACCTCATGAATTCCCGGAAATTGTAACTGCAGCCGTGTTGTTCAGCAATGCCAGCACACACTACGTTAGCTGAAGCACCGATGAGTGTACCGTTGCCTCCTAGACAAGCACCAAAGGCTAGGGACCAGACTAAGGGCTTCAATGGCAGGTCTAGATTAGGATCATTGCCTAGGCTCAGGATGATGGGAACCTGGAGTCAAGAGAAGTTTAAGAAAGAAGATGTCCCTACATGTTTCTGAAATCTTGCAAAAGTTTTCATTCTCAGTTAAAATTGTTCAAATGAGCCACAAAGGGGAACCACCAACATAAGCCTGGGTAGCTCAGTTGGTAGAGCACCGGAAGAGTAATCTGAAGGTCTTAGGTTTAAACCCTGCTCTAATCAATTTCTTTGTTCAACTTTATAAAAAATGAGACTTTCCTTTCTCAAAAAGTGCTTATTCATAGTGCAAGTTACTAGTGCGAACGATGATTTTCACAAAATAAGTGACTTGGATGGACTTTGAAAACAGATGTAATGACAAACACATCAAGTCTGTCATGGCACAGCTTAATCAAATGGGGGGGGGGAGGCAGAATGTGTCTCCCCCCCCCTTCGGCATTGAGAAGGGGAAAATGGGATTGCTTAATGTTGCAAAAGTACTGATAAATTACAAATTTTGTGCTCTTATTTTTTTCATACAAACTTACCATGGCTGTAGTAAATGGAATATTGTCGATGAAAGACGAAGCGATAGCTGAAACCCAGACTAGTAGTATGATGGCTACTGTCAACTGCCCATCCTTTGGTACAGCCTGTCAGGAAACAAGACGTGGTGAACAAGTTTGGAAACCAGGCTAGATTCTTAACCTTGTGTTTAAAACAATTTTAGCATTTACAGAACTCTCTCAAAAAAAAAACCATCATGACTCACCTTAATGAGAGCAGACACCAAGCTTCCGATGAAGTCAATTAATCCTAAATGGGTTAAACCCTGAAAAAAGTAAAATAACATTATGCAACGAAATGAAATTTATCAGCATATTTTTAATCACTGGTTCCTCCAGGCAAGTGAACCAGTAAACTAGGTTCACCGTTTACTCATGGGTCCTAGGTTCGACTTCTACCAGGACCATATTGGGTTTAAATTACCTGATTGGACGAGGACTCTAAGCGTTAGCGTAATTATGTTCATCAATAAAGGTTTCTTCAAGTTTGTGATTGATCTGAAATGCAGTAATCACTTTTGTATATAAGTAACATATTTACTTTTCTTTGCGAAATTTCCTGTCCAATTCCCCCCCCCCCCTCACTTTGACAGCGTGCCCTCCCCCTTTTTCATCAAGATTTTTCCCTTGTAAACTAGGCCATCTATCTATGGATCTGTGCCAACCAATTTATACCTCCATAAGTACAAATAGTGCTGCGAAGAAGACCAGCGTTGCCCATTCAATCCTATGCATGACGTTCTCAATGTCATTGATATCGGCTAAGACAAGCAGAAATGTGGCAGCCAGAAGAGCAGTCCAACCTAAGCAACACAACACAAGAACATCACAGATTAATCATTGAAATTGATCACGTTTGCATCTTCAGAAGCACTAGATCACGAGACGTCAATAATTTGAAGCACCATGATGACATTGTAATTGGCCCGCAGCATAATGTCAAAGTGGCATACAGTTGTAGTTAGTTATGAAAAAGGTAAACTTTTATCAAGAACAGACATGAAAGCTAATTATAACCAGGTGCTTTCTTGTCATGCTTTGTCTTCAAAGTTCCTCTACAAAAGTGGCCTTTTTTCTCCAGGGGCCAACTTTTTGAAAGCATTTCCATTAAACTCTAGATTTTTACATTGATAATTTGATTTCTATTCCACTCACCTAAATTTAAATGAACACTGTCTATGGACTGAATGAAGAACGTGAGGATGGCTGCAATCAACACAATGCTGCATTTTATTAACAGGTTCTTGTCCGTGATGCGATACTGTCCAAAGGAATACAAACATACTCTCCATTACCTAATTAAATCTCAAACATTTTAGTCTTGCTTTGAAAATGTTCTGTATTCAATTAACCAAAATAATGTCATTAGATAAAAGGTTTTCTTTTCTGTTACCTTTTTCTGTAATTCTTTTAGGTTTTCTCGCCATGTTGAACTGGACTCTAATTCACTGGAAAAAAAAACCAAGCCAAAATAGATTTAGACATGGAGAGCCTTAGTATATTTCCAAAGAACAGTACTTTTTATTGTAACTTCACAAGGATGAATTAACACAGCGGGATTGAAACTGAAATTGAGAACATGAGAAAAGTGGCACACCTCAATTTAATGTACTCTTTCAACTACTTTAATTTTATCCAGGGAACATTATTGCTACTACCTGGTTGTTTCGCATTGGAAAGTTATCTTCTAAAAAAAAGAAGGAAAAAAAAACCAACTTTTATTTGACCAACCATTTTAAAACTATTTTTTATTCAGTTTCAAGTGTAGTTTCAAAAGGTACCTTTAATTTGTCCACTTACCCCACCATGACCATCTGATGCTTGAGTGAATCTTCCAGTTGATAGACTTTTTGCATAAGTAGTTTCTTGACTGTAGCTTCTTCCTTGGTTGCTACCATGATTCGCGTTGCCGCCTGTCGCCATAGCTCTATCTCACGCTTCAACTCTGAAAAATCAAAAACAATGTCCTCGTAACAAACACAATTTTTGTCTGACAATTGCACTTATATTTCTGTATTAACTTCTGTTTTCTATTTTGTTTTGTTTTCGAGTTAAAAATGTTTTGGATTAGTTGCACTGGGAAGATTCATTTTCACCTTGTTTCCAACTGAAACAAGCTGACCATCTAGAAAGCTTGCTATTCACAAAGGAATCATTCCTTATCGGACCAGTTTTCTGAGATTGTTTCCAGGGCGATGAGTACTTGTCCCTTTTTCAAATAAGCATATATATGTGCATTTTCAGAGTAAAATTAATTGGTAATTGGTAAGACTATTCGCAGCCAGATGTTTTCCAATGTCTTCAAGTTCTATTAATTAACTCAAGTGCAAAGTACAAACCTCTTATTTCCGGAGGATCTTTAGCAGATAGATTCATCTTCCTGTACTGAAGCCACAGCAGCAGGAAACCAGCTAACATGCAGAAGATGATACCAATGAACATATGCAGTGTGAACTCGGCAAAGTCTATACCCTGTGTGTAAAGAAATAGGTTACCAGTTGAAAATTTATTATACAACGAATGGCTGTGTATGATTATCGGGCATTGTGACATATTAAAGTGGTGGTGCAATAAGATGTATATGTGTGTTGAAATGAAAATTAAAGTTTATACACCAAGTTTACTCCTTGTAGGTTTACCTGTAAGATTACTGTAATTTTTGTATCTGTCAACGTACCTGATGTGGTCATTGTGAGCTGTGGCATGATGTGATGGATGGTGTTGCCATAGATACTGGGATGCATATGCATGATTCATGGATGAAGGTTTCACATGAAAAAAAAATAATGAAAAGAATTGTGGAAGTGTGCATCATAGGCAAAAACAACGACCCAAATATAATCCAGGCTCCTGGGAATGGATGGGAGTGGACCATCCTCCTAATTTCTCATTTCTCAACAAACTTTATATTTGTCTCCGTCAATATCTTTTCACCTACATCATGTATCTCTTCTTAAATTGTTTGACTTCTGGATCAAATGTTAAATCTTTCTAGATTTCTTTCAGTCTTGATAAAGTTTTTCAAGTCAGACTTACCGCTTCCTGTATTCCTTTATTGGAAACAATGATGACATTGGGCGGGTCACCTATCGCTGTTGCTGTGCCACCAATGTTAGAGAACATGACCTCAGCAATGAGAATATACTTGGGATCCAACTCCAAGACTTCACAAAGTCTGCAAATCATTTGAAAGATTGTTAATCAATTTCCAATTCAGAAAAAGTGTTGTTTCCAAAAGAGTTAAAATTGTGCCTTAACATTGACAATTTTGATTGTATTAATTTAGTTTCAAATACAAGAAACACTTGAAGTGTATGAAGGTTGATTAAATCCAAATGACCTGGGATTTGGAATTCTGGACCACTGATATTAAAGTTATCTACTATACCAAATAAGTGGGTTATTCGTCTCTTCAGTTTCTTACATCTTGGGCTTAATGGCTCATACATTTACCCAAATTATCTTTCCAATCAACAAATCAATTACATCTATTTAATGTAATTGATGATTAAATCGAGTTTGATCAGTCATAGATAATTATCCAATGGTGTCAATTTTACCTGATAGTTACTGGAGTCAAGAGCAATGCTGTGACATTATCATCAATAATTACAATAATATAATTGATAATTAAACTGAATTTGAACGATTGTGAAAAGTTCATTTGCTACCTGATAGTTACTGGAGTCAAGAGTAATACTGTTGTGACATTATCCAGCACGGATGAGATTGCTCCAGAGAAGACGCAGAGTATAATGATGAGGGTCCAGACTTTACCCTTGGCCATCTTGTAGGCTTTCAACGCACAGTAGTCGAAGAAACCGGTCTCCGAGAAGATGGCTACCAACGTCATCTAGTGAATATACAAATCGGAAACACAGAAGTGCCTTTAAGAGCTGGTTCCAATTTGGTATAAATTTGGGGGGGGGAAGATTTTGTTTTTTTCATTGTAATTTACTCACCATTCCCCAGAGGAGAGAGAGTGTCTCATAGTCGATCCAGGTCATGATCGTTTCTAGCGGAGGTCGCTCATTCAATGCTGCCAATGTGGCCAATACTGCAAAGGATCCCAACATGGCTGCCACTGTGCGGTGAACCAGCTACGGAAAAAAATAGGAATGTCGGTTATTTACAAAATAATTCAAAAAGTTAGAACTTGTATTAAGACCTCCTTGATGTAAATGTTTTAATTTGTTAATAACTTAGAGAAAAAAAATAGTTTAAAAATAACATTTTAGAAAATATTGCTGGAAACAAATTTAATGTTGAGCAAACTTAACTGAGTTTGAGTAAATTTTCTAAGGTGTTGAAAAATTTTGAAACAAAGTTTTGACTCATCTAATTTTGTTCTTGCCACAAGATATATTTGGTAGAACTCATTTACCACTGTTATAGCATATGTATACATTTGTTCAAATATCCCAAAAATTGTCCTAGCAAGTTGGATGGATTGTTACCATTGGTTCAATGTCATACTTACATCAAAGCCAATGAGTACATAGACTGCAATAAGAATGACTCCAGCGTATATCACGTCATACTGGGCTGCATACGGCATGGCAAGGTAACGGATTGCGATCACTGTATGATGCTCCGTATCCGTGGAAACCTTAATGTAAAAAGTGTCGTCTTCGTGGGAGCTGATAAAAAAAAATTATCATTTAAAAATGACGATTCAACAGACGTTTTACAATTTACTTGAGATTAAATTGCTAGTATTGGAGTATATATGAATTTACATATTAGAAATTATTGCATGTGGCATTTTGTGAACTTTTTGTCCAAGGGACATTTAAATTTTGTGGCATTATTGCAGTGCCCAACTTCTGTTAAAAAAAAAAAAAAGACGATTGCTGGGAAAGTTTATACAACGTTGGGCACAAATAAGTAGAGATTAGTTTCAATACATCATGTACATCATTTAGCATAGTGGCTTTTTTGCTATATAGCAATTCTTGTCTGTGCTCAGCACACTTTGGTGTCCATAGGCAAGACACATTACAGTGATTGCTTGTGTTTTCCAATTGGTTTGTGGTCATTACAATTAATATTCGTTTAGTAAAATGCAAAGTTTTTCATGACTTGAATCATGAACTCGGAGTTCAGTGATGAATATAATGATGATATGATTCAACTTACTCATCCCAAGGCAGCAGTATTTTTTCTATTGTTTCCACCATTTGATTGCTTTGGACAACATCCTCATCTGTGTCTAAGATAAAGTTGTATTCCTTGACCACATGGCCATCGGATGACCTGGCAAGGATGACCGTTGCATTGTGGGGGTTTTCTGCTTCATCGCTGTCGATTACAAATGCTCCTGCTATACCAAGCCTTATGACATCCAATCGTGCCTCGTTGATATCGCTGATGTTGAGAACTATAGAGGGCGGCTTCAGTCAAGGATTTAATTCAAAGAGTTCAACCTCCCCTCCCCCATCAGAATGAAAATTTAATAGAATATATCAAAATTTACTTCAGTGGACTGAATTTTAAAGTTTCTTCAATAAGGATACCATGACTCTGTGTGCGAGATGTTGGGAGAATGGTGCGAATGGCTTCAGTTTCCTCTTGAAGACTAAAGAACACCTGACACAATGAGAACAGAAAACAAGTGTAAAAACAAGGTAGAAGGTCAAGTAAAAATAAAAACCAAAAACAAAACAAAAACCAAAAAGGAAAAATTACTTCTTGACATGGTCCAAGCCAGAAAAATAAAAATAAACGTGAAACAGGGAACAAATTAGGAAAGTGTTTCCGACTTTTCCACTGAGAATGGTCCTCCTGAACACACAAACCAATTATTTTTTCTCATGATGAAAGTAATTTTTCACTGTTGAATTTCTCAGAGCCATTTGTTAGAAAAGTGATTTTTGTTTGTTTTATCATACTTACTAAAACCACAAGCATAAGCATAAGGAGAAGACCAATTTTCAGATTGTTCAATATATGTCTGTTGGGGCAAAACAGAAAAAAAAGATGTGAACAATTAATGACTTTATTTTCTTGTAAATAAGTGAAACTGGAGAAAAAAATGACAAAGTAATAAAATAGAAAACAGAACTTCATTGTCAATGCAATGTAGTTTGTTATAAAACTGAAAATCTTATTCTTAGAGATATTCTCGGATGATTAAAAGTATCCCAGATTGGGAATTTGTTCATCTATATACCACTTTGCACCTACTTTGCTTTTTTGGTCTTAAATTTTGCCATCCAGCTTTTCTTTGTATCTCCGTCGCCTTGGGAACTGAGTGAGAGACTACTCCACATTCTCCTGTAGACTGGCAAGTTGTTGGATGCTACTCTGTTTATTAGAAACAAAACCAGGAAAAATGAAAGTTTAACCTCATATTTCTACGTTTCTTGTCTATTTTTTCAATTGAATAATGCATGTAAGAGACAAACTTTTTATCAAATGGTACAAGAAATTTCTAAAAAAAAAAAAAAAAGTTTCTTTGAGATCACTTGCAAAACCTGACTATTTATTGACAAAAAAAGTAATATGTGAAGTTGAACAACTTGAACTATAATGAAGCTGTTAAGAAAGTATTTTCAACCAAAAAAATAACATTGATAGAAACTTTTTATCAATAATTTACAGTTTACAAACTTTGTTTCTGGAGTAACCAGATCAGCACTGTATCCAACCGTGAATGAATTTTGACTGATTCCGTTGCCATTGTAACCGTCATGTGCAATGGAACGATGCTTCTTTTTCATATCCGTCAACAACTGGGTAGTTTCATTAAAGTCCGTCTGCAAGATGTCATCTTCAGGTATGGAAGAGGAGTAGACCGTGGAATGGGAGGTTTCATCCGTTTCATCATTATGTGACATGATGGAGGTAGCTGTACTGTCGTCAGATGAATTATGTCAATATTTGAAGAAAGGCTGCAATGAGAAAAAAAAAGTTGTTATTCCAGGATGATAAAAAGTTAAAGGCTGGTATAAATGTTTGAGACATTTCTGAATATAAAAAAGGATTTGGTGTGGTTATGATCATGACAAGATCTGGTGATCTGATGATGATTATGATAATGGAATAACTCTTTATTTAAAAAAAGGGAAAATAAAAAATGGAATGCATAAACAGTTGAAATACCAGCCTACCTAATCAGATTCTCATTTTGTTCACTTGCCAAATCCAGTCAGTCTATAGATTTTATTCTCAAATTATTTATTGCACCGTAGAAAATGGCCACCAACACCGTTCACTTTAGTCCATGCACAGTAGCGTCACACAGAATCTACCTAAATCACTGCAGGTACAAAATGTTATAATCCTTTAATCTTTATACAAACTTCCATGATGCAAACAAAAACGTACGTCTATATACCAGCATATACCAGCCTATACGAAGCACCTGATCAATACTGGACTTTGAACTGTTTTAATTCTGACACAATCAATGTTTTGACAACTTATCAAACTAGACCTTGTGACATGATCCTGGTGTAAACTTTTGATTTAGGCAACCAGTGGTCAGTGAGTTAGAATTCTGAACCAGACATGGAAGTAAAAGGAAGGGGGCTATTAAAATTAATTCCTGATATTAAATGAAAAATTAGTCTTAAACTAAGATAAATTAATTTAACTTGATCAGATAAAAAAAAAAGGGGGTGGGGGGGGGGGGGCTAGAAAAGTGGGTTGTGTGATATGTTATAGCTGTATGTGATTGTTTCCAAAAATGATGGACTGCCACGCCCAGGCATCAGTGAAGAAACAGCAACAAAAAATTGTAAAATCAGAGTGACTTTTAATTGCTTCCTCCTCCCTCCAGTGTATAGCTCCACACCTCTCTTCCATACCCAGTGTCGGAAGATTTCTTAAATAAGGCCATTTTTCACTTCAGAGAGCCCTTCCACCCTCCCTGCACCCCCCCCCCTCCCAGCAGTAACACCTCTGGATCTGCCCTTGATACCAAATACAGGATTTTGACCAAGTATATCCCACTTATTTCATGATTAATAACAAACTCTGGCTGTTAGCCATTTAACATCTTTATTGAGGATTCATGGACCATCTACTTTTCTGTGAGACAGATCGATGCCTGCATCCTCAATTGCATCTTAATGTTCATAGCCTACTCATCTTGCAGCATCATTTTTGTTAGCCCGACTGCGTCTGGCCGTACAGTACTATCGCAAGCTCTGTAGTACGGCCAGACGCCCGATGCTTCTACAGAGACTGATTTTTGTTGGCCGCCGATGTAGCGATTTTGCTACATCTTTCGATCGCGATTATCTTTTCATCCAGGACACACATTTCCAAAGTTAAGGTTCGTAGTCGTAGAGCAACTCATACCTTTTCGAAAAAACGTTCTTTGGTCTCAATATTTTCATCCATCTGGCCACAAGACGAATTTCAGTCATCAGATTCCACAAATATCGTCCCCCATGCGATCCCCCATGCGATTTCAAAATGGCGGCCGCGCTGTAATGCATGCATTATGCGAGCGCGCTTGGGCAAAATAATGAATATGCATTATTAGTTCATGACCTCGTGTTTGTATGGCCAGCCGCGCTGAGTGTCCGACAAACGTCATAAACTATGATGCATATTCATTATCTTGCCCAAGCGCGCTCGCATAATGCATGCATTACAGCGCGGCCGCCATTTTGAAATCGCATAGGGGATCGCATGGGGGACGATATTTGTGGAATCTGATGACTGAAATTCGTCTTGTGGCCAGATGGATGAAAATATTGAGACCAAAGAACGTTTTTTCGAAAAGGTATGAGTTGCTCTACGACTACGAACCTTAACTTTGGAAATGTGTGTCCTGGATGAAAAGATAATTGCGATCGAAAGATGTAGCAAAATCGCTACATCGGCGGCCAAAAAAATTCAGTCTCTGTGGAAGCATCGGGCGTCTGGCCGTACTACAGAGCTTGCGATAGTACTGTACGGCCAGACGCAGTCGGGCTACATTTTTGTGTGACTAAGTCTGTGGAGCAACCGATTTAACGCTTCTCCATGAAATGAAATGAGTAGTGTCTGTCATGACCAAAGCCATGACGTGATTGATAGCTAGATCAGAAGACAAAAGTCGTCATGCATCACTGCACAAGTTAATTGGCATGTTTAACCAAGCCCTACGACTCGTTCACGCGTTTTAACCGGCTTCGGGACAAAAACACAAACATGCAACTGCCGTCTGATGATTCAAGCCGGAACACAGTTCAATGCGCATGGGCAAATGGTCTTTTTAATTCCAAGCGTGCGTAATATGGCAGACCAGTTTGAGCGGGATTGATGCGGTACAAACTCACTTCCCTAAATGATATCATAGGTAAATATATCCTTTAGTTTTTACCTTACGATAATGCTTTCATAGCAAGCAAGTTTGAGAATGTATAAATACTGCGGAAGTTGCCAAGAAATATCAGTTCCAGAGCCCAACGTTCGTGTACGCGTTGGCCGTTGCATTGCGGACATGAATTACTTGCGTGCTTTGGCTTTGCTCGTTTTTTGATCCTTCCATTGTCATGATTGTCTAACTTTGGCTTCAATTACTTCAACTTTCAAGTCATGCCAGTCTTTAAAACTAAAAGCAGTAAGGACTCTTAGTTTTAATCTTGACTTATGTTTACTAAAAATTGTGAACATTTGCTGAGCCTGACATGCCTGAGTATTGTCTTCAAAGTTAAGTGCAAAACTGCAAGCATTCAGCATTGTGTATGACGAGAATTAATGTAACTGATCCATAAGTCATGTAAGTGATGACTGAACATTAAACTGTTTTTCAAGATTTTGTTTGGCAGCATATTTTACGTCGGTAAGTGGCATCGGCACTTTTGACTTTGCATATTCAAAATTAAATGAGCTGTAAATATGGGAAGTTATTTTGTTGTATCTGCCGGCTGCCTCACTCACTCAAGGTAAACTAAGTCTTGTAAGTTTAACTAAGTAAAGGTATTAAACCACTGTCACTTGAATTTGTGGATTTATATTTGAACCGAAAGCAGCCCGAATGATGTTCGCTATCTGGAACTAGGAAAACGACTGTACTCCCTATTTTGTCATATTTTTTGGACAATGGAAAAGGGAAAACAAAGGACAAATTTACTAATACTAGTACTTTGTTAACAAATAGTTACAGTGTTAAAATACAGCCAACATCATGACCAACAGAAAGACAATGTTAGCCTGGGCCTACATTGGCATTTTGCCATTAAATTAATGTTGACATCAGGGCTAGTTTGAAGGTTTAAATGTAAATTCCTGAATGGGCCAGTATATTTTCCAAATGAATGACAGTAACACATTGACTTTCATTTTTTTTAATCCTCCAGGTCTAATTAACTCAGATTAATTCAAAGCTCAGGCCCACTTGACAAGTGTCATTGTAAGGAACTGATCATGTTTGGGGCCAACAAAGCTCCATTTGGGACGTCATCATTTGGGTCAGGTAAAAGAATTTCCAAACTGTAGTGAAACTAATTTTAAAAAGTATGATTTAAAATATCTTTTACAAAAATTATAATGACCTCATGCATTGTCCTGTGTAAAACCATGGTACATATGTAAAACCCTCATCAAAGAGGTTGCATATAAATGCATGATGTAGACAAAGTATTTTTAAATTCATTAAAAAAAAAAAAGGATACATCTTTTCCCTAACTCCCTCGGCATTTTTCTTGGATATAACCTCAATCCTGCAAAATCTTCCAACTGCCTCCATGTAAAAATAGCACACAGCCTCAATCCTGCAAAATCCTCCATTATTTCTTGAATGTGGTCCTTGGAAGGGTACCCACTGCCTCAATCCTGCAAAATCCTCCAGCAATCACTGTCCATGTGTGGAGGCAGAGCCAGTGACATCCTGGAGCAGTGCGGAGGATTTCAAGTATAATATAGACCTACATTTATGCACGGCTGAGCATAAACAACACAAGGTCTGGCCTAAGACCTTGGCGCAGTGCATCCTCCAAAATCAGCAACACACTTTTGCCATATAGCCTCAATCCTGCAAAATGCTCCATATTGCACAGAGGATTTTGGAAGATTTGTTAAGTTTAGGGTTAATGTATAACATCAACAATCCAAGAATTAGAAATGATCACATACTATGGTCTTGGCAGGTGGTTTTGCTTCACCCACTGCTAGTGCTACCCCATTTGGCCAGCGTAAGTTCCTGTTTTGGATGAGTTCATATCCAGAGCTAATAATTTTCCATTCCATTATAAAAACAAAATCTAAATTTCCCCTTCACCTAAAAGAAGAATTAATCATTTAATTATAACTTAGAGCTTTAGATATCTATTGATTTATACTTTCCTGGTAATGCTGGAGAAATATTGGCTCTTTGTAGTTAGTCAAATCACTATAAAACAAGCACATTGTTCAGCAATGCCCCTTGTTAAAGCACAATACAATACTATCTTTGCAATGTTTATGCATATTATGGACAGGTATGTCAGCCTTATAAGTTGAAAGCTTGTCGGCCCATCACTAATGGTTATATAACAGCCATGCACATAAGTAATTGAAAATGCAATGCAGTTTTTCATGTGCTCTTACACAACATTAATCAACATTTGCTAATATTAGCGTTCGTCAGATTAACCGTAAACACATAACACATGACTTTCTTCATTCATCTGTCACCATGATTTGTTCTGCACAAAATCAACATCACATTTGGAATACCAGTATACAATGTACACTATTATACACAAATTTCCTTTTGAACACTGCTTATTTCTCCGCTTGTCATGAAAATAGTTAAATTGAGGTAAAAGGTTACTAATTATTTTTTACATTTAATAATTTCTCTCGCAATTGAGTCATATTTGGCGCTTAAGAGTGGATTATTTTCTTCAGTGTAATCAATTTCTTAAGTTCGACCCAAAAAAGTTGTTGTGTTGCCCTCACATGAAAATATCAGGAGGGTCGGTCAGTCGGGTTTTTTTTTTTTGGGGGGGGGTTATACATAGTTAACATAAAGGCCTACCCTTTCTTCTATTCCATTCGGTTACCAATTCTCCTCTGCCAACGTACATGAACCGTTTAGGCTGCATGTGCTGCATGCGTCAGTTACACAGACAAAATACAGTAAATTCGAACTGTACTTTCATTTAGTTATGTACATTTGTAACAAAAGGCAAAATTATGGCACTACAAAGAAACGGTAACGGTAAAGTTAAAGTTTAAGAAAAAAAGAAAAAGAAAAAAAAAAGACAGCAGATTATGAATTTTGGTCAGTTGGATGAGGGTAACACAATTTCTTTTTTTGGCCTCATGTTAGTGCAGAAACTCCACTTGCAATAAGCATTAGCAGCAGAATCCAAATTCTACTATTGAATAATATTCCTTGTCTGATTCTTGCTTGTAGGTGCCAATGCATTTGGTTCTAAGACACCAGGAGCAACAGGATTTGGTACTCCATCAGCGTTTGGTGCCCAGACTCCTGCAGGTAGTCTGTTTGGCACTGGGGCATCTGGGGGCCTGTTTGGTAGCACAGGGAACACCTTTGGAGGTAACACCTCTTCAGGTAAGGAGATTTCACTTTGATATTAAAGCTTCATGGAGAGGAATGTATGATATAAAGAGACCTAACCCTGTCATCGGAAGTATTTTGACTAAATTAAGAACCTTCTTGATTTGGCTGAAATCCACTTATTTGAACAGCCTATAAGGATTCAATACATTAATCATAGATTTGTATACATGGAAAGTGTGTCGTGATTGACATAGTACGTTGCTTTGTGTTTGTTGTAACTTGAGAGAAGCTGTAGATCAGTCCGAATTGATTGCCAGTGATCCTTAATTTCATTCATTGTACTGCAAAGAAATGAAGTTATGTGCAATAAATATTTTCCAATCTAAAAATATTTGAGAAAACCTGAGAGCAGGTTATCAGTAATACTGTTTTTTCTCTATCTCTCTCTCTCTTTATTCAATTGCAGGCATGGGATTTGGTTCCAATACTTCCAGTGCTGCAGGCACATTGTTCAGCAGCACATCAAATGCCGGCACTACGGGTCTATTCTCAACTCCTGCAACATCTTCCTCCTTTGGCAACTTTGGATCAAAGGGTAAGTAAACTATGTTTTGAACTTGATAAAAAAACTGGTTTTTTTTAATGTTGCTGACGGTGTTATAAAATGGAACCTTCCATTTCCTGTATTAAATATCTTGAATAAGGCAGTGTAACCTACATGTTTTGGTTCAGTGTAACCTACATGTTTGCCATTGGTTCACTTGGTGCAATGTCAAAGGTCAAATCTGTCTTACCATTGCTGCCATTGGTTGTCTCCTCTTAAAGGTTTCAGGGATGACTTTTGTGGCGTTTACTTCTGGTTCCAGCTTTGGTGCAGACTGCAGACATGCATCAGGCAATGTGCTATTTAAATTCCCAGAAATGGGATACCTTAGGAGTGGGTAGAAATACTGACAATAATTGAGGTTCAGTAAAAAGTTGATGTACATGTACACCGATACCTGTGTCAATATCAATGTAGATTCGCTGTACTTAAATCGAAATCAGTCATTGGTTAGTCTTATCGATGCCAGTTTGGATTGGTTGAAACAAGTCTGTACCATGTTGAAACAGATATTTTACAAGCTCTTAAATATCTACAGTCATTTTGGGACTTACTAAGGGCAGGAGTACATGGAGGTAAAATTATTGAACAACTAGAACACTTAATTGCAGCCAAACCATTTTAGCAAGTCAAAAGCAATTTATTTTTCAAAAGAGTTTGTGTGACATCTGTTAGGAAAAGGGTTTGTTAAATTAAATCCATTGATGTTATTGAGTGACCTTGGCCATTCACGTGATCAATCTTTCCAATTCCATCCTTCTATCTGATCCATCATTCTGTATCTCCAGGCCCCAACCCCATGCCCCTCCCTCCTTTTTTTCCTGGAAACCTCTTGTGACATCCAAGCAGTATTAATAAGCAAGTCATATTTTAACCAATTGCCCAGAGAACGTTGTCAGATTCGCCTCAGACTTGAAATTGGAATTGGCAGGTTGGAAGGGTGACAGGACTTGCTGTGGTCCCAAATGAAGCTTAAATCAAACAGACCTTCCGGTGAAATGCTAATTAAATGCAGACGTAGGAAAAATTGCCAACCCCTTAGTTGCTTTTCGCTGTTTGAAATAATTGATTTACATGTGACTGTTGATTTGAGTCAATTGACATATTCGCAGAGTGGAGTTAAAATGTTTAACCCTAACCCACCTCACTCCTCCAAAATCCTCCTGGTGGTTTTGGAGGATTCTAGAGGATTGAGGATGAATGGTGATTGAATCAAATGAGGATTCTGGAGGATTGAGGATGAATGGTGATTGAAGCACATGAGGATTTTGGAGGATTGAGGATGAATGGTGATTGAAGCACAAGAGGATTTTGGAGGATTGAGGATGAATGCATTTTGAGGCAGGACTGTCTGATGATTTTGAAGGATTTGGCGTTGGTTATCCTTCATTTAAACACGAGTACAAAATTTTGGGATGAGGAGGATTTTGGAGGATTGAGGATGAATGCATTTTGAGGCAGGACTGTCTGACAATTTTGAAAAATTTAGGCGGAGTTGCAAAATTTTGGAGGATTTTGGAGGATTGAGGATGGTTGTAAGCAACAAGGGCCTAGGGGGTTAGGGTTTTAATCAACTTGTTAATTTTTGGAAGAATAGTCTTCCTGACAATTTGCTGAAGTAGTTGTTCAAAGTGGAAGAATGTCTTTTTTTGTACAATCTCTGACTGGAAATCGGAATTACCATTGGAATAGCTGGTGCCTAGAGCTGTACATTGACAAGACCCAATAGGGAATGGCAGGGGTGGCATCACTTAGATAAAGATACGCAGTCAATTGAATTGAGGATGTTAACCATTAGTGTTGTCCTAATGCGCAGTGTTGGGATTGAAGCTTGTACTGTAACTCAAGGGCTAGGCTTAGGAAGGGATATATGGGGAGTGAGGCACATGATTGGTTATTCCTATGGCGTCGTAGAGTAGTAGAGTGATTTCCTGCTGTCAGTGAGGATGTCACCCTTCGACAAGCTAACTTTCTCAGGAGGGCACTGAGAGTCACAGAGCCCTGTGAAATTGAACACGAGACACGTGGCTGTGTTGAGTATACCTCAAAGGACTTTCCCCTCTGTAATATCCTGCCGCATTATCAGTCATCAAATGAACTTTTCACCCCTATTTAGTCTCCAAAATCTTTCTCCATGATCCCCCTTTTACCCCCCCCCCCCCTCAAAGTTTCTTTCACGATCGACTCACATATGCCAAACTCAGTATGCGTGCATCGTGATTGAAATCCCATCTACCAAGTTGGTGTTTTTAAGCTGAGGAACAATGAGCGTGCAGTTTGCCCCTAGGGGTACGCTCAGGTGCTTGGGAGACTTGCTACTGGTGTCGGAGACAGGTGAGTCAGCAGACTCTCCCCACCGTTTCACCTCGCCCCCCTCCCCCACCCCATTGCCGATTGGTTGGAGACATGTGACCGTCTTGCCTGAGCACTAAAATGTTTGCACTTCGTCATTTGGCACCGTTACATTCAGAAAGCCTCATTTGGGCAGTGAGAGATGGTGATGACGTACTCTTAGCTGATGACTTAATATACATGGGGAGATTGCTGGCTGTGACCATTACTTGGAGTTCGGCGAGTTAATCCAATACATGTACAAACTCTAAGTTCTTGTGAAACATTCAAGTCTTAGAGAGTTAATCATCTTCCCACTTTATTTGTGCTGATCCAAATTCTTCCAAGATGGTGGACATGTCATTGTGGCCCATTTTTGCCATGGGTCGATACTTTCCAGGCTCTTCAGTTCCAGGTAAGGGCAACTGCAGGCTTTCACATTGACATAGATCTGCTAACCTACCTGAAACTTACATTTAATGGTAATATACAACATTCGCTTTTGCTGTAATTTTCAGAAATGGATTGGTTTGGGGGTTGGTATTTTAGAGCAAATAATTATTGTGACACTGACCTGTTTAAAGTTTTGTGTTCATATATGCTAAGGGAAAAAACCAAGAAAAATATGCTCTCCTTGTAGTTTGGTTCCCTGACCCTATTTCAGTCAAAACGGAGCAATTGATAGATGTCAGGGAATTGTCAGGTCAGAGAACCAGACTAGCTGGCTTGCACCCGTTCATGGATGTATAACCAATTCACTGACAGTCTATTTCTATTATTCACTGATAGCTAATTAAGGTATTTTATAATGATGTTTGCAAATGTTGCGTATTACCTTCAATTAGTTTATGGCTATGTCAGTATTTGATTTAAGGTTGAGTCTAGGCTGAGTTTTTTTAAGTAGGGAATTCTAAGTTTTGATTAATAATGGAGGCCAAATGGCCTACAGACCAAATAGATATCATGTCATATAGTCCATAGAATCTTTTTTACTGTTTCTATAAAAATTTCCTCTCTCATATCAATAGAGTGCACCTTCACAGTGCACTCGTATAGACTTTCCTTTTAAGACAAGGTATGAAAAAGACTAGCATGGCTTGCAGAGGCACTTTAAATTCCCACTGAGGCAAGGACTGTATGAAGTGTAGACTGGTGGATGTAAGGTTTGCTCTTTACAAGAGCACTCGGCAGATCCATTTATATTTCTTCTGATCAGCCGGTGTGTTTACTGGCAAGCATGCCCATGTTGTGGTGTTCATTAACGGGTAGTACGAGAACCGGGTATTGAAGAAAAACACAGATACCAGTAAAAGAAACCCAACTGATAAATCAACATCCCGGAAGTTATCTGAAGGGCTTTATAGCTTTACGGTGTCAACTGCAACTTTCTCGAGCGTCGTCTGTCGGGCATTAAAATGCACATAAACGTGAAATCTGTTTTGGTTTTCCATGTAGCCAGGTTTTCATTTGGAAAATTCCCAACAAATGGCATATAAAACTTTTCTTTTTCATTGTCTGAGAAGTTACTAAAGTAATTTGTAAAGTTGGTTACGGGAACCCGATCCCTAACTCTGGTTCCTGATGTCAGCAGTAGGGTACTCTGGGCACACCCTTAATTTATGGTCTAGATCCAAAATGACAGGATTAGAGTTTGTTTTCATTTGATTTGTCTTTTATTTTAAAACTTACTTGACTTGGAAGGAGATCCATGTATTTCATGAATGAATTCATAAACATGAAGTTAATTTTTGAGGCAACATTGAGGTCAAGTTTCAAACTTTGAGCTAGGTTTTAGTGTTTGTCGTCATCAAGCCTACAGCAAGACCAATTAATCATACCTCTACTAACAAAATTAGAAGCTATTTTTGAAGTGAACCATATTTGCACTCTGGTAGTATGCACGCACTTCCACCAACAGGGTTAACCAAATGCTTCGTCTTTAAGAATACGAGCGGCATGCACGCAAACGTGGTTCCACCTCAAAATAGCTTCTAAGTTTGTTCACCGATTAAGCGTATACATACAGTAGCGTTCAATATCATAGCTTGATATTGATTACTGTCATGCCTAATTGATGGTCCTTATTTCATGATTTCCTTCTCGCCAAGTTTCTGCAGGGTAAATGACCTCACAACAGCAGGATTTCTTTCATGTGGCCTCCGTTTTTACACTTATCAGCTGTCATTTTTTCTGGATATGATTTTAAAGTTCACAGAAAGTATGCCAGATATTGAAACGTGGGGGAAGGGAGAGTTTAAATTTGGCTTGACAGGTGTCTGTTTAATGTAACTCAATGTCAGTAATATGTGTGGACATTTATAAAGCGCTAGTATCCGCAAAGTCATAACTTAGTGACATTCACCTTAGCATTGGTCATCAGGTCTATAAATCACTTTTGATACTTGCGACGTTCCCTAGAGTCCGTGGCTGTCGTAGTTTATCGTATAGAGCTGCTATAGAAACCACCGCGTGTATACCCTCACACTCACTAGTTAACTACGGCGGTATAGTGTAGGAGAAAGTCCCTCAAATCTGAAGACTTAAGTCTGAAGCAGTAGGCCTGAAGCAGTAGGCCTAGGCCTGGAATTTGAAAAAGTAATACACAATTTCTACAAATTAAAAAGAAAGTATAATCGAAATTATAACACATTCGCGTGTGAAGTATAAGAAATACTTAGACATCCTTCTGACTTCAGACTTGATGGGAGATGTGTTAATGATAACTGGATATTGCATGATCCAATATATCCTGCACTTTGCACTCTGACGTTATGTACAAACAGGGCAAGTTGAACATTTAGTATCTCAGTTACTGACGTTAGCAGACTGGTAAAGCAAAGAGGATGGTTGCAGCATCATGCAAGAATGGATTGGAGTCAAGGAACAAGACCCAAGTTGACCTTAACCTTGACAATTATCCAGTGGCCTGAATTCCTTGATCAAATCATTTCTTAAATCTCTATCTCTCCGATGGTTAAAAATCCAAAGGTCAACAGGAACAGGTTTTTTGGGACATTTTTGGCAGGTCACCAGAAGATTCATCTAACACCCTGCGTTTTTATTTGCAGGGAGCAGGGTGCTTGCAGTCTCAAACTGACATTAAGCATGAGACGCCTACACCCCCGGTAATGGGCTGTCATGTTAAAAACATCAACCTAAATCCCTAAGGCTACTGGCCTGGATTGGGGGCAGGGAAAGTAGCTGTATGTAATCCATCCAGTTTAGAGAAAAACAAACGAGCCAGATCATACCTTGAACCTTAACTAGTCCCCCATTACCCACTTATTCCCACCAGACTGGATACCTTGTTCATAAACAGGTGTTTGATTTGAAAGATGATTAAGTTGTGATTCATCAAGGAAAAAAAATGTTCTGAAAATGAAAGTGGAGAGACAGAGGTTTGGTTCTCCAATGTTTTTGGAGAAATGATATCAACATTTACAACCTGTAGAGTGAGGATGCTTTAGAAGTTTGGAAAATAGCACGCACTGTCAAAGGGCCACATGATGTATGGAAATGGTGCAACGAGAAGTACGCCTTTAATTCTACCGCATTCTGATGTCCATTTGATTGCTAAGGGGAAGCATAAACTTACAAAAGACTCTCAAGACACTGCAGTTATTAATAACAAAACCTTTAAACGCTGTCACTTCTTGAACATCAAGTCTCACGATGATGGTAGAGACTCCAGGAAGATGTAACCACAGCAACCCAGATTTGTTTAGGGCCAGTTGTTGCCCTCCAATCGTTGAAAGTGACAGGCTAGTCAGTTGTAGTAGCTCCTTTCCTGTCTGGTAATGACAGAAAGCGGTTCAGTACTGAGCCACTAGCTGTCACGCCTAGAGCCCCCCAGCCAAGTCACTCCGTTGATGGACAAGATATAACAACGTTCATGTACGTGTGCACGCATTATCGCAGGTGTGTAACCCCCCTGGAAACTGTGCCATGCTCATTGACTCATCACCCATGTTACTGTGGTATTAGCCAGGGGGGTGCCAAACTGCAATTTGGGTGGCCTGTCACGTTTGATGAAACACTTAACCATTTGTCACGCACATTTAAGTTACATTATTGTATCTTTGCCCTTTTAATGGTCTTGATCGTTCTTGATAAATAGTGTCTTTTAATTCGTTTCCACTTTTATTTCCTAACTGTTGGCAGGTTCAGATAAAAAGATTGAGTTCTTAGCCCTAAATAAGAGTGTTGAATCCATCAAAGACATCCCAAGAGGGGATGTGGTCTGTTATGCCTTAGTTCAAATCACTAAATGTCTTGCCTGTAGCTATAGACAAACTGGGAGGAGGGGGTGGGAGAGAGAATGTCAATGTATCCCTCGTAAACCCCAGTGGAAATTGATGGACATGATGAAGGAAGTTTCTTAATAAGGAAATCAGTTCATCAATTGTCTGAAATCCATATTTATCCGAAATTGTACGCTTTGTACAAAAAAACCCCACAATATTAGATACTATCCACTGTAGTCAACTTATCATTTTTTTTTACAAGTATAGTGCTGAACCATGAAATGAAGCGTTCTTTCAGCTGTTGAGGTTTCAGTCATTCAACACAGTGATCTAAGCAAGACTCACAAGAAATAACTCACATTCCCCAAATGTGCATACAAGAGATTCTTGATTCCATTTGTATCTTGTCTTATCTCCACCTTGTCTTTGTAGCGTTTGGAGGGACAGCCCCCACTGGTATGTTTGGCCAGACTACCACATCAACAGTACCCTTTGGTCAGACGGCTACAGCAGGTGCAACAGGGGGCTTATTTGGTGCAGCGAGTGGGGGATTGTTTGGGGGCACACCCCAGAATGGAACTACTGTCAAATTCAACGTGAGTTGTTGTTATATTATACAGCTGTGTTTAAAGACAAACTACTATTTTAGCTTTGTTTCAATATCCCACGCTTTACTCTCAAGACGAAAAAATTGAAAAGTGATGAATGGCCACAATGTGTAGTTTATCAACTCTTTAATTTGGTTTTAACTATTTTTGAGATAACATTTAACAGTTGAAGCAATTCCGTCACTACTTGTAGTTACATTGTATTCATGTTGTAACTGTAATGCAGATGTGTGATTCACTTTATGTTGGAAAGGAAAAGTTTCCTGGGCTTTACTGATGAATTGCATGCGGTAAAAAAAATGTTAGCCGATCAAATGTTCTGCTTTTAATTATAACAACTGCCGAGTTTTTGACAGCTGATCCAAGTCGGCCTTTAGTGGGTTGTGCACAAGGGACACATACATCAAATGAAATGAGTGTGGTATTAGTAATATACTGTCATCATGTCAACACTCTGTATCACGTTTCAGTTACCAGATAGACTTGAAAATGGCAATCCACAAAAACTCTCAAGAGTTGTAGAGTCAAAAACTTGCCGCAAGGGTTGAATGTACATGGGAATTAAATGTATTATAGTATTCTTTCTCTGTCATGTCTGTGATTAAAGGAATGAGTACGGACTAGCGTGGGATTCGAGCATGGAACTATTTCTCACTTCTTTTCTAAAATGCTTAGTAGAGACGAAGCAAACATATAATCACCGTACACTCATGAGGCCCCCTTCAATGAAGAAACCACTGTGCACGCTATTGTACAAAGCAACTGCCTGGTGACGGATTATCTGAACAATAGCTAGCACAATGCTTTCGCAATTGAAGGGGGCCTTCGTGATACCATTGATAGTGTTTCCGGATTGGCCAATAAGTTGTGAATTTTGAAGTGTGACCTTGGATGTGTCTGAGCAAACAAAGTACCTGTTTTCTTTTCGCTGCATAAGCAGAAAATATAAATCATAACAAACCTTATGATATGAGAATTAGAAAAATACCAATCAGGAAAATAAGAACAAGCACACAGTTTTATCAGATTGTATTAGTTTCTTAGGTTGCATACATTTTGTGAACACTGCAGTTAAAAGACTGGCTGGTGATTTTTTTCCCCTTGTTTTTTTTTAGCCTGTTACCAGCACCGATACCATGGTCAAGGGTGGACAGTCAACCAGTGTCAACACAAGACATCAGGTCATCACAGCTATGAAGGAATATGAAAACAAAAGTTTTGAGGTATCAAATATAGATTTTTGATTTTTAAGGCATATTTTAGGTGTTGCATTAATGTAATGTACTTTAAATTTTCAATGTTATTTTTTAATATTATAAGGTTTCTGCTTACTTGAATATTTCAGGAGTTACGTATGGAAGACTATACTGCCAATCGTAAAGGACCGAGTAGTACAGGTCTACTAGGTCAAGGTATGACCCAAGTGGACAATAAGGCGGGTGGATTGTTCGGCCAACCAACAGCTTCGTCTGGTGCTGGATTCACCTTTGGTCAGAATAAATCAACGTTTGGCACAGGAACACAGTGTGAGTATTTAACGTTTTATCTTGGAATTGTTTTTGTCTTTTAAATTATTTTTAATGTCTAAAACGTATACTTTTTTTTGGGGGGTGGCTCGTAATGCATTGTTTTTGCTGTATGTTTTCAATTTTCACATAATTTGTTTTAGAAAGATTTTCAATACGGAAACCTTGATCCAAGTTTTTCCATTTGATGATAACAGTACATTTTTTTCAATAATTCTGTAGCTGCCTTTGGTACCAGCAGTGCTGGTTTGTTTGGCGCTCAGCAGACACAGCAGACTGGAGGGTTATTTGGTCAGAAGACAGGTTTTGGTACAACGGGGAGCACTGGATTGGGGTTTGGAGATAAGTCAACCTCAGCATTCGGTCAGACTGCAACCAAGGTAAGTTTAAAACCACAAAAAAATTCAGGAATGTTCAAGATTTGTCTGAAAGAGTTTATATTCATGTATATAATTCTTACATGTTGCATCCTGAAAAAGTGGCTCAGAAAAGTATGAACCAATGCTTGTGTGGTTGAAGAAAGCAAATGGAATTGGATTTGAGCCTTCAACCCTGGAGTAATTATTTTGTTTGTTTTTGAAATGTACATTTATGTCACTATATACACATGTTGTAGTGATATTAAGATCTTTGTCGTATTCACCTGGTTTATGTTACTCGCTAAGAGCCATCATTTCACCTGTTCAGAAATGTTTGGCAATACCGTAATTATCAGATTTCACATCTTGACATCTTGTTTTGGTGGCAGTCACAAACACTCTATCATATCCCATTGGCCTGACAGAGTCTCTTTGGTCAGCCTGCTTCAACCCAAAGCATGAGTTTATTTGGCTCTACACCTGCTAGTGGTACCACTGGGTTTGGGACAGGGAGCACATTTGGTGGCACTACGGGATTCGGTCAAACCCAGGTATGTTGAAACAAACTTGGAGTAAACAACGATTGAACTTGAGTCGTTGACCCTTACTGCACTGGTGTTTTCCTATGAAACTTTCAGATCTTTCAAAATCATCCTTGTTCTGTTTCTAGATTAATATCACAAAAGAGATTAATTCATATGGTGTTTCCGCAAACTTACCCTGCTGTTATCCTCACCATGCAAACTTTTCACCCTTATCGGAAGACTGGGTGTTTATAAACTTTTAAGGGCATCCAGCTTTGTTCAAAGTAAAAGTGGCTGGCGGACCTTTTTCATTTAACCCTCCTAGTGGGAAGTCAGTATTCAGAGCAATAGTTGAAACCCTTTCAAACCCTGCAGGTCAGTTTCAGGTGAAGGGATATGAAGTGTTAAAGTAACTGTGTCGCACAGAGAGTCACTGCATACAAAAAAGCATGGTGGAGAGTATTTGCGTGCTTGTCCTGAGCTTGACCACACAAAGGAATTGTGCAGGGATTTGAAGTGTTATGCATACTTCACAGAAGATTACCTGAAAGGAATTTGAAGTGTGGGTGCTACTCTATGGGCAAAAGTGGTTGTGCAAAATTTGAAGGATTGTGAAGTGCAGAAGACGAGGAGGGTTAAAGTACTTGAAAAGTCCCTTGGGAATTTGCAGGATCTTAGAGGGTATGAGTAAGAATATCAATGTCACAGATCTGATTCTTGAGTGTGATTGTACTTCTTATGTGTGAGTAAATGTGTACGATTTTTCCATTATGTTGGTCATTTTGAATCCATCCGTTGCCTTGGTTCTTACAGTGTTTCTTACGATTTTTCCCACAGTCCAGCAGTTTGTTTGGAAAGCCGTTAGGTTTTGGAACCACGACCACAAGCACTGGACTGACCCTTGGTTCGGGTACCAGCACAGGTCTGTTTGGACAGCAGAACAAAACTGGATTGTCTCTGGGCACCGGGGGAACGACAGGATTTGGTAAGATTTAAGACTAGAAAGGCCTTGGGATGTGAATTCCTTTCAACATGAAATGAGTTTGATTTGCAAGGTGTTCCATTTCAGATTTCTTAGAAGGTGTTCCATTTCTTAGAAGTTTAATTACATTTTTAAGTGGAACAAATCTGGGGTGGGGCTTGAACCTCACCTGTGACCTCCGGATTGCTGTTCCGGTGCTCTACCAACTGAGCTATCACAGAGCTGGATAACTCAGTTGGTAGAGCACCAGACTGGCAAACCAAGAGGTTACAGGTTCAAACCCCGCCCCAGTCATTTCTTTGTTCAACTTTTAAAACAATAATATACTGCGCCTAGTCAGTTTCTCTTAGTGGTATGTTTGAACAATTTCAATTAATGTTTGTGTTAGTTTGAATCATCCTTAAGTAAATTCTCTAATTTTTTTCTCCTTTTGATCAACAGGTACCGGTTTTGGCACGGGTGCCACCCAGTCTACCAGTCTCTTTGGCAACAAAGGAACGACGGCAGGCTTTGGAGGTCTAGGCACTGGTCTAGGCGGAGGACTAGGGACGGGATTTGGTACCACCAATACTGGATCCTCACTGTTTGGTGGCGCTACTAGTAAACCATCCACTCTGGGTGGACTAGGAGGCTTCGGAGCTACAAGTAAGTTGAAATTGCTTCCAGAGGAGGATTTTTCAGTTTTTTGATTGAAAAGGAGGGGGTTGCTGGGGAGATGTGAGGGGATTGCAGAAGGGATGTTCAACAGGATACTGATTTTTTTTAATTGAATTGTTTTCCCAGCTGGCCTAGGTGGTGGTCTGGGGACTGGAGCCGGACTTGGCATTGGAAGCAACACGGCTGGTATTGGAGGGTAAGTCTGGTGGACATTAACCTAACAGATGTTAGGTGTCTTAGGGTTTTCGTTGTGAAATGAGTTTAGAATCTGTGTGATCTTGTTTATTTGTAACTGTCATGTTCATTATCTTTGCAGTCCTACAGTCGGTCTGGCAGTGCAAGATGCACAGGCTCAACAGCAGCTTCTAGCAATCTTCAACTCACCATACGGAGATAATCCACTCTTCAGGAATAGACTCACAGTAAGTAACCTCCCCCTCCCCCTCCCCCGGCCTTCCCCTTCCTACTTGACTTCCCCAGTGGCCCTTGAAACCCACCCACTATCACCCACCCACCCACCCCTACCCACCCCCGATCACTCACCCCCATTACTCACCCCCATTACTCACCCCCATTACTCTGAAGTTATTCTTATCCTACATAACCCCAACCAACTATCTTCTTGCATATGTTCACTCTTTCGCCACTGTTTCTTGTACTGATTTTCTCTGTTGATTAATTTTCTTCCAGGATTCTGACAAAAGAGAGGATATTTTGAAGCCAACAAGCAAAGCAGCACAGAAAGCATTGACTACACCACTGCAACACAAGGTAAATAGATTCAACTGTGTCAGTTGACCAACATCTCTAAAATTGATGATGCCAGACTTATTTGGATTGTCTCTGAACCTGGAATCATTGGGGTGTGGAAAATACCACCTGTTCTTACTGAGAGCCCACCCATTTATGTTGCATATCAGCTCATTCTAACTGAAACTGTACCAGGAAACTGCTGTGTTTCAATTAAATGTATCTTAAGACACTCCTTCTTTTGTCAGAAATACTCAAATAAATGCCCATAATAAATATTAAGGTTCTTTTAATACTTTTGTTTTCACTCTCCAGGTATCTGCCAGGCCAGCTGCTAAACTTCGGCCCAAACCATTGCAAGGTGTCTCCCATAAGGTACGGTACAAATTGCTAAATCCCCAAGTACTCTTGTTTCAATAGCGAACTTAAATTATCCATTCACGTGTAATTAAAACAGTAAGGAAAACAGTAGCAGGTACATACCTGTGATTGCATGCTTTTGTATGAAAGATTCCACGAAGGGTGTAAAAAAACGTCTACAAATTATCATGAATTTATGGCATAAATTATGCAATTTCTCTCTTTTCTTTTCAGTCTAAACTGTTTGAGGGATTGGATGATGAGGACCCAACACTCAACTCTGAGATGTTTGTACCAAGGAGGAGTGTCAAGAAACTGGTCATCAAGAAGAAGGAAGATGTAAGTCTAATTTCTCTTCCACCTCCCTCCCCTAAAAACGAGAGATGATTTATGAAACCTAAGCCTTGTAAACCCATTGATTTTGCTTGACTTGAAGGGCCAGTCCATTGTCTTCAGACGAGCAGACTGACTGACAGACCGACTGACTTACCAAATCAGTCAGTGACTCAGCTTGAACAGACCAGCATAGTCCTGGTCATTAAATACTGACCATGTGAACAACAGATGGAATATCCGGATTGTTGTTTTGTTTTCTCCTCAGAAATCTGAGAGTGATCACTTGCTGAATTCCAGTCGTTCTTTGGCTCAGGAGGAAGATCTTCTGTCTCCAATGTCTACTTATCCCATTGACACGACAACTAAACGATCCATCAGCGCCCAGTAAGTCTTTCATTTACAGCCTCTCCAATATAAACCTTCCCAATGCGGATAATCAGTAGGATTTACCCTTTCAATATTGCTGTCATTTTTCTTCATTTTCACCAGCCATCATGACATAGTGCCGAACATTTGCTTTAGTTCTGTTTTTGTTTTGTTCTGTCACATTCGTAAGGAAAGGAGATGACTGTGGAGTCAGAAACGGATGGAACGTTTTGGTAGATTTGTATCACTTTCTGGTTGGTAGTGGCTTTGTAAACACGTCCTTCAGATGGTTCACATGTTGATACTTGTTTACTCATTTCTTGCCAAAGGGACTCCTCACCCAGCAGCCATGATGTCTTGGAGACACCAGGAGGTACGCGGTTGTTTTCCAAACCCCAGGCTCCTCAAAACGACAACCCATCATCATCATCCAGGTAAGGAGGTTTCATATCATGAAAGATCGCAGGTAACGTTCTTCTTGTGAGGCAACCGTAAAGCACCTCCCTCACTCGCCACACAGTAGTTAAAAAGCTTGATTGCATAAAATGATAAGAGATTCTTTCGTAATTTTCTTCACAGCAATCCTAAGAAGCAAGAAGACCCAGACTGCACAATCACCGACTTGAATGTCAAAGCGAAATCACCCAGCAATCTCAACACCAGTGAGATGTCATCGGCCGGCAGCGACTTGGATCAGTCCTCCCTAGTCGACACCATCCACATCGATGACAATCAGGAGAACACACCACCTCCCCACCCAGGGGGTGTGGTCTTACACAGGGCGGGATACTACACCATCCCATCCATGGAGGAGCTTGCTGAGATGGTAGAGGTCAATGAGGACAGTGGAAGGGTGTGTTTATACGTGGAGGATCTGACCATAGGACGGGCTGGGTATGGCAGCGTCTTCTTCCCTGGAGTGACTGACCTGGCTGGCATCAACCTGGATGAAATCGGTAAGTTATGCTTCCTAGATTCACCCTTCTGATCATGAGCTCATTAAATAACCAATTGTAATACCACCTCAATATCCAGGCTTGCTAGGTACTATGTTGATTGTGTTTTTCATGCTTCATTTATTGTCAAAAGATTAGCCTTAACCCTAACTCCCTAGGGGGTATGCAAAATCATATTGAAATTGGAGGATTCAGGACTGTTAGGGCTATTAAACCACAATTTGTAGTGCAACACACATGTATGATAACTTAAGCAGTTGAACAAGGTGTAGTGCCTCTCAGAGAACAAACCTTTATACAATCCTAAGAAAAGAGCTTTTTATACTATGTTTTCTATTTTGCCGTGTTCTGTTACAGTTCATTTCCGTCGTAAGGAGATCACCGTGTACCCAGACGATACCCACAAGCCCTCGGTGGGTGAGGGACTCAACAAGAAGGCTGAGGTGACATTGGATCGTACCTGGCCAACTGACAAGACGTCTCGCAAACCCATCACGGTCAGTCAAGTCTCATCAACATGATTGTAAAATATACTTTCTAACAAGTTGGCTTCAACATTCTTAGATATTGCTACTGAGTTTAATAAAGTTAGTCATTTAGAAAATACAGGGTTTTACCTGATGATATCTTGAGCAGTAAAACCAAACAAGGTGATTTGATTTTTCCTCTTTTCTTCTCTCTAGGATGTGGATCGTTTGATTGCTCTGAACTACGAAGAGAAACTGGAGAGAGCAACAATAAAACTTGGAGCCAAGTATGTAGAATACCGCCCTGAAACCGGCTCGTGGGTCTTCCAGGTTTGTCACAGTTGCCTTATTTGAGAAAGTAATAATTCTGAAGATTTACAAAAAGGAAAGAAAAAAGTTGTTATCTTATTCTGTTTCTCAGTGTCATTAGTTCACTCAGTCTTATCGGCACTACATACGACTGTGTTATGACACTGATAAAGCTCCGTGATCACAGTATGTAAATGCCAATGATTTGTGGGTTGTCCTGGCAATTTTTTTTATTCATTTACTTTCTTTTGTAGGTCCAGCATTTTTCCAAGTATGGATTGTCGGACAGTGATGAAGAAGAAGAACCATCCTCTAAAGATCCTAAGAAGCAGAAAACTCAACAGAAACAGGTACTGGCACTCCAAAATGATAAAATAGGGGAGATTTTTAAGACTGTGTGCATTGAATGTTATTCTATCTGGGTAGTTGTTGTCATGACAGACACATTATAAAAGTATTTCAGGATGACCAGTGATTTCTTTTCAATATCACTGAAAGATTTATCTTATAGTACTCATTTCTTTTCTATTTTGTAAAAAAAAAATAGAAATTGAATGTGGCTCTTGGTTTTAATCTTGGAGAGGAAACCTCATGAAATTATAAATTGATCTGAAATTTGATTTGATTACAGAAACCTCCCCAGAAACCAGCAGCAGCAGATAAACTACCTAGCAAGCAACCTGCTTCCAAACAGCCTACACCAAGGGCCCCCTCTAGTGGCAGTCAGCAGGCCAGGGAGCCGTTCCCTTCCCAGCAGGAGGAAGAACCAATGAGAGATGACATGGACTTGGAGATGATGAGAGATTCACCAATGAGAGGCCTTGGAGGCTTCTCACCTAAACCTTACATGAATGGTCACCATGACGACCTGGGGGCGGGGCAAGATGATAGGCTGTTGAATGCCCAGATGGAGGAGGAGGACAGTGCGGAACCTGTTGCATCCTCCCACCGGCTTGCCAATGTCCTGGGGATGAACACTCATCGAATGCAAGTCATGAAAGGTTCATTCTTTGCTGATGAGGATCCAGTGGAGTACGATTACAGTAAGTTATATTTCACTGATTGTTATTGTCAACATTCCTAACCAGTATAGGGTGCTTTGTAGTTCTGTTCTTTGCATTCAAAAAATGTATCTATCCTGAACAATGTACACAACTTACATACTTTGTTTTGATTTGTTGAGGGTTAACATCAGCCCCAGTCCCTCAGACAAGACCGTCGTTATTTGACTCTCCATCCAGAGGCTCCCCCGCACCAAAAATGGAAGAGTCCTTCCAGGAGCGAGGTAAGATAACCATTTCATAACTTGAAAATTGTTTGAAGTTCGTTAATCACTAAGCAAGTTTGAGTTAATGGTGATAAATTAAATTAGCTTCATGTTTGAAAGTTGCTTTCATTGTGTTGATTTCTGTAAGTGAAAAAGCTTGAAAGTAACATGGTGGCGTCCCTCGTGTTTTCCTGTCAGTAGGATTGAACAAAAGTTTTGGAGGTGGAGTATGGAGACCCCGCCCCCTTGGTAGTCCCGCCAAATACCTAGCTGGGATGGGAGGTGCGACAGACAGCAGAGGGAGCCCTATCCCCAGAACAATCAAAGACGAAATGCTGAATCGCAGAGATCACTATATGTCCAGTAAGCCAACCAAATACATTGACTAGAATGCGTAATAGTTTTTGGACTCAATGTTACATTATTCTGTTATTTATTGATGAATGTAATAATCTTCTGATGATTTCTATGAGTAATGTTTCTATGAACACCACTTTATACTGAACATTCGGCTATCATGACTGTTATTTTCATTTTACCAAGCATTTGCAACCGTAAATCAATATAAAATGTGCCACTTTACCAGATTATCTGGGTTTTTTTACCTAGTAGTGTTTGTTGTTGCAACATTCTTTTGCTCTTGCTTTCAAAAAGTTTTCTCGTCTTGTTGCAACAGGTCACTTTGCAGCCCCTAAGCCCCTCCCACCACCCTTCACAGGACCCCAACCCCTCCACATCCCAAGTGGAATGACCCAAGATCGCCCCGGGCCGCGATTGGTTGGATCTCGTCCCCAGCAGACAATCTTACCTCTCAACCAATCAGTGATCCGTGGTAAAGTGCCTTGCATTGCTGATACAGGCCTCGTTATGAGTAGGTCATTCCGAGTAGGCTGGGGACCCAACTGGACCCTGGTGCATTCTGGGAAGGCAGTCGGACAACGCATGAGCGTCCCAGGTTAGATTATAATTTTATTTCGTTTTTATTTCAGTTGAATATATTGAGGCTAATGTTACTTCAAAAATTACCAGGCTAAATTAAAAATCAGGATCGTACATCAGGCATGCGTAGCAGTAAAGTAAATTTCACCATGTTACCCAATGTCAAATTTGCAGAATATATACTTTTCCCAATTTATAGGCATAAAGGATCATTTGGTTTTCATGCATTTTATTCGTTTACAATAATAACACCACTCAAAATCCAAAGAAGAATGTGCCAAACCTAACCTGTTGAAGTTTCAGCTCGGTGGATATTACACTTTTTGAGAAAACAGTGTAAAGCCAGGCACGACCTTTCGATCACAATTTCATCGATAGCACTCTTTATTTACAAACAAATCAGTCAATAAACTGATTGTTGGAAATCACCTACATTATTTATTTCTTCTAAATGACAGCAAGCCAGACGGAATAATTGACAGTGTGTTTAGTACCAGTACAATTTCTTATTTAAGTAAGTATTTCTATCATAATCTAGTTGGTTACTCTTGGGATAAATGCAAATGATCCTATATGCCTTTATTAAACTGACACAAACCCTTCCAAGTATTAATGTGTGATTTCTCACACCTCTCTCTCTTTACAGACATCAAGAAGGAGCCGACAGCATTTCCTCTCTTGACTACCAAGCAACCCACCAAGTCTTCCCTGGATGCTACCCCCTTCACACTCGCCATGGAGAGGGTCAATCTAGCACCTCATCTCATGGCTTCAGATAACAAAGTCTTGGTAAGAGTCTAAGAAAGGTTTATAGTCTACCAGTGCTAGCCTAAAGTGTTTGCAACTCTTGTCTTGTAGGCTTACCAAATACATCTACAGGTTGTGACAAAAAAATATCAGTACTCTTCATTCTGCAACCACATATTTCAAATTCCCTCCTAGCACAAGATTAAGGATTTTTGTTCCGCTGTTTTACAGCGGTACCTTACATTTCTTAAATCTGAAAAAAAATTGAAGGGTCATTCCCGAAACATTGAAGTAGTTGAAGGCATATTCCAAGAAAAATAACTTGACTTTAAAGCGTTTCACAGTTTGAAAGAGAACTTCTGTTTGAGAGGAGCTTAAATAACAGATTTTTCATAGAATGTCACATATTTCTTACTAATTCTGACTATTTTACTGTTGATCTCCAGGATCTTCATGAGCGTTCCTTGGACGTCCAGCTTCGTCACAGCCTTGCCTCCACCCAGCAATCCTCCCCAGTCTTTGCTCCTGAGCGAGGCATAGATTGCCTGCATCACTACGCCAAGACGGCCTTGAGAGATGCTCAGGAGAAGCTGACTGGAGACCAAGATACATTGAATCATAGCTTGCTGGTCTGGAAACTCCTGGTAGCGCTGTGGGGAAGATTACCTAACCAAGATGAACAGGGTGAGTCTCTCACAGGGAAGCAGGGAGAACAAACATCATGAACTGATTTCATCAATTTCTTTGTTTTGTGGAGATACGGAACGTGGCATTTAATAACAGTGATTTCAAAGTTCTTTTAAATTTTGGTGTCAGTTTTGCATTTGGAAGATTAGCACATCATTCAACAAATAAATGATGTTGACTGACGAGGGTCACTTTGTAGACTACCTTTCCCAACTTGAGCTTCGAGTATGAAATAACTCAAACTGTCACTAGAATGCATCCGCCAGTTGATGTCACTACAGTTGCAGTACAATATATCTTTTATAATTAGTCTATTCATTTGTCTGTGTTGATGTAATTTTAGAGTTGGACCCAGATAGTTATCCCTTCCGCAAGGCAAGACGCGAGGCTTTCTCTGAGTGGTTAGCTTCAGCTTCACGACAACATGTCAACAGAGAGGTGCAAGCTGCTAAGTTTAAGGTAAAATCCAACAGAAAATATTTAAAAATTAACTTCAATAACATGCCTGTGTACATTGGTTTTGTTGGAAAGTAAGATTTCAGTAAGTTGTCCTCAAGATTTTCTCAGTATATCTGTTGACTCTATGCACTTTGTGAGCACTTTCCTTACCCCATTTGGGAGAGACGTATTGGTTTACGCATGTGCAAGCAAAACTAATGTTATTCCAAATGTGCACAAACTTGTAGCGTCTTTGCGTGAGGGTTAAGTGCTGTTGGCAATGCGTTCAAATGTCCCTCCCAGTGGTCTCCCCCAACTCTCCCGTTGTAACCGTTGAGGGGGTAGTTGTGCACGGAGCCCGTATTGTTCCATTGTCTGATTTAAGTGTACTAATACACTCCTCTGCTTAACTTGTTACCAGGACATGGGGCACATAGAGGCAGTGTACTCCCTCCTTACTGGCAGGCAAATCGGCGAGGCATGTGCAGTAGCACAGAGGTCAGGTGACCATAGGCTGGCTCTCCTATTGGCTCAGGCTGGAAGTACCAATGAAACCAAGAAGCTGGTTGCTAAGCAACTGGGTGATTGGCATGAAATGGGGGTAGGTATATTTTTGGTATTGTGAGTATGATTTGAAAATGTCATTATAAAGAGTTCTAATTTTCTTTTCGTGTGGTACTTTTGTCCTCATTCCTGAAAAAAGGAGATATTATTTTCGGGAGCATCACGAGTTGCTGAATGTTACTTGATATTTTGTAGAGAGAGTTTTGAAATTTCTTAAAAATAATTGTTTTAATGAAAAGGGGCTACTTAACTTTACATTCAGGCATGCAACTTTCCTCGGATCAGCTGATTTTGTAGTTTTTATTTAAAATAAACATCTAAATGATATTTTGTCTTGTTTGGTTTTTCCAGATTGACAAGTTCATGGCTCCTGAGTACCTGCGTGTTTACGCTGTGCTGGCCGGCATACTAGTCTTGGAGTCAGCTCACGGGACTATCAATACATGCCGAGGATTGGATTGGAAGAGAGCCCTCGCTGTCCATCTTTGGTAAGCTAGACTGGAGAACTTAACAGTCAGATTTCATCACAAAAAACATGTTTTGGATAACACTGCAAATGCACTGACCATGTGCACTGACCATGTGCCAACTGCTCCTGGAAAGTGAGAATGTAGTCACATGGAGTTATGTTCAAACAGAAAAATGTTTGACTCTCCCAAAAAAGTTAAAAAAGTGATTCTGAATATTGATATCCATCTTAGTGTTCAAAGTGTGTTCAAAAGTTTCAGTCATGCAGTTGTAGGTTTCTTTTAATTCGGGTTTGGACGTATGTCACTGTGCTAATGTGAGCGTCCACATGGTCTCAAACTCAATTGATAGTTTTTCAGGATGTCAGAATGATATTGGACACAGATGGCGTATTTTTGCCAAATTGTCCTCAATGAATGACTTCTTCTTTTGTTCACATATTCAGGCATGCCTGTAGTCCAGTTGCTTCCGTCTCGGACGCCCTGGAAGAATATGAGACTGGATTCCTGGGTCAATCCGCCCTCCGTCGTTACTGCCCAGCACCACGCCCCCCATACATGGAGAACAATCCAGACCTATACCCAGAGGAGAGAGATGATGACATGGGGGCGGAGTTTGGGGAAGATTGGAGGGAGGCTGTTGAGGAGGAGAGATTTGTTGTGAGGGATATGTGTTTCCATCTGGTCAAGCTGTACGCTGATCGCTCACATCGTCTGGAGAGAGTGTTAGCACCGACGACACACACAGCAAACCAGCTGGACTATAGATTGAGGTATCATGAACAAACTTGAAGTCTTTGCAATGCATAGGAATTATTTGCCCTTGAGCATTAAACTGCGATCTTGCCATGGTGACTGATAGCCAGGCAAATGATTCCAATCCCAACCGCAGCCCTTTTCACAACATAAAGGATTTTACACAGCTTACATAACATAACACTGAAATTCATTAAGAGTGGAGCTTTCTTTGACATCCAAGGGGAAAAGAATATATCAATTCATTAGAAGATGTAAAAAAAACGAGAATGAGTGGTGTTCTTTGTAACTTTCATTTTCTTTGTAAGATATGAAATTTATCTTCGCATCCAATTAAGCCGGCCAGTGTGCATATGATTGCATTGTGCTCTGGTGGTGTAGTGGTGCGTACAGTAACGACCAGGCTTGTATTTGGCATTTCTCTGTCTCCTTACGTCGAGACAGAGGTGATCAAAGCGAGCTACAGATAATCACAAATTGGGAAAAAAAGCTGATGTGGTTTGGGACTGGAATCATTTGCCATTGAGTATTAAACCGAGGTCTTGCCATGGTGACTGAGAGTCAGGCAAATGATTCCAATCCCAACTGCAGCCCTTTTCACAACATGAAGGATTTTACACAGCTTACATAACACAACACTGAATTTTCATTAAGGCATGGAACATGGTCACAGTGTCCAAAAATATTGTTATCAATTGACAATTGTGTAGTGATGAGTTACTGAAATAAATTAAATGAAATAAGGAGTATCTGCACAATTTAAAAATTTTCAAAAAGGACGTCATGCTTTTGTATAGTTGTTTTAAATAGTCAGACGGACACTTTTTTGGGGACATACTGTAGATTATAAGCCAATCAGTAATGCATTAAATAATAGCTTTTTGCGCAATTTTTCTCCTCAGCTGGCATGTATTACAAGCCCTTCAAGCCTTGGGCTTCACCCATCTATCAGATCAAGACCTAGCTCATCTTCATACCAGCTACGCCGCTCAGCTTGAAGCACTAGGACTGTGGCACTGGGCAGCGTTTGTTCTCCTACACATCCAAGATGACTTCAGGTAACTGAACAATCAAACGTTCTTGCAGTAGTAGAGTAAAAATATTAATTCTAAACATCTGGCTTCAACACTACATCTTTCAAATTCAACTATTGCACAAGTATTTTTAAAAGAAGTTTCATCTTGGGTAATGCTTTCTTTGACATCAAAGGGGAAAAGCATATGTCATTTCAACAGAAGATGTAAAAAAAAGAAGAAAATAACGAGTGGTGTTTGTTTAAGTTCAGTTTTCTTGTTAGAGATGAACTTTGTCTTCGCATCCAATTAAGCCGGCCAGTGTGCATATGATTGCATTGTGCTCTGGTGGTGTAGTGGTGCGTACAGTAACAACCAGGCTTGTATTTGGCGCTTCTCTGTCTCCTTACGTCGAGACAGAGGTGATCAAGACGAGCTACAAATAATCACAAATCAAAAACCCAATTTCAAAATTCCAGTCAGGCTCGGAATTCCATCGACTCGGATAGTATTCTCTGTGGACCAAGTCAAGTTTGTCAAAACAGATTCCTGGCACAGAATATTTGAAATTGAACGATGTCTGTCTTGGTTTGTTACAGGCGTGAGTATATAGTGCGTCAGCTTCTCAAGCGTCAATGTTCACTGAAGAGGAGTGAAGAGAACGCAGCCAAGGAGCGCTTCCTGGTCAATCAACTCCACATTCCACCCATTTGGATCTCGGAAGCGAAGGTCAGTTGCAGGGTTCCTCTGTTAAAATTTAAAAGTTCTTTCTCTAATAGACTTGTGAGAATATTATAATCGGTTTATTGAGAATGTTCCTGGGTATGTATAACTGATTTTAGCAATTTGATGAGTATTAAGTATTTCCATTTTGTAAGTGACTTGTATCATTGTTCATATTCCTTGAGCACAGCAAGCTGATTAGGGACGTACTTGAGACAGAAAACCAAAAGAGTGATTTGTGTGTAACTCCTTCCTCGTTAATTCTTTCAAAAAGGCCAAAGCAAAGATGCTAAGTTAACATTTCTTTCTAACAAGGCAGTGAAGATAATCTATATCCTTTCATTTCATTTGTTTCTTGTCAGGCATTCCGCGCTCAGTATGAAGGTCGTCATCCTGAGCAGGCATGGCATCTTCTTCAAGCTGGTCATTGGAATGAAAGTCACTCAGTCATCATCAAACACCTGGCAGCCGATGCAATCATTAGTGGTAAGTCACATGACAGTCACTCAGTCATCGTCAAACACCTAGACACCGATGCCATCATTAGCAGTAAGTCACACGACAGTCACGTGATAGTCACGTGACAGTCACTCAGTCTTTGTCAAACATCTATCAGCCATTGCTATCAATTATAGTAAGTCATGTGACAGTCACATGACAGTCACTCAGTCATTGTCAAACACCTAGCAGTCAATGTTATAATCAGTAGTGAGTCTCATGTCTTGTCTCTCTGTGAGTCTGTGTGTCCTCTTATGGTTGTGTGTGGTCACTGAAGAGTTTATGACTGCCGGATTTTAGCTTCTTAAACAAGCAAATGTATAATTTATAAACTATTTGGACAACCTATTTTGTCCATCTCAAGACCAAATAGACTCCCACAGCACAGTCATTTGTCCTTTCCAATTTTCTATTGTGTAAAACAGTGAATTTAATATCTTGCAAGAAAAATCTTGCAATTGACAAAGTAAATATACAAATGTTATAAATTCAAAAAAATGACAGTATTCACATAATCCTGAATTAAAAAATGAATAAAAACAATCATACATCTGTAATATTTGATCCCATTCTTTCACAGAGAACTACAACTACTTGCTGGGTCTCCTCAAGGAGCTAGTTCCTTCAGATCGATCCATCACCATTCAGGATTGGGCCACTAATGGGCAGGTCTTCCTAGACTTCATCAACATTGTACAGGTAGGATCCAAACCAAGTAAACTCTTGCATGTCTGGAGAGTTTTGTTTCAAACCTTTTAACAAAAATCAGAGAAATGATTAAAAACTGTTGGGGAATGTGGTGTGTTGGGGTTTGGTATTGTACAATGTATTGATACAGTACAGTTTGAGGCAAGGTGATTCAACATAACATGTACTGAGATGTTGGCTGGTTAAGCTATCATCCAGTCTGAAGGAGAGTTAATCCCACATTAAACAGAAATGTATTGGTTAGGATTTATTTTGTTTCCGAGCTGCTAGTGTATCAAATGCCCCATGAGCACCTTTTTAGGCGGATACCGGTGTCACATGAAAATCCGACTCCTATGAAAATCGGACCCCTATTCCCCTATTATTGGTTGATCCCTCGCACGTGACAAGTCACTCTCCCGAAACGATCCTAAAAATAGCCATAGTATCGTACTCACGCGTGCGCAGTACTACCAATGAGTCCACATTTCATGGAGTCGGATATTCACGCTACACCGGCACTTAACAAATGTTCTTTTTCTTATTATTATTAATTTGATGATACGATTGCTGACTGTGTATTTCTTTGTAGAGGTTAGATCACTTACAGCGCACTGAACCCACCACCTATGAGTTAGAGAAACTCTACCCAGACGTTGCCTCGTTGTGTAGCCGTGTTGGTAGCGTGACTTGCAGGACGGCCAAGGATCGTCTCTGCCAATCTGAGATGGCCAAACGGACGGCCAACGTTATGAAGGCGGTACTCACACTACAGGTACAAATCAGCATGAAATTGAATTGAATTAAGCATCCAGGTATCAATAATGGGGTCTATCTCAATGACCCAGAGTTACGAGCACTTTAAGATGACTTACGATTACACGTTTCTTAAAAAAAAAATATGTGCAGACTTTTAAACAGTTGGAAACAAAGCTGCTTGAATTTTGTAACAAACTTGGTTTTATGAAACAAATTTATATCTACTCTATCTCATCAAACCGTACTTGAATTCTACATTGTCATGAAATCAGCATGTTTTTGTTCCTGCAAGATGAACATTGCTTCTCTGATCTTTTTTTACAGCAACAATCTTTGCAGCCAGACAAGCCAGTGCATATCCCATCTCGTCTGCTTGCACCTCACGTCGGTAAGCTCCCTATGCCTGAGGATTACGGTCTGCAAGAACTTAGGGAACTCACTCGTAGCTATATGGTCGAACTCACTGCATGAACGGGCCGAGTAAGTCGTCCATACTGCAGCATTCACTTGATGAGAGACTAGTGCCGAACTCTGTAAACAAATCTGAAGAAATGTTGTATGCCCAGCACACGTGTCAAGACACTATGTGTTTGTGCATGAGCCAAGTATGTGCAGGGGTGTGAAATCTCAGCTTTTTTTGTTTGGGATTTCAGCTTTTTCCCTCGCTTGCTGTGTTCAAAAGTATAGGAGATTTCCAAAGTTCAGCTTTGTTTACACCTTTTTCAGCTGTTTTCAGCTATATTTATCAGTGGTCACTCACACCCTTGTATGTGGCCATTGACATTTCACCAATCGCATCACGTGAATGCGCAACTTATTTGCTCTTAAAATCACTTTTTGTAAGCTAATGTCTTATGAAAATCACTCGACTTGTTCTTTCAAGATGATATCATATACTATGACACACACAAAAATCATATTAGTTAACGAGTACTCCTTACACAAATTTATAGAGTAAAATATCTATGCGGTAGGGAAAACGATAACATCTGGAAACTTGTAGACAACTGGAATCACAAATCCGAAGATTGCTGAAATGTTTCCTTAATTGACAACTGCACCAGTCCATACTGACTTTAGGAACAGTAATAAACCTGATGCTGGGGGAGGATATTGCCGCATAAATTATGATCACTTTTTGTAAGCTAACGTCTTATGAAAATCACTCGTCTTGTTCTTTCAAGATGATATCGTATACTATGACACACACAAAAATCATATTAGTTAACAAGTGTACTCCTTACAAAATTTATAGAGTAAAATATCTATGCGGTAGGGAAAACGATAACATCTGGAAAACTTGTAGACAACTGGAATCACAATCCAAAGATTGCTGAAATGTTTCCTTAATTGACAACTGCACCAGTCCATACTGACTTTAGGAACAGTAATAAACCTGATGCTGGGGGAGGATATTGCCGCATAAATTATGAAATGTCTGTACATATTGTACATACCTGTACAGTCTTTTTTTCTACGTCAAGTTGTTAGAGAAGAAGCTTTGTAGAAGATGTTGATAACTGTAACCACAATCTCCATGTATAAGGCATGAATTCAATCAAGATTGGTTTATAAGAAATATTTTGGGATTTGTGATTAATTTTGTAGTATCTTTGTTTCTCTTTAGTCAAGGAGTGGAGTTGGTTTGCCTTAAGTGGCAGGTGTAGGCACAATTTCATATTTTAAGTGAATGTTCATGCCTTACACCTTAAACTTGTTTTGTATTTCCAGATTGTCAATGCTTTTTGGTGGTATCCATTTAGATACCACCAAATTTAAAGAAGGTTGATTACATATTTGTATCGCAAACAGTTGATTTATTATTTTGTAGCAAAGGGTTCTTTCTAAGATATCAAGCTGAAAAAGAAGTTTTAAATCCTTTTTTTTCTTAGAATGTTATGCAGCACGGCATCTTCAGGGAATTATTGTAAAGGAATAACCTTTTATTTAGCCAGTGTGTTTTTCTGAGCATAAGGTGCCACATTGGATACTTGACATAATCTGCCACATGACTGCCACTCCAAAGCTTCATTTTGACTTGAAAATGCCATATTTATAAATTCTAGGTTTACACTTAACTTCCTAAAGTATATTTCAGTTATTGTCATTGTAAAGTGTATGGGGCATGGAAAACCTAAATTGATTATTTTTTGTTGTTGCAAATTTCTCTTGTATTTCTGTGTACAACAGGAGGCCTTATCGGTCTAAATAATTATATAAACCAGAAATGTAATAAAATATTAGACGTTTAAATAAATCCTTTTTTAAAGACGAAATTGGTGAGTTTTTACATTTGCATGATATTCATACCTTATGATCAAAAGTCAATATTTTTGTATCTAATAAAGAAGCACTTGGAATGATATTCCAAAATGACACATTTTGGAAGAAAAACAATCCATTTACTCGATTATTAAATTGGGGGAAAAAGTTAAGTTTCCTTGAGGGCGCTCTCCGAGCAAAACGAAAATATTTTTGGGACATTTCTGTATGAGGGCGTATATAAAAAAAAAGGGGGCAAAATGTTTCCGACAAAAGTATTTATTGAGGGCGCTATTCAAAAAAAATGTGAACATAATTCTAAAAAAAATATCTCCCTTTGTTTTAAATTTTGCAGCTGGTCGACAATTTTTGTTGTTGCCAGGAGAATTGAACTTAACTCTCCAAATTGGTGTTTCTCTAAACTCAAAATCAAACCAAAATTGGTGAAGTTAAAGAGCATTGGAGCATAAATACCGGGGTGGGGAAGGGGTAGGGGAATAATACACCCCCACCCCACAGGCACATCTGTTCCCGAATCGAATTGGAATGTGTCCAGTGTTATCTTAGGCATCTTTCTTGCAATTTTCAAGGAATTTCATTTTTTTTTTGCCAAAATTGAAAAAAATGCAAGGGGTTAGGCCAAAATAAAAAATAAGTCGGTCTCTGGTCAGCGCGCGCGTCGATTTTAAGCATGCGCGTCGATCTTTTTTTTTTCCAAAATGTTCCGCGGTAGCTCCAACAGCGCCCTCTATTTCCGCACCTCCTCAATTTTTTTTACCAAAGAGCACCAAGGAATGGGAAATTGCACCAAGGCAAATGATCAAAAGCACCAAGGCAAATTATGGAGGACACCAATGTACATGAGGACACCAAAAAAGCAAAATAGTACCCCACCTTGTCTGTACAATCCAAGCTTGAAGAGAAAAAAAAAAGCAAAAAAAAAAAAAAAAAGCCGCGTGGCCGCGTCAATTTCAGAACTTTGGTCTGACCAGAGACCGAATATTTTTTTTTTTTTGGCCTTAGCCTTAATTTTTTTTTTAAATGTCTAAAAATTGATTTTTCTCCAAACAACGCAGACATTCCTCTGGAGACGAGTGGAGCACCAATCTATATGCAAACGCCCGAATTTTGGCAGATTTAGCCAAAAAGCATCCATTTTGGGGGAGGAAATAAATAAGAAATAATTTTTACTGTTGCACCCTAAATTTTCAAGGGCACATCTGTTCCCAAATAAAATTGGGAGGTGTTCAGGGTTACCTAGACATCTTTCCTGCAAGTTTCAAGGAATTTCATTTTTCGACCAATATTGACAAAAATGCAATGGGTTAGTTAGCCTTACATTTTTTGGGAGGAAATAAATAAGAAATATTTTTTTGGCTGTTTTCACCCTTCCGGCCACAATTTCTTTTGAAAGGCACTTCTTTTCCCAAATAGAATTAGAATGTGTTCAGGGTTACCTATAGGCATCTTTCCTGCAAGTTTCAAGGAATTTAATTTTTTTTTTGCCAAAATTGAAAAAATGCAAGGGGTTAGCCTTACATTTTTAACAATTTTTTTAAAATTCATAAATACAATAAGATCGCCCCTAGAGGTACTGATGACGATAGAAACGCGCGTACCGCTAGAGGCGACCATAATTACAATAAGATCGCCCCCAGAGGTACAGAATGGCGATAGAAACGCGCGTACCTCTAGGGGCGACCATGAATACAATAACGGATCGCCCCAAAGAATGGAGATAGAAACGCGCGTACCTCTAGAGGCGACCATAAATACAATAAGATCGCCCCCAGAGGTACAGAATGGCGATAGAAACGCGCGTACCGCTAGGGGCGACCAATAACGGTCGCCCGTAGAGGTACAGATGACGATATAAACGCGCGTACCTCTAGGGGCGACCACAATTGCCATCAGATCGCCCCTAGAGGTACTGAATTAACGAAACGTGCGTACCTCTAGGGGCTTCAATATTTTTATTGTTTGACAAATTCTCGCAACAATTAACAGCCTTGTGTTATATATCACAAACATTCAACCAGACCGAATTTTAACTCAGTACTTCAAAATTTCCTCAATATCGTTCGGAAAACGAGTGAATTGTAAATTCCCCCAAAACCTTATAATTTCTACAAGTACAAATATTTCTATTATTTTAGTCTCCATAAACTGACTCCAATTAGTGTTTAAAGTTATCAAAAAAGTCATATTTCACATTATACACCAGCTTGTAGTTACAATTTTATTCGAATGACTAAAAAAAAAAATCCTCCCTTTTTCGTGAGCAACTTGACTCAAAGATCTGCGACAAGCACTTAAAACACACGCTGTAACTGGTTCCCTGCTCTCAAACGTAAACCTTACGTAAAAACCGTAGACCAGCTTTTTGGACCGTAGCAAAAATCCCATTTGAACCGCGTATATGGCTGTTTTTGTACACGGCCGATTGTGCACACGTGTATTGGCAATAGCGAGCTAGAAAATCGGCCATAACGGCGTTTCCACCGATCATGCGCAGTGTGCACGCCTATATACAGTGCATGGCGCTAGAAAATCGGCCGTTTTGGCGTTTCCCACGGACATGCGCGTTGTGCACGACCATATGGCGTGTGTTAAGGTGGAAAATCGGCCGTTTCGACGTTTCCAATGGACACGCGCATTGTGCACGATCATATGGCGCCTGTTGAGGTGAAAATATAATCATTTATGTGGTTCACACTGACGCTGCATATTATGCAGAGTGTCTATAGAGGGCTGCGGGGAACAAAAGGCAGCATTTTCAGGGTACAATTGGGGACTTTTGTTGTATGGCCCTTTTTATTTTGATTAAGAGCTTTGCATAAATTCTTAATGGATATTCAGAATTTCTTAATGACATTGCAAATTCTAAACCAGGTTTGGAGAAAAATGACGAGCTTCAGCAAAATTTAAATATTTTCTTTTTATTACCTTTGAATGTTTGTTTGAATAAGTGTGAATTTATTTTAACGTACATGTTTCACAGCCTCTTGTGTTTTATGGATACCCCAATGGCTTCAACCCACAAATGTTCTGCTCCCCAGAAGAGGTTGCGATGTTTGTCTTGAAGTTATTCGTGTTTAGTTACATCACAAGTTGAGAAACAGGCTAATAGCCTTTTTGTCCTTTATTTGCTCTCAAAGGAATTTGTGATTTGGAATAAAATGAAATCACTACTGACATTTTGTTCCCGCGCAAAATTAACTGACGGTTGCTATTAGTTGTGGTTGATAAATGGAAATGGCCTAGTTTCTAATCAAGTTGGGGTAAGTCTCATTTTTGTCGGGGGGGGGGGGTTGAATTAAAAAGACAAAAAACTGAACATATTGTTTTTAAACTTTAAAGCAAAGTTTATTACAAGTAGAAAGGAGCAATAACTTTACACTTTTTTTATAATCATGATGTTTAAATTTTAAAAGTCTAATTTACAGCAGTTTTTAATCAAATGCGAAGCAGAATAGATTTGGCCAAATACTATTGCGATCTCTTGGTTAAAGCACTGGTAAGCCAATTGCTTGGTTTCCCATTTTTAAGATTCAGACACACAATTATTTATTAAAAGCACTTATTTTTGGCCACCAACAAAGCACATTCTCTTATAATGTACAGGTTTTGTTTATCCTGGTACAGGACAACCATTGTAACAATTTATGGATCCTGATTCTCATATATTCAACCAAAACTTTTCGATAATTCACATTTTGACCAATTGGAGTATACATGAAGTGTCTTTAAAAAGAGCTGAGAAAGTTGTTTTGACAACTTATCCTGCTATATAATAATAATACTGTGATGAGTACCGTTACAATATAAACACCTGAAGAAGAAAATCATCTATATACCCATAAGTTCAGTTCCAATAAGTGTTATTCATTTTCCTGGGAGATTTGAGTGGTTTCAAGTAAATGTAGGATTTTTAACAACGAAACCTTCCATCACCCTGATGCAACTTGAATGTTAATCCAAAACTGAAAAGGCGAAAAGGACAAATTGTCAAACTATGCAAAAAGGATGAAACTAATTAAACAAAAAAGAAAACCATGGCCCATTACATGGAGCTCCTAGACATGAAACAATTGTGACTAATTTGTGTGAGCAAAAGTCATGAGAACCAGTAAATAGCAAACGTGACATCACAGGTTTCATACTTTGCTTTACTCCCTAAAACTCTGCTCATATACTGATCCATTTTGAGACTTTGAAAAGCACGACAAGAGTCCAATCACTGAAGATTAACAAACAAATTAGCTTTGATTTTCATTTGTTTCCCGGGTGGGAGATGCAAATGAACCCAGATAACCTTTAACCTTTAATATTCCTTTTGTATGAAATGCACTATACATGTTCTGTACAAACTTTCAATATTGGGAATTTGAAATATCTGATAAAACTTGATTGAAAAATGTATGGTACTGTTTATATACAAACTTTTATATAAAAAATAAAGATATTGTTCAGTTGCTCACAGTAAGACACCCTTAAATTTTACAAGTGATTTTCAGGGCAGCCCAAAGGCAATGTAACAGTTCTCTTTGTGTTCATTTTCCATCCTTGACAATTATTACAAGATACAAAGTCATTGCTGTTGACCTTAGCTCATATATTAATTTGCGCGTCACTGTACTGTGTGTTGCCATGTTTTCATTTAAAATTTAGGTTTTGCTAAAATTAGATTTGGGTATGGCACATTTAAAAATGAGTTAACTTAATAAAGAGTTGATTTACCATTATTTTACACCATTTCCCTTTAAGTTTTCAACACAGGAATGTAGTACATTTACAAGTGAAGTGCACAAATACATGGCCATTTACTCACTACAAACAATTTTTCATTGTATCCAGATGTACAATTATTAAAACGTTCCCTCAAAGATTTCCCCTTGCCCTTTAAGTTTGCAATGTTGTGGATTAAAATTAAAAATTGGACTTCTCTGTTCAGTTTAATTTTTATTAAAAAGTAACCGAACACATTCGCAACATTCACGATACATTTACCTAACTTATTTACCCTAGAGCGATTTTTTTTTGTCAATTAATTCTTTAAAAATTGAGTCATGTAACCTAGGCCCCCCAAAAGGTCCTGCTTCCGATTACATGGCATTTAAAAATAGGGTAGGTAGGTAGGGAGGGAACTTTTTTTTTTTTTTTTTTTTTTTGGCAATTTCTTTTGTGTATGATCATATGGAGGTGTCTGCGTGTAGTAAAGGGTAAAAGGTAGAAATTGGTTGTTTTTCATTTTTCCCTCACCTTTCCCCCAAACAAATTAGGGTAATGGCTGTCAAAATAGGGTAGCTGGAGAAACCGGAAGCAGAACTATTATTTTTGTTGGCCTTACATTCTGCATAGTAGAAAGGAAGCACTCTGAGGTGAGGTTGCTCACGTAAGACTTGGATTAAAAATGTGATTAAATCTTTGCTTCAAACTGACTTAAGTAAATCACACATCTGGAAAGAAATTGGTTCCAGGCGTATGCACATCACACACTGTTCTGAGCAAACACAGAAACTTGAATCTCTCATATCTGCCAAATCCTGGTTTTGCTAGATTGTAATGGATACAACACTGCAGAGGTGAGACACTTTACATATGACTCAATGTCTCTGGTGGAAGTACATGGAATGTGCTAATTGACCATTCTCTGTTTCTTTCTCCAAAATCAACTGTGAAGCTAACGAGCAGCAAACTCTGTGCACTTCAGCAAACCTTGGGCATCAAGTGCCTTGAGCAGTATTGATGCCATGCAAACCTTATTCATCAAAGCAAAACAAAACCAGGTGTTGGGAGTTCTGGGAGATTGCAGGGCAGTGTTGGTTAAGGGTGCCTTTAACTGACCAAAATAAGAAGGAAGAAACACACATCTAGCCCTCAAATCTAGACTGAACACCCAGATTTCATCTTTATTCAACTGGGCGTGCAATGATCGTGCTCTGGCTGCTCCAGGCTAGCAATGATTTCTTTCAGTGCTACATAAGTTCCAAAAGCAAACCCAACGATACCAAAGATGATAATGAAGACATTATATACGACCCGTAGTCTCTTACGAGCGTCAGCATAGCCCTTGTCATAGAAGGCAAACTCTTGAAGTAACGGTGGAAAGATGATGGCAAGAGCAGATGAACTGAAGGCACCGATGAAGGCGATGAAGAGAGCTAGATGAGGTACAACCATGGCTAGAACCACTGAAGGAACCAAAAAAAAAAGGAAAAATAGGGACAAAATATTAGGATCGGAATGAAATTATGTAGCACTTCAACGGCTCACCAAAGTCAAGGGTATTCTCCTTTCTTGCATCTGACAAAGTGGTTGTTGCTTTGGAAGCTTTTGTAAGTTTTTACTTGCAAAACTACATGTTTGTCATTAGAAAAAAAGTCACAAGGAATTAGAAAAATTGTGGCCAAGCTTTTGAAATTTGTAAAAACCCAGCACATTACAGAGACTTTAATTTGCCTCTTAAATGTTAAATGTAAGACTATCTTTAAGACAATTTTCTTATGGTTATATTCACCTAAGTAATACTTACTTGTAAGAGCAACTAGTAGCGTCCTGAATATCATTTCACCAATGAAGTGATATCGCTCCCGCATTCTCTCCATGAAGAATGGCCACAGGATGACAATAGGTACGTAGAACTGAATACCGTACGATACAAAGATGGCTGCCACAAGCATGATTCGAACTGCAAGGTACAATCTGAAGGTGCAAGAATAATGGACACTGGAGTCAGCCCCGGGAATAATGAGCTTCATCAATCAATGGGCTCCAATGTTATAGCCTATTCCATACTCTAGCAATACAAAACTGATTCACTTTTGAATGAGACATTGACCAAAAAAGTCAGTTCTTGCAAGGTAGACTGTCCCTACCCCCTTTTAGAATCACTAAGGTGGGGACTGGGAATCAGTCTAACCGTATCGCAGATCTGTTTGCGCACAGATCTACATAACCACTTTTTCACTGATATAAAATGCTCAAAAGGTCACAATTCATTAGGAGAAAGAAATAGAATTTGTTGAAGTGCACAGACAGTTCATTGTAAAAATTAGGTGTATAAGGCCAAAATAAAAAACAAACATATTTAGCATCCCCGCCCTCTTTGGAGGCCGCCTCCTTTTTTTCTTTTTTTTTAACCCAAAAAATGATAAATTTTTAATAGTGACATCATTTTGGCCTCTTTGCCTGTTGCATCTAGCCCATTTAAAGCTTGTATGTAATTTCTTGAGTCCGAGTGGTGGCCATTTTAAAAAAAAAGCTGGCGACAATCTTGAAAAATAGCCTGGCCAGTCGTTTGGAAATGGGTCAGGCAGCCATTTTGGAAAAAAAAGCCTCCTTCCTTTTTTTTCAAAAGGCAGGTTCGCTTATAAAAAAAAGTTTTTCTTTTTATTTGATCTAATGAGGAATGTGTTGAGGCAGACAGCTTACCCTGTGGTTGGTAGATTTAAGGTGATGGTTTCTGCAGTATTATCTCCGTTGCTTAGGTAACCAAGTATACCCATAGAGACGTACAGAGACACAACAATGGCCATTCCACTCAGCATGACACGGTTGAAATTCTGAGGATTCTTCATCTTGTTCTCCAACGGTAAAACCTTAAAAAACAAAAAAAACATGACAATTTCAATCGCTCAATTTGTATATTCCTACTTCACTTTGTCACTTGAAGCATGCTCTTACACTTCAAATACAATTCAATCACAACTTATAATTTATATATAATAACTAACACAATGGCTGGGAATAAAGAGTAGTCTTGTTTCAAAGCTGAGCAAAGACCTGTTTTGTTTCACTGATGATACTGTTACAGAGAATGGACGAGGAACTGTGGATTCGTGCTAAGAATGGACGAGGTGAATTCTTGCACAAATCTACAGTTCCGAGTCTATTTTTTCAAAACAACAAACGTTTATTTAAATGTCCCATACATCTGACCCCACTCTCCGTGTTTTTAATAAGTGTAGATTTCGTCAAATTACTCATGCATACATATTTAGTCAATGTACAAGGTATGGAAGGCGTCAGTATAGTTAGGTTCAGATCTCATTGCCAAAAGCAAGTCAATAGTAAGTCATGTCTGATAGCGACAGTTCTGAATTTTTCTTGACACAAAATACCATCAAATCTTCCAGCTCATCAAGTGATACAGTAGGACACTAGTTCCCAACATTATTGCTTTTCAATTTGTTTTCCATTTCACCTCATTTCCACAGTACAATAATCGTAACTTCACAAAAATTCGGAATCCATGGTATCTGTGGTTCGTTACGAATCTACAGTCAACTGTAGATTCGTGAAAATAATCAACACTTTTAACAATGACGTCACAAAAATAGTTTTAAGTATGGCTAGTCTGGCTTCTAGTCTAGTTGATTTGTTTGGAGCTACCATGCTTACTTACCACTCCGATTCCCTCATAAGAATAGATGGCAGTACCGAAGAAAATGAAGAATCCGTTCATAGAACCAGATAGAGGCAGTGTAGTTGCGTCCACATGGTCAATTATGTTGGATATCAGATACTGTTGAAAAGAGACAAAGAGTCAAGAATAATTTCAGATTGCACATTTTTTTGTTCTTAAAAAAAATAAAAATTAAAAGCAGGTCAAAATTTTAATATTTCACAAAAACTAAAATTTAAATTGGAAAAATCTAAAAACGAAAACAAAAAACCCACCAATTGTTCACATTACCTGGAATGGTTTACTTTATAAAGCAAAGCCTTAAATTCACTAGCTGCACAGAAAGATACGACACCCAACAACATACTAACTGGTGTAATGCCTTAACCCTAACTCCCTAGGGGGTGTGCAAAATTATATTGAAATTGGAGGATTCAGGACTGCCTAAATGTTTCATAACCCACAACACTGTCATACCCATCAGGAGGTTTAAGAGGAGTTTGAAGGATTGAGGATTGAATTCTCTTCCAAGTTACACAGAATGCACCTGCATTCCACACAATGGCAATGTTGCAAGATTACACAAAACGCCCAGAGAGATAGGCTTAAAGGGAATATACAACATTTGCAAACATCAAAAAACAAAACTACCAAAGTATTACGAAAAACCATACTGGACTGTTAGTGAATGACAGTTTAAAGCATCCTGTAAAATCAAGGCACCTGGTGTGTTGTCATTTTCAAGAAAAGTGGAATTTTTGTATCGATTTCCAATGCTGGTCGGCCAACCAGCGTTGGAAAAAAACTGGCTTTTTTCATATACTTCTCCCAATTTATCATATTTAGTTAGTTCGCATTTTCTTGGCATGGATTACACACCTGTAAACGGGTACAAGCCAGCTAGACTGATTCCCTGACCTTATGATTCCCTGACATCTATAAATTGCTCCGTTTCAAGTTAAGTAGGGTCAGGGAACCAGACTACAACTAAAGGATTGTTTTTCTTGATTTTCCAGCATCTACCAACCCAAAACGTCAAACAAGTCAGTTTAACAATTTCTGCTATAAAATACTAACCCCCAAAATCCATCAATTTCTGAAAATTACAGCGATAGCAAATGTTGTATATTCTCTTTAAAAAAGGTAGACTTTTGGTTGAATATTTTTGACGAGCATACATGAACATCAGCAGAGGAAACAAGTACAAGTACTACACTGCAGTCAAGTAGATGCTGATGAGTCTATGGGTACATAAACAACTGAATAATGAGTAGGATTCTTCTGACCTCATAGATGATGAGTATAGACACCACAGTCAGGATATTAGCGAGTATTGAGAATGGAGCTAAGTCATCCAGATTCCTGATGTAGCAATAGATGAGCACCATGGGGAAAAACATCAGGATGAAGAGCTGTACATCAGGAACACCAGAGCCGTAATAAAAACAGTAAATCTGATGGTGAGAAAGATAGACGGGGTTTAGCTTTCAATAATGTTGAGGATTTCAAGTTTTCTCCTTCAATAAGCCATTTGCGAGTAACCTATACCCTTTGGGATTTACATTTGAAAAACGTCTGGTACAATGACTTGCTCAGAATGCTTGGCACATGTTAACTTTGAATTCTCCAGACCAAAGACACTGTTGCTAATCACAAGATTCGGGGCAAGCTCTTGCATAGTTACGTAAGAGACGCTCAGCACCAATACATCGTTCACAATGGGTGATAATGGCACAAAGACACCAGACCATGCCGGAACTGGGGGTTGCTAGCATAAGGCTTGCCCCGAATCACGTGATATAGTAACAGTCTCTTTGGTCGGGAGAATGCTACGTTAAAACGTGCAAAGCATTGTATTAAGTCAGCGTTCCAGATTTTATTCAAATTTAACTCGCAAATGGCATATTGAAACTGTCAATCTTCGTAGTCACTTATATTAAAAGTGACTTCGAGCAGGGATGTATATTCGAGTCCATCGCAAGACCTCTAGTCCCACTTCAAATTACAAGCTATTCAAATGAGCTTTGACAAAGGCATTCCTTTGTTATTGTTCAGCCACTGTTACTTGCGACTGGACATTTGATGAACTCAACTTCATACATGACTTCCAGTAAGAGTCCAGACAAAGAGGCAAGGTGTGAGCAAAACCATGCCTCAACAAAGATGAGCTACACAATGACAAGACTTGCTGACTTACCTGTCTGATATTGTCAGCCATGAAGAGGAAGTAAACACAGCAGAATCCTAGCTGAGTGAATATAAGAAACCCGTTCACTATGTAACTGAAATAAGAATGATCAGATCATTGGATTATTATCAGATATTTCTAAAGGAACTATGTTTAAATTTGATTGACTTTAACCCTAGGTATTTTTGCTAGGAACCATACCCATCCTGGCAAATTCCAACACCATATGGGAAACTGTATACACATATTTCTGACTTTGATTCTGGAGGTGTGCCAACCCAATGTAAAAGACTGTCAATTTAGGGGTACTGTACCCATTTTGACAGATTCCAACAAAACATGCCGTTGGGCTTTGATGGGTTGAATTCTGTTAGGGTTAAACGTATTGCTGACGATTACATTTTGACAGTATGAGTAAGACACTGAGTTTCACAATTTGTTAGTCCAACACCAGGAGGTATTCCAAGCTGCACAAGATTTTGCACAAGAAAACTTACATGTCAGGTATGAATATCGCTGCACTTGTTTCTCAAGAATTCTACACCATATCTCACAACTTACTCACCGACCAATGATGCACTTTCTTCGTAACCAGGCAACTGGGCCGTGTTTCAGAGACTGCTCGGCAACTTCACCGTAATCTAGCGTGACGCTTCCAGTTCTGAAGATTAACATTTCGTGAAACACATTATCAGTCCAATAGAGAATTTGTCAAACCCACCCCCTTCAAACTTTTGCTGGCTCCCTATTTTAGCTGAAAAAATCACACAGCAACTGTAAATGAATAGAACTGCTTGGATTACAAAACATCCAGGAGAAATAAGTAGTTTGGAATTTGCAAGATTAAATAACAAAAGCAAGGCATAAAAAAAGCAGCTACACGCATAGTCAAAAACAGAAAACAACAGAAGCAACAAACATTTCTTATGCTTTGAAATTTTAATTAATTGAATAATACACAAACGGAAGCAGCTGATCTACAGAAACAAATGCAAAGTTATGAAGTCAACTGTTTTGTTTTTGTTTCACTGTTGTAATATTTTCAGTATTTCTGTATCTTCTTGAAACAAAATCTCTCATACAGAAATGGGGAATGGTATATAAACAAGTGTTTGAAACTTTCAATTAATCCTACTATAAGTTATTATAGCATTGCAAATAAAAAAGTTAAAAGACAACAAATATTTCAATATTTTAAAATTGGTTTTAGTTTAGGTTCTTTGAATTAAAGTCTATGAATTTACGAGTGTTTTCCTTTTCTTTTGGAAGTCAGACCTAAATCTCCCATACGGTATTTATTATTGGAAAAAACTGGACCCCAAATTTATAGAATTACTCGGATGTCTTTCAGTCCTGAATCCTTAAAAGTCCAGTAACGTCTTAGGGTGGTATTTGATGAATTTAGGACAGTAGGGGTAATATCTTAAATGTTGTTTTCATCAAAGTATTCGTTCATCAAGCATGAACCCATGTGTTTTCTGCTATGTAATTATCTCATTTGTTGACTGCCTTTCTTACCTTTCACATAGATCATGACACACTACCACCATGATGTGCATACAAGTCAATGCAATGACTCCCATTGCTGCAAGGCCTAGCGGTCCAACCTGTGGGGAAAAAAAGGGACAATACAGGGTGGATCAAAAAAATAACGAAACTGAGATATTATTGCTAATTGCAACAGAAGTACGGCACATGTGAATCAAAGGGAGATATCCTCCGTTAGGGTTGAATCTCCTCTTTAAAATGACACCCTGATCATGTCATTACATTCACGGTTGACTGAGCAGTGACCAATTTTATGAAAGGGTCTATTTAGAGAATTGTGGCACTTTTTTCATTTGTGGTTTTTGTGGTGTCATTTGTCAAAGAGTGAAAGGCTATTGCTGCCAATCAAGGCAGGTGGGGAAAAAAGAGATTGCACCATGAAAAGTGGTGCAAGTCTCTAAATAGACCCTTTCATAAAATTGGTCACTGCTCAGTCAACCGTGAATGTAATGACATGACCAGGGTGTCATTTTAAAGAGGAGATTTAACCCTAACACTAAGTAACAGAGGATATCTCCCTTTGAATCACATGTGCCCTACTTCTGTTCCAATTAGCAATAATATTTCGGTTTCGTTTTTTTTTTATCCACCCTGTATAACAAGAAAATGTCATTTGAAGTGATGGAAGGTTTTATACAGGATAACTGTTTTAACTATTTGTTATTTGAAAACTGGTCACGATGTGGTGCTGGGCATCTCAGACATTACTGTGTGCATGGTTCTTCTGAATCATGTGATATACAATGTATACAACAGTGTGCCTAGTCTTGAGAATGCAAAGCTAAAATGTATCAAATAAAAGAACAACTCGGGACACTAGATATTATTCACAAAGCTTTATACATGTAGGTCATTTTTCATATTGCTAATACAAATGCACTTGTCTATGGTGGGATCAAAGCATACTGTCATCTTTTTTAACAATCAATTATTTTTTTGTACAAAGCAAATGCAAAAGAAAGTCCTCCAAACCATGAGGTAGGCAAGAATCTTTTGAGATTCGGAAGGTGTGTATCTACAGATAAGATGAGACAACATTACAGTGGGCAGTGTTTCCCCTGGCTAATGAACTGAGTGAGGTGGTAAAAATTCAAATTGATGATTAAAACAAAATTTACGCAGTCTGCAAACTGAAAAGAATACAGTGCTCTCAAAAAATGCGCGATGATTCCATCTACACATCCAAATTGTGAGTTCTTGATACATAAAGGTCAAGGAAAACGCTCATAAATTACACAAAATGTAAAGTTTTCGATTAGTATTTCCTTATTGCAAATCTTCACAGTGAGGTGGTGATATTGGCAAAAATTGAGCGAGGTGGTCACTGAAAGTAGCGAGGCGGGCCGCCTCACGTTTGGATAGGCAGGGGAAACAGTGGGTATATTGAGATTGACATACCAAGATTCCTGCTTGCTTCACTGCATACGGCAGTCCCAATAGACCTGTTCCTATATTCCCTTTTAGTATGTGCATAAACGTCTGCAAATCACTGCAATGAACAACAAAATCAAATCACAGTCTTTAGCAAGCATATTTAAAAAAAATGCTATTTACTTTGTGAATGGTTCAACCCTTCTGTTCATACAGCATACAGCATGGGTCAAGTATACCGGCACCTTCACTTTTAGCTTCTAGGCCAAACACAAGCATCAACATATCCCCTGTGCAAGCAACTGTTGGTAGTGTACCCTCTGCTTCATAATTTGTGCCAATTTCCTTTTGGTCTTTTTTAAGATCTCGGCCATCGAGTGACGAACAATTTTGAAACTCGGTACATGCGTAGAGCAACTCATCATGAACATACTCAAGAAAATTCATAACTATAGGTCAATGGGTTTTGGAATTATGGCTAATTGATTATTCATATGTACGAATGGTAATTCTGCTCTGTGTACATGACGTATATGGGAAATTCAGTTTTCACGGCGCGTAGCGCCGGAAATTTTTTTCGCTGCGCAGCAAACCGTGGTCCAATTTTTTTTTTTGGTATCAAAAGATGCGCAAGGCTCGAGGCTAAAAGTCATAACAGCTCGGGTCGCGAAAAAATTTTTTTGGAGGCTACCTCACCCCCCACCTGGCCCTTTTAGGGTTAAATACTTAAACCAAAAATATAGGAGGCTACGGCTCTGATACATGTTGCAAAAATGAAGCCATAGTCACGTACAACAGCTGCCGCTTAAAGCTTTTAAAAACAAAGCCTGAAGAGCTGAACCTGCACCCAAAGCCATGTTTTCAAAAATGGCTATGGATGAATATGACATCAGTTGTAGTTGATGATAATAGATCGGTCTGTTGGCTTGAGTGATAACACCTCAAGTTCATGATAATGGCTAACTACTGTCGATGTTCTTGACCCTTGTGGCCCAGGGTGCGTTGCCGAGTGCAACAGCCTCATTTGGTGACTTTCAGGAATGTTTATCTTTGGAATATCTTGTACTTTGAAATCAGTGCGCTGAAGTACTCAGATATCTTGGCTATTCAAATGATGTCAGGTGACAAGTTTTGGCTCAAACTAGAAAACAGGGTGATCCAAATGTAATGTAAAAGGGTCACTCCATACACTAAAGCGTTCAAAAGTCTGACCTTTTCTGTGTGACCCGTTTTACACCTGACATGTGTAATTTGCCATGCAACTATCATTAAAATTGGCTTCCCTTCAAACTACAGCGGAACGCTGCTATAACGAACATCGTGGGATCCACAAAAAAGTGTTCGTAATAACGATCGTTCGGTATAGCAATTTTGAACCGCCGGTACCCTCTTTTGACCAAAAGTGAAGTCACTGAACTGGCATTTCTGGTTTAAAAGTGGCCCAAACAGTGTTTAATACATGTGCAACGGTTTTTTGGTTAATCTGTTGACTTTTTTCAACAACGATGTTCGTATGGTTTGTACATTAATACCGGGAGCCAAGGTTGTTGTTCAGTATAGCCGAATGTTCGGTATAGCGGCATTCCACTGTACATAAATTTTTGTTTAGTAGATAATTTGCGTTACATAATCACTCTTTCAGATAGAAGGCATGAAAGAATCCATTCTGAAGTTTCAAAATGTTTTATCAGATGTAACAGGGGACACCAAAAATCAAATTGGACCCCAAATTTATGGAATGACCAAAAACCATTGTGAGTTGGCTCCACAGATAAATAAAAGAATGAGCTAACCTACATGCACATCATCCCTTAAAGCTAGAGTCCATCATTTGCAGCCATCCGAAAAAGTAACTGGAGTATTATTGTTGAAACACAAACTTGGTTGAAAGATAGTAAGTGGACTAAACTCCCTGTGAAATTATTCTTTCTGGCAAGCTATCATTTTGAAGTAATCAATGAAAGAAGGCCTTTCCAACGGTGATTCTTAAGAAGCACCGTAGGAAAATTTAAATTAGTAGTTCGTTTTGTTATTCGGCGCAAGCATTGGCACGACGCAAAGGCGCGCGCGGTTGCTATAATTCATCGGATCAGTGTGCGACATCCCGTACAGCTGCAATTCAAAACAATTCAAACATGATTCAGCAACTTTTGATTTGAAATTGAGATCCTAGAATGCTGTTTTTCTCGAAATATACAGCTGAAGCTGAGCTGAAACTTCATCAGGTTAGTTGTTCAGTATCCTTCATTAGATTTTGAACACTTTTGTTGCTTCAAACAAACAAAATGCACAAATTACAAATGATGGACTATATCTTTAAATCATTAAATACTGTGGTCAGCTACTTGTTGAGACACGTTTCCTAAATTATAAAATACTCACGTGGTGGCATGTTCAGTGGCCAGTCGTGATTCCGTTGACAGGGAAAAGTGTGGGTGCTGTGTGCCTCTGAATTCCACATCGTCATGTAAGTTTTCCTGGGACCCAGCTAGGACCCTGCCAAGGTTTCTGGATGGGGGTTTGGTCGTGGGTGGGTAACTCTTGGAGTGATCGCGGAGTAAGGGTTGCTGCTCCGCCATTTTCTCATTGAAAAGATACGCGTCGGACAACTGTGGGGGAAGTTTGAAACAGAGAGAAAACTCTATCAAAACTGAGCACATAAATTCTTAGTATATTTTCAATAAGTTTCAGTTTCAGTTTCACTTATGAACCTTGATGATTTTTCTGTTTCAATTGTTTGTTTTCCAGATAATCTAGGAAAAATTGATTTTGAGAAACAGAATTTCTGAAATTTCTGTTGCACTTTCATCATGTGCCATGAAGTGGTACAAACCATGGATGACTGAATAAACTTTTTTTGTGAAGGTTTTTTCCACTCAGAATTTAAACAAAATAAACTTCACATATGTACTTCAAAACAAACACCAAACCAAAATAATGTAACAAATTTTGAAACACAAAATTTCTTTGAATTGAAAGGAGGAATTCTATTAATTTGGTTTGTTTTCCACTGAGGTAATACTCATTGGCCCCACATACACGTACAGCGGTATAATGTTGTATACCACAATCGGAGAGATAAAACAAACCATCAAAGCCCAAGGACAAAAAACAGAGATTTATCTGAGAATAACTGTTTGTCCTACAAGGGCTGATATAGTTTTTTGGGGGTAGTTGCGCGCTACTTCGTGTATTTACATGAACTTTGAAATAAAGTTTACTTTGAGATATCTTCATTGTCAATACACAAACTATCATAAACAAAATAAAAATCACACAACTGTTTAGCCCACTGACCCGATAGAAAGTTCATGACATCAAGGAAGCTGCTGTACGTTTACCATGTTAACAATTCACAAACATGGAGATTCAAGTTTCTCACACTTATAAATACAAATTTTGAAAAACTTAGCAGATTTTTTTTTCTTCAATTAGACAACGTTGACTTGATGTGTAAAGAGACCAAAGCTGAAGCAACAGGTCAAACCTATAAACACCAATGTGCAAACTCAGTGATTGACGGACTTGCATACAAAGAAAAGAAGCCACCAGTAGGAATAATTGTGACTACCATATATCTTTTTTACCTTTTACCTCACATACTTTCCGACATTATATGGGGTCTAAATCTAGACAATACATCCAATTTTTCAAATTGAAAGACATTTCCCATCATAATCTGAAAGTGAAAAGTCGGTGTGTTCATCTCTGTAAGTTCATGTTGCACAATATTCTGTTCAAGAATTACTTATTTTGGAAGATCAATATGTGGGCAAACGAAATAAAAAACCCAAACTGCTCATATACAAGTATACAAAAAAAGCAACGAACTGATCAAATATATTTTTTTTTAAAAATTACAAACTGTCAATTTTCTGAATCACACTGTGTGATCGTGTTGAAATACTAAAACACATGTAATATAATCCTGACCAGAAAGAAAATTCAATAGTTTCATATTCACAATCTCATAAAAATACAATGGTGACTGCATTCCATTCCTACATGTCAACCATCATGTGATGTGAGCCACTAAACAACTGTTTATTCTATTTACAGAGTTCAAAGTGTAGTCTGCTTATCAACCCCCTGTCGGCGTACATGTACACAGTCTATGTACAGCTGTGATATTCATACGGTGTTATTCAGCGTCTCATGCGTTTAGCATGAATTGTTTGTAACATTTCAAACAGCCATGATTATCAACAAATTCCAGTCTGTGATTGAAGGGGCTATACATGCACAATATTGCAAAATATCCCATTGGCAAAATGAGGGAAGTTTTGCAACATTGTGAACATGGCATTCCTCCATTTTCTTTGAACCAAATCACAAATTGCAAGCTAATCAATTAATCTATTGCATCCCCTGCTGTTCAACAAATTTGAATTTGTTTTGTCTATAAACCAAAAAAACCCACAAAAAACACACAATTATACATGTATACTGAATAGTAGATCGCAGGTTAAACATAAACAGAGGTTTGGTCCTATGTGTCAGGAAAGCCATTCATACTTTAATACAGGATGGGATGATAGGTCTAGTTTTGTCATCAGGGTCTATTGTGATGGGTTGATCTAGCCAGTACATGTCTACCCAAGCAAGGTCATATACTTCCAGGAAAAAAAGGAAGTGGGTGGAACAATGCTATTTGTGATCAGGAAAGGTCAGGCATTGCCTATCATCAGTCACATGTTTCTGATTAGCAATGTCAATGTCACTCTCTGGTCAGGTGGAAATGTAGACCTGCCAACTACACGATATACAGAAAAGAAAAGAAAGTCATTTCACAAAATACATTCATATTGGGAATTTGTTTGTTTCATGTAAACAACTACTTCTTCTACTTCTACTGCGGTACTCAGCAACATCCATAAGTTTGGATATAACACCGAGGAAAACTTTATGTACTAGTTCAGTTGAGCTAGTATTGGGGCTGACGTAATAGGATTAGGAAGTGAGTAATGGTTCAAACTAGGAGTAAAATGCTTTAAAAAAAAGTGTCATAAAGTGTACAAAATGACATAATACATGTTTGTTAATCATATGCTCAGAACGCCTTAAATATCAACTCACCTACTGAACAATTCCCTTTTCCTTTGAGGAAACAATGCGAGGTAGACAGGTTGAAGTCATAAAAACTACACACATGCATGTACATGTACCACCGTTAGAGCAATAACCCTTTATAGTTCAGTGGATCAATACCTAACAAACCAAATCAGCCAAGCGTTTAAATCCTTGGTAAACTAAAAAGGCCTTTCAGCATGGACTTCATCGGCAGTAACAAATGCCACTGTACTCCAGCCATTCAACTTGCTCGCTGAACACTGCACGGAGACCTGATGACCCGTGTGCTGGTAATTTTCCACTCAAACTGCAACTGCTTCAATGAGTTTGCACTGATAAACAGCCAACCTGTGTCTGACTTTGATGGGTGTTTATTTATTTATCTGTGGAATGTCAGACAAGTCGACCGTTGAGACAACTCGACTCGGGACAAGTCGACCGTTGAGACAACTCGACCGTTGAGACAGGTCGACCGTTGAGACAACTCGACTCGGGACAACGCGACCGTTGAGACTGCTCGACTTAATGGAAATGAATACACGTGGAGCAGAAAAAGTTGCACAAATCTGTGGCAAGACCGATCACGGGCATGACGGGTGCGGCGCGGGCATACTCGATGTACAGAGGGCGTCGCGTCAGGCCGGTGCGCCCCGCCTGCCCGCGAGGACCGGGCCGGGCCCGGCACGCGGGCACGTCGACCGGCACGGCAAATGGGCGCACAGGCCCGGCACAAACGATGTCACCGTGCACGGTACGGCCACGTTGACCGACCAGGGATGAGATAAGTGGGCGCACAGGGCTGGCAAAAACGATGTCACCGTGCACCGTAAGGAAAAGTTGACCGGCAAATGGGCGCACAGGCCCGGCAAAAACGATGCCACCGTTCACGGTACAGCCACGTTGACCGGGGATGCGCGCACGTGGCCTTGAAAAAAACGAACGATGTGCACGGACAATCACGCTGCGCTATATCGGCTCTGTTATATGCAACAATAAAAACTCATGTGTCATCACTCCCAAACGGCGATCAGCCGCCGTCAAATGCCCGGTACTATCCCTAGGTACTAAACTAGGCCCAAAACATGCTAGGCGACTTGTCTCAACGGTCGACTTGTCTTTCCATTTATCGCACATACGGTCGAGTTGTCTCAACGGTCGAGTTGTCTCAACGGTCGACTTGTCCCAAGTCGAGTTGTCTCAACGGTCGACTTGTCTGACCCCCCTTCGTGTGTACATGTACTTTGATCCAATATGTATTTCAAAAACCAACAACAATAACTAAACAGGTTTTTTTTTTAATCCAATCACAAAATTATCTGTCAATTAGGAAATTTTCCTGATCAAAGGTGCACCTTGGTTTTGCCAGATTTTGCCCGGGGGGTGGGGGGGGGGGGGGACAGTCCTCCTAGGACCTTGACACTGGTAGTAAACTTTTTACAACTTTGGACATGTTGGACTTGTGAAAGTCATGGAGGTAGAATTAATTGTTACTCAAATCCCCCCCCCCCCCAAAAAAAAGGGTAGGGCCTACATTAAACATTTTTTTCTATTGCCCACATTCTATTGCATTTGCTAGTATGTCGTTCCTGGAAATATGAATTTCACAAATAAATCTTAACTAACAGTTCAGTCATAAAATGGGCAATGTTATTACAAATTTCAAAAAACAACACAAATTTGGTAGGGGGCCTAGGAGAAATATTCCAAAATGTCTTTACTGAATGTGTTTTTATATTTTAAACAAAGTTTCTTATTCACTTCACATTACCATCCCTCTTAACATTCTTCCAGCCAAATTTAAATATAAGGAGTAACTATAGAATGCAGGGCCACGCCAGAGCAATTTTTTTTTTATGTACTTGGAGCCTTGGATCGAGGCCGGGGTCAGTGGGCATAAAGTACAATAATATGCAGACGCGCAAAAAGTGCTAATTGCAACGAATGCACTTGTCTTCTCAAGGAAGAGAGGGCGCGCTTGTGACGGGGCACTGGAGCCGTGGAGCCACGGAGCCTTGGAGGCGCGGAGGCGCAGAGCCTTGGAGTCGCGGAGTCACGCGCCGGTAGAGGGCGCAATTCTCAAAAATAAATACATGTACTGTAATTCTTTGATGAAAAGTCTATGGGAAGAGATCTGAAAAGTTTAGATTGAAATACAAATTTGATTTTCAAATGGGGAAGAATGCCTTCATGGTGATACACGGACTGTTATTTTGTACCAGCAGAACATGCAGTGAAGTACCAGCCATCAGAAAGCGATACCATGTCCTATTATTAAAAAGTAATATTTAGCTAGCTTGAGTAAATCCAGCTGACATGCTCATCAGGAATTCTCATATGTCAGCTAGAGGGTAGTTACTCCAGCTAAAATTTAGCAGGGAAAATATTGAAGCATTTGCTGAGAAAAGAAATGGAATTTTTCAGACCAGTCTCATAGTACATGTACATGTCCTATAGGTTTGTGCACAGGGTACGGATGATGTAAGTATGGAACTCTTTCCATAAAAAAACTGTTTAGGTCTACACTCTCAAATATTCATAAATGTTCAACATTCAACATGTTCAACATGTTCAACAACATGTTTGCAATTTTGAATGAGTTTTAACTTTTTGAGTGATTATTGATATTGACAATGACATTACTTTTGTGCGACAATTTAAAAGTTGACTCGAAATTCTGACAAGAACTTACCTCCGGCATGACTTCTTCTAGTCAAAAGAGAAAAATCCGAGTCTAAAAAATATTTCACTTGCTTGGCAAGAAACTCTTTTTACTTTCCGGACGTAAATGATCCGACGTTCATCATCTCGCATAGGGCCTAGGTACCGGGTACCGGTCATCTCCTACGTACTTAATTCAACGTCGGATAAGTTGGTGGCGGGCTTTCGTTTTGACGGGCGCAGTCCACGTGACGTGCGGGAATTCGGAAATAGGCGGGGACGGGGGGGGGGGGGGGGTGATAAAAAAAAATAACCAAATCAGGTGAATTTTGTTTAACAAAATCACTCTTGATTTTGTATGCGGGTATATATAAATATAGATTTTAACTCAGATTACAGTAACGCAAATTGTTTAATTTAATTGGGAGTACCTTTATGTCATATGGGTTTTGTTTTTGGGACCGTGGTTTGAAGAAGGGCGCCCTCGCTTGGTTTAGCAAAACAAAAATATATTTTGGACATCATTTCTTTAAAAAATATATTAATGTTATATTTTTATATTAATTGTATATATAAAAATATATTACATGTTTTCAATTTTATTTCCAACAAAAAAGTACAACTTAACATGAGAAAAAAATATTTTTGTTCTCAATGCGTTCGCCGGCTAGAGAGCACTCGCGGACGAGCCATTTTGAAAAGTCCAGTGTGGCGCGAGAAGGAAACTTTGCGGAGATTTTGTCTTGTTGCAGACAGATTTTATAGTTTTGTTTCACAAAATGTCTGATAGCGAAGAATCACAGGGTGCACCGGCCCCGCCTGAACCTTTCAGTCAACCGGTAGAATATTTTTTTATTTTGTTTTAAGATTTTATTCATCATTTTTTAGACAATGCAAAACGCCATTATTGCATGCACAATGACATTTTGTCATTGACATTGCATTGTCATTGCGTGCGCTGCATGCTGGCCACGGGTGTCGGTGGGTACACTTCGCAAATAGTCTGGTTCCCAGACCAAAAGATTCTGACTATTCCTGATGAATCTTCGGTCAGGTAGCCGTCAGTGTTAATTGGCCTACAATTACAAGTATACGTCACGTGACTAAAACGGGAGGAATGCCTCCTTTTTCTGAAAATGTCCAAAGTTTGCTGAATTCATTTTGTCGACAATCGGATACTGGATAGCGCCCCAGTATATGGCTTAGGTTTTCTTAATTGCTAATTGCTTATTAAAAATTTTAAAAATGAGTTGATAATTAATATTCATTGTTTTCATTTAGAAAACTTGAAATTCAACGATGATTTTGTGCATCAAGTATACTCGGAGTCAGATCGTATACATGGGCGGATGGCAAAACCCTGCTGATTTGCACAGCATTAAACTTAAAGAAAGTTGCATTTTGTACTGCAAGGATTGAAGAAACTGTTCAAAATTAAAAAAAAAAAATAAGAATTAGAATTAAGACTAAGAAATAAGAGAAGTCTACTTTAGGTTGAAGGTCATTTTGGAATGATTAAGTCTAGACTCTTAATTGAACAAACCTAAAGAGGGGCCCACAACTACACAATTGCCAAAGATTCAATACTTTTATATTCAGGTTTTCTTTTCACCTTCATCATGTTTACTTGCCTTTCACATTTCCTTAGCCTCCCTTCAAGTTGAAGAGTCCACCGAAGGGTAATGACACTGGAGAAACCAAAGCTGAATATGATGCAAAGATGGTAAGGAGATCAGTACATTTAGAATGTACATTTCCATAAATGTGTGTGAATCACAATGTAGCTACATCAGTTATATTGGAAGTTGATTTCATTTTTTCCTTTGTCATATTATGGCAGTTAGTTGAGATAAATTGCATACTGTTGTCATGATATTGACATAGTTGAAACTTCAACTTTAAGACTGTAAGCTGAATTGAAGGTCATTGACATTTGTAGGTCAACTTCAAGATTCCAATAACAAATTCTGTGTTTTTCTTGACAGGCCAAGGACCGAGCCACCAGGTTCGGTTTCCTTCTTCAGCAGACAGAGATCTTTACCCATTTCATGAGTGCTACTAGCAGTGTCAAGTCCCCAACCAGCCCACTCAAGCTCAAACCAGGGAGACCGAGAACCAAGAAAGATGACAAAGCAAAACTCTCCTCAGTCGGAGAGTAAGTCTTACATTTTCTTTTATTGAAAAACAGTGTGATTGTTTAAGTTTGAATGATGCATTTTTTGTCTACATTTTTTCCGTGTACAGGCACTTGTCAAAAGCAAATTGAGTTTTGAAAATCAAATCCCTACATGAGATTGAATTCAGAGATATGGAAATTGAAATCTAAGCCAATTGATACTGTGGACTATAGCTGAAAACATGTCACAGTCATCGTCATTACATGGCACTTTGGATGGCAGGCTGTGATTGCTCAGCATCTTCATTCTCTTATAAAAAGATGAAAAAATACCACTTTCACTGGTTCCCTGCAGCCACCGTCATCGTATGACTGAGCAGGAAGAAGATGAGGAACTCTTGATGGAGTCCCGCAAGGCTACCAGCGTCATCACACAGTTTGAGAAGTCACCGTCTTACATCAAGAATGGAGAGATGCGTGATTATCAGATACGAGGCCTGAACTGGATGATCTCGCTCTATGAACATGGCATCAATGGCATCTTAGCTGATGAAATGGTTTGTCATGGTTAATCATGATAACTTGGAAAAGTATTCAAAACAAAATATTGGAGGTATTTTCAACAAAACAGTAATAGTGTAGTTGTGTTAAGGTATGTTCACCATCCAAGGCTACATGAAGCATTTTTGGAGTGCCCTGAGTTCAACATAAACCATTTTGGAATCCAGTCTTTCACTTTGACCTTTTCCCTAACCCTGCTGAATCCAACAGGATCCAACTATGTCACATACCTGATGGAGCCTGTTGGATTGAGCAGTTAACCCCTTGTGTACATTCAAAATGTTGGATTCGGTCTTATGAATGTTGGATTCAGATATAACAAAATGTTGGATTCAGCAGGCAACTGAACCGCATTATAATGCATTGTTGGACTTCGGTGGATTCAGCAGACAACTGAAAATGAGGCACAGTGGATTGAGCAGGAAAGTCCAGTTGGACTCTGTTGGATTTAGCAGGGCAGTCCTGAAGAAGTACTAGGGGGTTAGGGTTAAGTTCTAAGTGGGGTCTTGCCAACATGCTTTAGACCACCTCTCTCTGAGTCCTTATATAGCATTTAAGTATTTTTCAAACCTTCAATTGTTTCCCCTGATTTCTCTTTTGCAGGGTCTGGGTAAGACTCTTCAGACCATCTCCCTCCTAGGATACATGAAGCATTATCGTAACATCCCCAGTCCTCACCTCATCATCTGCCCAAAGTCTACACTTGCCAATTGGATGGCTGAGGTGGAACGCTGGTGCCCATCGCTACGAGGGGTTTGCCTTATTGGAGATCAGAATACAAGGGTGAGTAGGATATAGGAAACTAGGGAAGGAAGTGCTTAAAAGTCAGTAAGATTTTCAATATTTATCAAGGCATTCAAAGAAATAATAACTCAACCAATATAACGTAAAAGATGTCCAGAATCAGAGCATGATTGTAGTAGATTATAGAAAATAATTTTAAAATAAGCAAGACATTACACAAGATAGCCAGACTTTTAGCCATTTAATGGTTAAGCTGTTAACCCTAACAATCCCCATCCAGTCAAACCCCAACACCAGGGTTTGTTGGAATCTCTTGGAGTGAGTACTGCACTAGTAAACTGATTATGCTTTACATGGGGTTAGGCATACCACCAATAATCAGAGTCCAACAGTTTTTGCGTACAGTTTACCATATGGTGTTGGAATTTTCCTGAGTGAGGAAGGTTCCTAGTAAATTACTCTAAGGGGTTAGGGTAAAGGGACATAGTAGTTCTGGTTTCTGTTTTGTCCTGATCTGCCCCACTGAGCTTTCACAGAAAAAAACTTAGCCTGGGAAGAAGCAGCTCTTAGAATCCTTAAGATACGAAAACCTTACATTCAACAGCAAACCAGCATAAAATTTTGTGTGAGAATTACACTTGATATTTCCTTTGCCTACAGGCGGCCATTATAAGAGACGTCATGATGCCGGGTGAATGGGATGTGTGTGTCACGTCCTATGAGATGGCTATCAGGGAAAAATCCGTCTTTAAGAAGTTCAACTGGCGTTACTTGGTCATTGATGAGGCGCACCGCATCAAGAATGAGAAGTCCAAGGTAGGAGAGCATTGACTATTTGAGAAACATGACAGAAAAAAAATAATTGTAAACAGGCTTTTAGCCAGGAGTTGAGGAGGAAGTGTCATATTTGATGAATATAGTTAGTTCCTTTCTTCAGTGGTGTTCAAATATTTACTAATTATCCAGCTGTGTGTATTAAACTAAGGTGTGTCTGGAAGACACCTGGACAATATTGGCTAAAACAATATTTAGAAATGAATAGCGTTTGTTATTGTTGACCAGCTTGTGCATGTGTTGTTAGTATGTGCTTGAACTCTAAACTTCACCAGCTTTGTCTTCTTCTCAGCTGTCAGAGATTGTGCGTGAGTTCAAGACAACCAACCGTCTACTACTGACTGGTACTCCGCTTCAGAACAACCTCCATGAGCTCTGGGCACTCCTGAACTTTCTACTTCCAGACGTCTTCAATTCTTCCGAGGATTTTGATGCCTGGTTCTCCACTGAGGGCTGTCTGGACACAGATAACACAAGTTTAGTCTCTCGTTTACATGCTGTGAGTATTTGGGCTCTGAAACCATGTTGAGGTTACTAAGTACACACCTGAATGATTATTTTTTCACTGAGGGCATATGATTGGTTCTCATGTGTGAAAGTTGAGCCGATGGTGGATAGTGCAGACTACAGTGATTCAAATTGATGACATCATTGTTCTTCCCTATTTTGTCCTTCTCAGGTTCTGCGGCCATTCTTGTTGAGACGTCTGAAGGCAGATGTGGAGAGAGGCCTACTACCCAAGAAAGAAACCAAGATCTATGTTGGTCTGAGCAAAATGCAGCGGGAATGGTAGGAATTTTGAAAGCAAAATTCCAGGAATGAATTGTCAATTGTAATTACAGATCAATGTGATGCAAGTTGGTGGCAGAGGTTTTACAGTTTGTCTGTCCTCATTACACCTGTTTGTTAACTCAGGTACACCAAGATCCTGATGAAGGACATCGACGTTGTCAATGGAGCAGGCAAAACAGAGAAGGTTCGCCTGATGAACATCTTGATGCATCTACGGAAATGCTGCAATCACCCGTACCTGTTTGATGGTGCTGAGCCCGGCCCTCCATTCACCACCGATAAGCATCTGGTAGACAACGCTGGCAAGCTGGTAGTCCTTGATAAACTACTCGGGAAAATCCAAGAGGATGGTGAGTTTAATCAAATATAATCAAAGTTTAATAAAATACAAAATTTACCATATGTTTCAAAGAGCTGCTCAACAAAAAAACATTGCTAAGCATGTTTGCGTACAAAAATTGGACCTTAACCCTTACTCTCTGAGGGTAGTTTACTGCATGTCAGTTGGTTATGCCAATGCCCTCCAGCTGCAGTTTATTGGCAGATAGTTTTATTTAACAGTGAAGGCTCCAATTGGCAGGAGTTGGAGGCCCTGGAGGGTGCCTGATACTGACCAGCTGGGGGCACTCACTTTGTTATCAGAGGACTCTCATTGTTCTCTGTGGCATGTATTGGAGTGCCTGTCCAGTTACCCTTGAAATGACATGGCAGATATTGGAGGGCCATGCAAAAAACATAGGAGATTTTCTTGAGGCACATATTGGCATGCGTTGGAGGGTCTAGTAGGGTAAGGGTTAAGTGGCATTTTGGTTGATATCCTGTTTTGCTTAGCATTTTTTGATCATTTCAATAAATTATCCAACGATGTTAACTATCTCAGGAGTTCTAATATGACCTGATAGAACAGCTCCCACATGGAAACACTTTTGCATCACAAAATAAAAATAGTCAAACCAAGTAAAAGCTTTTAATTCCCTTTTCCAAACCCCTTCCAAGATGACCTGCACCCCATCCAATGACAGTGATTGTGCTAAATCACTCTTTATTTGGATTCATTCCCTTTGTCTCACCCTAGGCTCTCGGGTACTCATCTTCAGTCAGATGACCCGTGTCTTGGACATCTTGGAAGATTACTGCACCTGGCGAGGTCACAACTACTGCCGATTGGACGGACAGACCCCCCACGAAGAAAGACAGGTTAGGGCCAGCACAAAATAAAGTTTGGTTTCGGGAGCATGAGTATCTGTCCTGATTGAAAAGTTGGCTCGGAAGGTTTACCATAATGATCGGTAATTGTCAGATAACTTCTATTTTTTTTCCACAGAAAAGCATCAATGCTTTCAACTTACCAGGCAGTGAAAAGTTTGTCTTCATGCTGAGTACAAGGGCAGGTGGTCTGGGGATCAACCTGGCTACAGCTGATATCGTGATCCTATATGACAGTGATTGGAATCCACAGGTGGATCTGCAGGCTATGGTGAGTTGCTTCCATCATCGAAACACACCCAAAAAACCTTGAAAACTTCGGAAGTCATTTTCCACCCCACCCCTCCCCCCAACACGCATACGGAGTAGAGTTTAAAGCTACTACAGATAACGTGTACTGTTCCATTTCTTTTGCTCCTATTATTTGGACATTTTTTCTAGAAAGAAATATTTTATGTGTTTAGCCTTCTCTCCCCCCCCCCCCTAAAAAAGAGAAAATTCTTCAAATTACAACTGGTTGGTTGCAAACTGACTCTCAGTGAACTCTTGTCTAGATTCCCGAGAATGTTGACCTCGTTGTATATTTAGGCCAGTGTATCAATATGTATTTGGATCTTGACCACACTGTAGGATCGCGCTCATCGTATCGGTCAGACCAAGCAGGTCCGTGTCTTCCGTTTCATCACTGAGAACACCGTGGAGGAACGCATCGTTGAACGAGCTGAGACGAAACTACGACTGGACAACATTGTCATCCAAGCTGGTAAATGAGCTTACAAAAGTCTCAATGTAGGAATTATAAAAAAAATCTCTTTGGAGAGATGCTCCCTGATTATTAATTTTACTCTACCTTGTGTCTTGATCTCAGCAAATCACTAGATCTCTAGATCATTGAGACTGAGAAGCTTTCTGGATCAGCCCAAATCAAACACTTTATGTATTTTGCAAACAATTTCACATTATCGGGTTGCCAGGCATATTTGTGTTATTGTTGGAACAGGTGTAATAGAGAACAGGCACTCCTCAGAATCAGAGGTTAATTCTTTTTTTTAGAAAAATGATAGCAAACTAAGGCCATAGCATAAGCGGGTATTTTGTGGGCGAGGCTTTGATTGTGACCATTGACATGCTTCTAAGAAAGCCATAGCAATAGAGAGCAGTTTATCTGACAGGGCCTAAAGTTTGTTGAATATCTCCACCTAACAGGTCGTCTGGTTGATCAGAATATGAAGGTCGGTAAGGACGAAGCTCTGGCTATGATCCGCTATGGAGCCAACTTCATCTTCTCCTCTAAGGATTCTACTGTCACAGACGAAGATATCGATCACATCTTGGAGAGAGGTGCTAAGAAGGTACGGCAAGTCTCTCTTCTCAAATATGAATTATATTCTCCGTGAACTCGGCAGAAAGTTACTTTTATAAGCACGCCACTGTACTTAACCTTTCCCTTAGTTTAACCCTAACCCCCTATGGTATTTTGATCAGAAACCTTGCTGCAAACAGCAACATGCAACACTTGTCAAAATGACAAGCCTGCCCAGTGTAGCAAGACCCATCAGGTCAAAAACAGCAACATGCAACACTTGTCCAAATGACAAGCCTGCCCAGTGTAGCAAGACCCATCAGGTCAAAAGTCTCAAGGTCAAACTGCCTCGGAGACTGGGGTCACCAACTGCAGCAGGATACAACTGTGGCATTATTCAATGGGACGAGCATTGTCTCAGAATTGGCCGTTCATGCACTGGTGTTGATGGCTCAATGCAGCTAGGTCCCGCAGACTTTAAAACCAGGTGCGCAGTGTTGCGTCTGGCAGGGCTAGGGTTAAAAAAATGTCTCTCATATTTTCCCCAAATATATTGGGCTACTTTCACTGTTGATGTACCTATAGTCATAGCTTCATTTTATTCCATCTTTGACTAGGAATTAAACAAGAAGCATCAACCTCATTTCAACAAATGGCTCTTGATTTCTCACACTCAGATGTTGAAACCTATTGACAAATATATTTTATTTCACAAATAACAGACGGAAGAGATGAAGAAGAAGTTGGAGAAGCTGGGCGAATCAGCTCTTGGTACTTTCACCCTGGACACTAATGAGAGCATCTACTCCTTTGAAGGGCAAGACTTCCGAGAGAAACAGAAAAGCACCAGCATCAATTGGATTGAACCTCCGAAGAGAGAACGCAAGGCTAACTATGCTGTGGATGCATACTTCAGGGAAGCATTGAGAGTCAGTGAGCCCAAAGCACCTAAGGTAAGCGTCTAATCCAATCAAGAATTGAAATTTCGATACAAGGTTTGCTACAGACTAAAGACTGTGTGGTGTTTTGAAAAAAGGTATGACATGTTACTGACATCGATGATCCATTGGGCTTGAGTTTATTGCAAATTTTTAAGGATTAGTTTCCTATTAATGACACAAGACTATTCTGTCATCCTTCCAGTTTCCCAAGAAAATGGGTTAACTATTGGGCATCACTTGCTACTAATTGTCACGTTGATTTTGAGCAACTGGAAAAAAGTGTGTATTATATTTTCATCTGTTTCTTTGAAGTTTTGCTGATTAACATTTGTTTATTTCATTTTCTGCAGGCGCCAAGGCCTCCCAAGCAGCCCAATGTACAAGACTTTCAGTTCTTCCCTCCAAGGCTCTTTGAACTTTTAGACAAAGAGATTTACTCTTACAGGAAGATGATTGGCTACAAGGTTTGGGAATCTATTCATAATTATCTAGATTTTCTCACACGGAATGTTTGCACATTCACGCAGCTTATTTGATTAAAAGGTTCAAAATCAGGACGATTTAGGCCTAACCGATGATTAATTAAAATTGATAAATTGATGATGTTTAGAACTTCTGAACTCACTTTTCTCTTTAGCAAAAGTAAGGTGTAATAAACTGTTGTCATTCTAGACTACTTAGAATTTGTTAGTTTGGTTGGTTGTAATTCATGTTGACACCCTGTACCACGCTGGACTTAAACTGATATTTCTTTTCACAGATTACACAGCATTGAATCTCATCTTTCAGTTTGAATGTTTATTAATTTACATGATTGATTGATTAAATTACAGGTGCCCCTGAACCCTGAGGTTCCCCACCCAGTACAGGCTCGCAAGGAGGAACAGAGGAAGATTGATGAAGCTGAGCCGTTAGTTGAGGAGGAAATACAGGAGAAAGAAGACTTGCTGACTCAGGTCAGGAATCCAATCATGATATTCTCCCAGTCTGTCTGTCGGCAGACTGTCTGTTGGCTGTCTATTTGTGGCTGTCTTATGTTTGTCCTCGATTTGGTGTTCATTATCCATGTACGTGCAAGTCTAAGCAAGAAATTCATGTTGGATTTCATAATTTCTTCAGGGTTTCACCAACTGGTCCAAACGTGACTTCAACCAGTTCATCAAGGCATGTGAGAAGTATGGACGAGATGATGTGGACAACATCTCCAGGGATGTGGAGGGAAAGACACCTGAAGAGGTCAGTGCACAATTTAGCTGTCACTCAACTGTCTGGAAAATGTGGATGGCAACTATTTTGGCCATAGTCGATGGAGTACCTGTACCCACACAGACCATTCTCATCAGACCATTCTCATCAGACTATCCCCTGATGCAACTTATACACTCTTTACCAGATCACGTAAATAAATGTGTCTCATTATAGAGGAATTGAATCTTATTTTATGTTGTAATCAAGGTGCAAGAATACATGGCTGTGTTCTGGGATCGTTGCCATGAGTTGACAGATATTGAGAAGATTATGGCCCAGATAGAGCGAGGAGAAGCCAAGATACAACGCAAGATTAGCATCAAGAAGGCACTGGACTCCAAGGTAGAATCATTGACTTAACTAGAAAGAAATTGGTTTATTGCCGCATGATGTGAGTAAAATGTAAAGGAACCTAAGAGTATATGACAAATTTATATGATGATTGCTGATGGTCAAGATTTAATAACGTTGCAAAGTCTTGTCAAATTGTGGTTGATTACAAAAAATTTACGAAATGAAAAAGCCCTCAATTCCTTCTTTAGTGTGTATATTTACTGCATAAGACCATCTTTGTGGAAGGGTTAAGCATGTATTAAAGTAAGGACGAGATGGTAAAAAATGTTAATGTTATAGACAGGAATAGCTTCGTTTACTGATAATTCATATATTGGTTTGTCTTGCAGATGGCCAGGTACCGAGCTCCCTTTCATCAACTACGTCTCTCCTACGGCACCAACAAAGGCAAGAACTGGACTGAAGAGGAAGATCGTTTCTTGGTTTGCATGCTACACAAGCTGGGCTTTGACAAGGAGAATGTGTACGATGAACTACGGACGGCTGTCAGACAGGCTCCACAATTTCGATTTGATTGGTTCTTGAAGTCACGAACAGCCATGGTGAGCCATTATTAAGTTATACTTCAGCAAATATTGAAAGTTGTTATAAAGTGTGCTTGAGTAATGTGGGTTTGGTGTAAGTCCTGCTAATCTTGTGCTGAAGATGAGTACATTTAGAAACGTATGAGTACAAGTATAGAAATTGTGAATTGCAGAAGTTATTGTCTGAAATTCAATATGAAACAATGAAACCCTGAATGAGACCTTAGGGAATGAAACTTAAGTTTCATCAGGAGGAAAGCAATAGTAAGTGTAAGGAAAACCCACACAACTTAGGCAGTTAGTGAAAACCAAATCCGCTGAGTGCCCCAGGTGGCCATCAATATGGCGTCACTAAGGATGGAAAGCAAGCGAAGAACCACAATACAGACTGGACAGTTTTAATTTTAGATACTGAGTTTCACTGAGTCTTCATTTTCATTTTCTTAGGAGCTGCAGAGACGCTGTAACACGCTGATCACACTGATCGAGCGGGAGAACCAAGAGTTGGAGGAACGTGAGAAGGCAGAGAAAAAGAAACAGGTCAGGGCAAAAGGAGGCATGCCAACACCCAAGGTGAACTAAATAGGGAGAGGGGGATTAATTGCTGCACCGAGTCTGACGACAATGCCTAGCGGCTAGTGGCAATTCTCAGGCAGTGGTGGTTAATTGATGTAATGGGCATCAGTAGATTGTCCTGCTGAGCTTAGTAGTAAATCCACGTAGTGGACTAAAACCTGTTTCAGACTGGCGTTCCACAGACACGCTGAACCAAATTATTCTGAAGAAGAGATTGACGTTGGAAACAGTAAAGAGCGACTGTTAAAAGATTTTCTGTTGCAGAAATGACTCCAGTCTAGTAAAAAAACTCCAGAGTCTAGCAAAAAGAAATTGAATACATGAAGTTTGCATGTCTAATACCCAAAACTATGAGGTTCAGCATGTGATTCAGCACGACTCTGAAATGCCAGTTTTTGCATGGTGGGATCCTGAATGCTGAATGGTTAAAACTACAGTTATAGCTGGATTTTCAAGTTTCTTTTAGAAAGAACATTTTTCTCAACTCCGAGATAGTGACCTTTATCTTTAGAACCGATGAAATGGAAGAAATACACATTTTTGTCTGATCATGTTTAGCAGTATCAAGTTACTGATTTGTTTTTGTTTCCCGTTTCTTATTTCAGGGGAAAGGAGAGAAGAGAAAGGCGGAAGCCACCCCAGACCCTCGCATCAAATCCAAGAAGAAGAAGTGAACATCTTATCCCAGATGAGAAAGAAGTACTCCAAAGATAGGGTAACACTGGTTTAAGATAGTCGGCACCCTTTAATCTGTGATATGAAGCTTGTCATGCAATGTGTATTTTTTTGTCAATATGAAATTCATGGTTGTCCTTGTACTTTCATGCTTTTGTGAAGCAACATTTTCAAAACACAGTTGTATTGATTGATTTTGCACTAATGTACGTGTCTGTGACTGTAAGATAAAAACCTGTCTGTTATGCTTTTAGTTTTGGGCAGTAAATCTGTCGGGCCAGCTAACTCTGAGATTTAGAAATGTGGAGTTATTTATTGAGGCAGTGGACACAGTGCTTTGGTAATAAGACATAATGAAGACTGATATTTAATCCGAAGTACCTCTTGTAAATAAACATCCTAATAATCTTTAAAAGAATCACTCCACATTTGAGATAAACGTCAGTTTCCTACCAGCATTTATGTTTATATTGTGCGCATGTGTGTGACACACCCCCAGTATACCACAGTAAATGCACATTTATGAGGAGTCGTTGAGAGTATTGGAGCAGTCTCTAAAATAAAACAGCTTCTTGGTTTCGCCTTTTCTGACATATTGGCCTGGGTTTTTCCTCACACCTAGGTGTCCTACACGTAACGTCCTGTATATAGATTTTGATTGTAAGCTTTAGTTTGCTGGTAAATTATTTACTTTGCTTTTTCTTCCCAGCTTTTTTCATTGAAGTAAGCCCAAGTTACTTATCTGTGTTGCTTTTTATAACTGACGTGTACATTCCGCATAAATGTTAATTTTAATCCAAGCATAAACGTTGAGCATTACTTGTAAAGCTCGTCCTTAGTGTCGCTACATTTTCTTTATCTTTGTGGAGTTTGCAACAACTTTCATTTCTGAATGACCAAATGTGTGTCAGTTAATTACCAGGCACACAGTACATATTTATTGTCGTGATGAACAACCTCTTGACTAATTGGATTTTGATCTGTCAAATTGTGCAAACACAAAGCTACAAGAACATGGCTAACTATATTTTGAGAAAATTTCAGTTTTACCTGCTTCTAAGAGAAGTTGTTTAAGTTTAGAATCACTTAACAATCACTGTTTGCTTAAGCAAAAAAAAAGGGAACATCTTTACAACACCGCTGTCTGATTTATTTTATCATTGTCAATGTATGTGTTTTGTTACAAGTTGTGAAGACTTAAATGCTCAACTAATATTGCAAGGGATTTTTTCTTCGTCCCGTTTACTTACAAGTGCTAGAAACGACTGGTCTCTAGTCTGTATTTATTCATGAGTATGGCTCTTTAATGTCTGTTTGTTTAGGTGTCTTGTACTAGAATCAAATAAACTGTTTTAAAAAGGAAAACTGTGTTTCTTTAAATGATTATTTTGTGACCGTTGTAAGTTGTAAAAAAATGAAGCAAATTTCTGTATATTCTCCCCTGTGCGAGTCTGTCAGTCAGTAATGGAGGTATATTAAAGAATCCCCTCGATTTCTCAGACAGGAAAAATTTGACACATTGAACCCTACATTTATAGAATGACCCTTACATAAACAAAATGTAAAATCAGGATGAATGGGAAGGGGCAGTTCTGTGGATTTCTTGGGGGGGGGGGGACAAAATAATGATTTTTACAAAAAAGTAAAAAAAAAAATGTGGAAAGGGGAGATTGGTGGGGAGGGGGGCACTGTTTGGTATATTGATTAAAACAATACATGTAGTTTTTCTTCTGTGTCCTCCATATATGGGGGGGGGGGGCATTATTTGCCTGACCTTTAACTCGAGCACATTCAACTTGAAAAAAGTCACAATATCATTGGAAAACGTTTTAATAATCCATGCAGGAAAATGAATGATTTTATTTTCATTTTGTCTAGTTTCACAATCACCTTCAAATTAATGTTCATTACTTTTTATAACAAAGAAATTTGTACAAGTATATTACATATTGAAATTTACATAAATACGCCTCCATGTCCTCAGGTTGGCTGACAAACTGTAATCATTAGGACTGTAGTCATTCTGGTTTTATGCGAGATTCTCTCTGGTTAGCAGTTCTACACAAACAGTTAACTTGGACAAGCCAACATTATTAAAATTTCATATACTCGTATTACTGTCGACAGACCACAGTGTAATTACATACACTCAATGGTCCTGAACAAATTAGAGCTGAGAAAACTAAATTTGATAAAAAAAATCTTCTGTTGGCTGCTCTTTGAAGAAAAAACAAGAGACCCTGTCTGCTGTGGCCACCTTTTCAACGGACACTTGTACAATGTGGCCACCAGTCCATTGTTGTGTGATCACAATATTAATCTTTTATTAAACTGAACTCTATTTAATGCCCTTTTGATAAAATATATTCATCAAAAAGTTTTGAAACGTTCAGAACACATTTATAACTTACTTCTTTGCATGTATAGTGTATTAGGAATGCCCCCTCCAAAGAAAGGTTAACACGGCCAAGTAAGAATTTGACCAACTTGCGAAAAAAAACAATACCATTCACATTCCAGTATTAGAAGTAACATTATATCATACAGTTTATAAAAAAGAAAATGTAAAAGAAAAAAAAAAGGGCAGGATTATTAGAGTAAAAGTACTGAATTAAAGATCCTGCAATGCCTGCCTCTTTTGCACACATTTAGAAACGGACATCTACTTAAGGAAAAGCTGAGAATGATATCACCAACGATGAAACATTTTACACATTATGTTCAACATTTGGATATACAAAAATACTTTTGACCACTTCAAAGTCTAAATTTACCGTAACAGATTTGTATCCATTTGCAGAGTGTCTCCAAAATATTTTGACAACTGACAAAATATGTTTCAAGCTATTATAAATTTCCAGGTTTAAGCTATTATAAATTTCCGAAGCTTTTCTAAACAGTGAATTGTGGGGGTGGGGGGGGGGGGGGGGGGGGGGGGGGGGGGGAGAGACCAAAGTTGAATGGGAATGCAATTGCCATAGGTTGGGGTACCCCCCCCCCCCCCCCCCCCCCCCCCCCCCCCCCCCCCCCCCCACACACACTTCTGTCAACAATGGTGTGTCTTCCAAAATAAATGGAGCTAAGCTTGCCACTACTTTGCAAGAAGTAAACAAAAATATCAAAAATTTGCAAATTCAATTTGAACACAGAATACACCAACAAGATATGCAAAAGAAAATCAAGTTGATGTTCAAAACCAGAGTTGCTTTAATAATTATTACTGTTGAAGTCTCCTTACAAATTATACAAAACAGGAAGAAATTGTTGAGGAATAACAAGCCTCTATAATCAGAAATGTTTAATTTCTATATTAAAACCGGATCAGGAGATATTATAAGATGCCCTATGCCAACTTAAGTACCTTCCGATGTAACAAATTTGTAACCCCAAATTTTGCTTCAAATTTGAAAAGAATTTGAAAATGAGCCAATTCTTCAAAACATAGCATTAAATTGTACTTTTAGCTATGAGGGCCAAAATTATAAGCACCGTGAAGTGACAATGGTTTTACATTAACAATTAATGCACACTTAATCCAAATATAAATATGCAACATGTTTTTGTAAAGGATTTTGGTATGAACAGCTGAGCAGTTGATTTACATTCAAACAGCCAGTCTTACATATTCATAGGAAATACTGAATAACCATGTCACGTAAAGTAGACTAGAGCCTATTATAATGACTGCTTTTCATTAATGCTTTCTCAAAGTCCTCCCACACATGAAGGCATCCAATACAAAGTCATAAATATTTATAAGGCATACTGAATATGTATACATCTCAGGATGGTATCTGATTGGCTGGATTGGTGTAGGCAGGTGCATGATAAACAGCAGGGCGGGGTTTATATAAATCAAACCTTGTTATTGTTGCCTCACTCTCATCCATTCAACAAATTCATCCAGCATGACTGGCCCTGAGGAGGAAGAGAAAAATGATTGATTCAGACAACAGAGAAACATTGTCAAATTTATGTGAAAAAAATTAACAATGAATGCAAAATCTGAAGTATTTTTTTTGGTCAAGAGTTAAATTGGCATTTGCAACAACTATATAGTATGACTATGTAAACAAAAATATAATCACTAATAATTTTGTATATTTATTCAATTTAATTAATGACCCATTACAAGTGAAGAGTTTTTCAAGAGAAGACTTGCTGAAAATGTGGGCTATTTATTTTTTTCAGAAGGAAAATCCATAATTATGGGAAAAAATAACAACAACATCCCCACATGATTCATTAGGGACTACCAAACTATCCCACATGGAGAGTTGAAGGGGATTTGAACCAAAGAAAAGGAAACATCTGCGCCAAGTTGAACTGGAGAAGATTGAAGTGACTTACATGCACCATCTACGTCATAGTTACTTAGGTCTGGTTTGATGGCTCGGCTAAACTCCAGTATATTGCACCACTGGTCCTTGTTGATTACCTTATACCTGGAGTGCTGGGTAAGGAAACAAACAATGGAGAACTTGAAATAGTAATTCAAATATAATGTCAGACATATACACACTATTTGTATTAAAAGTCTCAAAACTTGACAAAAATGCCTTCCACTGTTTGTGCACTTAGTCCATAGACTTAACCTTTAATTTAAGTGAGAAAGAAAGAATAATACTCACATCTAGGAATTGCTGAAATGAATTGAATAGTACCCACTGTCTGCCAAGGAGAAGAGCTAACATCGCCTTGGCAGTTTCTAAGTCTAAGCTTCGCTCGTCTTTGTTCTGCAAAAGTAAATGGAAACCATCATAAGCACACAAAGAACTTAACATTTGAAATGAAAACTTGATCACTTTTGCCCATTGCATTTATCTGGTAATGTAAGAAAACTTCAGAAGAGAACTTCAGGAGATTCGAAAAATTGTGTAAACATTTGCTTCCATGCAATTAATTTACTTTTGACAGTATTTTTTTTTAATCAAAGACAACAAACATGAACTGTTTCATAGTGAGGAAATACTAATAAGGCAATGCTAAGAGAATTAGAGAATGTTTAGGGGAAAAAAAACACAATTCTTAAAAACTTTAACAAACCAATTTTACAATGGCTGTGGTATTATACGTCTGTGACAAAAGTCAGGATAATATTCAGTTATTCATAATGAATGTGTGTACGAGTCCCTTGCACTGCCTTATTTATATCTCCAAGTTCATGACAGACACCATTGATATACTTAACATGTGTGGTTTTTTTTTTCGAGGAAGTGAACCTACTTCCATGATGAATCAGAAATGTAGGTCCAATGGGCCATCCTAAGGAGTTCTTACAATTATTTGATTCTTAATAAGGATGGAGAGCACTCCTCAATCGACTTCTCACTTATAAACTGCTCCCACCCTTCCCAAAAAAGAGAAAACCTTGGTAAAGCCCAATGCGTTGTAATCTTACCCTTGCAAAGTCAAACGCGTATCTGTAGATTTTCTTGAAGGTAGGTGGATCGTTAAGTAGCGTGCGTAGGTAATCCATCTTGCTTTGTAGTTTCCTGGGGTTATCCACCCTGCAGAAATGACAGGAGACATGGGATATGTGGGGACCTGGGTGGCACCAGTCAGGCCTATTTGCGGTTGTGTGGGCTCTATTAGCTCCGTCACGACTCACAAATAGCCATCAAGCATTGGAAACGGGATTTGGGGCTATGGATATGAATACTTACTGTGGTGTGTCAAAGGAAAAACAATCTTAGCTGTAGCCACAAAGCAGCCCATTTGGACATTACCTTGTCGCTGAATGTTCTATTGGAGTTGTATATATTTAATGCTCAAATAACTGTGAAATTGATTTCTACTGACAGGTTAACGCACTTCAGTATAATTTTCTGTCATGCTTCTTCAATGTTATGCCTCTTTATAACACAATGGTCGGCAAAAGGCTCACAGTGTAGGCCATTGGTCACATACGCTATAGTGTTTGCCCCGAGTCTAGACATAAGTCAACATGAACCAACTTGCATTTGCTATTAAAATGCTTAGACCCTATCGCTTGAATTCAGTTCACAAAGTTATTATACACCTAGATATTGGCAAAACAATTTGACAAAATACATTTGTAATTTCTTGAAAATTGAATTAGCCTATGTATTCTTTTTAAGCCCTTTTAGTTTCACACTAAGCTTTTTAGTGCCTGCTTAGCACCTTTTACTAGCCAGAGGATGTGAGTAGGTTTGCTGTCTTCCTTTGATGGCATTAATTACAGGATGAGTAAGATATAAGGGGGCTGCACATCTTGAAGACCTTTTTCAAGGTCACATCAAGTGGTTAACCGTAATAAGTCAAGGATCAACTTTTTTGTTTCATACTTGTGATGTTCTCCAGGCATTACAACACAATGTATATTAAATCACAGTAAGGATGCAAATGGGCAAAACAGATTTCAAATTTGTTATTAGGTCCAAGGAGTTTAGACTATTTGTGACTTAAGTAGAATAATGTGGCCTCTACACCATGCCTAATATGCCTGACATGGATGTTTTTTTTTCATTTTTTAATTAAAAAAAATTATTAATAAACTGACTTCATGAAATAAAGTGCGAAAGAAAATAAACCAATTGCGGGAATGCTAACATAGCATAGAGAAGTCAGTTGGTACAGCAATGGTACGGATTCCTTCATTCAAATAACACAGGTCAAACTTACTGTAGTCTTGTCATGCCTAGCATCCACTCCTGTAGTGTGAAGAAGCCCATCTGATCGGCTTCCAGCTTCCACGCAAGCACCAGCATGACGATATTCTCAGGTTCCACTCCGATATCCTCACAGAACTTCTCCATGCCCTCTGGGCCGATCAAGTCCTCCTGCCCCGTGTATTCTTGGAACCATGTCTGGCAGCGCTTGGAGGAGAAGGAAGAATGTGCGCTGTCTTGACTGGTTAGTGAGGTCTGGTGGTGGTGGTGATGGTGGCGATGGTGGGAAGAGTTGCTGTTAGAAAATGAAAGAAAAACATGAAAAAGATGAAAAACGTTTAAGCACTGTCTGTAACTAAATGCTTTTTCATTTTGTCTATTCTGCTGTAAGCCTCCTAAAACTTAACAGTAATTGACAATATTATTGAAGACTAATGTTTGGGTAAAAATTAGCAAGAGTATTTTATTCACAAGATGGAATTTGCGTCAGGGTGATGTAAAAGAGTACTTTAGAATGAATATGCCTCTTGAAATATTGACAAAAGAAGGACCAATTCTGAACTAAAACAGATGATTCTGGCTCTTAGACCAAGACTTACCTTGACCTGGATTTCTTCATCTTGGTCTCATCTTCAGCTGAGGATAGTTTCCGTTTACGACGTGGGGGCATGTCTAGGTTGCAGCAAGGAAGGAAGAATGTTTGGGTTGATAGTGTTGTATCTCTGACACAGCTTACAGGATCCTCAGCTGTTATGGGCTTCTGACAGGCACTCAAACTCTGTTATTCACAATTTTTGTTTAAAGGAAAAAGTTCAGAATGGTTCACAATGGGGATAATAGTAATAGTATTAGAATTTCTCATGCCAAAATCTACCACTGTTCTGTGTATTATGACTGGCATTAATTCAGTACATTAGACTGAGATCTCCTGATTAGATCCTCTGCAATTCTCGTGGGTACTTTTGTTCCTTCACACAGCGAATCACTCATGTTTAATTCACACATCCAGCAGTATGAGCACTCTACACATTCTGTACATTATGCCAATTCTGAAAGCTCACGGGATTGAGATAAAGGAGGATTTCAAACACACACATTAGCTTATTATTCAATTCATTTTCATGAAGTCTGATGATACCAACTGTAATTATGTAGCATTCTTCAGTACAACTGTGAAATTGCTGTCTTTTTACGGAGTTTGGATGTATCTTTTTAATTATTCTTAAGATGGATTTTTTTTTTAATGTTTTTCCCATGTATTAAACAAATGATACTTTACCAATCTAATATTAGTAAAAATAATAATTAGTTTATACTCTGTGTTGCAAATTAACAAACAATACAAAATCTAACAAAGAAAAATAACTTTATTTACTCCAAGATCAGACCAAATTTCAGGTCCAATGTACTAACCAAGCGAGTGAAGCACTGAGGTAGTGCAGACTGCTGTGATGGTATGCTACCTGTCAGGTGCTCCAGTGTGATTCAGCCTGTGTGGTCTTGGGTACCAGGTGACTTGAAGAGCCTGGAGATATGGCCTCTTTGCTAGTGCTAATGCCTAGCAATCAGAACGGAACAAATTCAAACCGAGTCTATTTGGGAACATTTTTGTTTGTAAAGGAAACTGAAGTTTGATACCCAAAAATGTCAGCAACAAAGATGAAAGTCAATTTCATGAACATGCAGCAAATGATTTTTCCATTTACAATGAACATGTGCATGTTCTCCATTTATACGTACTTTAAAGCCCTTTTTTGTTCTGTAGTTAGAACAGGATGCCTAATCATTCATGAGGAACCTTAGAATCCATAGAACAGGTGAATTTAAAGACACGATTTTAACTTTAAGTTCATAGAGAAAAATTGCAGTAGCCAAAAACGTAATATGAACTCACTAAGACAATAAAATCCTCCACAATTCAAAACTGTTTGTTTTGTTTACCTCAGACCCAGTCACAAAAAGAGGAAGGAATGAATACTAAGTTGGGCATTTCCTATAATTTCCACATGACAGTACAACTCATCTTGTTGGCCAGCAAAGATTGTTACAGACTACACTGTCTATGTAAGTAAGTACGCGTAGCTAAACATGGAAGTATGACCTGACATACTTTAACTAACATCCCTTTTTTTCATGAAGAACCCGTCTCCTTCCCCCTCCATTGAAACAAATTAGGAATTCCTGAATGGCCTAAGAGTGATTCACAATATACTTCCTCGTGTTAAACCAACCACAAATAAAATTCCCATCTGATACTGCACAGGAAATCCATTTAGCACTGGTCTGTTTGCAGGGTGCTGGGTGAGTGCATTAATTCAGAAGCATTCACTAGCTGTGGTGGATGGATCTGTATTGAAAATGATCAGTTTAGTCAACTTCCCCCCTTGAGAAATGCAGGTGTTATTGCAGCTTAAGTACAAAAATATGGATTTGTATGTTGTGAATTTGATTGATTTCTTTGCACACTAAAACATTTACTGTCAACTCTCATTTAATACAAACTTTGTCGGACCTAGCTAAAAATTGTTGTGCCTGGTACGCCTGGTAAAAGAGCTAAGCTTGTATGCAGAAAAAATATTCCAGCAATTCTAAATATCACAATACTATTTTTTTTGCATAATTTATAACCATCAGGGTTGGTACTTCTTTATTACCAGCTGTGAGCAGCTCGTTTAATAATTAATATTCACAAATACAAGTATAAATAATATGAACATTAACATTTTCTATCATATTGATAAAATAAACAAAATTTGAAACTTTAGATACAATTTACGGCATTCTATAATTACAAACAAAATCTGGAAGGAAATGATAATTAAAAAAAATACACTTGGAATTATAAATTTATAGCAATTTTAAACATGTTTAATTAAGTTCCACAACAAACGCAACAAAAAGGTCAACATGAAGAAAAAGAATTCAGGTGACTATATTTCTATGTGTGCGTTTTTTGTGTGCACAATTTTACATAATGAAGTATCCCACAATGCAATACAACTTAAATCGGCATTTACCACACACGAAACCACTGCTCAATGACAATGACCAACAAACCACCACTTTTCAATTTCGCCTTTCCCTTTTTGCCTCGAATATTTCTGTGATTACTTTTCTCAATTTTTCTATTTTTTTTTCTTAAGCAAAGACATTTCGAGCACAATCATTTACAATCATCTTCTCTGGATCAATATCAATTTCTGCACGTGAAAAGAGAATAAAAAAATGACACCCCTTTTACTAGTCACCGTGTGGTGTCACAATCCGAGAGCGGTCACGCACCGTACAGATCCCCGGGGCACAACCCCTTTAATGCCCGTGTGTCCCAACATGTCAACACACGCACTTGACTGACCAGTCGTGGCGCAGAAAAATTGACCAAGAAAATGTCACATTTAACCTCCTCATGCACACTATTTTCACTTAAGACGACACACATTTATTGAGAAAATAACATGTTACTTACATTTAAATTTCCTTTCGATGATTGCGCCTATAAAGGGGTAAAAATTACGGTAAAATCAGAGAACAAACGCAGGTTTCCCACCACTGACGATCGCCATGTCCGTGCCGCCGGTAGTGAGCATGCGCTATGCAATCCATCAAGTACTTACGAGAAACGTCGTCTGTAATTGGTGCAATATTTCCCACGGTATCAATGCACCAATAGGAATGATTCTTATATTGGCCGTGTCCTGCATGCCAAATTCCTGCGAGTCAAAGCCGACGAGGGAATGAAAAGCATCGACCAGTCAACGTAAGCATTCAGATTTCGCCAATTTTCTGTACAAATTTAAAAGCAAACATTTGTTTTATAGTTCTTAGTGCATATTTATTGAATTTTCGAACAACTTGTTTCTCCGTCTTGATTTTTAGTGTACAAATTTGTGAAATTTTAGCACCTAGAAACGCAACGCTGTGTGCATAACAACGAGTTTGTACACGTTTTCCTATGCAGAAGGACAGTGTCAGTGTCACAGTCATGATGGATTAAGACAGAATTTAGATATTTTTCAAAAGGTCGAATTCTTTACAAAAAATAAACATTGACATTTTATGGTATAGTGCATTGCGATGTAAATTAATTCCATTGCTTGTTTTGTTTCATTTATGGCTTTTTAATTAATGAAGAAATATAAAATGAAAATCATGACATGTTTTTCTTGTGACGTTGTCACTTGTGTGTTTTTGCAGTTGACTTTGGGCCTAAAGTAAATACTTTAATAAAATTATTATTTTGATAAACGTGGGTGCGGACATCCAGGAATATTTTTTCTCTGGCTTTTCTAGCTCCCAGACCTATGTCATGGTTCTTGAATCTTGAGACTGAAGTGCTGAATGTTGTCAGTGTCACATACTCAACCGAGGAAAACTGGTCTCATCGGATGAAGTAATCGTGCCCGCACGGCTTTAGACCTAGTAGTTGTTGTTATATCCATCCTACAGTAACCTAACGTTTCTCTTACAGATGATGATGACTCGCAACCAACAAACGTAACAGTCCAAGTTTGAGCAGGATGCCGTCAGCAGATGTGCGCAAGGATTTCCTCCTTGGCAGCTGCGCCTCCTTCTTTGACATTCCGTCTGGAGACGGAGTCATCTCTCATCTCTTCAATGCCAGGGAGTTGAACACATTCCTTGACGATGCTAGCTGCTCAGTGCTGTCAGCTAAAGTCAACAGTCTTGGGAACGAAAGAAAAGTGCATCTTAGCAACAAAGTAATCTGAAGTATAGTTTGTCCAAATTTAGTCAAACATACACGCCACAATTTTTGATACCCAACTATTGAACTTTTTTTCAGTTAAGAATAAACTTGTGTTACGAAGGTAAACCTTATATCCTGTTCACTGGAAAGATTGTAAATTTATACTCAAAACATGTGGGCTATTCATGAAATGATCCAAAAAATCTGTCTTGACATTAACCGACACCCCCTGGTAGATTTGCTTGCATCCATTCTATGGATCCCAAATCCAATGTTATGCTGTAACCTTGGTTCACTTCTGGTACTTGAACAAAACAAGGACACCAAGTACGTACTGTACAGTACTACAAAGTAATGTACATGGATTATTAAATTACTATGGTTTTGAATAGTAACCAATTTTCCTAAACCTTTTTATAACTTTTTTTTTTTTTTTCATTTTTTAGGTTGATCCAAGTGAGACAGACGAGAAAGTTCTAAGCTTCTTCAAAGTCCGGCCAAGTGTCATATCTCAAGACAATGTGCATTCAGACATCTTTTGTCTGTCTATGTTGGATTCGCCATGCAGTGCCTTATACCATGCTGTGGACAAGGTACACAGTGTTTAATCATTAGGCCCCCCCCAAAAAAAACAAGAGTTCTGCTTCTGATTAAATGGCATTTGAAAATAGGGAAGGTAGGTGAGGAAACGTGTTTTTTGGCAATTTTTTTTGGTACGATCATATGGAGGTGTCTGTGTGTAGTTAAGGTAAAAGGTAGTAAGTGATGCTTTTCAGGTGTTTTTCCTCATTTTTCCCAACAAAACATTAGGATAGGGGCTGTCAAAATAGGGTAGGTAGCGTAACCGGAAGCAAAAGTATTTTTTTTGGGGGGGGGGCCATATGTATTGTGGGAAAATTGTAGTAATCTTTGAATTTTGAAACCTTCCTTTCAAATTGTATTGAATAATCCTGTACTTTGATGTTAAGTTGAGCAAAGAATATTACAGCTACTTCAAAAATATATTCCCTAGGTTTGTTGTGGTGTTTACTTGCAACCAATAGGCCTATTTTGCAAATATTAAAAAAATTCAATTATTCTCCGTTCCAGGTGTATGTCCCGTTGCTGATTAAAGATGAGAAATGGAGTCGCACAATGGATCCCAAGCTGCAGAGCTTACTTACTGAATTTCAGGCTGGATTACAGAGTCTAGTCAGGAAGATTGACCCTTCACAGGCTGGAAAAGTGGTCAGAGATGACAATCATTTTGCAGGTACAAGAGTTTAAAAACTTCATCATGTTAAAATAATTTCCAAAAATGCTGTTGTTTCTCAGTGGAGAAGCCACTATTTCAAGGCTGGCAGTTTCCTGACCAAATAATTCATAGGTTTGTGATTCCTTTATCTGATCATTTCATTTGGTAATTTTGAAAATCTGCTGAGAGTATAAAGTGCTTAATTTCTGTTAAAGAGTAAAGTTGAAGGCTATCTATCACTGAGTTTCTATCATTGCAAAATTTGTCATGTCTTACATATAATATAAAAAACATGCAGACTATTTATGGGCTTGACTGTGATTCCCTTTGATAAGGTATCCTGACTCCCAGTGATGAGTTCCAGTACTGGGCAGAGGTCGCCATCTCAGGTACCAAGCTAGAAACCAAAGAACGGGCCCAGCTGTTCCAGCAGTACTTTGAACCAATCCTCAAGGATTACAGTAACCTGGATGTGCTATCATTGGCTGAGGGGTTGGACCTAGTAGAGACAACACAAGATGCCTTGGATGATGTGTGGAAACAGGGAGAGTTTGATCCTTATCCAGAGAAGAGAATGAAACATCTTATGGAAGTTATCGGTAGGTTAACTCTTTCCTTGTTTCAAATCTTTCATGAGGTTTTGAAAGATATAATACTTATTTTGGTTTATGCTTCTCACGTTGCCAAATTAAAATAAATGGAATGTAAACGAACCGGCAATGTGATGGTAATGGCCAATATATGCCCAGTGCCAAATCCTGGAGTTTTATTTTGAACTATGCATCATGAAAAAAGGAATGATTAGAGTAAATGGAAAAGGAAGCCGATCTTTGATTCATTATAGTTTTTTTTTGGTTTGTTTTTGTTTCAGGGAGTTCCCTAGGTCGGTACGCCCAGCGTCAACTCAGTGACTTCAAGCTATGGGATGACCCCTTCCATCGAGTCAAGGCATCCTTGACGCAGGCCGTCGCTATCTGTGATAGATGGGTGGCAGCCTGTGAGAGACTGACTGATCAGTTCTGGAAGAGAGATCCTATCCATCCATGGAAGAGCTCCAAGTTTGCACCAGAGAGTCTGGTTCAGCTATCAGCAAGGCTACAGGAGGTTTGTACGCATTAAACTCGTTTCCCAGACTGGCATTCCAGACTCATGCTGATATAAATTATTCTGAAGATTTCACAAAAGATCAACAGAAATGATTTCATTGTCCATTCAACGGAAAATTAGTTTTTAATGTTTGCCTTTCCGAAACCAAATTTTGTGGATCAACTTGATTTGCTCCAAATATGTTCTGGTTTGGCATAACTCTGGAATGCTAGTCTAGACAAGTTTAAATTAATGTAACAGGACAGAAGTTGGTGTGGATATTCACTGTGTTTAAAGCACAGTTATCTGAAATATAATGAACTCTGTATGTTACAGATTTTAACCCTACGGACTGTCCATGAGCAATTGGTCCGTCTCCTTTCCACCGGTGAGCAACATGAACTCAGGACAGCAGATGCATTCTCCACCTTCAAGGGACTGAACGCGTTACAATACAACCCTTACACTGAGCCTATGTGGAGGGCAGCAGTCACACAGTATCACAGAGGTAGGCTTTGGACTTCAGAGGGTATTGTCGTCAAGTCCATCACCAATCATACAGTCAAGCTGCAAACGGTTCCAATAAACTGTAACAAAAGCAATCCTTTTGTTATTGTATGTTCCCTATTACTCGTGACTAGACTTGTGATTGGACTTGTGATTGGACTTGTGATGGACTCGACTAACCCTGACTTCAGAGTTTAGCTTGGTTCATATGTCATTACAGCTTGAGATTAACGGTAAAGTCATTACAGCTTGACAGATTAACGGTAAAGTTGCAATATAAACTTCAGTGGATGACTGTGAATATTTTCTTTATTGTATTGAGGTTGAAAAAGAAATCAAGTATAATAGCTGGACTCCTGTTTGTAAGATAAAGTTGACAGTGAACAAACTTTGATAAAGATAAGCTGAAGTTGCTGAATTATTTATGTTTAATTCTTGACTTGTAGCAATGGCACCAGCAGAGCAGCGTATCGCCGGTAAGCTACGATCCCAGCTGAGAAAGCTTGAAGCAAGTCCTCAGCAGTTACTAAGAGAATTCCTGAGGAACAAGGAGCTAGTGAGCAGAGAGGGTGTATGCAAGGAACTTGTGTCTGAGAGGTATGGATGGGATTCTTATCCACAACATGAATATCAGCTTAAGAACCTTTATTTGCATCAGAGTTACCTCTAGCTGGATTGATTATTCAGGATGAATTTTGATATAAAAATTTTCTCCTCTTCTGAATAATATTTTTAAAAAAAACCTTGCCTATTGATATGCTGTGGTCATTTAAGAACAAAATAGTTAATGGAATATCTTTTGATTGTTAATTTTTCAGGGAGACTCTTCTAGGTCAGCTACAGGTGTACCTGAAAACAATTAAAGATGATTTCAATACCCGCATCAGTGAAACCGGCCCTCCAACGGGCAAGAATCTACCAGAGGTTGTCAATAATATCGTCTGGGTTAGACAGCTTGAAGCAAAGGTATAATCATGGCAATAACGCTTATATTTGTAACAAAGAATTACACTGCCATTGGAAGGGCATATAAATTAACTTATTTCAGTCAGAGTTGTCCAGTTGTCTTATTGATGCCCTTAACATTTGGAGTGATTTGTCACCTTGTTTTGTTTGTTATTTACATTGAAATGAAATGCCTGTACAACAGCTGGATACAACAACAGCATGGACAAAGTGATCCACAATGTTGGCTTAACTCATGTTATCGCTTATATAAATTTTTTTTTTTTATTACTTTGTCTTTTAATGTGTACAGCGCTTAAGAGCATATTATGGATTTTCGGACACCATATAAATTTAAATTATTATTTATTATTATTATTATCTCAGATTCAATTTCATAATTTCTGCTTGGACCAGTTTGAAGATATGCTTCTTCACTAGCAAACACACAGACTGCAAGCTATCTGTTTGATCCTTCACAGGTTGAGGAGACATCAAGTGTAGCAGAAGCCCTCCTGAAGGATCTGCCAGGATTCAGTAAGTTTAGGAGGACCGCAGCTGACTTGGTAGATGAGCTACGGAATTGGCGGCAGGATCAGTTTGATAGCTGGTCACGTGAGATGCAAGCGGCCATTGAAGACCCCAATAAGCCTCTCAGGTAATGGCTACGGCTTAGTTGACAGTTTCCAGTTTCCAAAATATTATATATCAAAGTATTGATATGAGATCCACCATGGCAAATTATAATCCAGCTTTTTGTTTTGCTTCTCAGTCTGCAGATGAGCGGCCGTCTGATGGAATTTGACACTAAGAACCAAGAATTGAAAGTATCATACAGCGAGCGTCTAGTGACACTCATACGAGAGGTCAGACAGTTACAAGCATTAGGATTCCCTGTAGCGGCTAAGATACAACACACGGCAGCGATTGCGCAGAAGTTCTACAAACATGGAGTGATCCTCAAACAGGTAGGACTTATTATTGGAATTAAATTGAGAAAGGTCAGAGAACGCCTTATACATTTGGATTGAAATTTCTGAGAAATAATCCTGGAATGCCAAACATTGTATCACCAGGATAAGAACAACAGATAAAACATGAATTGAATTGTGGATTTGATTGTCTGATTTGGACACTAGGTGGCTCACTTCCACAACACCATCGCTGAGCAGATGATACCCAGCCAGCGCAACATGATGCTGCAATCAGCCCTGGCCTTTGAGCGCATGATCAAGAAACCCAAGACAGGTGCCAAGGATGGAGGAGGGGGTAAGGTGCAGATCACATGGGATAATCCTGAGGAATTGGAGGCCTACATCGTCAAGCTACAAGCTGCTGCCGAGAAACTGACGACCGAGAATAGAAGACTGAGGAAGTGGCATTTCACAGTCTGTGATAAGGTTAGTAGGACTTATTACCCTCAATTAGTATTATTCTTCATACCCTCTGTAGCTCAAGTTGATCATCTAAAATACAACAAATTACATACAAAATAATTGTAATTCATAATTAATAAGGTAGAGGATGAAAAAAGAGGAAAGGTTCAGAATGGAGATTTAAGGGGAAATCTATATGCACTGATTATTTTCTGACTGGGACTTGTAATTTTTAAGTTGAAATGAGTTTGAACCATAATAAGCTTTGTGGTAGTATACACTTTTATGGAGACGAGAATTTCAATTTCCCAACCTGTCTGAACCTTTAAAGTCTACAAATTTTAAAACTATTTACACATTTTTCACCTTTGCACACTGAATGTATTTTTTATTTTCTTCATGCATAAATTGACCCCACAAATTTCAGAAATCAGTTTGGTGTAAGTGCCAGTTGTTCATAGACAGCACTTCATGTATCGAGTAATAATGGCTCTTTTCTGTTTGGCAGGTGGTGCAGCTAATGTCAGTAGACCTTCTTCGTCAGCAACCACGCTGGAAGGAAGGCTTGCAGCAGATCCGTGGTATCATGAGCACCTTAGAGAGTCAAGGATACAAGAAAGAAGACATGACGAGTTGGAAGATGCATTGGGATCAGCAGCTGTATAAAGCCTTAGAGCATCAGTATCAGATGGGTCTGGAAGCACTCAATGAAAACCTGCCTGAGATTAAGGTGGAACTCGTCTACAGGTTGGTTGGTTATATCATACTGTCCAACCTTTACTCTGGCTTTCTTGTTCACAGAAAAATAGCAGTCTCTTGAACTGCACAAACTTACAAAGAGATTTGTAACATGGTACAACTGTAACGTTATTCTTATTAAAAATACATTTTATGATTTCAGTTTCATTATTTTGAAAGACTTATGTTCACCATCCTCTGAAATATCCATGTAGTTCATCAGAGATTACTCACCTTAATAGTATAAAAAATTGATCAGTTCGTCTTGAACTTACCAGAAATGAACCAGTTTACTTGTTATCTTTTGGGATGCAGACAGCAACGTCTTCAGTTCCGGCCACCATTAGAAGAGATCCGAGCCAAGTATTACCGTGAGATGAAGAAGTTCATCAGTCTGCCTTACCATTTCCGTGGCTTGGCTGATGCGGGAGATAACGCCATCTTCCCTGCTCTCATTGAGAAACATGCATCAGGATTCTCCACTGTTTATAAGAAGGCAGAGGATCTCTTCGGGAGATTAGCTGATGTCAAGAATATCTTCACGGTAAGTCAGTTTGAAGACAGCTGCAGTGTTTGTAGAATATAAAAGTGCAGAAAGTTAGTACTTATGCTCATTGGATCATTTCTATACAAGCTTTCACAAAAGTTGGGGACCTTCTAATAAACAGGAGATTCTTATACAGAACATACAGCTCTGTAATTCTTGAATTGTGTAAATTAGAAGACACAGTTTATCCTTAGCAACCTACTTCGGCAAATGAGAGAATAATGAAAAATAACAATTTCTTTTCTGTTACTATCTGGCTGATGTGGGGAGTTTTTTTAATTGCTATTGTTTTATGTGATACTCGTTCATTTTGTTGGAAAATGCCACATTTTCAATCCTGATATTATTTTCTTGACAGGAATGGGTGGTGTTGGGATCAGTGGATCTTGATAAGCTGATAGAAGACAACCTACAAACACCTGCTGATTGGGAAAGGAACTTCAAGTCTCTGAAGGCAAGAGGTAGAGACAGCGAGAAGCTACCGAGGTGAGTAAATAACCAGGGACAAGGGGGTTTGTTTGAGATGGTTATGGTAAGACTTGAAGGTTTTGCAAGGTGAAGATAGCAATAAGATAAAGATTTACGGTAGCACCATGAGTTTGTGGGGTTCTGAAAGAACCAGGGGAACCTCAACGTTTCGGACAATACAGTCTGCCCATCATCAGGAGACTTGGATTAGATGGGCAGAGAGGAGGTTTTGCCTCCACAAATGGTTGACCATAGACTGTTTACAGGCTGATCAGTGTGCCTCTGTTTATGTGTTAGATTTCTGTGATCGTCCATGGAAAGCTACATTTGATTCTCAAAAGAGAAATTTTAAGAAAGGTGGAATATCTAGGAGGCAGTTAACGGGAATTCCAATAGAATATCTTTTTCTCAGCAATGTCAGGAGTGAGGGGAGAGGCATCCCTTGGTCTCCCACTCCCTCTCCACCAAACCATCCTCATGCAACTTGTTTCGTTAGTGACTGTATTTTTACACTCCTGGTGTATTGCTCAGATCCCTACATAATCTTCCTAACCATTAATCTTCTCTTTCCACCAGCCAAATCAAAGTGGACTGCATCACAGTCTCAACCGCACCAGTCAAGACCACCATAGACAGCCTCATCCAGCGCCTCTTTGATGCTCTCCTATACTCCTTGAGATACTCCATCACTGAACACATCAATGAGATTGACCGTTTCGTCAAAGATTCCATGGAGGCATTGTCTACGAGACCACAGACCGTGGAGGAGATTGGAAAGGCTAACACTAAACATGCTGAGCTACAGACCAAGAAACCAGCGGTAACTAACTTGTCTGTTAACCCCTGCCCCATGTTTTGACCAATCAAAGCTCTGACTCCACATGTCGTTCAAAATTCAGGTATGCATTCACTTTAAGCAAATGGAGTACCGAAGCGTGACGTCATTTAGAACCAGAAAGTGTAGTGCAAACGAATGCAGTACGCGCACGTGTTGGTTCATGGGCTGAATCATGCGCTAATGTTTTTCACACACATTTTGTGCACGTGACGTATTCACTTCGGTACTCCATTGCATCAATTCATGGGGCTGTAGATTTTGATGTGGAAGTTTTTATTAATCATTGCTCGTCTTAGGTGAATTGAGTCAGTCACAAGTCACCACAAGTCTTTCACAAGTCGTCCAGTCTCAAGTCAGTTACAAACTATTCAAATGAGCTGTTATAAAGACATTTTATGACATTGTGCATCCTCTGTTACTTGTGATAGACTTACGTTTGATTACAACTCTGGTTACTTGCGTTGTGCACATTGATGTTATGGGCTGTGTATCCATAACCTGTGTGTATGTGAAGCTTAAGTCAGGGGTTACTAATTTGACATGTTGTCCATGTTTCCCTTAGATCAAGCCTTTGTTTGAGAAGATAGAGAGCAAGAATAAACTCCTGCGCACCGTGTCAGGAGGAGGTGTGGACCAGCTGGGTCAGCTGCATGCCAAATGGGACAAGTTTGAACTCATGATGGAGAGCCATGAACTCATGGTCAGAGAACAGGTGGGTTGAACATGCATTCTTGTGTACTGGGTTCGAATCCTACTAGGATAAGTATGGATTCAGTTCTTAGTCAAATCAGCATTACCAAGAAAAATGTTGGGGGATTGTCCCATCATGCTATATTTCTTAAATTAAGCTGGATTCTTTTTAAAATGCAATGGTTCTAGAGTAAATCATTAACAAATGTTTCAAAATATGACATTCACGTCCTTGTTGGCACCTGTTTTAAATTAATGAATTGAATCATTAATGAATTGTCCTTTGGTAGTTTTCCTCAAACTGTTTTACCCGTTAAACAAACATGAAATTGTTACCCATTTTAACCTTTTTCTCCATCTCAGGTTGAGGTTATGAAGAGCAACGTGGAGTCAAGAGTAGAAGCCTTCCGTGCAGATCTGGAGAAGTATGCAGCTCGCTGGCATCAATTCAAACCCAAGACAGACATCATTGAGGCAGGAGACAGAGACTCATGCTTCAAGGCATTGGCTACTGTCAAGGAGAAGAAACAAGAATTTGAAGAACTGGAGAAGACAAGGGAAAGCTTAGTGTGAGTTGAATTCCCTCCCCCTCCCACCAAGGTGGTGAAGAATTTGAACTACAGATCACGGGTTGAAATACTGTTCTTCCCAAGTATTTTATCATCCTGAAGAATGTGATTTTTATCAAATGAAGGACAAATGTGAAACATAATGAATTGAATGTTTTTGTTCGCTTCTCATGAGGATTTTCATCGAGGCAGGTGTAGCCTGTATCATTGAAGAATACATTTTTGAAATGTGTTCAAAATGGAGCATTGCAGTAAAATAGTAAGAGGGCTGACAATTTTGGCTGAGGGATTTTTTCTCAAGGTGTGTTTGCCAAATGTTTATCAAGTGGCTGAGCAGTAGTGCGAGTGTGTTGAAAATTGAAAGCTGACCTTAGTATTTAATGTGATTGTTATCACAGATTTGACTGCCACCACTTTGGTCTGGATGAGCCACACTTTGCAATATCTGAGGAGCTGAAGGAAGATTTCCAGCAGCATGAAGCCATGTGGATGCTGTATGAAGAGTTCAGTAATGGACTCAAAGGATTGGAAGAGACTGAATGGATTGTATTCAGGTAGGTTCAGTGGCATCATTTGGCAAAAACAAAACTAGGTCTTACAAATTGTCAGTCTATGAACGTCACCTTGTTTTCCCAGGGTTGCAAGATTAAAGTTTCTGCCTAAATTTCTCTATGAAATGGGCTTAACTTCCCCCAAGAGGAAACAAAGTGGTTAAGTGAAGGCGTAGAGTTTTTTGTGCAACCCAAAGGTGCAAAACAACACTTGGAGTTGTAAATTTACATTTACCGTTAGGTCTTTATAATATTAATTCTGTGAAATTATTTGAACTTCCAGGTCCAAGACCTATCAATTTGATGATTTCTTGGCGATGTGGGCTGAGAAGCTTCGAAGTGAAGACATTGAGCACACCATGATGACAGTCAGACTGACCAAAGATGTGGATAAATACAAGGTAAGAAATGATTACACAGATCATTAATGTAGCCATTTAAGGGAATATCACTGAACCTGGAACATTTCTCATCAGTTTTTTACTTGATGGAAACAAGCATTGTCCCAGCTTAACTATGCTGCTGTTGGCTGTTAGATTTCGTGCACACAGAGGTGAGTATTCCCAAATAGGAACACTTGGTGTTTCTAGGTGGTTCTAAGCATGTAGTAACAATTAAAATTACGCACTATTTTCAGTTAGTGGAATGTTTTACACCTTCCAAGATCCAAGACACTATCTTAGTGAACACCTGCTTAATACAGAGAGCAGTAATGGCTGCTCTGTTTTTTGCCATGTATATTCAGGCGGTTTCACCCATGCTGAAGTACGTCAGCAGTGACGTATACTCACAGGAGCATTGGCATGATATGTTCCGTATGCTCAAGATGCCACGCGGCATGACACTGGAGAAACTCACCTTTGGTGATATCCTGGGAGCGGCAGATCAGATCATCGCTAACAGTCAAGGTCTTAAGGTATGATAGGTAACAAATGCTAGCCATCACCAAGGACATTTGTCAAACCCTGGGTTTGTCTCTGCCTCCGGTTTCAGGCATGGGAATACAAGTGGAGCCGGACACAGAGATGATACCGGGTTTGAGAATGGCCCAAGTATGGACTCCATGTCTTAACCACCCCTCTTTGTTAAATACAATGTAACTGTTTATGGGCTCTGTGCACCGACGAAAGAGGGCGCCCTTTTACCTAGCAACGACGTCCCATGGGCGGGACATTTCGCTGGTTGACGCGCACCGTTCCTTGTGTGTGACGCACGTACACCAGAGGATTTGTACTATGTACACGCAGTGGCCGTGCTTCGCGGCAAACAAATTGCAGTCAGGCAAGATGGCATCGTTCGGTCACCCCCAACTGTACTCTCTTTGCCGGTGAGGGGGTACTTGTGAATGGAGCGGATAAGGGTTACTTAAGCACTATTTCAGTGGTCAGTTATTTTCTATCAATTGGACACCAGGTATACTTTGAATTAGAAATAAGATTTAGATTCTTTGAAATTGGGTTGTCTAACAGATTGTTGTGCTGATTACTGACAGGACTTGTTTAACCGAGCCAAGGGAGAGGTGTCCATCCGTGATGCTTTGAGAGAGCTTGACCTGTGGGGTGTGGGGGCAGTCTTTGCTCTGACTGAGTACAGTGACAGTCAGTCAGTGGTCATCATGCTCATCAAGGACTGGAAGGAGATAGTCACAGAGGTCAGTTTGTTTCAACAATGTTTACTACACTTGATCAACTTTGCTAGACAACAAGTCCCTGTTTCTGACGTTGATTGTGGTATCAGACTGTCAGTGCCTTGAATGAAATGAAGTTTAGTGGCCCTAGGAAGCTTGGAATTTGAGTTGATAAGACTTCTGAACTTGTAAGCAGGAGGGTGTGGGTTTGAATCCCAACCAAGCTAGCTGGTGATTTTTCTGAATGGGCTTACTTTTATTCTTCCTCCCTTCCCTCAGTCCTTTCAAATCTCTTTTGGGAAGTGAAGCACATGGGACAGTTTGCAAACTCGTATGTCATCTGAAATGTTACTTTGTGCCAGGATGACATAATCTAGACTTGTCTATCCTCCTTGTAGGTTGGAGACAACCAGAGCCTTCTGCAGTCCCTCAAGGATTCTCCATACTACAAGGGCTTTGCAGACAAGGCCACCATCTGGGAGCAGAGATTGGCTGACCTGGATGAATTCCTACATAACTTGAATCAGATCCAACGGAAGTGGGTGTATCTGGAACCCATCTTTGGCCGAGGGGCTTTGCCTAAGGAACAGGGGCGCTTCAAGAGGGTTGATGATGATTTCAGGTAAAGTAGAATTGTCAATCCAAACACTTGTTTCTTCAAGTGTGTCATGCGGTGAGTTGGCTTGCTCAGGGACATAGCATCCAGAATCCAGCTTCGTGAAGTCCAAAGCTGCAGAGAGGCAAATGCAAGGCAAAGCATCTTTCCAAGAAAATGAAGCTGAAAGTGTTTTTTTTCTCTCGTTTGTTTGGACATTTCAAAGTCTCACTGTTGTACATTTTGCTTTACCCAACAGGAGCATCACGATGGATGTTGCTCGTGATAATCGAGTGCTTTCCTTGGTTGGTAGGCCAGGGTTGAGAAACACGCTGGTGACTCTACTAGATCAGCTGCAGAGATGCCAAAAAGCTCTCAACGAATTCCTCGAGGTAAAGAGCCATCCTTACAAAAGATTCTGAAATTTTATTCTCTTGCAATTTTAGAGAATGAAAGCTTTTTGGGATTTTTGTTCTTTCCTGTAATACAAGTAGAGTATGCAGATAGATCTTATGCTCACTTAACATTATGATGGCATGTACCTTTTTTCTAAAGGTCACTGCATGTCAAAGGCAACAAAAGAAATTGTAAAGAGGATTAAATGAGATGACATTCTTCGGTGCAGAAAACAGAATGAGGGTTGCTCTTGAAAAAACAGAAATAAGAATGACTTATTTCATTGTAATTCTTCAGCTGAAATTTTGTTTTGATTTATCTTTTTTTCCAGGAGAAACGTTCCGTCTTCCCTCGCTTCTACTTCATCGGTGACGATGATCTACTTGAGATCCTTGGCCAATCTACCAACCCAGTGGTCATTCAGACGCATCTTAAGAAGCTGTTTGCTGGCATCCACAGCGTGGAGTTTGATGAAGGGAATAAGAACATCTTAGCCATGAAGTCACTGGAAGGAGAAGTGGTACCACTCAAGAGCCCTGTGCAGATTACACCTGATGTTGAGGTAACTCTTCAGGAAGATAAAGCTACAATATTTTGCGCTAAGCACAAAAAGGTTTAAAGACTGTTTTAAGGTTGTGTTTCTTGCAGAGTTTAAATTAACTAAGTGCCGGGCAGTTAAGCATGTAATTATTGCAGCTATTTCTTTTCTATTCAGATATGGCTTGGTGAGTTAGCTCGTGAGATGAAGGAGACTTTACAGCAGTTACTGGCAGAATGTCTGCGAGCTCAGAGAGGGGGTCAAAGACAAGGTGTTGACCCTAACAAATTCCCCTCCCAGGTACGTTTCAGTTGTGGTCTTAGCTCATTAGCGTTAAGAAATGAATAATAACAACTTACAACTTACAGAAATGCTGTATACCTCACTTGCTTTGCTGCCATTTTTGCTTGTTTGCATTTTTGCTTGTTAATGAATTAAATATAGTTCAGAGTTTTAGGAAATGTATTTACCAAGACTTGTTTAGTCAGACCTGGGATCTTAATTAACAAAAAGTCAAACGTTTTTTTTCCAAACTTATGAGTTTTCAAAATGGGCAATCTTTTTCCTGTTTTTGTGTCTAGATCCTGTGTCTAGCCAACGAGATTCAATTCACAGAGCAGTGTGAGACAGCCATGAAGGAGAACAGTCTACAAGAATGCCTGATAGAACTAGAAGCCCAGCTGGAAGGCTATACATCGGCAGATATACAGGGAGACAGTGAGAATGACCAGGCGATGCATGTACTGGAGCTCAAACTCAAGGCTCTGATCTTAGATAACATCCACTTCATTGACGTGGTTCAGCAACTGATTAAAGATAACATCATGAGTACTGAGGAATGGATGTGGCAGAAACAGCTCAGGTTCTATCAAGCTGATAAAGGCAGTGCTATCATGAGGATGGTGGATGCTGAGTTCCAATATACATTTGAGTATCAAGGTAATTATAACTTCATCACCCAGCAAATGTTATGTAAGAAATGTCCCATGAGTGAGTCCGATATTTTCTCTGGTATGGATTCTCTCTTCAGTTGTTCTTGGAAGCAGCACTGGAAAAAATGTAATTTTTATCAAATTAACTTTCCAAAAGCTTTTCTCTAGTTATTTCTTTATCCACTCCCCAAATTTAAGTGGCAGTTTCTAGCGATAAAGTTTAATGGTACAAAGCCAATAGATTGTTCAACTTTAAAATGTCTAGGAAGTGGTTTTATTCTGTGAAAACATGAATGAACGAGCGACAAAATTGTTCAGATCAGTGGGATTTTGAAGTAGACCAAGTTGCACATAGTCCATAGCTAATAATTCTGACTTGCCTTGTGTTCTGTCTTCTCACTAGGCAATGCTTCCAAGTTGGTGCACACCCCTCTAACAGACAAGTGTTACCTGACCCTAACCCAAGGCATGCATATGGGTATGGGAGGTAACCCCTATGGACCAGCAGGGACAGGCAAGACTGAGTCAGTCAAGGCGCTGGGTGGTTTGTTTGGTAGACAGGTGCTGGTCTTCAACTGTGATGAGGTAAAAGAATAGAAATCTCATCTGTGTTTTATTGTGATAAATTTGTAAAATAAACATCAAACTGCTGTATTATTAACCCAGTCAGCTAACTAGCCTAATCATTTTTCATATGAGAGGACCTGAGTGCGAGTACGCGATGAAAATATTGCTCAAGTGTCCGTCAGTAACAGCAATGATCTGCATTTTTTTCTCAGAGGGTTCAGTCATTCACAGAGTCCATAAGAGACAAACTTGGGGCCATGTCCTAAACATTCCAGAGCTATGGCCACATCTATTGTCAACATGTTCCTACATTGTTGTAATTAGTCAAAGACCTAGAAAATAGCTCTACACAACAGATTCAAGTACAGCCTTAGCTTTGGTTTACTAAACTGAATTCCAAAATTGATATTTTTGGTTCCTGGTTTTTTCCCTCTAGGGTATTGATGTGAAGTCCATGGGTCGTATCTTCATTGGTCTAGTCAAGTGTGGAGCCTGGGGTTGCTTTGATGAGTTCAATCGTCTTGAGGAGGCGGTACTGTCTGCTGTGTCTATGCAGATCCAAACCATACAGGCTGCGCTGAAGAGCAAGAAGGCCAACTGTGAACTACTGGACAGAACGGTAGGACATAGATTGAGTTATGATTGATGCAGTGGGTCAAGTTGTTGCAAAGTTGTTTACTGATGTTGTCTCTGGTTTGAATCCAACAAACGCCATTGTCACTGGTCACTTTTTGCGATTTTACTTATTTGTCTTCTTTCTCTGTGATCCAGACTCAAATTCTTCAAAAGCTAGCTTTTGGAATGATGAAGACGCTAACTGTATTGCTTGGTTTTCTCCAGAATATTGGTCTTGTTTTTTCCTCCAATTACCCTTGTCAAGTCACTGATTTCATACTCTCTTGACTGTTTCTTCTATTGCATTGCCAGATTGACATTGACCCTAATTCTGGCATCTTCATCACCCTGAACCCGGCCGGTAAGGGTTACGGTGGTCGTCAGAAGCTACCAGACAATCTCAAGCAGCTCTTCCGACCCGTGGCCATGTCTCGTCCTGATAATGAACAGATTGCTGAGGTCATTCTCTTCTCAGAAGGCTTCAAAGAAGGCAAGAGTCTTGGCCGTAAGCTGGTGGCCATCTTCAACCTCTCAAAGTAAGTCTTTCAATTTATTGGGATTATGACTCAGAAATTCTGGCTGATTAATACACTCTCAGCTTTACTGACTTGTTTCTCTCCCAGTGCAGTTATCAGCTTTTTGAAAGGTGGTAAATTTGTCAAACTAAAAATGTAATTCTGTTAAAAATTTTGCTTGAGGTTTCGTAAACAACTTGACTGTTTGAACGGCTAAAGTTTATTTCCGAACCAGTCATTAGACAGAGACATTGAAGGAAATTGTTTATGGACAAAACAATTCCTCCTTTCCAGAAATGTATGTTTAGATGAATTGTAAGGGATATCTTATTTGGTTCCTCTGTTAATTTGCAGGGAGTTACTGACCCCACAGCAGCATTATGACTGGGGTCTGCGAGCCCTCAAGACTGTCCTCAGAGGATCTGGCAACCTGCTGCAGATTGCAAGACGACAACAAGCAAATGGCAATAGTAATGGTAAGACATCATCTATCTTGAGACATATGGCAGGACAATAGCCTACCAAAAAGTAAAGTCCGCAGGTGCTTATCTTAAATTGAAATGCATTTGTGTTTGTACAAATCTGGCATACACGAGTTACCTCTGAATAATTAGAACTGCTTAAGATTACTCTACCTTGCAGCTGATAATAAAACCTTTTTTTTAATCAAATCTACCCATTAGTTGCTATACAGGCCCTGCCTGCTATTACATAATCCAACACTGCCCAAGCATTGATGGTTTAATAGATTCATCAGGGAATAAGTACATTGTTATACAATGTAATACAATGTGATACAATGTGATACAATGTAATACAATGTAATACAATGTGAATATAATTACATTCTAGGTAAGATTGATGAGAGCAAGTTGGTGGTTCAAGCTCTGCGTGTCAACACTCTGTCCAAGCTAACCTTCTCAGACAGCAGTCGATTTGACTCCTTGGTCAAGGACGTCTTCCCTGGTGTAGAACTCAAGGATATTGAGTATGAGAAACTTGCTGAGAGTCTGAGAGAAGTCTGCAAGGAGACTAACCTGGTCATTATGGAAACACAGGTAAGAGGACCAGTAACTATGTGACATTATATTCAATATGGGAAGGTGGAAAAGTTAACAGACACTTGGGGTATTACTTTGCACACGTTTGTCCTTTGAATTTTTTTATTTAAGTTTATGACATTTTTAATTTCTATTAATTAATGTTTTGAAAACCAACGCAAATTCCAGTGGTTCAGATAATTGCACAGATTAACAGGAGGTTTAGCATTCAAGTCATTCACGACTGACATATGAAGCTAAAAACTTTGCGCAAATTTCCATAATTGTCGCAGATCAAGAAGGCTTTGGAGTTATATGAGCAGCTACGTCAGCGTATGGGTGTAGTCATCGTAGGTCCCAGTGGCTCAGGCAAATCTACAACCTGGCAGCTGTTGAGATCAGGATTGAACAAGACAGGACAAGTGGTCAAACAGTACACCATGAACCCCAAAGCTATGCCTAGAACCCAGGTAAATGACACACAGATATTCAGCTATTATATTTATGTTTCTGTTCTTTCCTCTTGCTTCCATCCCTGCCACAGTTTATTATCTTTAAAACTACTTTCTTTGTAAAGTAGTAAGTTTATTTGCAACAGACAGCTACAGTATTTTATAATTCTATATTTTAAAAACTGATTAATCTTTTCCTTTGTTGTGACAGTTGCTTGGTCAGATTGACATGGACACCAGGGAATGGTCAGACGGTGTGTTGACATACAGCGCTAGGCAGGTGGTCAGGGAACCAATAGGTGAGTTGCGATTGGCCGTTCAAAATGAATATTCATAAGCAAAAATACCCTGTGCTACTCACATTATGACATTTCTTCTGGAGTAATTGAGTTTAGGAACTGTAAATGCAGCCCTACCTGCAAAAGCCATATTTATTCGGTATGTATGTTAGATAAAATTCAAACCATGAAATGTGTTGCATCTTTTTTCCAAAGAAATCGATACTAGGGCTTTTGCAAGTGCAACCTTCATACTTTTCTTTAAATTGTCATTGTTTTTCTTCTCATTTTCAGAGATTCAATCTTGGATCATCTGTGATGGTGACATTGATCCTGAGTGGATTGAATCGCTCAACTCTGTCCTGGATGATAACCGTCTCCTTACCATGCCGTCTGGAGAGAGAATACAATTTGGACCTAACGTCAACTTCCTGTTTGAGACGCATGACTTGAGCTGTGCATCCCCTGCGACCATCTCACGTATGGGAATGATATTCATGAGGTATGGACAAATAATTCTTCATTCTAGATGGGGCAGGTGTCAAATGTATACCCCTATGAAGCCATTATGTTTTGTTATTATTTACCTTGTACATTGCTCTTTTCAAATCATTTTTTTTTTTTTCAAATCAAGTTGTTTTTAAAATACCCGTTGTAAATTTGAATGTTTTTAGCCTGTGGGCTGCTTTTAATTCAAATAAATAAAGCATAATAATAATAATAATAATTAATGTAAGTACCTATTTTCACAGTGATGAAGACACCCAAATCAAGGACCTCGTTGAATCCTGGTTGAACAAACTCCCCCAAGAACGACGCTCGGCACTCCACGCCTGGATTGACAAATTCTTCTACAAAGCCTTCGAGTGGGTTCTGGCCAAAACCAGTGACTTTGTAGTGGATACTAGTCAGGTGGGCGTGGTCATGAATGGCTTGTCTCATCTGCGGGGGGCACAGGATGAGGCGGACTTTGCTGTCTGCTTGATCAGAGGACTAGGAGGCAACTTGAAGGAAACAACCAGGCAGAATTTTGCCAAGGAGGTGTGTATGTCATTTGTACAATCGTAGACCATAAAATGATTGTAGTAAATCTAGATTTGAAATTTCATGAGATTGTTTAATCACAGCAGTTAATTTAAGTGTATTTTTCAGTCTGTGTTCTTCTTTTGCGAAGTTTCATATCTTATATTTCATTATCAGACAAACAGACTTTGAACTAGGGAAGATTGATGTCGTCTTTGATTTATATTAGATCTCCTACACTTGTATTAATATCTTAGTTAGAGGTCTCATTCACTCATGATAACTTCCAATATAATTTCCTGTATGTAAAATCCAAAAAGCTAATAATTGATGTTTTCACATTGAAACAATCTTTTTTCCTGCAGGTGTTCCACTGGGTCCATGAGAATCCACCAGACCCACGCAGACCTCTAGATACATACTATGATGCTGGCAGTAGACGACTCATGAACTACGTAGTCGAGGTAAGTAGCAAACCCAATAATCTGTTATCCTTATCCTTCGTAGATCCTTCGAAATATCCTTGGCAGTTCTTGCAAGCCCATGGACAAGACTGAGAATACAGTGGTAATGACATTTTGCTGGTGAAGGCAAAACCAAATTTAATAAATTTACATCTTCCTAACTTAGAACTCTATCCTACAAATAGTGTTTGCACACTCAGTCGGCAATTTCTTGAAGTTGTTTGAGATTACAAGGCTTCTTTGTATATTTGTGTTAATAGGACAATGATGAGCTTACAGCAGCTGACTTCAACAAGCCTAGCTCTCTACCTGTCATCCGTACGGCTAACGTCCAGATGTGTCTGGATTACTTTGCTCCTTGGCTGGACCCTGAACATAGACAGCCGTTTATTCTGGTTGGACCTGATGGATGTGGCAAAGGGTAAGGTTAATTTGCATTTTTTGATTTTTTGAAAGATTCATCCTGATGAAAAGTACACTCACAAAAATAACAAGCTTAGAATAATATAAGGATACTTAAGCGTTGAGGAAACTTGACTGATTCCTTACATCAAATCTGCAATTTTAATCCTGTTTTAAATGTGACTAGGGTATTTCCCTCCAAACTTAATCAATTTGTAACTAAGAAGAGTTTCCTTTCTCGTTGGATAACTGCAAGAGTAGGTTTAAATTTTTGTTACTTTCTGTCAGTTTTTATTCTCAATTCGTACTTGATTTTGCTATAAAGTTGTATTTAGCCAATTTACCATTGCTTTTCTTAGGTTTGGTCTGTTATTGTAACTGCTTTTACAAAAATGTTTTGTAAAATAGAATTTTCTGTATTTGTCATTTCCCAATTACAGCATGATCCTGCGGCATTGCTTTGCCAACCTACGTTCCACCCAGATAGCTACCATCCATTGCAGTGCCCAGACCTCCCCTACTCACATCCTACAGAAGCTACAGCAGACCTGTATGGTACTAAGTACCAATACCGGCCGTGTCTATCGACCCAAAGACTGTGAGACATTGGTTCTATATCTCAAGGATCTAAACCTGCCCAAGCCGGATAAATGGGGGACATGTCAGCTGATTGCATTCTTACAACAGGTGAGTGGGTTGTCTGAAGCTTTGAAGTCTTTCAAATCAATCACTCTTGATGTTCATCTTCTCCAAGAAATTATTTGACTTTTATTTGTCTTCCAGCTTTCTTGAGAGGAGGCTTAATCAAAAAAAGGACCCTTCTATAAATAACTCAGGCTTGACAGTGGACTTCTCTGGTTTACTGATTAATTTCTGAGAGAAACAAAACACACTTGTCATTTGGTCTTTGAAGGAAAAGCAATTAATCTTACAAATAATGTGAATATATGAGTATAGTAATTACAAGAAGGATAATTTGACAAATTCAAATGGCATACGCCATCTTGGACTCATAAAAATGCAGTGTGTAGCACTTCTGTTGTTCTAATGATATTCTTGACTCAAAGAATCTGCTATCTTAGCAATGTGTTTATTTTGTCTTGTTTCGGTCAGATATTCTTAACTTTACTGAAATGTGTCTATTTTGTCCTGTCTAGGTCTTAACCTACAAGGGTTTCTATGACAATAACCTTGAATGGGTAGGCCTTGATGGTGTTCAGATTGTTGCTAGTATGAATGCTGCACACACTGTAGGACGACATCAACTCACCTCACGATTCACATCAATCGTCCGCATCTGCTCAATCAGGTAAGAAGGATTTTGATTTCATTTCTTGATTTACCCCCCTCCCCGTTAATAAATAAATCCTTATCGGGTCGTGAAGTAGCTAGGTTTCACAACATTGCCAGAAATATCATTTCTTTGTCTCATTATTGGTCCAAGTGCTGAATGATTCTAATACGCATAATTGCTTAAAAAGTGGGAGAGAAATTTGTAAATGAAATAGTTTGGAAATAATCAAAAAGAAAATATTATGTTGAAACTTAGTTTAACTAAGTTTGCTGTAGACTGTTTGCAATGTGTCAAGTTGATGGCTGTATGACTTGTATTACTGAGCTGACAATCTCAGAGACCAGTACGTATAACTGTTTAAGCCTGCATCCTGAATACACCTTGCATACACCTGCTTCTTGATTCTGATTCCTAGCTATGCTGATCAAGATCAGTTACAAGCCATCTACAGTGCTTACCTGAAGGCTGTCATCCATACACGCCTGCCATCACACCCAGTCTGGGGATCAGTGTCTAGGGTCAGTCAGCTGGCAAGGTCCATGCTACAAGTCTATGAACAGGTAGGTCATGCCGTTCGCATCTGGTGTCCTATATGAAATCATGTACATGTACAGTGTACCATGTAGATTACATTAATCAATTAGCACTTGTACAGTGCTGGAGCAGTTTGGGTCAGTACACGGATTAATGGGTTAAGTTCTTCCCATACTTACACGTGACAATTCCTTCATTATGCTATTAAAGGATTCTTGGATACATTTTTATAAAGTGTTAAGGTTTATGTAAAAATATTTAAAGCTCAGAAACAAAGATCAAAAACAATTTTATTTATAAACTGTATTTATCAACCATCCCACTTTGGAGACTAGACCAATTATATTCAGGAGTTCATCTGCTGATTGTAATGATTTGTATGTTTTTCAGACGCGTGCTAAATTCTCCATCGATGAGCACAGTCACTACCTATTCACCCCTCGTGACTTGACTCAGTGGATCCTAGGTCTCCTGCGCTATGACCTGACTGCCACCTCCTCATCCTCAGACAGCACCAGTGATCATGTCATAGAGGTCTGGGCTTATGAGGCAGCTCGTCTGTTCAGAGATAGACTAGTCAGTGAGGAGGCACGCAGTCGCTTTGATTCCATTCTGCTGGGAGTTCTGCAATCAGACTGGAATGCTGGTCATATCTTGCAGAACATGTCTGGTAGGTCAGGCGTATGAGTATTAGGGATGTGTGAATGACCTCACAACTTACGTTATCTGTTTTCAACCAAAACATTTTTTGGGTACATGGTTTTCAGAAATGCTTCAAAAAAATGACATATAAAGTTGTAAGCGTGAAAGTTGAAAGGAGTTTGCTAAATTTGGGAATATCTTTGAAAAGTGTAACAACTGGCGGAAGAGGAATTTTAGAGGTCAATATCAACCAACTTCAACTTCAAATTGCACTTGAGGGAAATACAATGCTCAGTGACACCTGTTATTGGCTTTTATGAGACAATCCTTTAGGAGGCAAGCTTATGTGCAGTTGACTTGTTACTGTCTAGGTGTATACTATGTGACGTGGGGAGCCAGAGCAGAAGCAGGTGCAGCAGGAGGTCCATTACCTCCAGTGGGTAAATCTCTGGGTAGACTCAGCTCATCTGACCTCAAAGAGGTCATCAAGAGGGCAAAGGTCACATATGGTAAGTCACAAATATTCATTTCTGAATTTGCCGCCTCAGAATTACACATCTCTATGGGAAATGGATTCAGCCACTGCATTTACCCCATGTGTTATAGCTAAGTAATTCAGATTTGGCCATTTACACATCAACTTCAGGGTCCATTCTCATATTTCTGTCTGTCTGAGATTTGATGATCGAATAAAAATTCACTGAATGTGAAGTTGAGCTGGAAGTGATTGGATTGTCATCCAAATGTCTTTATAGTTTTCTGGCCAGGTGTTAGCCAGCTAGTTAAATGTCTTTGACTTTTTAGTACATTTTCTATTTGTCCTTTGTAATGTCATGCTTCAAAAGCTATTCTTCTTAGTTTTGCTCTTTACATCTCTCTCCGTAATTGTAGTTTACCATTATTGCCCTGAAGAAAAAAATTAACATTTGTGGGATATTTTGTTTCTTGTGTGTTCAGCCCGTGAGAATCGTGACATGAACATCCAGATCTTCCGTGAAGTCTTGGAGTACGTAGCTCATGTTGATCGCATCTTATCTCAGCCTGGTGGATCACTACTCATGGCTGGATGTAGCGGGGTAGGACGTCGTACGGCAGTCACCCTAGTTGCTCACTGCCATCGTATGGAGCTATTCACTCCCAAGATGTCTAGGAATTACAGCATGAAACAGTTCAAGAATGATCTTAAAGGGGTAGGTTGGAATGAGAGATATCAATTGCAGTATTTCCGTTATAAAGTAATCAAGTCATGCAAGTCGTGAATATGGTACCCCAAAGAAAAATAGCAGTATTGTAGTTGATTTTGAAGGTTTGATCGTGAGGAAAATGAAGTCAGTTGTTTAGATGACCGATAATTATCCAGAAGTCTTCCTCATATTCAAATCTGTTGTATACAAAAATACCTCTCAAAACCACAGATGCCAGCTCAACAAACTCTGCATACAACATTAACCACCTTGTAACTTAACAATTGTGAGAGCTGAGGCTCTGTCATAGAGGGTTTATTCCCTGTTATTAAATCTTTCTTCTTCTTAAGTAAATTAAAAAGTAATAAAATCTTGCTTCTTTCTTAAGTAATGTGTTGTCTTTTCCCTATGTTGAAAGCAGTTCCTTTAAATTTGTTGAGTAGTTTCTGTTAATCGTTGTCACCCGATCATTAATACTTTCTATTTTGACAATCCAGGTGATGCAGTTAGCAGGTGTGGAAGGCCAACAGGTGGCTCTCCTCCTTGAGGACCATCACTTCACTCATCCTCAGTTCCTAGAACTCATCAACAGTCTACTATCAGCTGGAGAAATCCCTGGTTTATACTCACCAGAGGAGTTGGAACCACTGCTGGCTCCAATCAGAGATCAAGCCTCCGATGAGGGTTTCAGGGGCACTCTGGCTAGCTACTTTGCCTCGCGTAAGGGTCTCATGTCACTCAGATTATAATGGAACCTCTCAGGACATAAAAATATAATGTAACCTCACATAAGGGTAGAATGTTTGTAGTCTTAGGAGTTGGAACCACTGCTGGTTACAATCAGAGATCAAGCCTCCGATGAGGGATTCAGGGGCACACTGGCTAGCTACTTTGCCTCACGTAAGGATCTTGTCACTCAGATTATAATGGAACCTCTCAGGACATAAAAATGTAATGTAACCTCACATAAGGGTAGAATGCTTGTAGTCTAAGGAGTTGGAACCACTGCTGGCTCCAATCAGAGATCAAGCCTCCGATGAGGGATTCAGGGGCACTCTGGCTAGCTACTTTGCCTCACGTGAGGTTTTTTCACCACGATTATAATATCTCTCAGTAACCCGATTTGAGATTTAATTTACGCTGTTCCAGAAGGACCTGCAGCCTTTCCTCATTTTGTTGTCTCTCATGGTCTGCGATGAGAAACAGATTATACTCTATCAGTGGTGTGTCAAGTGAGGACAAATATTCTCTCACAAAAGTTGAGCCTCAAACACGGTTTTGATATTATTACGTCATCAGTAGATCTAGAAGCATATAACCTCGCATTCTAAGAGTCAATGGTGCCCTTATCTACTACCCTTGATTGTACCTGCCAGGTATTCGACCCTTGTATTTATATATTTTTCTTGTTAGGCATCCATATCAACCTTCACATCATACTGATCATGGACTGCAAGAATTCCTCCTTCACCATGAACTGTCAGAGCAACCCAGCATTGTACAAGAAATGCTCCGTGCAGTGGATGGAAGGGTGGAGCAAAGACAGCATGAAAGAAGTAAGTCATTTTTTTTATCCTACTCAAAAGCAAGATTTCTTTTCATTTAGCGGCTATGCCATCATCATTTTCTCAATTTATTTTTTCCTTACATCTTTGATAGAAATTATAAATGGAAAAGTTACAAATCCAGTAGGAAATAAATTAATTTGAAAAGTTTCTTTTTTTCCCAAATGTTTCCCATTTCCCCATTTTCCTTTAGCTTTGGTATACACATTTTGAAATTTGAAATCTGGTTTGTGTTGCTTCAAGGTTTTTATTTACATACTGAATTTTAAATTCCCAATGCCCAATATCGCATAGCAAATGGGATATTGATTTAAATTCTGGTTTGTGTTTCAAGTTGCCCAAGATGCTTCTGAGAGGTCAACCCTCTGACAGTGACAAGAAAGACAAGAGCAAAGACAGCAAACGTCATCGTAGGTTTTCTGGCGGCGATGAGCTCATCAAGTCATTCCTTCAGATCCATCGCTCAGCATCAGCCAGAGACTCCACGCCACGGCGTTATGTCACATTCCTCCATACTTACATGTCTGTGTATCAGAAGAAGAAGGCAGGAGTCGAACTCAGACAAAAACACTTGCAGGTTAGTCAGGACCTGGGAAAATGTAATGTCTGTCTGGTAGTTCTTAGTTTGGGAAATGAACACCTCAAAAGTTGGCTGCACTGCAGAAAAAAAGTGCATGTGCAGGACTACGTTTTTGAAATGCCTTTTATGTATTGCTAATAAGAAAATAGACTACCCTGCAACGGAGTATAACTGGATTAATTTGAACAATTTTTGTTGGGAGAAGAAATACAATTGACCATCAATCAAATCAGGAACGGTTATATCAGATATTAATGAAGTATGCACCACTAATACCTCTGGCAACATTTTTTAGTTGTTACATTTTTTAGTTGTTACTGTTATCTGGTATTATTACTGAAATGTTGGTCTAATGTTGCTGGTTCGATATCCTTAGGCTGGTGTGTCTAAGCTGAATGAAGCCAAGGCATTGGTTGCTGAGCTGAACAGCAAAGCAGCAGAGCAGAGCATCACGCTGGCTGAGAAACAGAAAGAAGCTGATGAGGCACTCAAGAAGATCCAGACTAGTATGGAGGTAACTACAACTCATCTTGATCTTGCCAACATTTGAATCAGCTTAAAAATGTGGATGGAAAAGAATAGAGTAGAGTTAAATTGCCAGTTCTCAGATGTTGTACTGTTTCAGGCCTGTACCCATATTTTGATTACATTACATGTAATCTTCCGTACTAGATAAACCTTGACCATGTCAATGTGTATTTAAAGTGTATTCGTTTTGTCGGCCAATTCTGATGTTAAAAAGATGTGATAAATCTCCCCGTCCCTTAAAGACTTTACTCTCAGTGATATTTAAATGGATAATAGATTGTCAATGCCATCAATTTGTTATTTCCTATTGTAAAACAGTGATTTGTGATGTGATTTTATCAGCAGTGGTTCAGTTCTCAAGATGAAGTAATAATTATTATTGTAGTAAGTTCTGACATATCTTCCTGTCTCTTCCAGAATGCTGGAGAGCAGAGACGTGAGATTGAGATCCTCAAACAGAAGGCAGACGAAGAGAACCAGCAACTAGACAAACGTAAACGCATCATCGACGTGGAGCTAGCTGAGATAGAACCTCAAGTCCAAGCCGCTAAGTCTGCCGTCGGTAGCATCAAGTCAGAGAGTCTGAGTGAGATACGAGCATTGAGGGCACCACCTAACGTCATCAGAGATATCCTAGAGGGAGTACTGAGACTAATGGGCATCTTTGATACGTCTTGGGTTAGCATGAAGAGGTTCGTTGAATTCTCATCTATCTGTTCTCAATTTATTTATTTTTACGAAAAAGCTAATTTCACAGTGTTGATGTCAAAATATCCCATTTGATTTTACAGTGGCTTCTTACCTGATATGATTAAGGTGCATCTTTTATTTCTTAATTTCAAAATGTGTGGACTACCATTTAGTTTTTGTTCACAGTTTTTTATCCATCTTGACTGTGTTTCCATGATATCTTTTCTGGCGTCCATGTATTGTCTTACATTTTTTATATTTCTTTTAATTTTCTCTGCAGCTTTCTTGCCAAGCGTGGTATCAAGGAGGACATTGCTAACTTTGATGCTCGTAAGATCTCAGCGGAGATCAGGGCTGGGGTTGAGGAACTTCTGGACAGGAACGGTGCCTCGTTTGATCCTCATGTAAGACACTGCAAATATTGCACTATTTTAGCATTCTGTCTAACAGCTCTATGCTCAACTCTCCCGTCTTTGTAATTTGAACATTTTCAAAACTAACATCAAAGGTTTTTGGCCAAGTAGTATCTTAACATCTGAGAATCTTGTTTACTCCTTACCTCGTTGTTTTTCTGTGTTTCAGAATGCCAAGAGAGCCAGCGTAGTCGCAGCCCCATTAGCTCAGTGGGTGAAAGCCAACGTGATGTACTCACATGCACTGGAGAAAATAGGCCCTCTAGAGGCAGAACAAAACAAGCTTAAAAAGTATGTCATTTGTTCAAGGCAGTCTCTTTATTACTACAGGACTTTGATAAATAAACATTGTGCTACATTTCTTTAGAAAAGATGTCATTTTAATGTGCCAACTGTGAGGAATTACCTGAAAATATTGAAGTGATTTTCCACCAAGTAATGTGCCCTGAGAAGCAAACACAGGTCTATTATTGTGAAAAATTTTTTGTTTCTCAGGAATCTTCAGAAAGCTATCGGCCGCATGGAAAAACTCCAGAAGGGTCTTGAAGACGTTGACCGACGCGTTGAGGAATACAAGAGGAAATTCCAGAAGCTGAATGAAGAAGCAACTAAGCTGAAACTAGAATTGGAGAAAGAACAAGAGACAATCAGCTCAGCTGAGAATCTGATTGGTAAACTGGATGGAGAGTATCAGAGATGGAGCACGCAGGTTAGTTTGAAAAGTTTGATGAGGTTGAAATATTTAATATTGGCATGGCTAGCCTAATACATTGAATTATGTAGTCATGGAAAATTATTTGAGGGTTGATAAGTATTCGTTGTTTTGATGTTTGAAATAGCTCACCATATTAAAACTTGTGAGGCTTTTGTAGCTTGTCAATAAATTGCCCACTGATCTCCTTGCCTCTTAGTTTAGTTTAATATTGATCTGATGCGTTGTTAAACCCATTGCATTTTGGAGAAAAAATGTGAGTTCTGTGTTGTCTATAAGCTGTACACAGGCCATACAAAAAAATTGTCAGGCATATTAAGAGTCTGTTTATAACGCTCTTTCGTCTTGAAAAATCGGTAAACTATTACTTTTCTGACTTCTCTCTGGTGTGGTGTTCTCTCTAAAAATCCCTCAAATTGTTCGTTTTTTCCCTCTGAATTATACTCTCTCCATAATGTGGATGTACAGACTTAACCACTGGCTTGGCAGAGGTAGCTGTATCATTTTAGCTTTCTTAAAGAAACCTTGCATAATTGTTTTCAAAGGTAACTGAGCTGAAGACGGACCTGGAGACCCTACCCAAGAAGGCTCAGATCGCTGCTGGATTCATCACCTATCTCTCTTCAGCACCCGAGGATGAACGTCGCACTAAACTCAACTCCTGGTCTGAGCAAGCTGGGATGGAGAGATTTGATATGAGACGCTTCCTAAGCACAGAGAGTGAACAGTTGATCTGGAAGGGTGAAGGGTTGCCGAGTGATGATCTCTCCATGGAAAATGCTGTCGTCATCTTACAGGTTTGTCAATTTTAAGAATTGGATATGTGTATTTACCTTCTTGGATGTTTGACATGTTAAAAAATAAGACAGTTTCTTCAAGTATATGACAAACCAGTTGCTAAGTATAGTATTATTTCAAGGGATTCACATTGCAAGATTCTCTTGTTAGTTGATAAATAGTCCATATTAACATTTAAATTTAACCCATTGAAAATTGCTACTAAAGTTGAACTTATGATGCTACAGCTTTGCATGGAAACAATGCTTGCATTATGATTTCCCATGTCATTTGACAATAAATAACGGATATTTTATGAAAATGTTCTAACAGAATTTTTTTATTCTTTATTAAAAACAAATACATATCTTTGTGATATGATGCTTTGACTTGCATTTTTAACCCATGCTTAATTATTAATTTTACTCAGACCTTCATTTTTTTATTTTGCCCATTTAATTATTTCAGTGATTAATCATTTGTATTTATTTTATTTTCATCTTTTGAACTGTTCACTCACCCCAATCCCTCTTGCATGTTCCATGTATATTCCATGGCTGCTCATTGCTTACCATGCGTTTTGTCAATACCGCCCCTACCTTGGAATGCTGCCCTCTATTGATGACGATGATGACGATAATCCACAACCCGACATCTGTTATTGGTCATAACACAGATTAACGACCTCCCCGTTGTGGTAAGATCGATTAGTTTGCAATCATCATTACTTTGAAATGTGTCATCAGCCAGAAATCATGCAGTCGTTTTAGATTCAAAAACTTAGCTAGCTTGCTTAGATATTTATTGTTTGCTCAATTTCCCCACACCCATCAACATTACCATTATTGTTTACATTTCTTGCTTTGGTCCTGTTTCTTATGTAACCCTTTTCTTGTATTATATTTTGGCAACAGGGATTGTTTTGTTGTAGTTAAACTAATGTAGAATTGTAGAGGAGTTAAGAATTTAAAGAAAGTTATTGAGAATTCTTGCTAGTTACTTTGCGCATTAAGTATGGAGTTTACGGTAGCACCTTGTACTCAAATATCTTTTGTGAGTTTGTGTCATACTGAAAAGAACTTGTTTACCTAACGCTTACAAGAGTATGCTCTGTCCGTCTTAAAGCTATCTCCTGCAGACCGACACATGCGTGTTGTTTGAAATTGAGTTTATTGGTAAGGGAGATTTCTACCGTGATGTGTGTCTGTTCTTCAAACCAACGTGTGTGGGTGTCTTTATGCTTTTGTTCTTGCTACTCTGTTTCACTACAACAAAATTCATTTGAACATTGTTTCAAAATCCTCATCAAGGTAAGTTTCTTCAACTGTCAGTAGCAGTGTGAGACTCCCAAAAGCCTCGGAGTGCATAGTAAATGTTTTACTGAACAAAAAGCTGTTTGTGGAAAATCGTCTCTTGCTAAGCAGATTAGAGTATGATTAGAAATTGAAGTAGGAAAAAGTGGTTTTAGTATAGAAGTTGCTTGGTTTATTTTTTTGCTAAAATAGGAGTCTTAAGCTATCCCAGCTATGCATGTAATATACAAGTAGACCCCATCAGCAAGTTCTCTGATTAGTTTCTTTTGATCTTGCCAATGATAACAGAGTTCCTTGAGACCATTCTTGGTAGATCCATCCTCTCGGGCAACCGAATGGCTCAAGACACATCTGAAAGATGCAAGATTGGAGGTTGTCAACCAACAGGTAAACATATCAATATTTTTGTTTCGTTCCTCTCCATCTACTTCTGAAAATAAATTTGAATGTGTTAAGTGAGTCATGATAGATAAGACTTAAGAGTTGAAATGTTTCAAACCATAAATTTGAATTCGCACATAATGGAAAAGCTTACCTGCTGGTCAGATTGTTAGTTAATTGTAAAATGCTCTTAAAATGTATTTCAGTCTTTCAACCAAACTCGTTCTTGAATAGAAACCAGAAAATCATTGTGTAACCTAAAAGAGCTTACCAAACATAACATCACTTACAATTCCCCTTTTTCTTTTTATAGTATTCACTATTGATATCTTCATATCACCTTTTATATCTTCATCTTTTCAGGATGCTAACTTTAACACTGCCTTGGAGCTGGCGGTACGTTTTGGCAAGACTCTCTTGATACAAGAGATGGATGGAATTGAACCCATCCTGTATCCACTCCTCAGAGCTGATCTAGTCAGTCAAGGTAACAAATCTCAATCTCATCGTTATATCTCAGTTTGATTTGTTGATCAATTATCAGTCATTCATAAATACCTCAGACAGTTTAGCTATTCCTATTGGTCGAGAGCCCGTCACGTGGCCGGTCTTAAACGGATGATAAAGACATGGCTAGCTGGTCTTAAACACTTTTCCAGTGTCACAATAAAATGTGGACTCCTAAAAATCCAGTGCCTCTTACCGTTTCATTGGTTGAACGTTCACAATCCTCACGTAGGCATGCGCAACACTACAAGCGAGTCAGAATTTTATAGTTCTAAAATCAAAACGCAACGCCCCAGGTGCGTTCTGCGTGACATCGCGCAGAACATGTTACGCGCACGTCAATCTCCATAAAAGGGTTGTTTACATCTTACTCGCCAGCTGAACACTCCATTATTTTGCTAGAGGGATGTTTCAAAAAGCATGAAGTGAACTTGTTGAACAAAATCGGGATTTTTGAACGAATCATTTGATATTTTTTTACGGATAAGGTATTTATGAATGGGAATAAATATGTGCTCGGTCGGTATTTATCACTCTGTTTAATACCGCTTAGAGTCTGAGTGCTGATAATTACCCTCGCCTCCGGCTCGGGTAATTATCAGCACCCAGACTCTAAGCGGTATTAAACGAGTGATAAAAACCTCCGGAGCACACATTTATTCCCTTATTAAAGATCTGTAAATAAATGTCATTTCAGCCTCCACTCAGATTGGGAAGGATGAAATGTAAGAAGGGGCTTTAAACCCTCATCTTTTGAATCTGTCAGGTCTAATTTCTACATTTCTATTTCTCACAAAACTGTTATCACTGTTAGCTCATTTTGTAATCAATTAATTTAATGGATAGATCACTCACATGCTTGTCCATTTGAAGAGTCAAATTTTGAGTTTTTGTATCTGTCTATGCAGGACCCCGTTTTGTGATTCAGATCGGAGACAAGGTGATAGACTACCATGAGGATTTCCGTCTGTTCATGACGACACGAAACCCCAACCCTGAGATCCCACCTGATGCTGCATCCATCATCTCTGAGGTTAACTTCACAACCACCAGGGCAGGCTTGACTGGACAGGTAGATAGGAAATCATAATCATTATGTCTGGGATCAATTAAGCTAAGACAACCAAACCTTCCTCTCCATACTATGAATTTCAACACCGTGAAAATATAGTTTACAATGAAGTCGCTGTGAAACTTTTTTACACTGCCAAGTAAGCTCATTTTCACGGTGCCAAACTGGGCCCCTCAGCAGGGGATAAGCTCACTGCAGTTTCACGGTGTTTTTACATGGGTCTTCTGGAGGTCCAAGGGTCTATTGTTATTCATAACTGTACAGCAGTTTTTTTTCGGAAATGCCTCAATCAATTTATTTTCCACAGCATCTATTCCTTTGATATTTCAGCTAATGTTTATATTGCTTATTTCTTCAGTTATTAGCCAACACCATCCAGCATGAGAAACCAGAGTTGGAGGTTCGTAAGACGGAACTCTTGAAGCAAGAGGAAGATCTCAAGATCCAATTGGCTGAGCTGGAACAATCACTTCTTGAGGTACCATCCTTTCATCCAATCTAGATTCTGATTACAAAACTGAACATCAACTCACTTCATCTCAAATAAATCACAGAGATAGGCCTACTGAGTGAGTTTTAGGAATCAAATGTTCGGAGCGAACAGTTTATTGACTTGACCACTTTCCTAGCATCTTGGTCTAAACGTTATATTTTAGAGATACACCTCCTAAAAGAGCTCTTTTTTTTTCTCTCGTTTACACAGACCCTGGCCAAATCAGAAGGCAACATCCTAGAGAACAAAGCCCTCTTGGAATCTCTGAACAAGACTAAAGAGAGCAGTCAGACCATCTCCAACTCTCTGGGGGAATCAGTCCATCTTCAGGCCTCCTTAGATCAGGAGAGGTCAGCTTACTTACCTCTGGCAGAGAACGGTAGCACCTTGTTCTTTGTCATCAGTGACCTGGCTAAGCTGAATAATATGTATCGCTTCAGTCTGGGGGCATTCTTGAGGCTGTTCCTCAGAGCGTTGGAAGGAAGAACTGTAAGTACTTTATAAATATCTCAAAAATCTCATAAAATAACTACAAGAATAGGTTGTGAAGTGAGCTTTACAATACAACTAAGTATTTAGACACGGTTAATTTTAATTAGGCCATAAGAGCTGAGAAGTTATCTTACAGAAAGTAAGACACTGAAATTCTAACACTTAGAGGGTGATTTATTTGCCTTGAGAACTTGTTAGTAAGCAGTTTGCAGCAACTCGTATTCCTTAAGTAAAACACAAATAAATGTAAATTTGTGTGCACTTTTTGCTTACAATTCACCTTCAGAACAAAGTAGGGGTTGATTTTCATCTGTTCACTTCCTGGGTCATTCCATGAATTTGTGGTCCAAAGTGTGACCGTTTTTGTCCTAGTTACACCTAACCTGTGTAATTTGCCTCCCAAGTATCATTAAAATAGATTTCAAACTAGTTGTTGAAAATTTGTTTGGTAGGTACTTTGCTTTACAAAATTACTCTTGAAGATGGAAGGCATTAAAGAGTGCGTCTTTAATTTGCAAAATCTTATGTCGCTTCTTACTCGCAATTTGTTTAATCTTAACATGCCTAATGATTGTATGCAATACAGGATGGCAGCAGTACAGAGATGCGTATTCAGAAGCTGGGTGTCTCCCTACAGAACCTCGTCTATGAGTACGTCTGTAGGTCACTCTTCAAGGCAGATAGGCTCATGTTTGCTCTCCATCTAGTACATGGCATGCATGCTCATCACTTCAAGGAAAATGTAAGTACTTGATGAGATACAATAAAGCTGCGATTACTTTTTCAACACCAGAATTAAACTCCTGCTCATGATGATGCCAAATTGTGGGGCGTTTGTAAATCATTCTTCAATGAAAGAATATTCAGAAACATTCATATTCACACAAAAAAGTACAAGTGCAAAAAATAAGTAAAAATATATTTTGGAAAAAATTAAAAAAGGAATCCTATCTGCTTTGGGAATTTGTTTCCTTTTTCTAAAAACAAATTGTGACTGCAAAGATGAGACTAAAGGCTACAGCATTGAGAAATGTAGTAGCAAAGTAAATTCTGAACAGAAACATTAGCCATTAAATAAACCACAGACTTTCTTTAACATTTTAGTGCCCTCATTGATTTGGAGAACATACTGTGATTGTCCTTGGTTTACGCTTTGTTTTGTCTTCTTTCAGGAATGGGAGGCTTTCCTTGGTCAGATAGTCTCTGATGTCAAGTCTGATGCTAGCAAGTCAAGAGATTCTCTGCCCAGCTGGATAGATCAAGATAGAATCCAAGTTGTCTCCGTCATAAAGGTCAGTTAGAGTCTTGACTAGAAAATTGAGACTTTAAATTTGATAGTATTGTTTGTTCATCAGTGGACTTGAATAAGTAGGACTCTATGTGAGTTATATTTTTGTAATGAAGTTTGGAAAAGCTGTTGACCAAGAAAATGTTCATTAAGTTATTTACCAGTGTTTTAACTTATTTGATTTTTTTGGTTTTTTTTTTTGCAGTCCAACTTTCCCCAGTTGTACCAGACCCTGAGCCTGTCTGATTCCAGTCTGTGGTCCTCATTCTCAAGAAGCTCTCAGTGTGAGCAGGAATTCCCTTCAAGTCTGGAAAAGAAGATCTCACCATTCCAACAGGTACACGAACCAACAATTAACGTCAACATTCAGAAAAGCTTGCGGCTCTCAGAAAACCATATATTTGAATGAGTAACCTTTCTACTGTGTTCATAGAAGGGTGTGAAATTATCGGAGAACCATGAGTTTAAATCAAATCAAATAAGGTTTTGCCCTTCACCGACGTTCAAAACCTGTATACTCAGTGTGTTACCTCCCGAGTGAAAGTTGGAAAAAATATACTCATGGTTATAAATAATTATAACCATGAGTTTCTAATTACGTTTTTAACATTTGAACAAGTTTCATTCATCACTTCAATCATTCATGCTTTGCAACTATTCAGATGATTTGTTAATGCATTTTTAAAGATGCATAATATGTCTTCTAGTAAGTGATACTTTCTTTCTATCATTCCTTGTAGACATTGATTGTTCAAGCACTCCGACCAGACAGATTGCAGAGCTCCATGGCCATGTTTGCTGGTAAAGTTCTCGGTGAGTTTTATTAGGTTATGAAGGCTCTGATTTTGTGAGTGTAAAGTATGTAGGAAAACTCTAAGACATTACAAGGCTCCAGCAAGCAACAGGATGTCCTATTTGTCTTAATGTTTTTAAGACAAAATTTTCTTATCCATTGGTTTGTAGGCATGAAGGAGTTATCTCCACCGACGCTCAACCTGAAGCGTCTGTGTCAGGAGACGGTACCCACCGAGCCAATCTTAGTCATCATATCGCCTGGTGCTGATCCATCCCAAGAATTACAAGAACTGGCTAATGAAGTCATTGGAGCTGAGAAATATCACCAGGTTAGAAGAAATATGTATTGAGTTTATAAATCATTACATAGTTAACCACATTGTATTACAATGTATAACATTGTATATCATTGTATATTTATTACTTGATGAAATGGCAAAACCATACAGTATTGGGAATTTATTTTTGTTGGCAATACAGGGAGTAACAGGCAAGGTGGTTTAGGGCAGTAAAGGGACTAAGGGACTAAAAAAAAGCTAAATATTCATATTTATGTAATGGTTATGTTCATGTTTTTGGAGTTTGCTAGGAGACTTGGTGAAGCATCATTTTGCAGTCCGGAGGACTTGGATTCGATGCCGAGTGCAATCAAATTAAATATACTCTTCACAATTTATTGTCATAAATGAAAAAAAATATCTGACCTGTCTTAACCTTTGACACTTGACCTGTTTTACCCCTAGGTTGCCATGGGTCAGGGTCAGGCAGATATTGCTATGCAGCTGCTCCATGATTGCGCTCGTAACGGAGAGTGGCTCTGCTTAAAGAATCTTCATCTAGTCACGGCATGGCTACCGGTACTTGAGAAGGTAGGATGAGTAAAAGATCATCAACAAGTGTCTTGACAGATACAGAGAAGGCAGTAACATTCTGGACCACAAAGTTCGGAGAACATTTGTTACAAACCTTTTTTATGCTTACATGTACACGGTGTTCATACTTTTGTTCGACAAAGAAAAGATAAATTATAATTGAAATGTAATTATAATAATTGTAAAGTCATCTTGAATGAGTATTCCGGATTGTCTTTGTAGGAGCTGAACACCCTTGAGCCTAATGAGAAGTTCCGTTTATGGCTGACGGCTGAGAGTCATCCTAAGTTCCCTACCATCCTGCTACAGTCTAGTCTCAAGATCACTTATGAGGTAAGAGAGTCCACTCAAGAATTCTTCATTGTGTTGTATAAACTCAAATTGTCTTTTGTTGTTTATTTTACTTTTTTCCAAGTTCTATTATTATTTCAACTAATAATATTTCTATATGCTTAGGAAATCAGCAATATACATTTGTGTTCATAACTTAAAATAGATCATTATGCAGTTTTCATATCGCCATCAGGCATTATGTCTTGTCGATCATTACTGAAACCTCAACTCCAACAGAACCTGTTTCAGTTGAGCTCTTAGAATTTTGAGGCCATGAATATGTGAAAGCACTAGTTCTGTATTAGTAAACAGAATATGTAAAGGCACAAATCCTCTTAAATCCACCTGTTTTAAAATTGACCCTAAGAACCTTAGTCTGAGATAAAACACCTGCTAGTGCTCCACATTTAGGAACTTTGTCTTTGTTTGCAGGCCCCACCAGGCATCAAGAAGAACCTTCTGCGTAGCTACGAGTCTTGGTCCCCTGAGTTCATCTCCAAGGATAACAACACGATCCGAGCCCAGGCTTTGTTTGCTTTGGCCTGGTTCCATGCGGTCTGCCAGGAGAGACGTAACTTCATCCCGCAAGGATGGACTAAGTTCTATGAGTTCTCACTGTCGGATCTCAGAGCAGGAGCTGACATCATCAACAGATTGGCCACGGGCAAGAGTAAGTCATTTGAATAGGGAAGGGTTGGTGAGATTGTTGAAGAAACAGGACTCATTACTGAAACAAATAGTGTTGTAGTCGAGCCCATCATAAGTCCATCACATGTCTGGTCACAAGTACATCTTAAGTCCTTCCACAAGTCAAATCACAAGTAATAGCAGATGAACAATTAAAAAGGAATGCCTTTGTTAGAGTTCAGTTTAATAGATTGTGACCCGTCGTGAGATTTCAGGACTTGTGACGGACTTGGGATGGACTTGGAACTGGAAGACTTGTAATTGACTTGTGATTGACTTGTGAGGACTTGTAAGAGCTTGTGATGCACCATACTACAACACTAACTAAAATGACCTTCAGACACATTTGTCAAATAAAAGCATCTTCTGAAATTGTCAGTTTTCTACTGCATCTGGAGCTTCACTCATCTTCTGATTCCTGCAGGTAAAGAGCTACAATGGGACTTCATCCATGGTCTGTTTGAGAACGCCATCTATGGTGGTCGTGTGGATAACCCCTTTGATATGAGAGTCCTGCGCTCCTACTTATCTCAATACTTCAACAAGGATACACTGACTGGTGGAGGATCAAGAAGAGCTAAGAAGATTGCTGCTGGAGTCTCAGTGCCTTCCTCAGCGTACTACAGGGTGAGTTGAGCACAGTACAGTATTTCACAGGTTGTGGGTTCCAATCCAGCTTTTGTGTTTTTGTCCAACAAAAGTCAGATGATGTCAAGCTAATGTGAACTTGATGAAGGATGTTCCTTCACTTCTTGTGAGTCACACCTGATAAAGCCAGTAGTTTTTTCTCTGGCAAGATCTAAGTATCATGCAAATGGGTCACGTTTGTGGCAGGAACATGTGGTCTTTCAAGGGGTGTGTTCCCAACAAGAATAGGAAAATTTCGAATTGAATTCTCCGAGCATTCAGATTATTTATACACTCCCTATGTCTCATAAGATGAGCTCTCTTTCTTACTTATCCAATGTCTTCAACAATCACAATATATTTTGGGAAATAATGAAATTGGACAATATCTTTGGGAAATACTAATATTGGGCATTTAACGGCCTTATTTTCTGTTATGTTTTCAGGACTACACTGACATGGTCAAGTCGTTCCCTGAGGATGACAAACCCTCCTACTTTGGCCTACCAGCCAACATTGAGCGTTCCTCACAGCGTATCATCAGTAGTCAGGTTATCTCACAGCTCAAGATCCTACGTCGTCTGGATGAAGCAGCCGTCAAGTTTGATATGGATCGCTGGAACACGGAGCTCGGACCAATCCTGAACCTGTGGAAAAAACTTAACCAGGTACAAAAACAAGTTGACAAGCCAATAAGATACCTTTATTGGGAAAACAGCTTTATCAAATACTTTACAAGAATGTTGCTCTTCCTTTCTCTCACTTCCTGTACTAGCTTTTTTGTCTCTTATCAAAACAATAAATGACATCTTTCTTCGTATTACTTTGCTAGTTACACACTATTTAGTATAGCTGCCATCTTCTGTGCTGTATTCCAATACAGTACCGAAGTGCGCCGCGTATTCTGTTCCACGCGCACAGCTTAAGCGTGTGAAGACATCAGCGCGCGAACCAGAGTGAACCAGAACAATGACAGTTCACGTCACACTTCGCTACTCTATAGTTCTGTACCAAAAATTGATCTTGCTTTTAATTGCAAAATTTCTTAAAAGTTGTTTTCTCAAAGCTAGAGTTTTATACATCTCTGGGAAATAAAATGTCATGACACTAAAATTTCTCTTTTCTAATCCCCACAGGGTTCCCAGCTGATCCAACTGAAACTTCAGCCTCCTAGTGAAAAGTCAGGCAGTTCAGATAGTCCAGTCACCTCCTTCATCCAGCTGGAGCGATATAACGCTATCGTGCTGGTACAGTTTGTCCATTCTACCCTGGCAGCGCTCAGTAAAGTCATTCGTGGCAGTACACTACTGACCAGTGAAGTGCAGAAGATGGCTGCTCTGCTGCTCAAACAAGAGGTATAGGATTGAAGGTTTTTTTTTTTATAAAACAGAATAGGTGATGCCTGAAAGCTATATGGTTGAGTACTTGAACCTCATGCAGAAGTAAGATACATCTGTTTTTGGAATACTTCTACAAACGTACCAAAGAATTTAACTGATTGTATTTAGCACACTCTAAACAAAAACCACACAGTGAAAATATCATCAGCAATGAAACACTTTTTAAGGTTAATACTGACAAAATTATAAGTTGAATTATGACAAACAACTATTTTTGATTTAAAAACATCAAATGTAAATGTCTATTTGGGAACCTGAGTTTAACAAAGGTATTTATTAATTTCCTTTTTCAAATTTGCTCTTTTCTAGACACCCCTAGATTGGATGAGTAAATGGGATGGTCCAGAAGATCCCATACAGTACTTGCGTACATTAGTGGCCCGTACCACGGCCATTCAGGGGTGGGTACAGAAGGCAGAGTCCAAGTCCTTGTTGAGTGAAACGCTGGACCTGTCAGAGCTGTTTCATCCGGATACATTCCTGAATGCATTGAGACAGCAAACTGCCAGGTATGTGGTATAGCAATGGAATGGACTGGAACTAGATTTGAACCTGCTACCTTTGGATTACAACTCAAGTGCAGTATGAACTGAGCCAGTCAGTCCATTTATGGTACTTAACTCAAATGGTCGTTTCGGATTTGTGGCCATCAGCAGCCCACCGTTGGTTTGTGTACATTACTCACACTACTTGAATGAGTTTGATCAAGCTACAGTACTCACATGGGCAAAAGCCATGAATACTGTTTTGATTGAGATCTAGGAAGAGTCCATGTATTTGCTTGTGTGACTGACTGAATCTGTTGTTGTTCTTTTGACAGAGATATCAAGACATCTATGGACAATCTCAAGTTTGTCTGTCGATGGGGTGGCAGCATCTCTGGTGCCAAGCATCAAGTCAAGGTAGATAAACAAACTTAGTCCACATCAAATGACTTGGTTATGACCAGCAGTAACACACGTGTCTATGGGAAGTGGCATCAGCAGCTTCCATAGGCGTATGTGTAATTTCAAGTCTTAGCCCAGTAATTTGGACGTGGCTGAACCTCGATACTTATTGAAACTCAAGTCATGACATAAACCAAGCCTAGTCTTATTAGGCAGCAGCATCTCTGCCAAATTAACGTATGAAGAGTTTTTTTTTTCAAAACAATGCCATTTTGTTACCTTCTAGAAACCTACTGTCTCCTGCTGCCCAAAGTCAGTTTGGACGGCTGTTTTGTAGTTAAACACAATTTGAGAATATAGTAAAGCCAAAAATGAAGTTTAGAAACAATATTTATATTGTTTTTATTCTATATGTAAAGTTATGTAAAAGTGCAAATTTTTCACTTTTTTCAAATGAATATATTGGATGTACTCTCCATATGCAAACCCTTGAATCTATTTTCTGTCCTCACTTTATAACAGTAGTTTTGAACCTCAAACTAATCCTGCTTATTATTTCCATTTAGATGATATTCTTTCCCCCGTGGGAAATGTCTAGATGTATGACTGTTTCATTGTCATGTCCTGATTTGTTCTTTGATCAGATTGGTGGGCTACAATTGGAGGGTTGTACATTTGATGGCTCTAGGTTGTCTGAGAACCAGAGAGACTCACCCAGTGTCTGCACTGTACCCACATGCACGGTAGCATGGGTGCTCAAGGTAACAGCAAGGCAATGTCTGGGATCTTAGGGTCATCAAAGTTCACTTTATCAGAGGATAGGCAGACCAGAAGATGAAGTATGCCTCATGCGATTAGAGAATAAAGCGATGTTAAATTGGAGCAATGAAATAAACAGTGTTGTAGGTGTGTTCATCACAAATCAATCACAAAACGTCCTGTCTCAAGTAATAAGCTATTACAATGAACTGTGACGAAGGCATTCCATTGATCACCTCCTGTTACTAGTGACAGGCATTGTAGTGGACTGAGTGATAGACTTGACTACAGCATTCAGAGCAAAGTAGGCAACAGAACTGAAAAATAAATCGGAATGCTTAACGTACATCACAACCTGTTTAAATGTCTAAAAAATTGCAAGGGATCCCAAATGAATGCATTTTTGTCAAATTTACCTGGAAGGAAACCAATAAATTTGTTTGAACTTCTGTTTAAATATATATGCAAAAAAGAAATTGACCAGGGTTTCCAGATGTTTCCACTTTTTACCTGGAACATGAAGTATCAATTTGTTTGTTCGTTTCTCATTAGGATTCCAGTGAGCCTTACAGCCCAGAGGAAAGCATCTCCTTACCGGTCTACTACAGCTCCGACAGAGAGAAGATTGTGACTTACCTGACTGTGCCATGTGGAGGAGATCAAGATCACTGGGTACAGACTGGGGCTGCTCTATTCCTGAAAAGTCTGTGAATTACATAAGCAGTGTCTTCATGGGCCTTCAGACCTACGGCTAGGTCTGTGATTGTGTAGTTGTTGCTGTTGAGAACCCAGACATAGCCGTTAACAAGGGATGCGGATATGTCCTTAGGCTGTTGAATACAATGATTGCATCATGGTGATGTCATATCTGTTTTGATTTTGTAATAACTTAAAGTGAAACGCGTGGTCCCAGTACACCGATAACAAACTTTTTCCCAAACATTTAGTTATAAGATGTGTCATGAAATGACATTTAGACTACATTTTGGAAGTGTCAAAAGAATATCAATTAATAAATTGGAGGAGATTTGAAGGCTTTTTTTCATTGCAGATTAGGATTATCGATTTTTGAGTGATTATATGAAAATATGAAAAGACTTCATAATTGTCTTGAAAGGTTTTGCATGTAAATTTCAGAAGACCAAAGCAATGTTGTTTTCTTAAGTACAAGTTATATCACCAAAGTAGCTTTTGGTTCAAAGTAGTGAGTTGTCATGGAGTGAATTTGTTTCTTAAGTGTGCTTAAGATTAAAAAAATATAAAGTAGCAATTTTCACCAGGGAAAAAAAACTACCAAACTCTTAAAAATATTTGTCGATAATCAAATCGGATCAGGATGTAAAAAATCTGATGTAAATAGTAAAGTCACTTTGGTTTGAAAGTGCTATATCATTGTATTTTATGGCGAGTGTGTGATCTGTAGTTGAAATTCAAAGTGGAATTTGTATATAACGAGATTTAGAGTTTTTTGTAGTGTGTGCTTGGTTAACAGAGTGTATATAATATATCACATTTGAGAGAACAGAATCTTATTGAAACATTTACCCTAAGATGTTTGTTTTCTTGATTTAAAGTGAGCGGGTACTGAGTGATCAGCACTGAATATTACAAACACGAGGTTCACATAGATTTCTCTTCATTTGATAGCAAGACATTTTTATTTCAAAACAAGAGTATAACACCGTCTTTCAGTACTTGCACTTTTAGTTTATTCATGGTGATACATTAAGTTTTCTTCCGATGGACAAACTGTGAAAATATAAGCCCAAATATGTTAAGTAATGCTAAAGGTCAACAAGATAATATATTTGTTGAGTACTACAAGAATTGTTTTCCCATTTTTTTCCTAGTATGTACATGTATGTTAGAAACTTTGTGATGATTGCATGTTTTTGCCCTACTATCCAGCTTTCTATCCATGTTAAGTTTTTTTCTAGAAAATGCTTTTTCTAGATACATTTATATTTAACTTTAGCAAGCTGGTGCAGCCCAATATTGCATTTCTGTTGGTGTAAATCCCACAAGTGTTATATTTTACAGAACTAAAAGAAGACAACTATATAAAGTAGTATAATAAATAAACTCTTGAAAAATAAAAGAAGTTACCAGAATTATTATTTTTTTAACAAACCGTCAATACTTGTAACTATATGGCATTTTCTGAAAAACACGTATAGGTTGGAATGTAGAGACTTTTAATAATTTGTGAGTTTTAACCCATTTGACCACAAAACTTGCATTAATTAGCTACTCATTCTTTTAGATTCCCTAAGAGTTGATTTATCACATGAGAAATACCTCCGATAAAAAATTTAATATAAATTTAGAGATGAGCACACATTTACTACAGGTTTAAAACTTACAATTTTGTCATTTAATTATAATTAGGTTTTATTAATTAGATGATCATTTTGACATGATATAAGTTTTACAAACAATTTCACTTAACAATGTTCTAGTCATTAACATTCATCTTTTAACATAACATACACTTTTGCGCTTTGGTAAGTCAAGGTATTGCAAACTGTTCCCATTAAACATAGTCAAGGCTTGTAAAAGATGAAAGATCTAAGATGATAAAAAAAGAACATCTGACAACTTTTGAGATTTTATCGTTGAAAAAAAATGAGGTAGACCTTAGCGTGAGTGACAGTCTGGACACATCGGAAACAGTGCAAATTACGTAACTTAATCGAGTTGGAAAAAACACTTTTGTAAGAATGTAATAGCAAATAACAGAAAATGTGAAGACATATAACCACCTTGGCCATAAAACATGTTATAATGTCTTTAACACAATGAAAATAAACAAACACTTCTGCTTAAAAAATATATGGACCCTTCTTTTTAAAAGTAATAAGTCAACAAAATATAGTGACTGCTGAAGGAGTTGAATAACTTGAGTTGAGCAACGATCAAAATATACATACGAAATACTTTCAACTCTTGGCCATTAAAAAAGTTCAACAGAGTTTTATACATATACATTTTCATACTTTTGAAGTTTGTGCATGGTGAGGGACACCTTGGCAAAACAAGTGGTTTGCGTGTCCTTTATCTATTTGTGAGTTGAGCAAAATTTCTAAAATATGGTATAGTTTTTGTTAACCTGTATTGCAGTTACATAGTAATAATACAACACATTTATACAAATAGGTATGCATTAATACAGTGCTCAAGGTTAATAAACATATTACTCATTTTATGCACAAAAGATACACTCTTTAAATTGCAGCAAGGTTTAATTGAGTTTTTTACAACTGGCAAATATTGCAGAGAATTTTTTCTTACATGTACTATAACAACGACCATTTAATTTACTCTGATACTACCTAAAATGAAGAGTATAAATAAGCATGTACGATCACAAATTTCATAATTTACATACAGATATTGTTTTATTTTCATAAGTCGGTAGTCTTTTATTTATTCTGATCAGCTGGATAGGCAGCCATTTAGCTCATCTCCAATCTGAGCAGGGTTGATAATCATGACTGCGTGATCTCTGACATCAAAAATTAAGGTAGTATGGAAAGCAATGTTGCTGAAGACACAGAGATACTCGAAGAATGCAAAGATGCTATAGACTGTAGAAGGGAACAAAAGAATAATTGCAAAGATTGTAAAAATATCGGAAAAACAGCCTTGTATTTAAAAAAATTTTTTTTGTATCTACAAGAAAATACTTACCATATGGTTCACAGTAGCGATTGTGTCGATCAAAGAGATATGAAAAGCTGATGATTGACGCTATGAATGTGGCAAACATGTAGAGCTTGTAACGATAGGAAAATCGATGCTGCAAGAAAGGAGCAAAATGTTAAAATATTTGGATTATTCAATCATTGGAGAATTTATTGAAAACCGAGATGAAATGAGATGTAATAAAGCTTACATCAAATCAGCAAAAAGCAATATTTGTCTTCAGGCCAAGACCAAGGATTCTGTAGCCATCCTAGATCTAGACTTTTGTTTTTCAAAATTCACATGAATGCCAATCTTTGAAAATGAAATTATTTTTGTTATTCACCATGGGAGCTTTTCTTTTGTGACACAGACAGCATGTTGTGATCATGTGCAGCACAGCAAAGACAACAAAGAAGATGAAACATTTCTCATGAATACCTGGGAACAAAGATATATTGAGGCAATGAATTAATAACAAACATTACATAAGACATATATAGTGAACAAGCAAAAATTTGCTCGCTTCGCACTCATTTTGTGCACCAACGTGCACCAACTCCTAATAATTTGGTTCTTTTAGTCTAGAATAAATAACTTAGGAGATCTACAAGAAGAGATATTTTGTGAGTTAACTAAAAGCTTTGAAAGGCTTTTTGCAGAAGAAGATCCCTTACTGTAATCATCGTTGGAGGAGACATATGTCAGACCAACCAGACAAGACAACTCCGTCAGACAAAAGCCCAGATTGACACGACACAAGGTCCTATAGCTGGGATTGGAGCTCCAGTTATGCAGATCCTGACTGTGCCATGTGTACCAAAGCAATGCAAAGAGAATCCTTGGAGTGACGTGTAATGCTACGGCGATACGCCATATGTAACGCTGTGGGGTGAAGTTACCAATGCTAGCACTGATTGAGGGTAGGAAATTGTAAACCTGTAGAATAAATGGTAGAAGATACAATCAAGAATGAGTTCAGTGAAAAAGAACGGTTTTAACACAACTTTTTAAATTACATTTTATGGAAAATTGTGATCACTTAGGCCAAACAAAATAATAGTTCTGCTTCCGGTTTCCCTACCTACCCTATTCCGACAGCCCCTACCCTAATTTTTTTTATTGGAAAAATGAGAAAAAACACCCAAAACAATCAATTTCCACCTTTTAGTTACCCTTGACTACCCGCAAACGCCTCCCTATGATCGTACACACACACAAAAATGGCAAAAAAAATTTATTTCTCTACCTACCTACCCTATTTTCAAATGCCATGTAATCGGAAGCAGAAATATATTTTTTTTGCCTTAATAAAAATAATAATGGTAAATTATCACTCAGCCCAAATTCCCCCCCCCCCCCTTAGAAAAAGAAAATATATTTTTATTATATATTAATTATTAATATTATATGGTTGTTCAATAAATGTATTCATTTTATAGTTGGTTAATAAAATGTTGAAAATCACTTCTTACTCACATTACAATGCGTGTGATTAACTCCACTAAAATCCTTCCAAATTGAAATGACAACACACAATACAAAACCAACGAGTGGACAACTCGAAGTAACTAATGCTAAAGTTCTCAACGAAAATCGAATCATTCTGGTATCAATTCTCGACCGTTTTCCCATCAAACGAGGTGAAACACGTCTCAGGTAGCCTGGTGTGAATGTGAAAAGTAAATTAATCGATGTACTTAGAAATAATGTTAAATTTAAGCTCGTCAATAACACCGCTAATGATAAATTTATCTCGCCGGGCCGTGATAAGAATCTCGTCCACAAAAGTGTCATAGCGCCCTCAAAAGTTTGGACTTTGCCAGTTTAGGGTGTTGAGAAAAATCATGTATGGCACCCTCAGTCATTCTAAGAAAAAAAAAGTACAATTGGGTGTAAATGTAAAGCACCGTGAACCAGGATACCCGACTAGGCCAGTAATTAGAAATTCCTTTAAAACAATTAATTAGTTGACTTTTTGATTAAAACATGAACTATTTATCATTTACTAAAAATAACTCAATGTTTTTATGTTACATTTGTACTTTTTATGGTTGAATTTATAAAACAAGAAATAAGGTTAAAGGAAAGTATTTATTTTATTTAGCACCAACTATACGTTGAAAATGTTTCCGTAAACGACTGTGATGAAGTCTAGCCACGAAATGTCGAGAATTTGTCGCCACGATTTCGTTATTATTAATGGTGTATATTTTTGCCAGGTGTCTTCTTTTCAGGTCCATCGAATTTCCATGTGAATAGAGCGGAGATATTTTCGTATGAATCCACCGAAAGATCTCTCCTTGGGAGCGGCGGAAGAGGAAAGGTGGGGACAAAAAAATGACCGCCTCCATGAAAATAATCGTCATGCAACATCAACTGTATTGTTTTTGACGTTTTGATCATGGCTCTGAAATGTGGGATGGTTTAGTATTATAAAATGAGGGATTGGTATGGCATTTATGGAGGCAAGGGTGGGTTATACTTGTTTTTAATAATAGCTATTGATAATGATAAGCATGCTTATTTGCATTGCTTGCTATGTTTACAATCTCCACATTCACTAAAAACAGGGGGGGGGGCATGGGGGAGGGGGAACGCCCATCCAGAAATGAAATTAAACTGAAGATTTGATGAGCCATTTTTTAATTTTATCAATTTATTTGCAGAACCAGTCAAGTCACCCAAAGAAGCCCCGCTACCAGTCCAGATGATATGTAAGTTAGTTACTTTAAGCATGTTAAACCATCCCCCCTAAGGCTATGCAAACATGCGTTGTGTGCCAAGTTGTCCTTGCAGTCAAAATAATAATTAATATAGTCAAGTGACTGTTGAATTTTGACTGTTTAAATAGCAGGAGTGTTCCTTTCAACATGTTCAATGCTTAGTCATTTAGAACGGAACTAAAAACAAATAGTAATTTATTTAAGCAATTGCTAAAACTTTACCAGTTCACACAAACTTCCCCATGACCACAATGTTTGGATTTTTAGTGTGAATTTGCTGGTTATGTGGTATGGATATATTCAGAAAGTGAGCCTGACAAACAAACTGCAGTGTGGTTTTGTTGTTAAATAGCGAATAAAACCTTAGGGTTAAAAACGAATTGTTCTTGTTAACTTACAGCAGGGGTGTGAAATCTCAGCTTTAAAGCTGATTTCAGCTTTTTTTGTTTTGGATTTCAGCTTTTTTCTCTCACTTGCGGTGTACAATAGTATATGAGATTTCCAAAGTTCAGCTTTTTTACACCTTTTTCAGCTATTTTCAGCTATTTTTATCAGTAGTCACTCACACCCCTGTTACAGGAAGCGTGCAGCGGTACAGAAGCGCATTGAGCAGTATTTCTACCAGCTTGTAGATGGCTGTGGCAACGAGCAATGCTCCAATGAGCACTGTGCCTCTAACAAAAGCTCGAGGCCGCTCAGCCACAATGAGGCAGCGGCTAAGGCTGTGGCTCTGTGCAAGTCTAAAGCCCAACTCTGCTACCAAGCTGATGAGAAGAATGCAAAACAAGCCAAGACCACTCATCAAGGCAAAAAAGATGTCAGTGGTGAAGCACCAACGAATAGTCAGGGGGTGGTTAATAGACTAACTGACACTGGTGCATCTACAAGCAACCAAACACCAAAAGCTGACAAGGGTACTAGACTTGTGTCGGCCAGCAATGAGGCCTCAACTAGCTCCCAGACTACACGGATGGGTATGGATGCCACGTTGATGGCAACTCCAATGAATGACAAAGCATCAACGAGTAATGAGACACCCAAGATTGGCACAGCTCCAGAGTTGATTGGTGCACCTGTGAAGAAAGGCAAATCAGATCAAGGTACTCAACCATTTCTCTCTCTTATTATTTGCTATTAGTAGTAAGGCTAAATTTGTATTATTAAGTAAAACATGGTAGTTCTGAAAATGAGTCCCAAATATCAGTTTTTTATGTCCTAAGGTTCTTAAAGGGAATATACATCATTTGCTTTTGCTGTAATTTTCAGAAATGGATGGAATTGGGGGGTTGGAAATATAAAGCAAATATAGTTACACTGACTTTTTGGAGGTTTTGGGTTCGAAAATGCTATAAAAACCAAGAAAAACGATCATTTTCCTGTAGTCTGGCTCCCTGACTCCATATAAGAAGAAACAGAGCAGTTTACATACATTGGGGAATTGTAAGGTCAGGGAACCAGTCTAGCTGGCTCGTACCCGTTCATAGGTTTGTAATCGATTGCAAACAAGTGCAATGGTCAATTGGGGCCAGTATTTGAAAAAAAGCCAGTTGTTTCCAACGCTGATCGGCCGATCAGCGTTGGAAATTGATACAAAAATACCACTTTTCTTGAAAATGACAGTATACCAGGTGCCATAATTTTACAGGATGCTTTAGACTGTCATTTACCAACATCCTATTAAGGTATTTCGCAAAAACTTGGTAGTTTTATTTTTCGATGTTTGCAAATGTTGTATATTCCCTTTAATGTTACGTTAAAGGGCTGGAACTTTATGAATTAAGATGAGGAAGAAAGACATCTAACTAGAATGTATTCCGTGATTTTTTTTTGTTTCTTCAACAGCACCCAAACAACCTGACCACTTGTCAGAAAAGAAAATGCTTACCCTTATCGACTCATGCAAGAAGGAAAATAACTTCTCTCCGTTAGTGCGATTGATTGGTGAGGTGTTCTCCAGTTGGAAAGCTCTCAACAAGAGTTTCTTGAAGGCTCCCTTCAAGGTCAAGACCCCTGACCAGGAAGTGATGGATCTTGGTAGACAATTGTCAGAGAAGGAACAAGAGAGGATGATAGATGATAAAGAGAAGGATGAAGATGAATCAGTAGCTTCTGGAAGCCTACCAACCAGGACTGGAGACCTCATGGTAGACATGGAAGCAGTCCAACGTGTCTATGCAGCTCTTGAAAGTCTGGATGAAGAGAGAGTGACAAATGCTATGCTGAATGCCATCATTTCCTTATCACAAACCATCGAATTGGATGTTCGTTGGGTGCCGCAGTTTGAAAACAATCCAAGATTTCTCAACGTCTTTGTTATCATTATGGAGAATCCATCGCTTCAGAGTCCTGAATACCTAGAAGTCGCTTATCCAAGTTTCTGCAAAGCCGTCGGCCGTCTTCCCCTGACTGCCCAAGCCACGCTTGCCAGGATCTGGTCCAGATTCCCTGCCAACAACCTCAGAAAAAAACTGGAAAGTCTGCAACAGCTCATCACGTGCAAAGTACTGACTGACCATTTTGGGCCACATCAGAGAAACATACATGATGACGAGAACATCACAGCAGCAACAAAGTGCATGAAAGTGATCTTCTATGCCAGCATCTTAGGAGGAACTGTACACAAGGCAAGGTCCACCAACACCCAGGAGGAAGAGGAGATGGATTTGAGAGAACTCCTTGGAGCTGTAGGGAATGACAACAAAGATAAGAAGCTTCCCAAGGAGGACCCTCTTACCAAGGAGCTCTCCACATCAGTCCTAGACTCTACAGAGCCTCTCATACCATTTGAGGAATTCTACAATGAGCCTCTTAGTGATCAGATCGAAATCAGCGATGACTTTGCAAGATACAAAAAAGATGGATTTTCACAGAGTGGACAGTTCTCCTTTCTGAATTATCCCTTCATCCTAACACCTGCAGCCAAGAACATGGGTCTCTACTATGATAACAGAGTGCGCATGTACAACGAAAGAAGACTGACTGTCTTAAATAGCCTCGTCCAAGGAGAGCAGTTTAATCCTTACTTGAAACTGAAGGTCAAACGGAGCACTGTGATTGACGATGCGCTCGTTAATGTAAGTACATGTACATGCAGTGATTTTTTTCCGTACGTAGCTCCTTTTGCCGTCATTAGTTAGTTTATAGACACCCTGCTGAATGAAATGAATTCCAACAGCTAGAGTTAAGTGGTCATGGTCACTTTGTGAATTAATAAGGTACAAAAGAAATTATCTGTTTTTGGATTTGTTAGATTCAGCAGGGTTAAAACATGTAAAACAACAAAACACTGTAAACAATTCTAATTTGTATCCTGCCTTCATGAAAATTTGCCAAAACATTTTTCTTTCATTCTTTTTACAATGAAAGTAATTGGAAGTTGAATTGTTTTGCACATCAGACAAATGTCAAATGGGCAAATCTCGTAGCCTCTTTAAAAAAAGAAACGATTCATGCTATTCAAATTGTGTTGCCAGAATCTACTGTTATTTCACTGTTTTTTATCGTATATCATTAATTGTTTGCATTACTATCAGCTTGAAATCATTGCCATGGAGAATCCTTCAGATCTTAAGAAGCAGCTGTACGTTGAGTTTGAAGGAGAGCAAGGCGTAGATGAAGGAGGTGTGTCCAAGGAATTCTTCCAACTTGTAGTTGAGGACATCTTCAACCCGGATATTGGTTAGTAGTTTAGTTTTGAGTTAACTTCAAATCTGCATTAAACTGTTGTCATTCAGTCAAAATCTCCAGTTAACTTCTCTGTTCAAGCTAAATTTGATTTAAAGTTAAACAAGCTGTTTTCCTTTTGTAGTATATCTGATAATTTCAAAAGTTACTTGGTAACCCTAGACCCCTACATTTTTCATCCTTTTGAGCCAAACAGTTTTAGATTTCATGTGGAAACTATGTATATAATATCGGATTTTGCTAGAAATTGAAATATAATGTCTAAATTGTTCATAAATACAATGATATTAATTAATAACAGCCCATAACCAATCAAACTCCAACAGTAGGTTAGTGTTTAAATCTGTTGGGATAGGTACAGTTCCCCTAAACAGATGGTCTTTTACACTGGGGTTGGCATACCTCCAGAAACTAAGTCCAACAGTGTGTGTGTACAATTTCCCATGTGGGTGTTGGAATTTTCCTGAATGGGTATGGCTCCTAGTAAATTAGGCTGGGGAGTTAGGGTTAAAAGTAAGATTCAAGTAAACAGTATTCAATACTTTTCAAGAAGTAAAAATTGGACTTGGAAAAGAACACATAAAAAAATGTATAAGAATAAAATCAAAATCAGAACGAAATATAGTAACTTATATCACTGAATCTTTCCTTTCCATTTACAAATCAACCTATTACTTTGTTTTTCAGGCATGTTCACCTACAACGAAGGCACCAAGTTCTACTGGTTCAATCCGACCTCATTTGAGAATGATCGCCAGTTCACACTGATCGGTATTGTACTGGGTCTGGCTATCTATAACAACATCATCCTGGATATACAGTTTCCTATGGTGGTCTACCGGAAACTCATGGGAAGGAAGGCAACGTTTGAAGACTTGGAACCAATCCAACCAGTATGTGTACAAAATATTCCTTTTTTTCTTTCTTTTTTTTGGGAGGGGGTTGGGGGAAGGAGGAAATTTTAGGAACCACTAGATTTCATGAGATTATCTCAGTGAAAATTGTGCTTTTTAAGGTTTCACATTGTAAACATATGGATTTGTGGTGAACCTTCAAGTTTATAAAACAGATTTTAAGTTTTGGAATGTATTTATTCACAATCATCCTGTATTAGTAGATGAAATATCTGTAAATCCAAATTCAGAACTTCCGATGTTGCACCTGAAACCACCAGACTTTGTTAGTCAACTGGTAATCTGGTCACAGATTTTAAGTTCTACAGATGGGCTTGGTAAGCAGTTTTTGAATAAATCTGAATTTGATCTCCTTACCAAAGAGAAGTCATATTCAATTTTTGTACCTACATGTATTATGACTTTTCCTGTCAGAATTCTATATTTGTTCGGAATAAAGATAAAACCATTCTGTCAATAACTGAAGTGGTTTTCCTGTCTGGATTGTCTGCTTAGGTGTTATACAACAGCTTCAAGTGCTTGCTAGAGTGTGAAGGCAACGTGGAGGAGATATACATGATGAACTTTGTCATCAGTTACAAGGATGTGTTTGGTAACACCATCACACAGAACCTGAAAGAAGATGGGGAGAATACACCTGTCACCAAGGAAAACAGACAGGTGCGTGGCCAGCAATGCCCTTCATAAATACTCCCCTGAATATGTCAAAAGCTACTCTAAGGTTGTGCAATACTTTGATGGAAACAGGACTGTAGAATTCATCCTCCATGGACCATTCAGGATTTGGCCATAAGCCCCGCCCACCTTAGGTTTTTGTACATGCTTTGACTGAGTTATCAAAGTCACCTGACCAAGACTTGTGATCTAATTGGTCAGTCACTCTGTTTGATTGACGGGTGGGAAGGGTCCACAAAACTTGATCAGGTTTTCTATCAGATGTTGTTTAGGATTGCAGCACATTTTTATATTAATTTTTTGTTTTTATTGTTGACTCCTTTTATTACAAGTATAAAAACCAAAAGCTAGTGGATGCAACTGTTCAAGCAGTGAATTGTTTGTGAATTTGTGTCTTTCTTTCTCTCTGCTTCTTGTCAATTCAGGAGTTTGTTGATAGGTACGTGGACTACTCCCTGAACACACTTCCAGAGAAGCAATTCAGGGCTTTCAAGCGTGGCTTTGACATGGTGACTGATGAATCTCCTCTCAAGATTTGGTTCCGTCCTGAGGAGGTGGAGCTCCTGGTCTGTGGAAGCAGGGTAAGGAAGAAAGAGTTGGGTTGGAACATGAATTCACAATCGGCTGACAGGTTTTGCTTCTCAATGCTTTTCTGTGGCAAGCCCTTACAGCTAAAGTTTCTCTGACAACCATTTTCTCACAGTGCCTTGGGATGCAATGATCATCAATTGCAATGAAAGACATCCTTGTTTTGAAAATAAAGAACAGCCAAACACAAAAGGAAAATTGCAAATATTGGAAATATAGTTCACGCTTTTTGTGTCTTTCTTATTGTTTTTCTTTCTTGGTTTTTCGTAGCACTTTGACTTTGATGCACTGGAAGAGGCAACAGAATATGATGGTGGCTACACGAAAGACTCCACCATCATCAAGTAAGTCTGATAATACGTAGTTTGTAGAATAGGCAATGCTTAAAGCATGGTGCATATTGTAGTTTATACATGGGTAGACAAACAATGCACTTTAGTCTAATAGTAGAATTTTAATTAGTTTTACCATCATTTTTCTTGACACTGGACTGAGTATTAAATTTATTTCATTGAGATTGATTTTATTTTCCTTTTTGTCCTTGGGTTTGGATTTGCTTTCAGCTTTGTTTTTCCTTATTGTAATGTAATGTGTTTAACTTATTTCATATTTACATGGTAAATGTTCTTGTAGGGACTTCTGGGAGATTGTGCACCGAATGTTGGCAGACCAGAAGAAGAAACTGTTGATGTTTACCACTGGAAGTGACCGGGTACCAGTTGGAGGTCTGGCCAAGCTCCGACTCATCATTGCTAAGAATGGACCCGACTCGGACAGGTAAACTGGTCCCAAACTCTGCCAACATTTGTTTATAGTGTCGGAGAACAGCAGGTCAATATGACAGCTTTCTCATATGATGACCTTGAAAGGTCAAATCGTATGAATTGTCCTTGTCTCCGCTGATATGGAGCTCTGCCAGTAATAATTCTTGAATCCTATCAGACGTGAAACTTTATGAGCCAGGCTATGTTGCAAGTCTAGTTGAAGACTCATTGATAAGTTGTTTGCAAAATCTGCATTTGGTTAAAAGTCGCATTTGATTTGGAAAAAAAATTATATGGAATTCTAGAACATTAATTTGGATGTTCTGAATGTATTTGTACACTTTTTCAGCATTTTCACTCATTTCATGTGACTATTTAAGAGTGGAGTTGCAAATCAGTCAAATTATTATCGGATCGTGATTTAATGAAGTTTAGAAGTACAGAATGGTGTCATGCTGCCGTTCCACTGAATTATAGTTTTATCCCTGGCAACCTATTGAACCCACTTGTCTTGGTCTCCATCTCCAGGCTGCCCACATCTCACACATGCTTCAACGTCCTACTGCTGCCAGAATACAGCAGCAAGGAAAAGCTGGAGGAGAGACTACTGAAAGCCATCACTCATGCCAAGGGCTTTGGTATGCTGTAAGGTAGCACAGTGCGAGCCTGTAAGGTAACTCCTACACCACCAGGATCCAACACAATCCTACAGAATCTAATAAGTCCAGAATGTAATTACTGTCTTTTTCAAATGCTCAGATGACTGTAGGATAGGGATTTGTCATCAATACTCAATGTTCAGCTTCAGATTAATCTTTTTGAAGGCAGTTGTTAACAAAAGTCGTACCCTAACTGGATAATAATGAGTACTTCACTGATTTTGATGTATTGTGCCCTCTATTGGTGATATACTGCCATTGTAAGTGATGGACACAAACAGGATCTTGTTCCCTGAATCCAGTCCATGGTCTTGGTAATGAAACCCCATCCTGTTACCAGTCTGATGTCCACTGTCACTTCATGTCGAGTGAGGCTTTGTCTTTATCAGTCATTTTGGGGCTAAGGCTTTTGTTTTTGCTGTTTATAAGCTGCAGTCAAATCATTCGCCATAGACTAAATATCCCGATTAAGACAGCTTTTGTTAACACATGATGTGTGCATATGATGCATGTGTAAGTGTGCTTTTTCTCAACATTTACAATTTAAGCAGCATGTAGACTATATTGCTCTATGTGTTGGTAATGCAGGTGATCTGAAAATACCGCCCTCAGTAGGTATGCACAGGGCGTATAAACAGAGCCAACTTTTTGACAGTCTATGTAAATTGGTCGAGGTTATTGCAAACCCAGTGTATGGTGGTACGTCTTGATTTTGACAACATTGATTTCATCAAGTGACCCAAGGTCAGATGAGGTGAAATAAAAAAAAAAACATGTTAAGCGTCCTGCCTTTTTGAAAAAAAGGAAGCGGTATGCCTTTTTTCCCCCCCTCCAAAATGGCCACCCGACCGGGCTATTTCTCAAGATGGCCGCCATTTTTTTTTAAATGGCCGCAATTGGACTCAGGAAATGACATACCAGCTTTATATGGGCTAGATGCAACGGATAAAGAGGCCAAAAAGATCTCACTGTTGAACATTTATCATTTTTTCAGTTTAAAAAAAAAGAAAAGAAAAGGAGGCAGCATCCAAAAAGGAAGCGGGCGGGGAAGCTAAACATGTTTCTTTTTTATTTCGCCTAAATAAATGTGGACATTTTGGTCAAAATATTAGAATAGATTAATCAAAGAGGTTTAAATGCCAATGGCCAAATTTGTTTTGTATTCTGATATGAGAGATTTAATGGTTCTGCAAAAACAAATCCTTTTCTTTCTTGCTTGCAATGTCTTTAGCCTCTTTTTTCCTTCTCAGCCTAACAAAATTGATATAGACTGAAATACACGCAATATATGCACGTCCTGTTTGTATCGTGATTTGAACGAGAAAGTAAGAATCAACAAGGAATCTTTTATTTTATTTTCAAATTGCTGCCAGCAGATATCTTTTGTTTTAAAGCTTTCAGTTTGACAAGAACATCAATCACATTAGAATTGACGAGAACAATTTCCTATTTTATTTTGATGGCTGGATGTTAATTCTGTTAAAAAAGGAATTTCTCAAGAATTATGATGGGAAAGTGTTCAAACCATTAAAAGCAAATAGGCCTAGTGGACATAAAACATTGTTTTCTTCTCTTTTTTATGGATAAAATTTATTTCAGAGGTGAATTTATGTTGACATTTTTTTGTGAGAAATGATAGAGAAGAGACTTATTTCCATTGATTTATTGTAAGAAACATGTAAAATTTGTATTTCTATTATTCACAGAAAATATACAAAGAGATTATGAGGGTTATATGCTGCCCTTACGCTATGCCTAAACAGTTTGGAATGCAGGAAAATTGTTTGGAGTGTTTTTTATGTGATGACTGGAAATGTTCAAGAGAAAACTAAAATTTGAATCTTTTAAAAATTTTGGAGAGACAAACAAATATTTGTTGTTACTATAATAAATGTTGATAACTACGGTAACTTGTTTGAAAGGGTAGTGTAATGACTATAACGCTCATGTATTTTCCCCACCCTGATAACAACAAGGTTTATGAATTAACTCAATAGGGCGTGGTGTCTTATCTGGCCCAAATAAATGTGTGAATTCCTATTTGAGCTGCTTATTCTCAGCAAGACGCATTTTGGACTGAATTTAAAAGGTGAGCAAATCTGTGGAACTGACATTTCTGAAATTATCAAACATTTAGAGGAATTTTTGATTTAAAAATATTGAAAATAGAGAATTAGTTAAAGGGAATATACATCATTTGCTTTTGCTGTAATTTTCAGAAATGGATGGAATTAGGGGGTTCGAAATATATAGCAAATATAGTTACACTGACTTTTTTGAGGTTTTGGGTTCGAAAATGCTATAAAAACCAAGAAAAACGATCATTTCCCTGTAGTCTGGTTCCCTGACTCCATATAAGAAGAAACAGAGCAGTTTACATACATTGGGGAATTGTAAGGTCAGGGAACCAGTCTAGCTGGCTCGTACCCGTTCATAGGTTTGTAATCGATTGCAAACAAGTGCGATGGTCGATTGGGGCCAGTATTTGAAAAAAAAGCCAGTTGTTTCCAACGCTGATCGGCCGATCAGCGTTGGAAATTGATACAAAAATACCACTTTTCTTGAAAATGACAGTATACCAGGTGCCATGATTTTACAGGATGCTTTACACTGTCATTCACTAACAGTCCAGCAAGGTATTTCAAAGTGATTTGGTAGTTTTATTTTTTGATGTTTGCAAATGTTGTATTATCCCTTTAACAGATTCACCATGTGAATGCAGTGCACATTCATGTAGTGCTGCTATTGACCAGTCAAGGATAAATTGTTGTTTATGAACGATAGACATTGGTGAGTTAGAATTATATTAAGTGGAATATATGTCATGAGAGGCAAATGTCTCAGTTTGCTGAGCTTAAAGGTTATATACATACAACATTTGCATTTGCTGTAATTTTCAGAAATGGATGGATTTGGGGGAAGTATTTTATAGCAAATATTGTTACACTGACATGTTTTAAGTTTTGTGTTAATAGATGCTGGAAAAACCAAGACCAAAAATGCTGTTCTTGTAGTCTGGTTCCATGGCCCAACTTCAGACGAAACTGCAATTTATAAACATCAGGGAATTGCCAGGGCAGGGAACCAGAGTAACTGGTTTGCACCCATTCCCGGATGTGTAACCGATTCCTAACAAAATGTGAACTAACTCAATTTGGTAAATTGGGGGCAGTGTTTGAACCATGTGTTTTATTTCTCCATGTTTGAACAGATCATTTTTTTTTCCAACAATAGTCGGCTGACCGTCGTTGTTTTTTGATGTTTGCAAATGTTGTACATTACCTTAAAAAAAAAAAAGCATTGTCGAGCACAAAATGGGCACCGATACCATGCAGCTTGTCATGTAAGGTACTTTGCATGTTATTCTGAGCTGGTTTTGGCTTTATAAGTTAATCTGCTAAGTATTATTTTCTGGTTATGAAATTGGGCCAGGTTACAAGCCAAAATGTGATGAGTTTTCTTTCTGCTTACCTGCCCCATGAATATATGCACGAATCCTGATCATCTGATGCTTTTAAAGGAGAACCAGCATATTGGATTGTTGCATTGAATTTAAACTCTTGCAGTCATTGTTGAAATTGCCCTCATGATTTTGTTACCAGAAATGTCATTAAGCAATTATCAAAACTAAAGTGGCAAGAATATTTGTCAAGTTATATTAAAGCTCTCTCGTGGTTTGTCCAACAGATATTTGATTGCGCAGTGTCTGATCTTCTTGGAATTTTGTGTGTACATGAATTAGGTGTGAATGTAGCTGCTCACGTTCAGAGTGCTGAATCATAGATAATTCTATGAGCAGCAGAAACTCATTTATCAAAACAAAGTCTTGTTTCTCGTATAATATGCAAATTTAAAGAAACAGTATCCTGATGCCACTTCTTTGGTTGTGTACAAAGTCTATGGAGAGTTGAGAGCATTTTAAAAGTATTTTTAAAATACAATTGGAAATGTTTTCAGTCCCAGATTCATAATTTTCAACATTTTTGCAATGACTGACCATTGAGATAATATAATATATGATGAAAAAATGGCGCCAGGATGCAACATTCTTTCCTAAGAACATTTACTGCAAAATAGCAGTTGGTGTTTTTTCCAGTGACATTAAAACATTTTCAACCCCCCCCCCCCTCCCAAGTGACGTGCACTAAATGTGATACATGTAGTATGTACTGTTATGTTATGTTATGATGATGCTATAGTATATGAAGAAGGCTATGAAAGATCATAATTTGTAAGGTATATTAATAATGGTATTGAAGACCACTGCCGTGAACCATAATTGTGACTGGACTTTGGCTTGATAATACAGGCCATTAGGCTGCTAATGCTTTGAACTACTACACAGACCGCTCAGACTGCACCGTTATCAATATCATTACCACTTCTACAAAACAACTATTGAGATAATGTGTGTGTGCACTGATGTGATAAGATGATGCTTAGCCTTCAATACAAGCCTGAGCTTGCTAGTGTTGTGTTGGTAACGCCACTTTGACGTCCTCATTTTACAAGACTTATTTGCTCAAACACGTTGAACCAAACGTTTAAAAGTCAAGACTTTTCCAAATGTTCTAAAGTTATGTTTGCTCTTAATGATGGCAGGTGGGCTCCCATAAAAACGACTTAAACAAGACTAGTCAATAAAGTGTTGCTCTTTGAACATTGGCCAGTTGGCCTAATTCCTGTAAACACATTCGGTCGCACAATAAAATCCTGGTAAATTTCGGTTGTTTTTTTTTATCCATTCTTAATGTTTTCATTAATTTCCAGTTGTCAAAGTCGACGATTTTGATAATAATTTGTGAGTAATATTCATTGTCTCTCGACTGCAACACTTCACTCGACTGTCCATAGTAGCTACGTTAGTTTCATTGCTCAGCAGTAAGTAATATCCATTGTTTCAATTCAGATCAATTGTATGGGGAGGGGTTCATAAACATGTACATGTATATTTATTATCATGTGGATTTGTTGCAGTTGGGGCGCGTAGATTTAATGATGAATTAGTGCTTTGCATCATCTTTTTGTGACAATTGCTACATTTCTTCTCACATGCCAGACAGTTCTATTCTATCTGACTTCTGTCAGTCCACAAGTAGCTACCGATGTTATTCGTTGTATTTGACTGAATTTAGTTTTAGGATTTGTTTCCTTCATTTTCTCGGGTATTTTTGCTGGTATTTCATTCGAGCAACTGACTTGCAATAAAGGGTCGTCCATGTGTCAAACCTCGGCAACTCACTATGTCAGGGACCACTTATAGCTGTTTGGATTAGAGTTGTGCTGGTAGGCCTAGGAATGGTTTGGTTGAGATTTTCCAAAATGTGATTATCACCGTTTTCGAACTCACATTCATTGGCCATTTCCCCCGAGTCAGGCTGCCTAAAGCTACGTTAGTTCCATCGCTCATGTGTCTTAGCAAGTATCTGGATCATCCTTATTTTTTACGGATAAAGTTGTTTTGTCTTCATCTTTACATACGCATTCATCAGCATATGTTTGATCAAGTTTTCCTGAGCTTGGTAATTTCTTTCACACCGTAGAATGATGATCAGGGCATCCATTTGAAAGGACTGGTAATTTTGAAGTAGAACTTCCTTGCGGATATCGTCATCAGGGTGTGTGAATTGGTGGGTTTACATTTTATTTTGCTACCCTTTTTTTCTGTGTGCACAAATGGTCAATTTTACAATCCAAATTGCACCCTGTTCTCATTCAATTGTCTGCCAGGAATGTCTGGGCCTAATGCTTGCCTGTCCACCCGCTGACCATCCTCTGTTTATTCTCGTCGATTTTGTTATGTTCAAAACTTTAGAATAAAATATGTTGCACCCCCGGTTGGCTCGATAGAGTTACCACGGAGTGTTCATTAAATGTTCCTGCAAATAGATGACACAGAACGTCCAGTGAGTATACGGTTGGCTAACAAAACTTTAATGCAGTGCTCACTCACAGTCATCCAGTATGAGAATGGCTAAGATTTATAAAACTGAAATAAATCTAAGCATGGTATTGAAACAATTCTAAACTTGCAATCAATAACTAAGAAATATTTAGACTCACAGACTTGGCTAGTCTAGGAATTAAGTCTCTACTGCTTAAGTCCCTAATAAAAATGAAACTGAAAACTTGGAAAATAACAGTGTTCTCCCTGTCCACTTTCTCGCAGGAAACAAGATAAAGAAAAACATTAACCTACTAGAATAAAGAAAAACATTAACTTCCTGGCCCGAATATTAGCAAGGCTCTGGACCCAATAAACAAAGTGAGCTCAGTCAGCCATTCACTAATCCTGCCTAGCCTGGCACTTTCCTCTCAGATTTTAAACCAAGGGAGCATCCTACACCTTCTAGATAAACCAGAGACATTATTCCAGGCTAGCCTGATAACAGACAAGCCCCAGGGCCTAGTGCTAATTATGCTTCTAAGATGGTCACACAGGCTCCTTTGTTCTGAGTGAGACCACATGGTCTGAAGTGCTATACCTACAGTGCATAGCTATACAGTACATACAAATACACGTACATTGCAAATGCTAAAAAGTTATGAGTGAAAACCTATAATGACTTTTCCCACAGAGAAAACATAAAGATGGAAAAGTAATCAAACATAAATCTCTGCCTAAATCACATCTATAAAGTCTGAACAATCAGAGACCCAAACAATAAATCACAATATCATCAGGAAAAAGGAGAACATCCTTGAATAAAAACTCTGAACCGGGATCCACCGTCAGTAAAATAAGTGTGCTCGATGCTAAGAAATACACAATCAAAATCCTCATCTCAAAAGGGATTAAATAAACTAAAATGACATCAAGAGGATTTATACATAAAAAGTTGCTGACAACTCAAATAAAATGATACTCCACATACCTGCAAATAGATGACACAGAACGTCCAGTGAGTATACGGTTGGCTAACAAAACTTTAATGCAGTGCTCACTCACAGTCATCCAGTATGAGAATGGCTAAGAATAACCACTGACCAACTCACTGGGGCTCTGTGTCAAGGCTGTTCCTTGAACAGGCTGTTGAAAAATTGGGGGGGGGGGAACTTCCAGAGGGGGCATCTAAATGATAGGGGTAGCATAAGACACCATAATTATCTGGGTGCTACACTCTCCCCTGCAAACTTAAATGTTGTCCCTAACATTTCCAGAAGGTAAAAAAAAACCCAAAAGATGTACAAACAGTAACAGTTATGCAAACCAAAAACAAAAACTAATGTTCATGTCCCCTGTGTGTCCATGGCTGGCTGCTTAGGACTGCTGACCAGTTGGTTGTTGGTACCACTGTTGCCACGGTAGCATCGGCACCTGCTGGTTGGGCCACGACATCATCGGTGTGGACCACTGCATGGGTTGGGGAGCCCACGGCATGGGGAACGGTTGTGGCATCATGGGTACTTGGGGCCAGAGCACTGAGGGATGAGGGCCAGTGAAGAGACCTGCTGCCATCACACCGTTGACACCGCCTGGTGTCTGTAGTGGCTGACCCAGTTGCTCATAGGTCAGGCGCTGAGGGGGCTGCCTCTGTCTTGCAGGATAGGGTCCTGCATCTCCATGCAATCCGGGGTCCACCTCTGCTTCTGGGGCAGGAACCACTGGCTCTTGTCCTGGCACTTCTTCACTGGAGACCCCATGTTCCAGTACGGTTGCAGGATCTGGTACAACTGGATCAGGAACGGCTATTGGTTCAGCTACAGGTTCAGCTACAGGCTCAGGTACAGGTGTTGGGCCGACTACCGCAGGGGCTGGAATGGGCTCGGGCTCAAGTACTGGTGCCGGGCCAACAGCTGCAGGAACTGGAACGGGCTCAGGTTTAGGTACTGGAGCTGGGTTAGCGGCTGCAGGGACTGGAACTGGAACGGGTTCAGGTGCTGGTGCCGGGATAACAGCTGCAGGGACTAGAACTGGAACAGGCTCATCATGTGCAACTGCTGCCGGTTCTGGGGCAGCCGCAACTGGATCATCTGCCACTTCCTCGTTCCCTATGTCACCCATTGGGAGGAAAACCTCAGCGTCGTGGTTCAGACCTGAAGTGTTCACTGCAGGGCAATTGGTGTTTGAGGAAGGAGTGGGCATCTGGAGGATGTATTCAGCTTCACTGTCTGTGTCGCTAGGATCTTGCTGAACACTTGCTTCTGGTGCAGGTCGGGCAAAGGTTGCAGTTGTAGGTCGCGTTTTGATGGAGACAGTTGGAGCTTCTAGTAAGAGGTCATTGCAGGGTAGCAAAAGGTTCCGATGGAGAGTCCTGTTCCTTCCCTGGCCTCTTTCTGGCCGTAGTTCGTACACAGGAGAGTCATCACTAAGCCGTTTCACTACCGTGTGAACTTCACTTTCCCAGTGCGCTCGTAGTTTACCTGGTCCACCAGTCTCCCTGAGGTTTCTCACCAGGACCCTATCACCGGGCTGCAGGACAGTGCTCTGCATTTTCCTGTCATACTGGCGTTTTCCTCGTGCTGCTGACTTGTCTGCATTCCTCCTGGCGGCTTCATATGCTTCTTCCATTTGTCTCCTCCAGCGTTGGCTGTACTCTTGATGATTCTTTGGGGGCTCCTTTGCTTGTGACAAGCCAAATGTCAGATCAATGGGGAGTCGAGGGGGACGTCCGTACAGAAGATAGAACGGAGAGAATCCGGTGGCATCAGAACGAGTGCAATTGTACGCATGCACCACCTTGTTCAGGGACTCCTTCCAGCGGGACTTCTCTCTTTCAGGTAGGGTGCGAAGCATCCCAAGAAGCGTCCTGTTAAAGCGCTCCACCTGACCGTTCCCCTGTGGGTGATAAGGAGTGGTACGAGAGGGGGTGATGCCAGATAGTTGTTGGAGTCGCCGAAACAGTTGGTTCTCAAACTCCCTCCCTTGGTCGTGGTGGAGTTTGTGCGGAAATCCAAATCTCAAGACAAAATCATTGAATATCTTTTCTGCCACCGTCCTACCAGATTTATTGGTCGTTGGATATGCTTGCGCAAACCGCGTAAAATGGTCCATAACAACCAATATATATTCATATCCGCCAACACTCCTCTCCAGATGGAGGAAATCGATGGAGACCATCTCAAATGGGGATGTGGTGACTATGCTGCAGAGAGGGTCTCGGGTTGGCCGGTTTGGTTTCCGCTGTTGCAAACATCTACAAACATTAGACACATAGTGCTCGATGTCCCGTTGCATGTGGGGCCAGAAGAATCTATCACGTGCAAGGTGAATAACACGCTCTGCGCCGAGATGACCCATCTCTTCATGTAACTCTTTGTAGACAGAGCGATGGTACTTCAGGGGGAGGACTAATTGCTTCTTGCCACCCGATCTGCGATGGAGTATCCCCTCAACATCCAACTCTAGCTTGTCCCACTCCCGAAGAAGAGCAACAGTATTGGGCAGTTCTGTCATCCGGTCCTGTCTAGTTGGGCGATGACCGCTTTCAAGAAACTGGATGGCGCGTCCGATGGTATTGTCATCGCGTTGCGCTGCCTTCAGTTCTCTTTTTGAAATGTGGTTGGAGCTCATCACACTGTCATCTGGGTTTGACGTGGAGGCAGACAGGGCATCAATCCAGGGGAAACATCCGGAACTATCGGCTCTGACTGCAGCAATGGTGGCACCCAGATGAGTGGTGCTGACCTCGCTTGTGCACTGGGCTCTGTAGGTCTCAAAGTCAAGGGGCATACGAGAGAGTACATCTGCATCTGTGTTGGACTTCCCTGGGCGGTATTTAATCTTGAAATTGAAGTCAGCCAGTTCAGCGACCCAGCGATGACCAGTCGCATTGAGTTTGGCTGAAGACAAGATGTAAGTCAGGGGGTTATTGTCGGTGTACACTGTGAAGGATGGAGCATAATACAAATAATCCCTGAACTTCTCCGTGATGGCCCATTTCAAAGCAAGGAATTCAAGTTTTCCCGAGTGCAGATTATAGTTCTTTTCAGCTGGGCTCAGTGTACGAGATCCATAACCTATCACCCTCATTTTGCCCTCTTGCTCCTGGTACAGCACCGCTCCCAGACCATTGTTGGAGGCATCAGTGTGCAGGATGAAAGGTTTCTCATGGTCTGGAAAGCCCATCACAGGGGGATGAGTAAGACAGTCTAACAAGTCTTCCAGCACGTGCTGATGCTCACTCTCCCATGATATTGGTTGCTTAGATGGCACCTGGTTCTTGCACTTGCTTGACTTGGAGTTGGGTGGGGGCTTCTTAGGAGGAGCACGGTTGCTGTTTGATGTTGTGTTACCGGCACTGGGACTTCGAAGGAGTTCATATAGACCTTTGGCTCTCTTTGAAAAGTTCTGAATATATTGGCGGTAGTAACCCAGTAGACCAAGAAGTTTTCTAAGCTCGCCAACAGTGCTGGGCTTCTTGTCTCGCAGTGTTTCAACTGCCGCAATGTCCGCTGGGTCCATCTTATGTCCCTCGCTTGAAATAATTCGTCCCAGGTATCGAACCTCGTTTTTCATCAGACTGCACTTGCTGGGTTTTAACTTCACACCCCGATCTTGGAACCGTCTAAGTACCTGGCGCAGATTTTCAAGATGACCCTCGAATGTATTGCTGTAGACCAGAACATCATCAAGGTATACTACGGCCACCTCACCGACCAGCCCGTCAAGGCACGTCTCCATTGCCCGCTGGAACACTGCAGGGGCATTCATCAATCCGAAGGGAATGCGGTTCCACTGGTATAAACCCCATGGGGTGATGAAGGCTGTAGCTTGTCGGCTTTTCTCTGCCATGAAGCCCTGGTGGTAGGCCTTGCCTTGGTCTAGAGTTGAAAACCAGCAGTTACCACCAAGACTGTCAAGTACATCCTGAATGCGGGGGATGGGTTGCCTGTCCGGGATCGTCTTCTGATTTAGCTGCCTGTAATCGATGCAGAGACGGAGGGATCCGTCCTTCTTTCTCACACATACAACGGGGGAGGAGAAGGATGATTCGGACTTCTCTATCCAACCCCGGTCAAGCAAATCTTTCAGGTAAGACTTCACTTCTCTGTAAAGTGGCGGGGGCACGGACATGTATGTTTTCTGCACCGGCTCATCGTCCTTCAACCGAATATGCATTTGAAGATCTTCGATGCAGCCGAGATCACTGTCGTCCTTAGCAAAAGCTGCAGCTTCCTCTTTTAGCATCTGGATGGCTGCTTGACGTTGTGGTTCGGTCAAATGGCTGACATCAACGGGAGGGACCCACGTAGCGTCATCACACTTTGCTGTTGAAATAGAGTTGACACCCTTGACATGTGGGTTGCTTGCCTCGTGAGCCTGGCTGGGTAGGGTGTGAAGAGTGTCAATCAGCTCCAGGGAACCCAAGGGGGTTCTTCTTCTGAGGACCACGTCCCGGCTTGCCAAGTTTGAGACCAAGATAAACACCTTGCAGGATGTTCCTCTTCCTTTCTTAAGCTGAACGATGGCAGGGTCAACATGGAGGTCCTCAGGGAGTATCATGGTAACTGCAGGTTCAAATAAGGCGAAATTACCTTGAGTCAACTGATCTGCTTTAACCTGGCATGGTACTATGGCGGCACCCTGCTTGGGAATCGTGATGCTCTGTCTCCCCACAACAACATCGCCAATATCACCTGAGGTTTCCTGCTGTATGAGGCTCGTCAGAGCCATCACCTCACTCTTTCTCATCGACGGAAAAGCTGCTCGAACTGCTTCTGATGGAAGCGATCTCTCATCTCCGCCTTGGACAACTTCCTCTATGACATTGTACCCTATTATAGGTACTCCTGTGATCCCGTTAGCAACCAAAACTGGAACGCTGATGACACGACTGTGTCCCACGGTCAACTGGAAAGCCAGGTCAAGCCAGCCCTCGAAAGGAATACCTGTGCCATTTGCTGCAGTGAGACTGAGATCGTCTCCACCAAGAAGTTCTGATAGGGGGCGTAACTTCAGACCTGGCAAATGGGTTTCCTTCCAATGTGATGGTATGATGGAGACTTGGGCTCCGGTGTCCCACAAAGCCTGGGTTTTCACGCCTTCTATCATGCAGCTGACCAGACATCTCTTGCCGATAAGGCGTGTTACTGCGGTTTGCTTTGAAGGAGAAACGCAACACATTTGGGACTGAGGGAATTTGACATCACTGGTTACTGCCCGTCCCGTGGCAGCAACCCTTGCTCGTTTCCCGACTGAGAACTCCTAGTGCGGCAACCTCGGGCGAAGTGTTCACTTGAGCCACATTTGAAACAATGGTCGCAAGTATCGCCATTGCCATTCTGCTGGCAGTGTCGACATCCCCTCTTCAGCGGGCGGCCGGATGGTCGTCGTAGCTGGTGGTTTTGGTTGGCTGGTGTAGTCAGTGACTCCTGAAGGCTGTCCAGCTGCTTTCTCATGGTCGCAATTTCCATGATTCCAGCTTTGAGCTCCGCAATGTCGGTCATGAGGGTGCCCTCCTTCGGTTTCCTTTTCACTGCTTCCTGGCTTGACTCATACTGCTGCACTTCATGGACAGAAACTGACTTGGAGTGCAACTTCTCTTGTCGCTCCATCTCATGGCTTGCTGCCGTGTTAACTTTCTCGAAAAGTAGCTCATCTGTGGTACTGGGATCTTGTAGGAGGGAGCGAAGCTCATTCTTCACAGATTCACTTCTAAAACCAGTGAGGAGTGCGTGCAGAAACATGTTCTGGACTAGGGTAGGGTCGTACTTTAGGCCAGAGCCGCTCTCCTGAGAAGCAAAAATAACCTTTTGCTTCAGATCCAGGGCTCGCACCAGAAAACTCTGGGCAGACTCCTTGCTGTCTTGAGCCAGTCTCGACAATCGATGGTATAACTCTGTCGCGTCTTTCTCTTGGTAGTGTGCTCTTAGGATGTGACGAAGTACGGGCAACGTCAGTCCCGCTCTGCCCTCTAGATAGCTGCGTAGTGCTGAACCTGGGACCACTGCACGGATCACGGCTTCTACAATCTCCCGTTCCTTGTGACCTTTGGCACGGCCACTCTCAATTTGATGGGCGAGGCTGGAGAAGGACAGGCGGTCTCGCTGTCCCGGCTCGCCAATCTGTCCCGATATTTTGAATTCCCTGCGGGTCAAGGTCATCAAGCTGGCTGGAGTGGTATCCAGCTTTGGGGTTGTCGATGGCTTCTGCTCAGGTTTCGGGTCCGCAGCTGGTAGATTCTCTGCAACTACGATCTGTTTGAGGAAGTCTCGCAGGTCTGTGTAGAGGGAAAGCCCCTCATCTTCTTTCTCTTCAAGCTCCTCACGCAGTAGGTTGCGGCTCACCTTCCTTCTAAGGGCTTTGGGGCATTCCACCTCCTGGTATCCTGGTAGGTCGAGGTGTTTGCATACCTCCTGTAGCTGTAGTAGTGAGAGTCGACTGACCTGCTCTATTAGGCGCTGGCACACATCCTGAGCTGACTCGGCCATCTTGTAGGGCGAATATGGACGCTACGACGCTCCTCTTGTCCCTCTAATGGTGTTTGTCTGCACCCGTGCTCCAGCTAACCTCGTTTAGTACTGGGTTGTTCTCGTCTCAACTACTGACTACAGCTGCATGGTACGGCTCTGGTTCATGGTCACTGGACAGGCGCTGTCATTCATCTCCACATTGAAGTGGACACAAAAACACCTGTCCCTTCGTGGTCGCCAAATGTTGCACCCCCGGTTGGCTCGATAGAGTTACCACGGAGTGTTCATTAAATGTTCCTGCAAATAGATGACACAGAACGTCCAGTGAGTATACGGTTGGCTAACAAAACTTTAATGCAGTGCTCACTCACAGTCATCCAGTATGAGAATGGCTAAGATTTATAAAACTGAAATAAATCTAAGCATGGTATTGAAACAATTCTAAACTTGCAATCAATAACTAAGAAATATTTAGACTCACAGACTTGGCTAGTCTAGGAATTAAGTCTCTACTGCTTAAGTCCCTAATAAAAATGAAACTGAAAACTTGGAAAATAACAGTGTTCTCCCTGTCCACTTTCTCGCAGGAAACAAGATAAAGAAAAACATTAACCTACTAGAATAAAGAAAAACATTAACTTCCTGGCCCGAATATTAGCAAGGCTCTGGACCCAATAAACAAAGTGAGCTCAGTCAGCCATTCACTAATCCTGCCTAGCCTGGCACTTTCCTCTCAGATTTTAAACCAAGGGAGCATCCTACACCTTCTAGATAAACCAGAGACATTATTCCAGGCTAGCCTGATAACAGACAAGCCCCAGGGCCTAGTGCTAATTATGCTTCTAAGATGGTCACACAGGCTCCTTTGTTCTGAGTGAGACCACATGGTCTGAAGTGCTATACCTACAGTGCATAGCTATACAGTACATACAAATACACGTACATTGCAAATGCTAAAAAGTTATGAGTGAAAACCTATAATGACTTTTCCCACAGAGAAAACATAAAGATGGAAAAGTAATCAAACATAAATCTCTGCCTAAATCACATCTATAAAGTCTGAACAATCAGAGACCCAAACAATAAATCACAATATCATCAGGAAAAAGGAGAACATCCTTGAATAAAAACTCTGAACCGGGATCCACCGTCAGTAAAATAAGTGTGCTCGATGCTAAGAAATACACAATCAAAATCCTCATCTCAAAAGGGATTAAATAAACTAAAATGACATCAAGAGGATTTATACATAAAAAGTTGCTGACAACTCAAATAAAATGATACTCCACATACCTGCAAATAGATGACACAGAACGTCCAGTGAGTATACGGTTGGCTAACAAAACTTTAATGCAGTGCTCACTCACAGTCATCCAGTATGAGAATGGCTAAGAATAACCACTGACCAACTCACTGGGGCTCTGTGTCAAGGCTGTTCCTTGAACAGGCTGTTGAAAAATTGGGGGGGGGGGAACTTCCAGAGGGGGCATCTAAATGATAGGGGTAGCATAAGACACCATAATTATCTGGGTGCTACAAATAGTTTGCAAGTTGGATATTCCATTACCTTTTTCCATATCAGGTAGTGGTGATGGACGTCAAGCTTACATCCAGTACACCTTCTGATTACGGGACCAATCCACGTGATGAGGATGACCCGCCACCAGACTACGATGCCGAGGCATCGAAAGGTAAACAATAATGGTCGCTGAAACATAACTGGGTAATAAAGCTGGACCCTGAGTGCACAAAACTTTGTGCAATCGATTCAGAATGGCCATTCCTTGGAATCCTTTTGCATTTGGGTTACATTGGCCGGATTTAGCCCATTCATTTGGGGGTAATCCTATACGATAGTACTGCCCGGAACATAGGTGACACTCAATGAGTCAGTCAGTCAGGTATATAACCAGCAATATCTAGCTAGTGACACCAATGGGCAGTTTGGCCGTTCAAATTATCATAAAGATGTCTGTTGTTAAAAATCTTTTGTTGACACAACACATGCAGTTGCAGCAAGTTGGCAGAACTGACAAAACATGAACAGTGGACGTGACGAGCCGAACACCTAGCTCCAATCCTGAACTGTACACGTCCTAATAAAACGTCGATGCTGAGATCAAGACAGGAAGCGGTCGTGCCCACGGGCATGGTTTCAAACTCAGCTGTTCAAACAATTTAATTTATTATTTTGTCAGAATAAATTATTTCTTATCAATCTTCTTTGCCATCATTTGATGTGTATAGGTGACCCACCTTCCTACCTGTCAATAATTGATAAGATCGAAGAAGCTAAGTCTACGTCATCAACGCAAACGGACTTCGTAACCACGACTGTTAAAATCATACTCAACACAGGTAGATAAAACAACATCGAAGATCAAAACTGGCTATCCTCGTTTACTCTACTTTCTTAATTTTGTTGAACAATTCGTAAATCAATTTATGCATGACCCGAACGAAAACCAGTTTTAAGCTGTTTTGGCATAACCTGCAGGGTAAAGAAATGTGATAAACATTGTACCCTATAATGTTTGGGTTTTTTTAAATTTTTATTTCTTGTTAACTATCCTTTTGCTTTTACTTTTTAGTTATGGCTACTATTTGTCTGGCATTGTCGATGGCTGTTCCAATAGCGATGATCGTAATGGGTAAGGCGTTCAGACTTTATCTATCCGTAACGTAAATGAACTTATCCGGCTCATTTTGTAGACCAGAAGGGTCAAAAAGACTTCCAGTGAAAACAAAATAATTCCATCTCTTGTTAATTTGCAGTGTCTTGAACTGATTGTTGTTTTTGTAATCTTCGTTTAGGTGCTGTTTACATGAACGACTGTCCTGCAGAGCGAATGATCCCAATATACCTAACGGTGTTTGGGGCCGTCTACAATTTCAAGGCATCTATAGATCTTTGTAATAGAGCTATCAAGAGGAAACACAAACGCAGGAAACTGTTTGGATCTGATCCCCAAGATGAGATCAAGATTGTGATTGGTTTGAATTGGTTCAGCAGACTCATTGGAATATTGCTCTTCGGATTTTTCATCGCAGGTATGTGTGTTTTTTTCCTGTATACATTTATAGGCCTAGTTACATAAATGTCCTCGCTGAAAATAAGCTGTATAGGCCTATATAAAAATTCATGTTTATATAAACAGTTGAAGATAATAGAGCAAAAGATGTGGGATTGTCGAGGACCTGCAATCATGGATAGGCCTTCCCCACCGGCCCTCCCACAAAATAAATAAACCCCATTGTTCAAAGAGCAAAGTTATCACACCCCTCTTCTTCTGCTAATGTACGCCTATAGGCTAACTCCATAAAGATGCTAAGCAGGAGAACCGAGGTTCTCCTTGCTTAGCATTGCATGAATGGAGGACATTTTCAAGTTTCAATCCTCTCAACAAAAGACTGGACTAAGGCCCTCGATGGGCTTCAGTGTCAATTTGAAATTCCTCCATACTGCTTAGCAAATGTGTACACTAAGCAAAAATTAACTGGAAACCAGTCACAAGCAACACACCGTGACACTGCGTGGCATTTTGGCTGGTAGCCTGATTTTGGTTACCAAATGTAATATGTGCTAAGCAAAACTGACCTCTGGTCTTGATTGTTTCAGGTAATGTGTGGGTCTATCGTATCTACGCACCCAGTAACAACCCCACGAGTCCAAACTACTGCTACGGTCCACTTTACTATTTCGCTTTTTGGGTGATCACCGTGGTGTATATTTTGCTGGGTTTGTGTTGTTGTGGTGTGACAACGATCTTCTGCATAGGCTTTGCATTTTGCTTCAAGATTTTGAGGAAGGTCAAAAAGTTTGTGGAAGCGCTTCGGTCTGTGCGTGATGCGGCAGCATCCGCCCGAGAAAATGATGCTGCTGAGGAGGAGGAGGAGGAGGAGGACGAAGAATAAACAATCCTGCCAAGATTTCCTCTTTTCTTCAAAAACTGTAGACACCTGTAGTTGCACTTGCAAAGGAGTCTATGTAATTAGTGAGGTCTATCTGGTACACAAATAGTTGTGTCTTTTTTTCACTGTATCCACATAGCACTTTTCATAAAGAAAATGCGATACTATAAGAATCGGGTGTTGGTTATTGTCTTAGTCTGGTTGCTGTCTTTACTCTTGGCTAATTAACATTCATTGCAAGACAATTGTTTGGAATATAATATGTACTCATAACCGAGAGTACAAGTATTCAAGGCTCTTATCTGTGAATTTAATGAGGTTTCCTTTTAATTTTTAACAGTCATATTAATGACTCTATACATGTAATACCTTGCTTACAAAGTTAGTACAACAGAGTATTAAACATATTTTTATGTCCAGTATAATTAAACGCCATTTACGCAAAAACTGATAATAATCAGCAAAATAGGCGGGAGGGGCACTTGTTTTTTCCCCGTTCCCCGCCGATGACTATGTTGTGCCACTCCTTACACGCACTGATTGGAAGAGACGAGGAAGAAATGACACATCTCAATGAAAAGGGAAAAAAGTGTGAAAAGTGAGCGCAAATGATGACTAACTGAAATTTTCCATCAGGTATTTACAGTATAATGGAAACATTGATGCGTAAACTGTATATAGCGGTGTTATAACTAACACACCGTACCAATATCAGCACGTCTGGGTCTTTTCATGCAAGGAAGCCATCTAGTTTGAGTATTTTGCATATGAATTAAACTTTGCCCTTGCTCCAAGCTAGGGTGGCTTATAGATTTATAAGCAAACGTTTGTCACTGGTTCGTACGTGAAGATTAGGCCGTTACTTAAGGCTGTAGCCTTTATTATGTAAAAATATAAACGTGAGGGTGACGTCTAATGGGGGATAGGGAATTCTCAGAATAAATACCCCCTTTTGTTGCTTATGTTTTTCTTGCTATTAAAGGTGCTTCACAACTTTCTCTCAGCTTACACTAAGGAAAAGTAAGTGCCTCCTAACAATACGATGTTGACTCCGATGAATGATTTGCACGTGGCTACGCACACAACTATTACGTAATAATGTTTACTTATCTCAGTGACGATGCAGTAAATACTGATTGTAACCACGACACAACGTAAAAACGCAGTGTGCGGTGCTCTTGGCGCATTAGGGCGTGGTACTTACATCCGGCCGGCTGCTGCTAAGAGACGTACGAATTTGAGGAGATCGGCAGACAATCTAAACTTCATCATGTCCAACTCAAACCCTTCATTTCACGCCGGGGATGGAGACAAGGTAAGAATGGCATTTACAACAAGAAAATTACGACACAAATATTAAGGTTCAGTTTTTTCATGCAGAAGAGCAATCTGACCAATACCGTGACCATGATGATGTAACATTGCGATGGATTGGATGCCTAATCCATCCTTGAATTATAATTTTGCGCTGAACGAAGGAAATAGAAATCACCACGTTTTCCTTTTATTTCCATTTTTATTTCGGTTTTTAGGAGATGCTAGTTTAAATTTAAAATACAAATTGAGAAATCGTAAGAGGTCCGAGGAAAAAATCCAATCAATTGAAGAAAACGGACACGACGAAATAAAATGTATAAGTCGTAAAGAAAAAATGCAAAATCGGCCAAATTTTGCTCTTTTACAACATCCATGACAATCGTTTACTAAATAAGTAAAAACCTTGGTGATTTTTTTTAAGGTCGAGATTTTAGGGGACGATTTATTTATTCATTTGGGGGGGGGGGGGGCGGGGGGCTACCCATAGAACAGAATCACTGTGTGTGAAGCATAAAACGAACTCAGCAACATGTGCCTTTTGTTTTGCAGGGAGTTAATCTGGATGGAAAAGATGGCCCGCCGCCCTCCTATGATGCAGAGGCCGGCAAAGGTATGAACAAATATTGGTATCCTAGCAACCAGCAAATATATACACAATCATCACCTGTCACATTATACATGAATGATCAATTGCTAAACTTTTCGGTTTATTATAATCTGAGATTTTGAAAAATGTGCTCCTTGACAGGTCCATGCACTAGGCCAGATTTGATCTGGAATTCGGGAACTAGTTTTGTTTTTAATACTTTTCAGAGTCAAAATCACACTTTATTTTGTTAAAATGACACTTTTTGTCGAGATTCAAGTCCAGGTCAAAATGACCCAGAGTATGATCCAGATAAGTGCCACTGTGACCCAGAAATTCGTCATATTGAACTCGAACCTATTATAACCAATATAAAGGCCGCGTTCAGTTTCAAACCCCCATGACCATGGTGTTTTATATTGTGCCATCGAATTATGCCATCAATTTAATTTTGTAATTTTGTTTGAGTTAAAATATGTTAATTTAGTTTTCTTTGGTTGGCGTGCTTTAGGTGCTCCTCCTACTTATAAATCTATCATGGATCAGATTAAGGAAGCGCAGTCTACGTCATCCAATCCTGCGCTCTTCGCTGGCAAGTCAACCAATATCGTATGCAAATCAGGTAATCTGAAATTTTAACACAATTTTCAAGTGGTTTTTTTTTTTGGAAATGTCAATATGCCAATATGTTGAAATTATTTTTTGTGTGAACATGTTCAATATAGGGCTTTTTGAGATAGGATGCAGGATACACGAGGGCGCTGTTTGTCGAGTGAAAACTCTCAATTAAATTTTCCCACTCGTATAATATCACGTCCCCACCCCAAAAAAATGCCTAGTGATGCTCTGGTTTGAATATTGTGTTCTATATATTGTTAGTTTTACTTATCTCCACATGTTGATTTCAATCGCACTTTGTGATGTGACACTTGAATGTTTTTTTTCTCTGTATAGCTGCTGTTACGATCTCCATGCTGGTGTCGCTTGCTCTACCGATAGCGATGATCGTGATGGGTAAGAATACTTCTTTAAAATGTCTGTTTTTAAGACTAAGAAATAAAAGTCGCATTCCTAAAGAATCGGATCTGTCAATGCAAGTTACAGTAATGTTTCCTTGTAAGCTTTGAACTCGAGTTTAAAACAAGATAAACACGAAGGACTTAATCTTTGTTACTTTGTGCTTTGAAAGAACAGACGGAGTGCTCTAAACTGAAAACGAGGCCAATCGGGAAGAAATTTAAGGAATTTATGGGGGCAATGACAGGAAAGGCTGGCACTGTCTGTAACGAACGTGCAAACGTTATCCTCCATTAATTTTGTTGGCATGAAGCACACTATGGTATTACCATGCAGAGGGGCTTGGCGTAGCTCACTACGGCTGACAAGTCACTGTGCATGACAAAAAGTGAAGACCAACTTTCATATTCTTGCTTGATTCGCAGAAGCCATGCACTTCTGATCATTGTTAACTTCTCTAATTAATTGTTTTGATGTTACAGCTTCAGTCTACGGCAGTGCCTGCCCTGCCGAACGCATGATCCCCATCTACTTGAATGTTGCTGGATCCGTCTCTATTTCCAAATTATTATGTGATCTTATCGGAAGGGCTTCCCGCCAACACTATGTCGGCCGTGGTGACTGTACGGAGGAAGAATATGACAAACAAAAGTGCACTATATTCTGGAATTGGTACAGCCGAATCCTGGGGCTATTTCTCTTCGCGTGGTTCATCGCAGGTAAGCCTATATATTTCTTCTATCAAATAATTTGTCAAGGAGCGCGGATCCGGGGGGAACCACCCCAGCTCTGTCAATTTGTTTTTGTTTCTTTTTCATCGAAATTCCATAAAAATAAAAATAATGCGAACCCCTCCCCCGCCCCCGCCCCCTGCTCTGACACCCCCCCCCCCAAAAATATACTGGCAATAACGTCCGCCTGTGCACAAAATACGGACAGAGCCAGCTTGGTTGGGGTATTTAATCGTCGGATTTGAACCCCGCGAAAATTCCTGGACTGCCCCTTTTTGTTGTACTTTTTTTGCATAGTTTATGCACGGGGGGTCAGAGAGAGAGAGAGACTCGGTTTAATAATTATTATGACATCAAAATCGTGAAGAGAGATCCAACCTGTGTAGTTACAACGGGCCCGCCACCGCATCCCGTTACAATAAAATTCACTCTCCTCGAATTGAATTATTGTTGTAGTTTTGGTTTTCTCCTGAACAGGTAATGTGTGGGTCTACCGTCTCTACGCACCCAGTAATGATCCTCTGAGCTCCAACTACTGCGCCGCACCGCTGTACTATTTTGCTTTCTGGCAGATTACTGCTACCTACATCTTCATAGCAGTGTGTTTGTGTTGCGTGTCCACCTGCTGCTTGATTGCTTGTTGCGCTTGCTGTAAAATGGGAGCTAACATGGCCGAGGCCAAACAAGATGGCGGATATGGATCCGCAGGTCCTTAAGAATGATCAGTCGTGTAGCGACTTGAAGACGGGTTGGTCTAGTATGGAGGCATCCGGTGAATGAAGTACATATGAATAAATGAACAATTTGAAATGTATTTCAAAAATGATACATATCCCACATTCCCCTAGCGGATCCCCCCCCCCCAAAAGAAATCCTTAATTTTTCAGGAAAAAATTGTTTTCCAAATGTTAAATAAATAACGAAAAATACTCCAGCCCCCTCCCCCCCCCAAATAACCTTTTAGTTCTGTATGGATCCGCCCTTGTTTTCCCGTATACCTTTTCCCCGTCCCACTCCCAGGAAAAAAACACATTTTTTTGTATGCTAGTCTAGCCTCATGACATCGATTATTTGTAACTCTGTTATCTTTGAGAGTCATCGTATTTATGATCACTTCCATTGGAGAGGCCGGAGCCGAAGGATAATCATTTCAGTGTTTTATACCCGATGTCTCTTAAAACCTAGGCCAAAATGTATTAGAAAAGCTTTTCGTTACCCATTTTAGGCGAAACTTTCAATTATTTAATTTACATCTAACTAACATTCTTTAAATAAGTTCATCTGGATTGTTGGTAAAACAAGAGTTTAGAGATTCGTTTTTTTTCCACGCCCACAACGCCCTCTATGACGACCAAGAAAGGGTATAAAAGGCAGTAGGACGAAGCTCCTAGTTTAGGAGTGAAACGTAACTACTACAAATCGTGAGTAACATCTTCACGTTTTGGCATTGGAAAAAACGAATCTCCTGAATCTTGTAATTAACTTTTTTTTATGTACACGAACGCTTCTCTTTAATTTATGTCGTAGTTAAGATTTAACCTTTTAATAGCCTTACATGCTTATAATATTATCTGCTTTTTATCAAGGAAACCAATTGTGCATGGTGTCCTCAAGTTGAGGTATAGATATAGTGGCCATTAGTTAATAGTGTTAACAATTTTTGTACATTGTAGTTCAAATAGTGCTTTGCTGTTTTGATAATGTTGCATGTGGTATTATATGTGTGGTAGGGTAGACCTTGCAAATGAGAAATGCATTATATCCATATTCAAACTCAATGTGTGGCAATCTTTTAAAAATAAAACTATGAAGTACTAAGCGCAAGCTTTGCAGTCTATGGTGTTCAAAGCAAGAAGTGCACTGAGTGTAAAGTTTCAACACAGTGTAAAGCGAGTGGTCACGGTGTTCCGTTTACTCCGCCTTCGATCTTATAGTCTCAGTCAAGATGTTTAGCTTTCCCATAAGCAAGCTACTATGTGTACTGCATGGTTTTAGTGGCAAATGGGGGAAATATTAAAAAGAGGGAAATAAGGCCAAATTAAAAAATAACACACATGTTAGGGCCTAAAAAGCGTCCACGCCCGCTTCCTTTTTGGAGGCTGCCGCCTTTTTTTAAATTGAAAAAAAAAATGCCCATGAAACCTGGTATGTCATTTCCTGAGTCCAGACCTGTGTGGCAGCACAAACAAAAGCTGGCGGCCATCTTGAAAAATAGCCCGGCTGGTCGTTCAAGTTTGGAAAATGGGTCGGGCCGCACTCGGGCGGCCATTTCGGGGGGAAACGGGACCTCCTTCCCTTTTTTTGTCAAAAAGCAGGGACGCTAAACATGTTTATTTGGCCTTGTACAGTTCTTATCAGAAAATAAATAAGACTCCTCGAGGTTTATGGAAGTTTTGGATTAGACTTTATAATCGGAAACAGCGAGTCACTGTTACAAACAATTCGGAGCTGAGAAGTTAATTGTGTCCTTTTACCTTATCTACAGGGGAAAAAATTGTCGATCGTTCATAGAGTAATTTACAATGCGCTTCTTTCACGACCCCGCCACTCGCGGTCCACGCCCCCCCCCCCCCCGACCCCAGATACTCGCCATACACTTCGGCCGAGATTGAATACAGGCCAATACGCGGGGAGGGGAGGGGGGGGGGGGGGGGGCTCGCTCGAATCCCCTATAGGTGCCGCCGATAAATTCCACTTTTGATAACCCACATGGTAGGGGAACAGTGGTAGGAAACCTTACTTAGATTTCACTTTAATAGGAACATCCATTCGGACCCCCGCCGAATGGCGCTTCGCGCTCGCTCCGTCTCGCGCACTACCACTTTTGATGGCCGCCCGCCCCCCCCCCCCCCCAAATGGGATCACAAAACTGAGGACCGTTACTCAACCCCCAGATAAGAGAGTAAACCTATCACTCGCGTTCCATTCCGGCATTGGCCTCGCCAGGATTTTTTTCTAGAGGGGGCAAAGCACATCCCCCCAAAGAAATCCCTGTAAGTTTTTATTTTTTATTTTTTTATTTATTGTAATTTTTAATGAGGGTAGTCAAGTTCCAGCATTAATAGGCCTATTCTCGATTTATCATCAATTTCGAGGGTGGTCAGGGACATCTTCCTACCCCCTCCCAAACCCAATAAATTAACTGCAATATGAATTCGCGCCTCTCTTTGCGTTTTTTTGTCTTCATTTTTTTTGCCTTTCCAGAGGGGAAAAGCGCCCCCCTCCCCTCGCGCGCAACGCACATGAATCCCGGATAGTTCGATCCGTGTCTGAACTTTTCGAGGAAGTGCCGCGGCTGTACTCTGTAGTCGCAAATTTCAGATCATGACGTTTTGTTTAGTCGTCTGGTACCTGTACAGCTAGCTCAACGCACACCGTACCTGCGTACTAAAGATCCCGGGTCAAAACTACTTGTGTCACCACCATGGCGGCCGACGAAGGACCTATCATCATGACGGACAAGGTAAGAAAAAATGTTGGATCTTTGCCACAAGAACAAATGAGAAAGCTACCGAGGACATGAGAAAGGAAGGAAAACGTGTGTGGTAGCATGGTGGTAGTATCAGCAACATTGCACAGGCAGTCCTTGTCAATAGGGTCAAATATTCAGACACTGTAAAAATGTCACCTGCTTTCGAAATTTGAGTTTCGTTTCTCATTTAAAGTCATATGCAGTACAGTCACATTCAGGGTGACCGTAAGGTCACAGCCAAATTCTGCTAAATGCACATCAAAAATCTGTCAGATTTATCAAAAAATCTGCCCAAATCCCCAGAATTACTCGAAATATACTATAAAAACTTAACATCCATGACATCACATGCAGATTGGTAGTATTGCCTTAATTAAGATTCAAATTACATAATATTAATATTAATGTTGTGCCCATTCTTGAAAATCACGCATTCTCGAGAATGGGCATGCACATTCTTGAGAATGTGCAACTGGATCCTTGCTCAATCTTGGCAAAAAATAACTCTTCCAGATTGAGCGCACATTCTTGAGAATGCGCGACAAGATAACGGTCTTGTCGATGCCGAGCACCGGCTGCGCTTGGCAAGTCTAGCTGAATCCTCGTTAACTGATTCTCGATAATTATACTGTTGCAACGCAAGGCGCGGCGCTGAAAAGTAGAGTGGATATGATAAGTAAAGGCATATTGATATGGGGGGGGGGGGGGGACCGGGAAAAATAAGAGACATAATAATACTAGTGCAAAGAATTCTGATTTTTGGGATAATAAAAGCGGGGGGGGGGGGGGGGGGGGGGGGGGGACGTAAGAATGAAGAATGTGAAGAATGAGAATGAATACTGCGACATCCCATAGTGCTAATGCTATTTCCCATTTAAATTGCCACCAATTTATTGTTCACACCCCACCATAACGTCGCAGAGCTGGATTCTATCTAGTCAAAAGAGCAATTTTGGCAGCTTCTGGACATCGTTTTTTTTTCGTGGCACGCATATGATACATGCAGGGACTTGTAACTTGTCTAGCCTAAACAAAGCACTTCCCAGACTAGTTCCCAGTCCTCCGTTATTACAAAACTTCCCATAGTGGGCAGAAAAAAGCAATAATAACAGGTTTAATTTGATTCAAATTATCGTAGTTATACGAGTACAGAAGCATAGAACATTTTCTTTCCTCTTTATATGAATTGTTTCCCTTTTATTTAATTAACATGATTATGTCGTGCAATGTTTGTTAAGATTGGGCAAAATTCATAAATTGTGCACGTGATATTCCCACCCAATCTTAAGAATGAGCGCTCATTCTTAAGAACGCGTGCTCGTTCTTAAGAATGGGCGCTCATTCTTAAGAATGCGCGCCCATTCTCGAGAATGCGTGATTTTCAAGAATGGGCACAACATTAATAAACAATTTAGTCTGTTGTGAAATTATCGGTAAATATTGGGCAAAATGCGGATCCGGCCATGACAAAGTCCGTTTTCCAGTGAACCTCAGCACCAAGACCAGCCAACCTGTCCCATTATGCAAGGGTTTGTTTGAAAGGATTGAAGCTTTTTTAATTTTAACAAATGTAGGCCTACAATTACAAATCAATACACTTTTTTGTTCAAATTTGCTGTTATCCTGTCAAATAACCATTTTTTGCAGATTCTGCCAGAAATTTCCAAAAAAATCCATTCTGTCAAATTTTCTGTCAAACTCATTTTTTTAACAAAAATTCTGTCTAAGTTAGCCGAAAATCGGCTAAAACGGTCACCCTGGTCACATTATGACATGACATAAATGGGCGGGTTGGTGGGACACTTTGTCCAGCTAGGTTAAAAAGGGGCGTTTGTGAAAATAATTGTATTTGTATCAAATAACTAATATGCCTACATGCAGATGCAACATTGTACTAGTATTTAGACACCGACCACTTTGTCAGTTTGTGAGTTTGCCGGAAAACCCGGCCGCCCATTTTGTTGGATCTGGGAATTCCCGTTTCTATTATCATGATTTGATTATTTATTTAGCCTATTTAAGTTGGGTTTTTTACATGTTTCCTATTTAAGCTAATTGTATTCAAAGTCTATGTGAGGCAAAAATATTTTAATAATTATCAGCCCTAGATTTAATGTTTGTTTTGGGTCTTTTTATCAAATTTTGTGTAGTATCGGACACCTCTATTTTTACTTCAATAGCGAAGGAGTGTCAATTCCAAAATTACTTTTGCAGCCTCCAGCAGTCTTTGTTATTTAGATAATTAAACTCTTTAAGGTTCTAAAAATTTGATGAATACTTTGGATGAAAATGTGACTTTTTACCTGTTTTTTGCAGTAGTGACGTGCGGGTCACTGAAGTTCAGAGACCATTTCCTGTCTGCGGAAGTTTTACCCCCATAATTTCCCACATAAAACAGAACCCTGCATTCTTTCTACAAAATTAAGCCTGCTTATATTGAACATGGTATCTTAGCAAACTGTTCAGGTGAGTCCAAACAAATAAGCGACTTTTCGTGCTTTTATCATCGCCAAAATATTAAGTGAAGTCCCGAAACACAGGACTGTCTTTTTGTTCTCTTATATGGAACAGGGTCCTAAACTGCATGATTACCCCAAATTTAATTATTCTCCTAATTCCCCAATTTAATTTTGGGACTTCCTACAGACCCTTGGAGATGTGGATCCAGAACTTGGTCTTACAAATAGTGTACCTCCTCCCCCTGACTATGGCACGAGTGTGAATCCTGCTGATCCTTCCATTGAAGCTCCACCCCCAGCTTACGATGAAATTGCGCAAGGTATGTGTTAAAAGTTATGTCTCATGTACTGTATTCCCATGTTTGAGCATAATTTTAAAGCTAGCTTAACCAAGAATAGAATTCTAGAAGTGCTTGATTCTAGATTGACAAGTCAGGGTTTCCTTTGGAGAGTATTGTGAGTTCATTGCATCTGAATGTCAGAAAAAAAAAGAGATACAGGGAGGGGTAATTTTCATGTGCATTTGTAACAGATGAAATTTAGTCATCTCGGTTTCAAAGGGAAACTCAACGTTGCGGACAGTATACTCTGCCCATCGTCAGGGAAGGGGTTCCAACAGAGAAGGGGTGTCATGTAGTGTGACTGGAAGCAATGAAGGGCGTGATGAAGGACCCAGTATCTCCTGCTCTGGTTCCACAGTTGCATCAATCACGCGCTGCACTGCTGGAGTCCCTTCAGTCTCCTGACGACAAGCAGAGAGTACTGTCCCAAACGTTGAGTTTCCTCCGTTTCTTTTCAGACCTCACAAACTAGTCACAAAAGAGATGTGTCACATGGTACTACTGTTAACTTTTACCTTATTAAAGGGAAAATACAACATTTGCAAACAACGAAAAATAAAACTACCAAGTTGTTACGAAATACCTTACTAGGATGTTGGTAAATGACATGCTAAAGCATCCTGTAAAATTATGGCACCTGGTGTGAAGCCATTTTCAAGAAAATGGTATATTGTATACATTTCCAACGCTGATCGGCCGACCACCGTTGGAAAAACCTAACTATTTTTCAATTACTGCTCCAAATTTACCATTTTTTTTAGTCTAAATTTTGTTTTGCTAGCTGTTGGTTCCATGTTCATGAACGGGTGCAGGCCAGCTAGACTGGTTCCCTTACCTTACAATTTTCCAGTATTTTTGATCCATTTCATCTTTAGTGGAGTCAGGGAACCAGACTACTTGAATATTTTTGTTTTTCTTGATTTTTCCAGCATTTTCGAACACAAAACGTCAAACATGTCAGTGCAACAATATTTGATCTATTATACTAACCCCCAAAAAGTTCATTTCTGAAAATTACAGCAAAAGCCAATGATGTACATTCCCTTTAAGTTATATATCAACTTGAACCCAGTCTTAGCCTACCTACACATTCAAAAAGCTGCCAAAAGTTTTGGTAGTGCTTACTACCTTCACTAAGTATCTGACAAAACTCTTTCAGATATTTAACACAGTATTAGGCTGTGTTCCTGATGAATGTTGCTTTGTAATGATTTCTTAATTGTGTTCTTGACAGATGCCCCACCTTCTTACCAGGCCATTTTTGGCAAGATGCAAGATGCCAAGAATACATCCTCCACTCCGGTGCACTTTCTAGTCAAAGTCATCAGCATCTTACTCAACACAAGTATGTATTAGCGGTTTTAGATTTTTAGATACAATACCATCCCAGAAACGAAGGAGATGTGAAAAAACCGTAAATGTATGTCTCATATTGCTGTGTCCTTTTGTTGTGTTTCTTGAACTTCGATTTGACCTACAAAGTTGAACAGATTGTAATGTATGGTAGGAGGAAAAATGTCTTGTAATTATTGTGTTCTGAATTCTTGTTCTGTTTTACAGTTGTTGTCACGGTTGTCCTGGGTGTAATGCTGGCTGTTCCTATCGCTATGATTGTAGTTGGTAAGAGTTTACAACACAAGTCTTTTTTTGGTTTTCAAAATTGGTTGGTATTCCAATTAATTCAGATCTTTAACCCTGGTTTTTGTAAAGTAAAATTTTAGACAAAATTCCAAACATTTTTGGATGAATTGAATGATGAACTGATAAATCTAATTAACAAATAAAGTGAATGTATCGGAGCCCAAAAGTGCAACATATCAAAGATAAACAAATAATTGTAATTTCTAACAAATATTTTTGAAGACGATGGCACTTTGCATTAATAGTCAAATTAGATGTGCGTATGCCACTTTATAAGTTTTGAAATATTTTGTTTTACCCGCAGGTGCCATATACATAAATGATTGTCCCGTTGAGCCTAAGATCCCCATCTATTTGGTAGTGACTGGATCCTTCTACATCCTGAAATCAGCCATTGATCTGATCGTCAGGTGCAAGAGGAGACAAGACCAAGACACTGAAGGCAATAATGAGGAAGAACCGGAGAACAGAAAAGAAAACACTTTCAGTCGTCTCATAGGATGCTTCCTCTTTGCATTCTTTATTGCTGGTAGGTTTTCCTGTTTTCCTTTGAAATCTTTGCCAAACTTCACTGTTTGGTTTAGTAAAGAGATTAAATGAAACAGGAGTTACATCTGTACTACCCATAATACTGCTCTAACAAGTCAGTTTTGAAGAGAAATAAAGGCATTTATTATTGGGTTTTGAAAATTGCACGTGACTATCCTGGCAAATTAAAGAAGACTTTACTTAACCCTAACCGTCCTGAATCCTCCAAAATCCTTTTGCAAATTGGAGGAATTTGCAGGATTGAGGTTACATGGCAAAAGTGGGTTGCTGATTTTGAAGTTCGCACTATGTCAAGGTCTTGGGCTGGACCTTGTGTTGTTTATGCTCAGCCGTGCATAAATTTAGCCCTTGATTATACTTGACATCCTCCGCACAGCTCCAGGATGTCACTGCCTCTGCCTCAGCCTATTGACGGTCATAGCCGGAGGATTTTGCAGGATTCAGGCAGTGGTCACCCCTCCATGGACCATATTCAAGAAATAGAGGAGGAATTTGCAGGATTGAGGCTATATGCTATTTTTCCACGAGGCCAATTGGAGGATTTTGCAGGATTGAGGCTACATCCTAGCAAAAAGGCCTAGGGAGTTAGGGTTAAAGAGCACATATTTGGTGGGATTATATTTGGTTTGTTTGATTTTATAATTGTTATTTTCCGTTTGATTGCTAGGTAACGTGTGGGTGTACAGAAACTATCCACCGAGTGACAACATCCTCGACGCTAATTACTGCTTTGGTCCGTTGTACTACTTTGCCTTTTGGATCATAACAAGTTGCTACATCCTGGTTGCATTAGCATGCTGCTGTGTCTGCTGTGCTGCAGGTGCAACTGCTGCTGTTAGTGAGTGAAAAACTGAAGCAAGTTTGGAGAAATCACTCTTCAAACTGTTGTTTCCGATCTGATAAAGCTGCTAAGCAGACAAAGATGCTTACTGGTTACCAACTGATTATCTATCAACATGTCATGGGATATCATAGAGTTATATTTAAAATCTAGAGAGCGCTTTCCCTGTACGCGCATGTGCCGACATGGACGCGTAACTGCCATATTTTAGGTGGAACAATGGAAGACATTTGAATAGTTTTCTAATAAAGCGCATGCGTGCGTACGTATGACGTACGTACACCTTGCATTCAGAGACTGAGTGCACTTGCGCAGTTTGTTTACTTTGACTGAGCTGATGACGTTTCCAAGCCGTTGCTAAGCCAGGCAGGGCTTATGACCAATCCTGATTGGTCCACCTAAGGTATGGTGGCAGCAGGTTCATGTCGGCATGTCCGCGTGTGTGCGTTGTGTACGGAGTGCGCTCTCTAGTTTTTGAAATATAACTCTTATGTGGGATTTATATCAGTCAGTTGTGACAGGCACCCTACTCAATTTTATGTAGCAGAATAAGTTACTATGTATGATTTTCTGTTAAGTAGCTCCAATATCTAGGTTGACGTCTGACTTTCAAATTAAATTTTCTTCAATTGTTTTATGTTTTTATATGAAGGGTATGAATCGGGAGATTGGTTTTCACTCAGATACATGACATTTATTGTCATCAATGGCAGACTACTTATGGAAAGTAGATTGGCTATCACCGTTACCTATTTGTCCACGGGATCTGTTTAAGGCTAAATAACACTAGTAGTTTGTTCTTTTTCACAGTGTGCATAGTACCCAATAATGTACAGGTTAACAGATGGGAAGCAAGTTCAGTTAAATTTTCATTAGTGCAATGTCGCCTTGAATTATGTGATTCAGCTTTCATATTATTGTTAAGTGGTCTTCAGTCTTTAAAAGAAAAAAAGAAGAAGAGTTTTTGGAGCAAATTATGTTTAAAGCTTGCCTGCTAATGTCTCATAAACACCCTTATTCACTTCACCAGATTTGCTCTTTGTATATTGCAAAAGTACATGTGTAAATATTTTTTTTACAACTCTCTGAATGATTGAAGTCATGCATTCGCAGTACTTGATCAGCTGTAAAATTGCTAGAAAAAGGTGATTTTAGTAGACCCTGCTAAAGACTGGCTAAAAAAGGTTTCAAAAGAATGTACCCATTTACTCTGTCATATCTCGTGCACTGGATACTCTGTAAATTTGGTACTATAGGGATTCTTTTACCAAAAAATAATTTCTTCTGTGAAGAAAAAAATGTTTAATCTTCTGTGAAAATCCAGTGAATACAGCATCCCAATTTCAAAAATGAAAATAGGTTTTAGTTGTGGTGACCATAAGGTTAAAGCCTGAATATTTATACGAATAAGTTTTAAGCCAACAGATTCAATTGTATTGAACTTTTACAGAAGATTCACAAATAATTTATGTAATTCAATAAAATTGAACATCCTTTCTTTTACGAAATCTGACTTGTAGCAGAGAGACACAAATTTTTCTGCAGTTTCAGTTAAAATCGGGCATATGTCATGAATATTTCAGTACTGCATTGTATGTTTGTTTGGTGTAATTATTGGAATTCTAGATAGACTTAAATTCAACTGATAGTTCTCTTGCTGTTTTTCCGAATCATTGCTACAATTTCTAGATGACTTTTCTCATGAAATATGTAAAACAGGTGCACGTACCAGTTTAACCCGTAGCTTAAACGGCTTAAAAGAATAGTTTCATTTTATCTCATTTGCTCAATCTTTATGTATTGTCCCATGTGACCTTATTTTTGTTTTGCTCACATGGGGTAATACACAATCTCTAAGTTGCTTCCTTTACGCCATTAATTTGCAGCCACATTACTGTTTGCTTTCTATGTTTTGTGCTTGAAAATTGGAATTGCTGTAAGTTGGTGAAGGAATGGATGCAAGAAAACGGTAAAGGTTGTTCCCTGTTTAAGTCATAATTGAATGTACATGGTTTTAAATCACACTAGTGGGTGATAGTTTACTTTCCTGTTGTTGCTTGTATATTAAGTAATTGTTTGTTGTTTGTATATTTTATGGGATAAGCAAAAAAAAATCAATCAAATAAAATTAATCTAGTCATATCTTTATCTTTTCAATGTACGATTTTGTAAAACAACATTTCATACTTACATGTTAAATATATTTTGTAATAGTCAAAATGATATTATTTTCAGTTAATATTTGACTTTCAATTTTAAATAAACCTCCCAAAATTGATACTTTTTGTTTATGAACTACAACCAGGGAACAATATTAAGCATTCTTTGATCAAAGGCCATTTATATAAAACACTATTCATTGCCTGGTAATCTTGTTTGAGAAGATGTGTAATGTTCTAAAAATTGAACCCGTTCAAACTGTTACTCAGTTTATGATTCATTCAAAAAAGAATGTATATATCATTGAGAAAATGTGTGAAATTTGTGTGTACAAACAATGTTTGTATAACTGTTAAATAAGTGGATTTTTTTATTAAGAACTCAAAGAAATGGTGTTTTTTTTATTTGTTTCAATGATTTCTGAGATCTGGACAAATAAAAATTGTGGCAATATATTACAACTCCAATAAATGTTCACTGTCATGATAATGATGTATGGATGCAGTAGGCATTTGATAAATTGCTCTTGGCGAAGGGTTGAGGAGAATTTGATTTTTTGGGTGAAGAAGCTGGAAACAAAACTCCTGCTTGGAAAAATCTAATTATCAGAACCCCTAACGATCCAGATTACCTCATGTCTTAAAATAGAAATCTCTTGGTGAAGTGGTTGCGGGGGGGGGGGGGGGAGGGGTCAGTCCATTTCAGGTCCAGTTTGTATCTGTGACGGCCGCTCTTTTTGTTGGTATATAACTCTCTAACAACCTGATCTTTAGTATGAGGGAAAATAAGCCAATCACGGGTCAGGTTTTTCAACGAGATAACCGTATGTAAAATATGTTATGTCCCCTCCCTCCATCATTATGTGACAGGTCACGCCCCCCAACTTCAGAATGAACCTGGAACCCAGACTCTTTTATGTGTAGTGCGCACGTGTATACCGAAGGGTATTTGTCTTTATTCAATCCATTGCACTTCGTCTGCTTTTGCCTGTTTGTTGCACGGCTGAACGTGTTGTTGAACCCAAAATCGGGATATTGGGATAGAAGTGTCTCAGATCTTCGAATAAAGGGAGTTGGTTTGAGGTTGAGGTAAGTTATAGAAGAAAAAAACCCCCAGGAAATATAGTAGGTTTACTTTGCATTGAACATCACCGGTCAAATTTAAACTCGGTTTCTGAACATGCTGAACTAGTCCGAAAATTTGGGACTCTCAATACTGTGTATGAGAGTCCCAAAACTTAAGGTATCCATATCGTGCAAAACTTTGTGCTGCATGATAAAACCAGTGTGAATCAAATTTGCAAGCTTCTTACTCACTACAGTTTCTTCAATAATCCCCGAAACTTCTGCCTAGGAAAGTTGCTGTTGTGAGCATTGCATCACCAAAATTTCAGCTTTTAATTCTAATTTTGCAGAGAGTTATCGAAATCCATACGTGAGACATCACATTGATGTGTACTGCAATGCACTGTGCAAAAAGACTCCTCAGCTATATAACATTTCCATCGTGTAGATAAAACAGCGCCCTCTTGTTGATCTGAGTGAATGCAAAATGTTTCATTTTTTAGCAGAGGGCGCTATGTTCATTTGGCCATTGATTAAAAAACAAGTAAGCTGCAAGGCTCTTCCTACACCTACCCAGAATACATTGGGAATCACACACCCATTTCCAGAGCATGGAGATTGACGTGGATGGTTTTTGAACTGCCAAAACCTTGCCTTAAAATTGGATTTAAGGTCTCAAATTTTGCAGGTGACATGCTTGCAACTATAGCATTTTGATGTATTGTTGTGTGGGCATTAATTAGCCAAATGGTGAGTAAAAAAACGTCAGTAGTAATTTTGCATGTTTTTATGCACTCACGGTCCCAGTCTGATGCTGAACTTGCCGAATCAATGCAACACGATCAATGATTATTATTTTTTTTGGGGGGGGGGGGGAGGTTGGCAAGGGGGGGGGGGGGTGGCAAGGGGGGGGGGATTGATATTGGGTTTGGCAAAAGTTTGAGAACTGGTCAAACGAGGTATAAAATTAAAAATGCCTATGTACGTTATTGTCTCTGACTGACCTACATAACATGCTGCCATTGTCATGAAGGATCCAGAAACGCTGGACTAGATCCCTGAGATCCAACTTACACCCGATCCCTCACTTCCTGACCTTGACAGAGTTGATTCAATCAAGATCCGGGATGGCAATCAAGGCTGCTATCTTTGATGTTGGTGGCGTTCTCATCAAGAGTCCTCTCCACTATCTGATGCAACTTGCTGAGACACATGGCTTGCCAGCGTAAGTGGGCTTCGGATTGAAATTGTTAGGAATCATTACCAAAATTTATCAGCAAATGAATTCTGTAAAGCTTTAGTCTTTTCTGTTTGAGACTTGAAGAATTCTTTGAAATGTTATCCTACCAAACCATTACTTTCACTACAATCGATTATGATTGTTGCAGGACTTTCCTGGTGAATGTCTTAAGGAAAGGCGCTCCAGACAATGCTTTCTGCAGAGCTGAGAGGGGAGACCTTTCCATCTCACAGGTACCACGGTTGCATCAAATTAAGCTTTCAAATATCACACATCAAAACTTCACAAACAGTTGACCACTGATTGGTGTTTTAAGTTAAAGCATTTGTAAGCCATTTCTTTGTGAAGAAGACAGGTTGAGTGTCAAAGTTTAGGTTTGTCTAAAGTTTGTATGACCGTGATCGTCTGACTGTTAAACTGTTTGCAAGTAAAACACAGTTCGAACCCCCCTCCCCCCCCCCCAAATATAGGGAGAAGTAGTACCTGATTTGTGCGCAGCAGTTAGGGGAATGGTCGTGAACCAATTTTTCAGTCGGAATAATTTTCAGTTCTGGCATAAGAAAAAGGTTGAAATACATGCACATACATGTCACAGTAAATTTTGACATTTTCACTACTTGCATTTTCCTCAATTTGTTGAGTATTCAACTTCCTTTGTTTCCTGTCAGATGCTGAAAGAACTGCAGAAGGATTTCCAGCAATCAGCCACAGAGACAAACACGGAGATTCCCAAGACGTTCAGTCTCAAGCAGATGATTGGTGGATTACATAAACAGCCTCCTCATACCGAGATGATCAATGCTGTTGTCAACTTGAAGAATCATGGTAAATATTTTGATAAATCATTGTCCAACTCATCTCATATTAATCCTTATCTATTCAAGGAGCTTTCTCAGTTCTTCAGACGCCAACACTATGCAATACACAAGTATCTTATTCTTTAGACTTCATACTTGTCAATTTGAGACAGTGTCATTATATTGTTCTCAAGTCAATCACAAATCCAGCCACAAGTAAATCACAAGTCAATTCACAAGTCCAGTTACATGTAGCAAGGGTTGAGCAATAACAAGGAATGCCTTTTATAAGATGGAATTTTTGCGTCGGGGTGATATAAATCAAATTAGGTTTTGCCTTTGTTAGTCACATTTCATTTGAATAGCTTGTGAGTTGACTTGGGACTGGAGGACTTGTGATGGTCTTGCAATGGACTTAATTGTAATACCTCAACTAGCCATCAGTCACAACTTCAGTCGGGACAATCCCAACTTAGGTTGGACCTGTCTCTACCAAAGTGTTTCAACTACAACATGTAAGTTGAGATGGTCCCTGCTGAAGTTGGGACCTTGGTTTAGTTGGGACGTAACAGACTCAAGTACAACACTGGACAATGGTCCCTGGATTTGGGGTATTGATCATTAATTGACACTTTGTAAGGGAATGTTTATCAGGCTGATCCTGCAATTCTGTAATTCATTTTCACGTTTTTGGTTTTGTTGCCCGTAGGTTTGAAAACTTGTGTCCTGACTAACAACTTCATCTTTGACTTGCCCTCTGGGTCTGAAGAACCAGACAGTGCCAACTTCCTGCTCATGATGAGGTTCATGTTTGACGAGATAATTGAATCTTGTAGGACTGGCCTGAGGAAACCTGAACCAGAGATTTACAGCTTGGCTTGCAAGAGGCTTGGTGTTTCTCCTGAAGAAGTAAGAATCTTTTAGATTAATATGATGAGCCTTGATAGGACGGAGAAAGTAAAAGAATGAAGAGGCGGGATTTGAAAGAATTTATAGGAACTTGTTTGACCTACGGAGACGGTGTAGGGATACAGAGTTGTAATGAGTCACCAAACTTTGTGACTCTAGTCCAGTTGAGTCATTTCACATTTGTTGTTGACTGTTTTAAAGTGATTTTTCTTTTTGCAGACCATCTTTATTGATGATCTGAAGGGTAATCTGAAGAGCGCTAAGAAACTGGGAATAAATACCATCTTGTTCAAGGATCCTGAATCAGCCCTTGCAGAGATTCAAGAATACACTGGTATTGACGTGAGTAGTCACTAACTATCACTATCAATCTTTGTGAGTTACTGTAAGGATCCTGAATCAGCCCTTGCAGAGATTCAAGAATACACTGGTATTGATGTGAGTAGTCATTAACTATCACTATCAATCTTTGTGAGTTACTGTAAGGATCCACAATCAGCCCTTGCAGAGATTCAAGAATACACTGGTATTGATGTGAGTAGTCATTAACTATCACCATCAATCTTTGTGAGTTACTGTAAGGATCCTGAATCAGCCCTTGCAGAGATTCAAGAATACACTGGTATTGATGTGAGTAGTCACTAACTATCACTATCAATCTTTGTGAGTTACTGTAAGGATCCTGAATCAGCCCTTGCAGAGATTCAAGAATACACTGGTATTGATGTGAGTAGTCATTAACTATCACTGTCAATCTTTGTGAGGTACTGTAAGGATCCACAATCAGCCCTTGCAGAGATTCAAGAATACACTGGTATTGATGTGAGTAGTCATTAACTATCACCATCAATCTTTGTGAGGTACTGAAAGTAAAACTTCTTGTACTTTACTTCCTTCCTTTGTATTTTTATTCCCAGGTGTTTCAGCCGGCATCACCAATTTCAGCTGACCCTGATAAATTAACTCACAGCTACGTAACAACAAAGGTATGTCAAAGAAACAACAATTATCAATTCAATCTGGATGTCGGGACATTGTTTGGTCATATTCTAGAAAATCATAAGAATATTTCTGTATTAGAAAAAATATTTCCACCTGTTTCTGCTCCTTTTTTTTACACAATTATATAATTTTAATTCTTAAATCATATTTGTTTTTTAAACAGGATGGCATCAAGTTGCATTACGTTGATATAGGAGAAGGTCCGGTGGTCGTCCTGTGCCATGGTTTCCCTGAATCTTGGTACTCATGGAGAAAACAGGTGAGATTAGATCGTACCTCAGTGTTGCTTTTTTTAATTCGTGCAACATGTGTCATTTTATGCTTAGTGCCCACATGTGAAGAAGACCAAGTCTACAAACAATCTACTAGTTCACGTTTTACCCCGTGATTTGTTCTACAATAGATTCCTGCCTTGGTCTTAGCTGGCTACCGTGTCATTGTTCCTGATCAAAGAGGCTATGGGGATTCCTCGTCTCCATCTGGTGAGAACTTCACTCATTTTATCAGTGTTGTATTCTTTTTTTTCTTCAAAAGAAAGGTTGTAGTTTGTGGCATGGAAGCATATCAGGAATTTGTTCTGTGTGCTACTCCTATTGTATGTTGTGAGTCCAGTTGAATAATCATATTAGAAAATTTAAAATTAAAAAAAGATTGGTACTTCAAAACCATGTAGAATTTATTCCTATTTGTTCCTCTCTCCATCCCAGAATCTGTCTTACTTCGCAAGATGTTTATTATGTTTGATTTTCAGATATTCAAGATTACACTCAAGACTGTCTGTGCAGGGTAAGTGTCACACATTTACAGTTAAGTTCCCTTTTTTTTTTTTTTTTTAATTATTCTTACTTTTTAAATTTTCTTTCAGGCATTATTTTAGATATTTTGCCTGCATATTTGTTCCATCTCAGCTCAAATCCCACACTTCACTTTTTACATCATTTTAAGTCTTATCAATATATACAAAGCCTTACATATTGATTTTTTACAATGTGTTCCATTATTCATGTGTCTTTGTAGGATCTATCAGCTCTCCTAGATTCCTTGGTAAGTCAAAACGAAAATGAAAAAAATCTTATGTTTTAGGTGTTCATCAATCTACTGGTTGTAAATGATATGATTTTACTTCCTACGATTATATTTTAGTTATCAAGCAGTCATGTTGTAGTCTGTAACACATTAGAATGCTAATTTGGTACTAATCTTGAAGAACTGAGCACACTGTTCAAACTGTTTAGTAAGATGGTTCTTTTCAGAGCTAGTCTTATCTAAAAACCAAATGGAATTGTTTTATTGTCTTAATGCATACTTCTTGTTATTTATTTTTCTTTAATTGATTTGTTTTTCAGAGTATACCAAGAGCTGTTTTTGTTGGTCATGATTGGGGTGGTGCTATTGTGTGGAAAATGGCTCTCAGGTATCCAGAACGCACAAGGTAAACATTTAGTTTGCCATTGTTTAGAAAGTAAATGTTATGCTAATTCCTTTAAATATTGCTGTTTAGACAGCCCAATTCCCTGTGTTTTACTGTAGGTATTTGAGAAATCATGCTTATTATCAAACAATATTGTGGGGTACCTCTCTTTGTCCTCATAACAAAATGTTGGGATTTAAGAATTTGACATCTTAAGTAGCTTATTGTTCACATTCAGTTTCCCTTGTTTTTATTTGTCTCATTTTTCAGAGGTGTTGTTGGTGTGAATACTGCTTACTTTCCTCCCAACCCTAAGAACAACCCACTGCAGAGAATGTATCAGAAACCAGGCATGTTTGACTACCAGCTGTACTTCCAAACTCCAGTAAGTACCGTCAAAGTTGTGTTTTTTATTTCAACTTTTGGAGGTTTCCGTATCAGTGCCCTTGGCTTGGTCTTTCCCTTCAGCGTGAGATTCATAACAATCTCGCAGTGCTTAAATCTAGTGAAATTACACCAATTATTGGTTGTGTGTGGCAGGATTTGCTGCCTCTGAAGCAGATGGTGGACCAATATTGCACTGTCAAGTCGGGAAGGATAAAATCATAAAGCTGCAGCCTGTAGCAAAACTCGACGATGAAGCAGAGATTTCAAAAACCCTTTTCACTTGATGAGGTCCAGCTGAGTGATTTTGTTCATTATTATTATTAGTTATGGTTTATTTGTTTGTTTTGTTCATTCTGTGTAGGGCGTGGCCGAAGCTGAACTAGAGAAGGACTTGGAGAAAACTTTGAAGTTATTTTTCAGAGCTCCGGGGAAACGGGTAAGATTGTGTTTTCTTCATGCTTGAATCACTCCCCTCACATCCAAACCGTCTTCAAACTTAAATTAAAAGGACCGTAGGAGATGTCCCAGAAAACTTCCGTACTTTGTGTCTGTATACTGGTGCTCTACCAATGGCATGGAAGCGCTATAATGAAAGTTAGTATCCTTGCTTAGGGGCCACGAGTCTGAAATAATGTCATCCGCATGCATGTACCCTATAGTAGGTTTTATCACGTTATTGTTCGTGGAAACAAGTTTCTCTTATGCTTTTTTCAAGTCATTTTTATTCTAACAATTGTAATTTTATTCATTGGCAGGACCATTACCCAGGATCAGAGAAGATTGGTGTTCATAATGTAAGAGAGAGAGGTAAGTGTACACTAGGCATGGTACCATGTATCAGGACCTCGTACATGCAAGACCTAAGCAATTTATGTTCTCGTGATTTCCTTATTCCATAAAAGGGTTTAAGAGTGGCAGTTCCCTGAAAACTCTGAAAACTCCACCAGAGCGATTTGTTGTTTTCAACAGGTGGTTTGTTAGTTGGTGTTCCCGATGATCTGTCTAGACCTTCGCTGCTTACTGAGAAAGATTTGGCTTACTACGTCAAGCAGTACAAGACATCAGGATTCAGGTAGGTGAAAAACTTGGTTTAATTGAACTGAGCAAGCCCTAATTATAAGCTAATTGAACAGTTTTAATAACCATAGTTTTTTAAGGATAGTTATTTCTATTTAAAGATTTCTTAAGCCACTGCTTTCCTAAAAGGCCAAACAGCTGAAATTGCTGTTCCAGTTCAAAGTGAACAATGATGAGCGCCGTTAAGCAAGATATTGGTCTGAAAAGTTTCTGACCTAATCCAGGCAAGCCCAAGTGAGGGTCAAGGTTACGGGACTAATTGATATTAGGCTGTTGATAATACTTTTGTGTAATATTGTGAAAAGTTTGTATTATTTGTATAATATTACACAGTTCTATTTTTGTTTAGGGGTCCTCTGAACTGGTACCGGAATGTTGAACAAAATTGGAGAGATTCCCTGAAAGACATTGGCCGTAAGGTAAATCCACAATTAATTGTTATTTGAAGGATGAATTATTTAAACACTGAGATTTTATATGAACTCTAAAATTGATTATATATTAATATATCTTGGTATTCTTTCAATCGTCATAGATCCATGCCCCGGCTCTGATGGTTACAGCGGAGAAAGATCGTGTCTTGACTCCAGAAAGTAGTAGATATATGGAACCATGGGTATGATAACAACCACATAAATTTAGGTTATCAATAACACACTGATTTTTATTGATGGTTCTTTATTAGTCAATTTAATACAGTATCTGTTGATGAATTTGTTTTCCAATTTTGTGGGTTTTTTTTTTTGGTTAAATATTTTCCAGGTCCCTAATCTGTCTCGTCTGCACATCAAGGACTGTGGCCATTGGACTCAGATGGAAAAGTAAGATATCCAAATATCACATGACTCATTCCTGTTAAATGTCTTAACAACATTTGAGTTTGCAGAAATATCCCACAACTTAAAAGTTCTTATTCCATTCAGAACATTCTGTTTGGGTACCTTTATTCTCAGGCCCAGCTAATATACCCCATTCAAACTGGATAAGTAAGACATGTATTTCCATGGGCTTTTTTTACAGTCCTTGAATTGTTGTGAGTTGAATATTTTGAGATCTGTTTTACAATTTTGTAAAGTTTTGTAAAGTTTCTAGTATCCGACGTTTTTTTTGGGGGGGGGGGGGGGGCCTAGAAAGCCAAGTTTGAAATAACATGAAGAAGCATTGAATGTATTCACCTTACTCATTTTCATCTGTAGAGGGCCGTGATACGCACATGGCCAATAGTCCAGCCCATTATAACATGGCCTGTTCGTCTTAATTCATCACAGGCCCAGAGAATTGAACGATGGTCTCATCACATGGCTCAACGACATCCATGAAAAGGCTAATGTTCATGTAGAATCTAGACTGTAAATTACCATAGCAACCTCATGGATCCATGGCAACTCTGTAGCCATGGCAACTTTGCGTCCAAGATTTCAGTGGCAGTTGTAGGTAGGAGATAAGTTTAATATAAAATTATCTAAAGTCAGATTGAAAGAAAACTTTACTTGATGAAGTATTTTTTAGTGAAGAACATATTACTTGTTAGGCAATATGGTGCTTTTGTAATTTATAATTGCAATGCAATCAATAATTAAAAATGTGTAAAGATTTACGAAGCAAATATATCAAAGATTTCAGGTAGTTTTGATATTTTGTTGAATTTGTCAATATGTAAAATTTGTAATTTAAAAAAGTTCACTTTTTTTATAATGAAATGAAATGTATGCATTCTTTCAAATGTTTAAAGTTTTTTTAACAGTACTATAAAATTATGGAAAGGGAAATTTTCTATGGTAGAAAAATAACTAGGTGCGAGTTGAAAATAGTTTGGTGTTATATATGAACACATTTTTCAACAAATTTTTCACAATTTGTCACTGTTTTAAAAACAAATTGTAGATTTTGATCAATGTTAATTTTTACGGCATTTTTGAATGACCTATCAAAATGCTGCAAAACATTCTTGCAGATTTAAGATCTTTAAATTGATGACAAGGTAAAAGAGAGAAAGCCCTTTAAAAAGCAAGAAAATATGTGAAGGGTAAGGAATTGAACAGTTGAAAGTTAAAAATTGCAAAGTGTGGTAATGGCACCAGTGTATGAAACATACTACTTATTTTGTGGCATATGCACAAAGTTAAAAGCAATTTGTTGAAAAATACATTTTTAAACTATTCAAATGTGTACCAAAGTGTGCCCAATAAAATAAAATATAAATTGGTTTTATCGCAAGAACATGCCTACAGAAATTTGTGATTTCAGCTAGTGGCCAGTATTAAAGCAACCTTTTGAGTTTGCAATTGCAGTGATATACATTGCTATACAGAATTTGCATTGTCATCTTTCACCAATGAAGGCTTTCAAAGTTGATTTTTTTCTTTCAGTTGATATCGCTACAAAGGTCACTCCACGTGTAAGCTGAGATAAGAGCTTTATACCTTTATGACCTCTTTTTTGTTCCCCAAATTTTTATTACTCTGTGAATCGGCCTCAAGTGTTATGCAAATTCTTCACTAGAAACCAACTGTTGAATGTTATCTTGATCACTTTGACAGAGAGAAAAATATTGTTATCGAGTCACTGAAAAAATGTAAGTTCTGGCATTTGAAGCCGACCAAAGTTCATGTGATTTCCAAGATTGTCTGGGTGAGAGGGTAGACTGTGTGAAAGCTTGACTCAGATCCGTTGTCATTCACTGTCAGGTGAGTGTTTTATCCAATTTTGTCATCAGAATGATCACTATCCACATTATGCTTGATTTAGACAATTTTGAAATTCTAGTTTGTTGACCGAGCTGTCAGTATAACTTGAGTCACGCAGGAAATAAAATGCTGATCACATTTTTCAGCCCCCGATGCACACAGTATAATATTACACACGCCATTAAAATCCACAATATAATACATACGATATTATCCCATAGTCTCGGTATTAAAGTTTTACCAAAAAAAAGTCCAGTGCGGACAGGGCTTAAGTCAAGATCAATATTGGCAGTTTTGTTTTGGATAACAAGAAGTTTATGTATTTTTCAAAAAAATAATTAAATCTGCAATTTTCTGACATTGGCTCTAGATAACGATATTTTGTTAAGAAAGCGTCATGTGTTTTGTTCTTGCATTTGTCGCAGTGATCAGTGCTTAAAGATGGTTGCTTATATTCTACAAAGTTGTGATTCCATATTCATGCTATCTGCTCTATTTAGAGAAATGTTCGTTAACATTTTGCAGCTTTTCATGATAGTTTTCATAATCTCACAATTTCTTATACATGTGTATTCATCATATAGTAACATCCCAATATATGTTATTGTTAAGCATTTCCATTTCAGGTGTTTAGTCATGGCATTCAAGGCCGCCATCTTTGATGTTGGTGGAGTTCTCATAGAGAATCCATCCGCCTACTTGAAGAAATATTCTGAGGACAATGGCTTACCTGCGTGAGTTCATCAATTATTGCTTACATATATTACATTTGTACGGCAGTGCTCACACCCAAGTGACTGAATTAAACCCTTTGCCTTTTTTCTTTTCAAAAATGAAGAGAATGGAGGGGAAATGTACGTAGCCCCTTCCTAAAGCAGACTAAAAATTAAAGAAGCCCTTCAAATGTCTAGAACAAGATATGTGTTAATGATGATTCTATTCACCCGAAATCTTAAATTGTGTTTGTTGTGCATGCTTTCTGTCCTGTTTAATTCTAGGACGTTTGTATCGGATGTCTTTGTGGCGGCTGTCTTTGAGAAGGGTTCTTCTGACAATGCTTTCAGCAAAATGGAGAAAGGAGAATATGCATTTTCTCAGGTGAGTTGAGTATTAAAACTAACACACACATTTTGCCCTGGATGGTTTTGGCTGTTATCTAGATTGACCTAGTTTTTAACCTTACTGATAACTTGGGCATTAAAGATTTGAATACCTTTTGTGAGTAAACCATGTGAAGAGGATTTTGGCTACATACTTAAAAAAATTTCAAATTCAAACAGAAACGGACAATCCCCAGTGAAGGTAGTATTTAGTACGAGTCTGAGAAACGTGATTGAAAGGATGTCAGTTATTCCTTAGGCTGTGGTTTGTAGTGTTATTGTGTTATTGTGTCTGTGGCTTGTCTTGTCAGATCATTGGTGGGATACAAGAAAGCTTTGAGAAGGTTGCCAAGGAGAAGAGCGTGAAGTTACCCAGCTCCTTCAGCATTGAGAAGATGATGACAGATCTATATAGACTGCCAGTACACAGAGAAATGATCAATGCGGTCATGTGCTTGAAGAATCATGGTAAGGCACTCAATTTTTTGCCGTTTTGTAAAGATTCAACTTAATTTTTTGTAGTGGCTCTTGCAATCCCATATATTGCTTAAAGCACTACTTCGGTGATGGGACAAACGCACATTGAAATTCACATCACCTTGACGTATATTCATATCAAAACTCACGCTTATAGTCTGTTTTGATTCAACTTAATTTTTTGTAGTGGCTCTTGCAATCCCATATATTGCTTAAAGCACTACTTCGGTGATGGGAAAAACACACATTGAAATTCACATCACCTGGACGTATATTCCTATGAAAACTCACGCTTATAGTTTGTTTGGATTGGAACTACTAGTTTACTGTTGTGAGTTGCCCAAGCACAGAAATGTTTTGTGTTTAATAGCAGAAATTGGATTTTGCATACAGAAATTGGATCTTGCATGCGCCTTTGTTATGAGCTGTTATCATGTTTGTTCAAACACTCCGAGCAATCCTATTTTGTAGCTCCACAAAATTAGGGCAAGGCCATAGACGACTGGTAAAAGTTTGATTTTAACTTTTGTGGCAAATGATTAGCAGTTCAGGTTGCGGGGAATCATGACAGTGTCAATGTCCCAATCAATTTATTTGTTTTGTTTAATATTTCCAATTCTATATTCACAATTAATCCACCTGAACCAACATCAACCCATTACTATTACTTCCCTTAAGTGCTAATTGACAACATTTTACAAATGATTGGATGATCTTTTATTATCATTTTAGGTCTGAAAACGAGCATCCTGACCAACAGTGGTGTTTATGATTTGCCACTTGGGGATGATGGTCCTAGTACAGTCCATCTACTTACTGTGTCGATGAGCTTCATCTTTGATGACATCATTGAGTCGTGTCGTGTGGGGATGAGGAAACCAGACCCTGAGATCTACAAGTTGGCTTGCAGGAGGATGGGGGTCCAACCAAAAGAAGTAAGAATTTGTACTTTAGTACAAAAACTCATCATTTTGACATGGCTAAAGGCTATGGTTGGCAACTACACGTGTGTCTATGAGAAATGAATTCAGCCATTTCCATCGGCACGTAATTGCAAGCCGTAGATAACTAATTCCGATATGGCCAGGGCTTGGGCATGGACTCAAACCTGAACTGGAGACTTTAGCTTGACATTTAGAACTCGGATACAGACTTTCAGAGTTCTGAGTCAATCAGGAGTCAGTTCACAAGCCACGTCACAAGGTAACAGGGATGAACACTTAATAAAGGAATGCCTATGTTGCAGTTCATTCCAACACATTGTGACTTGATTTTGTCATTTGATTGACTTGTGATAACATTTGGTGACTTGTGACTGACTCAATTACAACTCTGGGCACTCCATGTTCGGTGACCTTGAAGATTAAGATTGATTTATTCAACCAATGATTAAAAAACAATCACAGCAATTTGTAATGTTGGACTCGCATAGAAATGACTCAATTTAAAATGCCATACAATTAAAACAATTACCACAAAAAATTAGCACAAAAATATACAAACATTTACTATATGCATACACATTTTATAAAGTAAACGTTCCCACTGTTAAACCTATTTCTGAAACGGATGCAAGATTATGTGTTACTTATGCGATTTATTTCAGGCTTTCTTTGTGGATGATATTAAGGCCAACGTGGGCAATGCAGAGGCTGTAGGACTGACATGCATTCATTTCACTGATGTCCAATCTACTCTGACTAGGATGCAAGAACTGACAGGCATTGATGTGAGTACAGAAAACACGGAGTTGGCAAAAAGATTTCTGTCTGCATATTTTTGTAATATATGGGATTCATTTTTTTAACTTATAAGTAAGTCTTGTCAGTATATTTCAGTGACACAACATGACTAGGGACTTACTAGATTCAATGAGAAGCTCACTACCTTGAAGAAAACCAAGTAAAGTTTAGTCTTCTACTTGATTATGGTTGTGCTCAGTGTGATTTGATGAATATATTATTGTATCTTTCTACCTGCCCTGTTTATAATATTCACGCCTTCCATTTCGATATCTTAATTACATTGTTGTTTTAGGTCTTTGCAAAGGCAAAACCCGTTTCAGTCGATCCTGAGAAAATTGCCCATGGATATGTCACCACAGAGGTATGTATCAGAAAAAAAATAAATTACAAAAATGTATTAATGTTTTTCTAATGGACTATCATTTTGTGAAGATTGTTTTTACAAATTTCTAACTGAAAGTTTGACATGAAGCTTCACGGACTGTGTCTTGTTAATTGTCCGACAGGATGGAGTCAAGCTGCATTATGTTGAAATGGGAGAAGGCCCAGCAGTCATTCTCTGCCATGGTTTCCCAGAATCTTGGTACTCATGGAGAAAACAGGTCAGTTAATATTGTTGAAGTGGATTCATTGTTTTGTGACACCAGTGTCGGTGAAAACCTTGTACAAAAGAGACCAGGCTTGCTCAGTCGAGCTGGACCCCAGACGTTGTATTTATACTTGGTGAGTCAGTCAGTGACTCAGTCAGTTGGGGGGGGGGGGGGGGGGTCGGGGAGTCAGTTCGTCGGGGAGTCGGTTAGTCAGTCAGGCCCTTCAGGTTCAGAAAAAAAATCACAAAAAAGGAAGAAATGTACACTGCAAGTTTCAAGCGATTTGACCTTTCTCCCTCTGACGTAGATTCCTGCCTTGGCCTTAGCTGGCTACCGAGTCATTGTTCCTGATCAAAGAGGTTTTGGTCATTCTTCATCCCCAGCAGGTAAAATGCTTGGATAAATCCTCTTATGCTTACCTGTATCTATTTAGTGAACGCTCTGTGGTTGGTTTTTATAACAGAGCCTATCGTGAAACGGTGTCTCAAGATGCTTTTGTTAGATAGTGAACCAAGTTTTATTACTAGTCATATAATTATTTTATTGAAGGTTTGTTTGTTTGTTTGTTTTTTTTTTTTTAACCAGATGTCAAGGATTACACCCATGAGCATTTTTGTAAGGTAAGAGCACAATAAGTGATATCAAAATTGTGCATTGAAATTAATAACAATTCTGGACAATTTGGTTTATTACATCTTCCATGTGTCTGTTTACACAACATTGAAACTGCAAACCTAAAGAAGAAAAGGTGGAATGAGAAACCATCAAAATTAACAGTTTGTAAATGTGTCAAATACAAGTTATATTTTTCTTTCTTGTAGGACATCAAATCTATCATGGATTCTCTGGTAAGTCAGTTCAGATAATTTTTTTATAATGTGCTGTTTAAAACATTAGTATCTTGCACAGGGTTTTTATGTTAAATTGAACTGACTTGAACTTTAACTTCCTTGAATCTGTCAAAATCTATTCTCAAATTCAAACGATTTAGAATTGAACAGCACAGGTACTTTTCTCGGAACCTATTATGTGAAAATACCAAAACAATTGTCATTTGATTACTGCACAAGTTACATTTTGGTGCCGGGTTCAAAAATGTTCACAGCAAACGTCCTTAGGGAGCTTGAGATAGGGTAACACAAAGAAGCTGCACTCGTCTCATTTCTGCCTTCCAATCGTTTGACATCTTAAAAAAAAAACACTGTGGGAAACTGACTAGGTGCATCATAATTATTTTAATGTTGAAGACAGAAATTGACATGGAGCTAGGCATTGGAAGAGCACCAGAACGGCATTCCGGAGGTTGCAGGTTCAAACCCTGCTCTATTCAATTTCTTTGTTCTTCCTTGAATAACATTTTTTTGCATTAATCCTTTTTTCTTTGCCATTGTTTAGAGTATTCCTAGATTCACTATTGTTGGTCATGACTGGGGTGGTTTTGTTGCTTGGAAGACAGCCATCAGATTTCCGTCTCGGATCAGGTAACATCTTGTTTCACACAGTGCAATGAAATAAAGGGTATTGGGGAAAAATAAGATAAAACCCTTCATAATCATTGTTTTAGAGTGTGAAATATGCAGGCAAATGGTATTATCAATCTTGATGTAAAAGTAAAAAAATTACAATGAAAATTTAGTGATAAGAAGTGAGTAATAACAATAGGACATTTATGATGCGATCAAGCTAAATGAGTCATCTGTTGACACTGGTAAATTTTTTTACAGATTTGAAAAGAGCACAATCTCAGCATTACTGCTATAAAACCACAAGCTGATACCATCTTTAGTTAAAAAATTATGGAAGTTGGAACACCAAAAGATGTGATGAAGTGATGTGATGAAGTGGCCCTATTTTGGCCTGAATCTCCAAATGAAAGTTCCCGACAAGCAACTCATTTAGCTTGATCACATCACATTTGTTTTTGCATTGTCTTTTTGTTCATGTAGAGCTGTAGCAGGTGTGAACACCCCCTACTTCCCTCCTAATCCTAAGGTCAACCCCTTCGACAAGATACGTGAAGATCCTGGCATGTTTGACTATCAACTCTATTTCCAAGAACCAGTAAGTTCATTGGTGTTTATACAAGTCTGATCTTGACATTTTGACTATTCAAGTAATTACCTTTATGAGACAAAATTAAACAATACATCTTTAAAAGAATCTTTAAAAACTGAGATGAAGAAGTATTCTAATTGTTTTTGTCTTTGAAGGGTGTGGCGGAGGCTGAACTGGAGAAAGACTTGGAGAAAACTTTCAAATTTTTCTTCAGAGGATCTAGCAAACAGGTTTGTAATTTTGTCAATTTGGACATAACAGCAATGTACAATGACTATGGACAACCCTTAACATAGCTTGGTGTTGATGACACATTTTACTGTATTTTTCAGGACTATTACCCTGGAATGGAGAAATTCGGCATCAACAATGCGAGGGCGAGGGGTAAGTCACCATCCATCACTGTAGTCCCCTCAGATTCTGAAATTAAGCACTTTTTAGAAAAAAATGAAGTAAAACCCTCAAAGTTTACAAGGTGGAATATTGGTATTTGCTCGGTAAATGTGTTGGAGATATATAAAGCTGAGCTGTTCCTGCATCCAACTAGATGTCTTCAATGTTTTGACTAGCATATTGTAGTCGTTTTCAGAAAGCCTTTGAGAAGTACATGTAGATGCTATTGTGGACACAGACTCTTGTTGAAGGGAATATTCATTTGGATGTATTCTTCCTCAGGCGGTTTGTTAGTTGGTGTTCCTGATGATCTGCCTATGCCTTCCCTACTTACTGAGAAAGATTTGGCTTACTACGTCAAACAGTACAAGACATCAGGATTCAGGTTGGTCGCTGAATAATTTTTTTTTTTTTTTTTTATTGAAGAAGATGAAAAAGAAATTGATTTCCTGTAGACTTTGTTGTTGATGTAATGACATGCTTGGCCTGAGGAGACACATATATCACATTGTAATGGCACATGCTAAACAGGACTTTGATCCTTGCTGCCTGTTTTACTTATTGTCACTTACTAATTTTGAACTGGTTCGTTTTCTGATTTTTCCAGAGGACCTCTGAACTGGTACCGGAACACTGATCAGAACTGGAGAGACAGTGTGAAGGATGCTGGACGCAAGGTCAGTTCATACAACTATTTCAAACATCTTGAAGAGTTATTACAAGACTTCAATAGCCTGTTAGTTTCTCAACAGCATCTGTTTGATCCAGCATCAGGGTTTAGGCCAAAAAAAAAAGTCTCCGGTTTCTGGTATGCGCGCGCGTCGCCGTAGCCGTGCGCGTCGGCAAAATGAAAAAGTTTTTTTTTTCAATGAAAGATGATGTCTCAAAACCGCCAAACTCACTGGTTTGACCAGAATCCTGCTGCTTCACAATTTTAACTTGTTTTTAGATGGGGTTATGATCGAGAACATGATCGAGAATAAGCTTTATGTGGCCTCTCTGGACTCCCATATATTTTCAGTAAGTTTAGTCGGGCACCATTTGCAGTCATCAGCCGACATTTGAAGCAAAAAAATCAGGTAAAAAAAAGAAAAAAGCCGCGTCGCCGCACCACTTTTTGGGCAAGCTCCATACCAGAAACCGGAGACTTTTTTTGTTTGCCTTAGCTATGTTTAAATGAAACGTTTTGGTGTGCATCAGTTGAGTGTTGGGGCTTGAGATAAATTAGTCCTGGTTCTCCTTCGTCAGGGAATGTGCAATTGTTTGAAGTTTTCAAACGAAGTCTTGGTATGTTTGTGTGTCTTATCGTCTAGATTTATGCACCAGCCTTGATGGTGACTGCAGAGAAGGACCCAGTGTTGGTTCCAGAGATGAGTAAAGCTATGGAAGGATGGGTAGGCTATTCAGCAATTTCATTTATTCATTTATTTGAGATTCATATAAAAACCTGAGACAGTTTACCAATTCCTATTGGTCAAGAGCTCGTCACCTGGGTAGTGTTAAACCACTAATAAAACACTGCTGTGTTCTGCGCCACATTGCGCAGTACATGCAGTGCGTGCACCAATCTCCATATAAGGAGATTTTCAGCACTACGCATGCGAGGCACATACCATGGGCATGGCCAGAGGGGTGTTTCACAAAATGTTGGACAAAATCGTTGGGAATTTGTGAATTTTGACTTTCTGACCAAAAGTATTTATAAATGGGAATGAATATGTGCTTGGCCAGTATTCAACTATCTCGGGCCATTATCCGTGTCCAGGCTCCTAGCCAGAAACATACTTGTTTAAAACCGGCCAAGCACATATTTATTCCCTTATTTGAAAATACAAATTGCATCTATTGTATTATCAATTCACTTACTGGATGTGTTTGGACGTTTGAGTTCTTGTGTGTTTCGGCTGAACAATTTATTTTTCTTTGGTAGGTGCCCAATCTATCCCGTGTCCACATTGAGGAATGTGGCCATTGGACTCAGATGGAAAAGTAAGCTTACCCTCATCTTTAAGATTTTGTTCAGATATTCAAGATTTTTTACTTTCTTTGGAGTAATGCAGGGTTCAAGTAAATGTTACTTGGGAGTGATGAAAAAAAAATGAATAAGTATAGTTTGAATCTGTTTCATACTGACTTTGCTGATGTTTGTCATCTCATTTTACATTGTTACTATCATATTCTAAATTCTTACATGCACCTGTTTTTTAAATTGATTACTGCAGACCCACTGAGCTGAATGAAGGACTGATCAAATGGTTGAATGACGTCCATCAAAAAGCCAAGATCCCTGTGGTTGCAGGATTCTGAGACATCTCCCTGCATTGGTTGGTACACACCTCACCCACTCAGAAATGAGTCAGAAATCTAGTCAATCACAAGTGCAAAATAAATAACATGTCATATCTCAAGTAACAAAACGGAAACAACCATGTAGGAATGTCTCTGTTATAGTTTGTAGCAACCAGGATAAATTCATTGCCTTTTACTGAAATTTAGATTATATATTTGATCATTGATTGATATTTGCGAAATGTTCTTGTTTCCCACAAGTTAATTTGAACAGCTTGTGACTTGACTGTGATTGGCTGGATTACAACTCTGTATAGATGATGGAGTATAAAGTGGCCAATCACAGATGAGCAGTTATTAATTTGCTAATAATGGGAGACATAGTTTTGATAAGTTAAACGAGAGAACTTATTGCAAAGATTTTAACCATTTTTTTTTTCGGATAGTAAGATTTGTTATTGTTTTTTATTACAAATTTACACAATCGAATGAAATTATGCATAACCAGGACATGAACCCAAGACCTTGCAAATGTCTTGCAAGAATCTTGAAAAAAAAAATCATACTCTATCTTCAGTATCCACTGTATCTCATGTTTGATTTCAATATAAGCTGCATGCTTTTTCCATCTCAAGTAGATTTCATTTGGGTTTTCATGTTTTGTTTCCATATTGGTCTAGTTCCAAAGATTAAGCTTTGATAAACCATGTACATAATGATTGTTTCCAGGTTCTATTGGTAAATGCACCTCATTCGTTTTTACAGAGAAAACACCAATTATACCAATGTATCAAGATTGTTTGTCTTTTTTTTTATTGGATTAAAGTGAAATACAGAATCGTCTCCTTGAATGTTTTGTGTGTGTCTGCGTTTTTTATATTAATATATATTTTTTTTTTGGGGGGGGGGATTTGTGATTTATTCTGTCTAATAATAATTAAATTATCAGATATTGTTCCGTATTATCAGTCCGTCCTAAAGATGAATAGTCATCTCCCTAATGTATTACGTTCTGTCCGATTTATTCATCACTTTACGAACCGCTAGAGGCGACCATAAATACAATAAGATCGCCCCTAGAGGAACAGAATTGGAGATAGAAACGCGCGTACCGCTAGAGGCGACCCATAAATACAATAAGATCGCCTCTAGAGGTACAGAATGGCGATACAAACGTGCCTACCTCTAGAGGCGACCATGAATACAATAACGGATCGCCCCAAAGAATGGAGATAGAAACGCGCATACCTCTAGGGGCGACCATAAATACAATAAGATCGCCCCGGAGGTACAGAATGGAGATAGAAACGCGCGTACCTCTAGGGGCGACCATAAATACAATAAGATCGCCCCGGAGGTACAGAAGGGAGATAGAAACGCGCGTACCGCTGGGGGCGACCGTTATTGTGTCGCCCCTAGCGGTATATATTAACGCGCGTACCGCTGGGGGCGACCATTATTGTCGCCCCTAGAGGTATATATTAACGCTTGTACCGCTGGAGGCGACCGCTATTGTCGCCCCTAGAGGTATATATTAACGCTCGTACCGCTGGAGGCGACCGTTATTGTCGCCCCTAGCGGTATACAGAAACGCTCGTACCAGCGGTACGAGGTATATATTAACGCTCGTACCGCTGGAGGCGACCGTTATTGTCGCCCCTAGCGGTATACAGAAACGCGCGTACCGCTGGGGGACCGTTATTGTGTCGCCCCTAGCGGTATACATGTATATAAACGCGCGTACCTCTAGGGGCGACCATAAATGCAATAAAATCTCCTCTAGAAGTTCTGATGACAATAGAAACACGCGTACGTCTAGGGGAGACCACAGATTGCAATATTTTTATTATTATTTTTATTTTATTATTTTAAATTTTTATTGTACAATATTTCTCAACAATCAACAGACTTGTGCTGTATCACAAACAAATAACCAGACCGAATTTCAACTTAATACATGTTTGCATGATATCGTTAGAATAACGAGTGTATTGTCTTTCGCCCATTAAAGTTGACTTTCATTCGGATTGCATTTTAGCGGTTGAGCACACTGAATTGTTCGGGTTATAATACTCTTATTATTTGACAATTGTATTGCTTTCAACAGACTTGTGTTATATATATCACAAACAAATAAGAAAATCAAATTTCAACTCAATGCATCAAAATATTCCCAAGTTATCATTCGGAAAACGAGTGTGTTTGTTTATTCCCCATAAAACTTGTAATTTATACAAAGCATCCATAAACTGACTCCAATAAGTGTTCAATGTTATCATAGAATTCATGTTTCACATTATATACCAGCTTTTTGGACTTCTATTTTGTTTAATTACAATTTTATTCGAATGACAAAGAAAACACAATGTCCCCCTTTTTCGTGAGCAAATGCACTCATAGATCCCCAACAAGCACCAAAAACACACGCTGTAACTGGTTCCCTGCTCTAAAGCGTAACCCTAACGTTAAAACCGTAGACCAGCTTTTTGGACCGTAGCAAAAATCCCATTTGAACCGCGTATATGGCTGTTTTTGTACACGGCCGATTGTACACACGTGTATTGGCAATAGCGAACTAGAAAATTGGCCATAACGGCGTTTCCACCGATCATGCGCAGTGTGCACGCCTATATACAGTGCATGGAGCTAGAAAATCGGCCAATTCGGCGTATCCCATGGACATGCGTATTGTGCACGACCATATGGCGTGTGTAAAGGTAGAAAATCGGGCGTTTGGCCGTTTCCCTTGGACATGCGCATTGTGCACGATCATTTGGCGTGTGTTACGGTAAAAACCAGTCCTTTATGGGGTTCACATTGGCGGGGCGTGATGTGCAAGGTGCAACGGAGGGGTACTACGAACAAAAGGCAGCATTTCGGGGTACAAACGGGATGTTTGGAACAGTGCATGCAGCAGGCAGGACCTTTTTTTACCTGGACCAAACTGATCTGTGGTGGCGCTTGATTTTTATTGAAAGTTATTGACAACCAAAACTAAGGAAGAAGGGAAGCTCTGCAACAGACGGGATATTTTGATATATTTGGTTAGAGGCCCCGGTAAATCCAAAAGTATGGAACTACAATTAGTTGGACAATAAGGCTTATCATGAGAGAGGAAGCTGACACATGGAAAAAAGGCATGGTTCGGAAAAGTCCCAAAACATGTTCTTCACAGGTATTTGACCAAAATCAAGTTTTCTCAAAATAATTAGTTAAAAAAATAGATTAAAAAAAATATTCAATGGGGGAAAAGGACAGAAAACAACTGACAAAACCCATCCCCAAACCTTCAAGGTATAACTCATTCATTGCACAATTTGTTTTGCTTCATTGAGGCTTTCAAATGAAAAAAAAAGGCGAACAAATATGAAATAATCCCAATAGAGTCGAACTCAAATAAATCAAGAGACAGCATTTCTTTTTTTGCGAGCTGAATAGTCATATATATTTCCACATTATTCAATAGGAGGTCATCAAACTGAAACGTCAAATGATACCTAAGCATGAGGTTAAACAATCATGTATAAAACGTAACCATAATTTCTCTGACAAGATTTTTTTTGCAAATTCCGAAACAGTCATAACTGAATAGTCTTACTCAAGTAACTTAGAGTTGATTGTAAAAAAACCATATTATTATTAATAAAACCCAATGCTGTGGTGTAGAACTTCCAGCTGTTTAATGCTTGTTAGAGTATGATAAAAACTTACGTTTTTAATGTCATTTCAGTTTTATTGTCACAGTTCACAAAAAGTTTCAATAAAGTTTAGCAAATAATGGCTCCCAATTCTAGGCTTTGGATGTAACTTTGGATGTGTATAATTGTAAAATTTACAACCTTTCCAACACCAAAAGGTTTCCCATAGGACAGTATTATGCAAATATTTGGTCAAACTTAGAGCTTCATCTCGCTGAAGTTTCTCCACCGTTGTGTTTCAATGTAAACGAAAGTATTGACAATTAAAACTACTACACCTAGTTCAGATAATCTGTTGAATAAATAGTTCTCCTGAAAGGCTTAAAAGTTGAAGTATTCGAGGTATTTCTGGATAACTGTGATCAGCAACTTGACGGAGAAACAACTTAGTATGTTTGAAATTTAACTACATATATAAATGGGTAACTATTTTCCAAGAACTAGAAACAAATTGAAAACAAGATGAATTCCATTTGCAATCTTCATCAAGTAATTGCTGCTTGCTTTTGGTTTGGCTAAACTCAATAATCTATTATTTTTCCATTGCCATCTAATGACTTTCAGCAATTCTATTAATACTAATGTAATTGTTTTCATCTGTAAGTCAGAGGAAAGTCAATTAAAACTAAAAAAAAGGTAAAAAGTTGTGTTACTTGTTCAAATTCAGAGTGAGGTTGTAATTTACGATCATGTGTGATTTAAAAATGACCTCGCTAAAGAGGTCCGCCATATGTATCGAGATTTTCATGAAGTTCTGAAAGACTGATATTTCAAACCAGAAAAACGTAATAACCCAACTTAAATTTCTGCTTTCAAATGAATCCAGAATAGAAAGTACAGTTGACATAACAGTGTACCGCTGAAAGCGTCATATTCTGCATTTATATTTCTTTTTTTGACTACAAATTTAGTGATTGTCTTGCCAAAGTACATAAATATTATGTCTTATTAGTTTACTTCGTCAGCATGTTCATTGTTTGACCGGCAAACATATAGTATTCCAGCACACAATTAACTTTTATTTATTTTTTTTGCTAAAAATTGATATTTCACGACTATGACATACATGCAACAGTACTGTTGACTTTTTACCTATGCGTGTGTAGATTACAGATACTGTAAAAGAGATTTCAGAGTATAAGGGTGGATCGAGATAATGTAGAGTAAAACAGGTGCAATGTTGTTGGGAGGAGGGGGTGGGGGTGGGGGGGGGGGGGCTTGGGGGAGGTGAGGAGGGGGTATCAGAAAAGAGAGTGGGGATACATGAAGTCTGAGGGAATGGCACACCGTGACTATGGCTGCAACACTTGATTCTTTTTTAAAAGGAACCTTTTTAAAAATAAATCAAATATACAATTTAATTTCAAAACTCATGCTTAGGGCGTTTGAGTATGTCTGTGGGGTTGTCACCAATGTGACTCTTCCCCTGCTCTTTTTCTGCAGGGCAAGTTATTTCCTCCTGTTTTTCCCCATCTCGATCCATCCCTATAAGTAGCGTGAACATTAAGACAACCAGACTGCATGATGTGCTATCGAAAACATAATCTAAAGAAAAGAATATTGAAACTGGTGCCTTCATTGACAGACTGTAGGCTATTAACAATGTATGCACAGGATTTCTACACTGCACTGGTTAAGGTTGTGTACATCATGGAGCTAGCTATCTACAATCATATATACCAGGCTTGCCAAATCTGCCAAAATCCAACAAATGATTTTGTATGATTTTGAAGGATTCAGGACTGAAGGGTTAAGATGCCATTCTTTAACATGGATCTGGTGTCCAGTTATCACTGGAGTACAAAGAATATGTGGGATACTTCTGTGTTGGATTTTGGTTGCGTTTAGGAGAGTCAGAGATGGGATAAGTGCCCAAATCAATTTTTTAAAAATTAGTCTAACTGCATTGCTCGTGAAAATCTGTGATTCCCATGAGTCATATATAGGATTTCAATATTTCATATACCACAAAAGGTGAACGTTTTAAATTCTGAGCTTTTGGACTGCACTTTTTTTCTCCCAGGAAGCTTTTCGGTCCATTATGAAGATGAAAATTAACCCATCAATGAATCATGAGAAAACATCCAAATTGTGTCAATGAATTCCAATTAGATTGCATTGAAGCTTAGAGACCTAAAGCTATCGGTAACCAGATACCATAGTATGCTTACAGTTTCCCCAAGGATAAGTTTGTATGCTGATTGAGTTCCCAAGTGTCCATCATAATACTGGACAGGATTAATAATATACATGTACCTCATGCAAGACTGCATTTGCTCACACCTTTAAATCAAATATACACTTCAATTCACATTTTCCCATGACTTTTTGGTTTTCTTAAATGTTATGGATTCAAAATAAAGCATCTGATTTTGCTCAATAGTTCAAAGGTCAGAAGTCTGTTATTTTTTTATGCTGATAATGAATAATGGTCTTTTGTAAATTTGGTCATTTTTTAATTTCCTGTAATTTCCTGTTTTGTAATATCTGTCTGACACAAATATTTCTTCATGGGTGACGAAGAACTTTGAAATGCTAGTAATGCAGATGATGGTTTTCCTTTGAAGGAAAATTCTATAGTTGCCAATCTTTTTGAGGGGTCTCACTAAGCTGCATGATGTACACATGTATTCAACAACCAACAACATGATATAAATACTTTCAAATAATTCATTAAAGAAAATTTGAGTGTGATTAAAACTAGACTTTTATACATCTCTACACGTTGATATGTATAATATTCTACAACCACATTGCTCACTTAATTAACAGATACAACTGACAACTGTTCTTACGAACAATAATACTTAGTTACTGTTCTGTTTTAAGATATATATATCTATTTTATACATATTTTAAATACTTTATACAAAGATAATAAACAGAATTGTAATAATGTAACCAATGGTGACTCACGTTACCAATATATACAGGCAATAAGTAGCGTTACATGTTGACGTAATGTCACAAAGTCAGTGTCATGGACAATATACTGCCAGTCACTGTCAGTGAGTACATTAAGTTCAGATTTCAAATTTGTTTGTTTGTTTGTTTGTTTGTTTGTTTGGTTTGTATGCTTGCTTGCTTTTTTTTAGATGAATTTGAAACACCAGTGCAAAAACATTGTATAACAAAATCATAACACTGCAATTACATATTTCACTTTGAACATTAAATCATCATTTCAGTCCAATTCATTCAGTGCAATTTCTCAGAGGACTTTTTAAAACAAACTTTTTTTTGCACGAAATTGATGTGTAGAGAATCTCAACTAGTACTCCTTCGATGACAGGACAAATTCATCAAATGTGAATGAAATTCCCATCCTCATGCGAGACCTACACTTGTTCCTGATCATACATTGGAAGATGCTTTTTGCACTGATGTAACAAGTGATGACATCACTGTTGTTATGGTTACTACTAATTAATAACTAATTGAATTTTGTTGCATTGGTGTTTGTGAATTTCAAGACGCAATTAGTGAGTGATGACATACATGTATTTTCAGAGCTTTCAATCAGCAGTTTCATTTGGTGCTGAGTACACGAGAGATCCAAAGTAAACAAATGAGGTACGGTAGGCCAAAAAAAAACCCAAAGCAAAAAGAAGTAGAAGAAGAAGCCAACAAATGCAGGTTACCCACCCACAAGCCACATCTTGTATAATGCTGATCAAACAGTTTAAGCTTGCTTTACTACCAAATATATTTTACAATTAATTATCTTTATTGTGGAACCGTTGAAAGCATCAAGCAGTAAGCAATTTTTGGCCAGTTTTCAAAACATTTCTTGTTTGTGTAGCAAATGTTTGACAGACCTTGATTACAATTTGTAGCATCAGCCTCTGAAAATACATGTACACATTTTCAAAACACTTTTACTCCCTTTTGAAAATCTTTTTACACCAACCCCAAAGAAAGAGTTAGATGGAGTGTTTTTCAATTCCTTGGCCTAGTTAACGGGCAATTTTGTTCAACAAAACATCTCAAAATCTGAGATTGTTAACAATACTGCAGAAAGTATTCTGTGCTGAAGTGTAATGCTTAGAAACATCATTGTGTGTGTATACATCACAACATGTACATGTAGATACATTAATTCACTTAAAATAGATGAGCCAATGTGCTCCAATGATCAGCTGTAATTCTGAAAAATATGTTAAGAAGCTTTGAAATCAATGTGACTTGGACATACATGTACAAGTAGTTGGTGAAAGGTTCTGTAGAAATTGCACCACAAAAAAAAAAAGAAATGTGAATTGTTGTGATTCTTGAGAAAAAGAAATGAATTTGAAAGCCTTAGGGAAAAAAGTGATTCCTGATCCATAAATGAAGTGTGGTATGCCTCTTACATCACACAAAGGATGGTCAATGGATGCATTGTTAGGTGGCAAAAGGTCCCGAGTCTTAGACCGTGTTCGAACTACTTGGATATTGCCGGCAATAATGTACCCAGCTATGCAAGTGGCCTAAGCCATTTCCCGTGAACATGTGTGTTACTGCTGAGCATAGCCTAGCCATTCACACGCAAGACTAAGTTTGCACACAAACATTATGGAAACAGATAGCGATAATGTTGAAAGGAACTAGAAAGCCAAACTGAAAATGACCAGGTAGTTTGCTTCGTTTTCTTAAGAAATCCAATGAATTGCATTGTATCCTGAAGTTAAATAACTGAATTTGAAATGAATTTGTCTACATGAAGCACTGAACTGAGAATAATTGTACGATACGCTTGCAACTTACTGTAGCGTATGTATAGAGAATTTCCTTCAGTGTTTTCGTCTGTCTGCGTCAGCCATTCATTAGGCCAATGTCTCATATCTTCATCAGTCGACACAATGTGTAAAAGTGTCACATTTAAAAATCAGTTGATTCGTTCCGTCTGACGAGTCAAATTTTGGAAAGATTTTGTTGTTGTCTTTTCAGACTAATGTCTCCTGACCGTCTTTCAGTTTCCACTTGCCTTGCCATTGTTTGTCATCTTTCTCTGGACTTGTTGGACTTATGGTAGATGTCTCCAAGGGCAAGTCCATATCGAAATCTTCCTCCATAGCAGCGATCGGTACTTTGGCTAGCCGTGGTTGATGGGACTTTCCTGAAACGCGTCGCGGTAGACAAGGAGAGATAGCATTGGGTCTGCTGGGTTTGATACAGTCTGAGACGCTCTGCGTTCGTCTACTGTCAACTGGCAGCCAGATCTGATCTGAGGAATCCTCACCTAGTTTCCATGGTGATGGTAAGAGATCGGAAGCATGTTTACGTACTGTCCGTGGACTCTTAGATTGATAGGATACCTCGAGGTTTGGGGATAATGCTCCACCGTCCATATTGGCAGGTGAGCTGAATTGTCTCTCAGGGGGGTGACCTACAAGAGGTGATACGGGACCCCCTGATATACGGCGTGGGGAGTGGGGTGACAGAGGAGAGAATATCTGCTTCTCATTGGAGATTCCTCGTACGAGTCTAGTGGGCGGGGATATCGTAGTTGTAGGGGAGGAGTCCCCGCCCCATTGGATATTCTCATCCTGGTTCTCGCTGCTATGTCGCCCTCGCTTTGACTTCGTACTACGATCTTGCTGGCTACTCATTGGTCGATCATCGCAACCTGTCCGTGCTATCTTAGGACTGCTAGGGAACCGGCTATCAATGACTGGCGCAGCCCGGGGCAACGACAACGATTTCTGCTTGGATTGTTGTAGCATCTGCTCCCTGGTCATGTGACCTAGGCTCTCGTCAGTAAAGTCTGATTTATTCCGGCAAGCATAGAGGTCGTCGGGTGAGCTGAAGAGACGATGTTCATGGCCATGAAGGGCATGGAATGGCATGAGAATCTCCTCAGGAGTACAAGGAGGGGAGGAGGAATGAGACTCAACATCCTCAGTAAAACTAGCCTCCATCTCAGCTGGGTCAATGCATCTACAACACAAATCAAATAAATGCATGAATTTTCTTTTCGATGACTTATTAACTTATGTCTTTTAAAACTGTGAGTTGGTTTCATGAAGATATGCCTACAAACGGTTCATCAGAATCTTGTAATAAACAAAATGAGCGAACTAATAGAGAAATTACTGAAGAGGGTCTCAAATGCTGAACTGTAGAATATCACTCCATCAATAGGTTTGTGCATGAACTTCAGAGGGCGCCATGTAGTTTTACACTGAGTGCAATAAAGACTTGTTCCTTGTCCCCTTCTATAGACTTAGGTGAAGGAGGGATGGAAACCAATCTACATGTATATATGAGAAGTTTCTCAATAAAAGGTTATTGTCTCCCAGATGCCTACGATCATAATAATTATGTAAAGCGCTTTGATATTAGTTAAAAAAGCTATATAAGGCGGAATTCACGCGGCCACGCGGCTTTTTTTTTTTTTTGGCTTTTTTTTCTTTTTCTTCAAGCTTGGATTGTACAGACAAGGTGGGGTACTATTATGCTTTTTTGGTGTCCTCATGTACATTGGTGTCCTCCATAATTTGCCTTGGTGCTTTCGATCATTTGCCTTGGTGCAATTTCCCATTCCTTGGTGCTCTTTGGTAAAAACAATTGAGGAGGTGCGGAAATAGAGGGCGCTGTTGGAGCTACCGCGGAACATTTTGGAAAAAAAAAAGATCGACGCGCATGCTTAAAATCGACGCGCGCGCTGACCAGAGCCCGACTTATTTTTTTTTTTGGCCTAAGAACCCACTGTTATTTAGTTTATAATCCGTGTTCTTCAGTCATGTGGATGCTCTCCATTATCAATGCTGAGAGGTAATAGAACAAACTGATCTCTGCATTTGCTAATGATGAATAGTGCGCACAATCTAAAGAACACATTCGCTTGCTGATTTCTTACCCTAGTGCCACTGCTCTCTTAGTCAGCAGATAGTCCAGAGCTTCAGGATCTGTCTCGTAGGCAATCCTCAAAACACTATCCTGAATCTCAGACGGCACCTTACACAGGAGAAAATGATAGTCATTACTTAGTAATCATTGTAAAGCAATGATGCACCCTGGCCCAGTATTCATCGAACTGAACCCACTAGAATTATGACCATCACAACTTTCAGTTCCTATTGCCTCCCAAGTTCACATATGTACTTCTCAATTACACATGCAGTTCACCCAGTTGAACCCACTTTTCCTTTAACCAAATAAGAGTGTTAACCCAATACTACCCACCCACATGTTCATCTGCTCTCCTCAACCTGTTGGATGTTTTCCTGTGCATCCCTCAATCCACCCAGTTACACCCACTTCCTCCATACACAACACACAGGGTTAACCCAGTACAACCCACCTGGAAGACCGTTTCCATGTGTTCAGTCATGACCTGTACTACACTGATGACTTCCCTGCTCTCTTCAACCTGCTCTGATGCTTCCATAACATGTGCATCTCTTTCCTGACCTCCTTTCGTCTTCCGTAGAATGTTGGGGCCAAAGAGGGTTGCTAGGTTATGAGTGTCCATTTTGTTTCCTTGGACCTGAGGAAAGATAAACATGTGAGATTAATTTCCTAGCTAGTGCACTACCTTAAAGTGACGTTTGCCGCAATAAAGTCACAGCATTTGATTCAGGAGAACATTTCCCAGGAGTTAAGGCTGATTCATGCCTAGTTCAAAAACAAACATGAAGTGGATTTTTTAACCCTTATGCTGCAAGCATTTACAAAAATTGAATTCTGTCATAAGTGAGGTCAGTCATGAACCTCTTGTCTGCAGCTATTGTCATGATTGTCTAGGTCTTGTAGAAATATGTTGACAACAGACCAAGCTGTAGCTGTGGACGTCGTTTCAAACATGGCCTGTAGGAATATGTTGACAATAGACCTAGCCGTAGCTCTGGACGCTGTTTCAAACATGGCCCAACTCACCTCATTTCCATCTTCATCCACATAATCGGCAGCATTCTTGGACACTCTATTAAGGAACTCTAGCAGGGCATGTAACGTGTCTCTATTGGCTGTAGGTAGCAGGTAGACTAGGAGCTGTAATGCCCTCAACCTCTGCTCAAAGTTATCTAATCCTGAGATAAAAGGAAACACAGACGGCAAGAAATTTTAAGACTTCAATATGTTTGAGAAACTCTGCCTTTAAGATCCAATTATAATAATGTTGTTGGCAAGAGAGAACCAGGTAAAACATCAGGGACACGACTTTAAGATGAAAGCTTAACTTAACAAACCTACCATTTGTCTGTTTTTAGAGTCTCTATTCTTCTTGAAATCTACTTATGGAATTCTGAGAAAGAAATCCCTGAGAAGCACAGGAGACAAGACTTACTTGTGCAGGCTACAAAAGCAGGGTACAGCTCACGGGTTAGGAGTGGCTCAGGGAGGTCACGGAAGAACTCTTTCAAGAGCGCCCCCACATCATGAGGATTGTGATTATCATTGAGAATGACCTCTTGACCAGTATCTAAATCCTCCCGCAACTGCAGAAAAATCCAGGGGAAAAAATGCATTTATTATATTTTGAAATATAATAAAATCCTTCCATGAAAATCCTTCAACTTACATCTGGTGAGGTCCCTTGGTAGAAGATGAAAAAGGAAATGACACTTTTAGGTGTGTGAGGTAAATCTCAAAATGACATTCAAGAGAAAACCCACAGAATCAGGTAGGGACTGAAAACCCAATCCACATGTTTGCCCAGTTGGGATTCGAACCTGGGTCACAGCATTGGAAGGCAAGGAAAATACTGCTTCTACCAACCTGATACCCTTTGATGTTACATTGATATTTGCTTGTACGTGACTGCACAATCAACTGATGAGAAATCACAAACTAAAATAATAATCAGAAAATCCAACCAAAAGCTCACTGAATGTGTGTTGGTTTTAGAGGTATCGATTAATTCATTCAGTCTGCCAGTGGGTGACCCAATGTTAAATCTTCTCCTTTAGGTCAACACATGATGCAATTGATGCAGACATAAATTTGATGGAAATGGGAGGGGTGCACAGGCTTGAAAATCAAGTCATGTAGTGACCCCGGTGAGATTTGAACCCAGTACAGCAGTTACTGACACGTGCACCCATTTGCTCATAGCATCATGCATCACTCAACAGTCATCATCCATGACCTTAATCCCTACCCACCCACCTAAGGGATTATCTCCTAAATCCTCCATAATCCCAGGTCACTCTGATCACCTGTCCATGCAATCAGTACTGCCTGATCCAGTTGATCCAATTCACATCCTAAGGGCACACCCTTATAAATCCCAGTATCAAAATATTCGGACGTTGTAAAGGAAAAAAAAACCGGACTGGATATATCCAATGCCGACACTTGACATTTGCAATGTTCAAGACAACACTGAAATATTTGTTTAATGTTACATTTTTTATAACTCTTAAATTCATGTTGCACAATTTGGGAAAGACTTTTATGAATATCTGTTGGTTTATTTAAAGCAAAGGGTTGATTTAAGTGGTATGTATTTGCAAAGTAGTTTTGAAATAAATTTATAAGATGACACGACTTAACTAGACCAGGTAACTAGACCATCCAAACTACAGTCGTTTCACTGCTCTAGATCAAGATGAAGCTTGACTAATGCTATCCAAAAAAATCTTAAGTCTCTGTCGGCGTCTATACTGGTGGTTGTGCGGTCAGACACCCGAGTAAAAAATATAATAATTCAGCGACCAGGGCATACAGCACAATTTGCAATTCATACATTATAGTATAGCGATCCGGCGTAGCGATCAAATATCACGTGAAGTGTGGCTATACGATAACAACTCCCCAGGCAAAGAAGAGATCAGTTTTATTCCTGGTCAAAAAAGCACTACCCATGCTTATCAAAACATGGTGAGTATCAGGCTGGGAATTCAAAAAGAAAAGAAAAAGGCAGGCCTGAATATTGTGAGTAACTTCTGAGTAGAGAAATGTATAGGTCTCAAGGACCAAAGTGTAAGGAGATACAATAATTGCTTTTCGTCCAGTAATTAACAGGAAAAAAATTATTGATTTTTTTTTTTTTAACCTATTGTCACCCTTCACAAGGAGAAACATGGACCAACAGTACTTACAAATAAGACACCATCAGGTTTGACTCTCCATTCAAATAAGGCTTGTGAATCATATACATTTGCATATTGATCCGTTATTGGCATCAGATATTGATCAGTACTTAGGGCTAATGGTTGATTACATGTACTTAATCCCTCAATGGCCACACAGATATATTCTTGTTTCTACATGCCCTTCTCAGGATCAAAAGGGGCTTGACTGGTTTCCAATTTAAAAGGGTCGAGTTGAAATTATTTTGAAATACACATTGGTAAAATATTACACAATCTTATTGTTTTCCAAGAATGACTCTGAAAATCCAATGAAACAACATGCATGAAATATTGGTAAACAACCCCTAACAGTTTGAGAGGGAAACAAAGCATTTTGGCCTCTAAGCAAAAGCGTGATATTGATTTTTGTTTTGTGTTGTTGGCCAACAAGCTACTAACAAAGTTCCCTAGTATAGAAAGGGGAAAGTAACGCTTACAGAAACCCTTGCTCCATGCAGAAACACAGCAGCATGTACAAGTGTTTGTTACTCTGAGAAGACTTTCTGCATTTCTTGAGACAGATGCTTGGGATCTTGGAGGGCTGGAAACTCATAGAGGAACATCTTTATTGGGAGCTGACATTGCAATGCCAAGGCATCATGACATGGTGTTGATGGTTAAATAATCCAAGCATTATCAGGAGAATTGAGACTGCATCACAGCTTGAAAAGACACAGTGGAACACTTGCTAGATCCAAGCCATCTTGAGTGCTATATTGATGTGACGTCTTTGCTGATACAAGAGGATAAACTGCAAATGTCGCTAACCACATGAGTATCTACAAGTACTTCAAGGGGACTTGTCTTACACGTGAAATGACTTAAGATGTTACTGCTCCATTCATCACCACAGAAGTTACCCAATCTGCTGACAGTTTTTTACTTATAAACTAGATATGAAATCAATGAAATATAAAAGTTCTTCAGCTACATGTAATGCTCAAAGAATACAGGCAGTTATTGTATTGACTTAACAACTTTAACGATGAGGGTGAGCATGAGGCGGACTACACTGATCGTTATTGGAGTGCTCAATGGCATCATAATATTCCTCAACTATCGTGCCATGAGCAATGAGTCGCGCCAGAGATCCAAGGATTTCATCAGGAGCAGGTTTGATTATGTCAAGAACCTTGTCCATTCTCAAGGTCAAGATGATGCTGATTACGCCATTCATGAGCAGAAACACAAGAAGCCACTTGTATGGAGTGAGATTGAGGGAATCCACAAGGCATTACCAGCATATGAGAAGATGCGAAGAGTTTTGTCCAACCTACAAGATTACAAACGTTACTTTTACCGTGAGGCGGTATACTTTGACATCAATGGGGAAATGCTGAGATACAAGTCGGTGCCGAATGTTGGCGACAGTGATCACCTGAGGGCGCTCTTTGCTGACGTGCTGCAGACTAATCGTAGTTTGAGGATTGGAGTGATTGGGGGTGCTTTGTCTTATCATAACGTATGTTTGAAAAAGTCTTGCGTTTATATCGACATTGTTGTCAACTGGCTGAAGAGCATGTTAGACACTAAGGTTATACTCCACAATGCTGCGATTGGTACAACGAGCAGTGACTACTTTGCTTGGTGTCTCAAGCCTCATTTAGACGTGGATAACATGGACATTATCATATGGGAACTATCAACAGAGGATTACATCAATCGTGATGTCTACTTCAAGCGTGGACTAACAAACGCTGGATGGCCACAGGAGGAAATCACCCATAGAATCCTAGACCTTCCTAAGAAACCCTATCTCATGTATTTCAATTTCCTATCCACGGCCAACATTCGCCAACGAGACTGCGTGAATTCTGAGTATTTCTCCGGTCGTCATCTCGCTAAACATTACAATGTGACTTCTATCAGCTGGTGTAATGCCATCTGCACTAAACTCTGGAAACCTGGCTTCACCCCAGACGACTTGATCTATGCTGACGAATTACTGAGTGAGAGAGCTCACCAACAGGGGGCGCTCTTCATCATTCATTACTTGCGTACCATCTTAGAAGAGTTGACAGTGAACTTTCTCAACAAGACGCATCACGATGAGCGGTACATCCAGCATCTGATTGGCCTGCATGATGATTTTGTCCAAAATACCTATGGACTAAACTCTGAACCTATCAGGACAACCATTAAATCTCGCACTGATTTGAACAAAATCATCCCAAAGTTCTCCCATGTAGAGTTAAAGGATCCCCAATGCTGGCCCATATCTAAGCCCCAATATGAACACAATCACAGTCTTGAGGTAACAATGAATGAAGGATGGGAACTTGGCTACTCATACAATGAGAACTGGTATATGAGTACTGAACCTAACCAACGCATCACCTTCAGAATCAACATTCCTCAACATCGGCAGAATCTCAATGCGACAATCGCTGTAGCTCTCATCACATGTAACTACTGTGGACAAGCCTTGGTCTGGCTCAATGATCAATTTGGAGATGCCAAACTTATCAATGGTAACGACAAGAAACACAAGTTTTCTGTGCGCAAAATGTTCACCGGTGTTCTGCCTGGTGGATATGCAGTCACTGTTAAGAACATGGAGGAGAGACCAGTGAAGATTGGTGCTGTTATGATGTCATACGAAGAGCCTAGGAATGGGACACAGTTTATCAGGAGAAATGTGGAGCAGTTTGGAGGACCCAAAATGTGGAACAAACTCAAAGGACCATCGTTGTAAATTGTGCCTAGTTTTGTAACTTATAATAGAATCCTTGTAGATAAGCTGCTCATTCAAATCAGAGTTTTTTCAGAGTTGAGATTTTTAGTGGAGAACTTTCCAATAGTGTACCATTTTTGGATCGGAAATGCAGATTCATTTTTTTTTTACAGATTTTCGTTTTTAGAGATTTGTACATCTTACGGTAAAGATTCCTGAGTTCTATAAGAGCCACAAAGCTTTAGCATGATAAAGAAGAATGCAAAATAATAAAAGTGATTGAGGATGTGTGTACATCCGTAAGTGTCCCCTTTGAATTCTGGCTTCAAGCAGTTGTTTTATAAAATAATATTGACATTCTTTATTTCTGTTACGTAGCGTCAGGCAGTCATACTATGTTTGTTATTCATGATCATAACCAAAAGAAGCAAATGAATACAGATTTCTTGAAAGCAACTGTCAGTTCACGTTGCAACTTGACAAATTATAATTGGCAGGAGATGGAAAAATTCTCCCTATACAGACCCCAGGATGCAGGCTTTTGTCAATTACATTAATTCATCCACTGAAAATGATTTGTCATAAACTCATGTAAAAATTTTTTTTTTTTTGTTCTGACAGAAAAGCAATTATGATGTTGTCTGAATCCATTACATTTTATATTTGTCCTTGGGTGTTTTTACTTCTAGTTGACACATTACAGTAATAAGTTGGAATTAGATGCTGGATTTAAATACGACAACACATGAAGCAATATTGATAATGTTTAAAAGTTTGGGTCTCAATACAGCTTATATTTTTTGCCTGAAATTCTCCAATGCACAATTTGTTCCCAATCAGCAGGATAATTAGGAAGTCTGACCAGTAATTTGAAGACACATTTTCCATATGTTGAATTTATGAATGCAACTTAGGTCAAGCATTTCACACCCGTTTTAATTTTGTGCACCAGGGTTGCACAGAACCAAGTATTATTAAGAGTAACTTGGGTCAGGCTAAACAGATTTGGGTTTGAGAGAGCTCAACTATATGTACTACATTGTAAATTCTCCTACATGTATGACTAGACTCTGGAGTCCTTTTGAAGGACGGCAACAGGTGTTACGCATAGCTGCTCCTTGTGGTATCAAATTCACACTTGATTATAAGTTTCAGAATAAGGTACCAAATCCAGTTCCTACCTGTCTGGTTCGTTTCTTGGATCCACCCACTCTGAAGATACCCAGTATGTGCAAAGCTCTCTTCTCTAGATGATTGAAGCAAGCCTTGACTACCTGAGGGACCTTAGGTTCTTGAGGCAGTAAGCTCTTACGTCGTTCTCGTCGTTGAGCATCTACCTGGGCGCCGCTGCTGGTTGATAGAGAGAGGGCATCTAAGAGAGAGGTTGAGGTAGAGGAAGTGGAACCAGAGGAAGAGGACTGGGCCAGACTGGAGATGTCTTCTGCGGAACCCTGCAGAAGGCAAGACAAATAATCACAACTGGTTTTAGCATAGATTCTTTGGGATATGCTATCGATGATAATAATCTATGTAGTATTGAATAAAAATGTACATAGACCATGCTGCTGGGCAAAAAAGCAGCTATGTAGGCAGCTACGGTTATGTTAGAAGATTCAAGAAGATTTCATATTTTGGTGACGCTCAAGGGTCAGGGAAGATGATCGCCATTTAGAATTCAGCAAGAAAAATATAGCAGATCTAATATGTTTGTCTGACTTGTCGGAGGCAGACATTCATATAATGTGATATAGTGTGATATAAAATACCCTATTTTAAACGTATCTTGTTTTTATAATTGTGAGCTTATAAATTTTTCATTTTTGTTGTACTCATTTACTTGGATAGACCCCTACTGAAAACAAGAAGGAAAAAAATCTTAAAACATTTCAGGTTATGATTTGCGACATACTCCCTAAAGATTACGTGAGATGTAAATGATATTTTATCTCCTGAGCTCATGTCAACAGATTCTGTATGTGTAACCTTTGAAGTGAAGACTTCTTCAGGAAATCTAGGAAATAAAGCAACAATTGAGTGGCCGACAAGGACTATATATAGTAACTCATTTCAAGCGTCAGGTATTTAGCAGAGAATCACAGAAATTCTATGAAGGCTCAAGTCATGAGCAGTAAATTAATTTCAGGCTATTTTTGAAATAGAATTTGAACGTCAAAATACAATTCAGAGGAAACTCAAATGGCGGCGATATTTTAGGATTCGGAAATTATGACAGAAAAATATTGTGCTGCCTCTCCCCCCTCCCCCACAAAAAAAACCCCAAAACACGGAGAGCACAAAAAAAGCCTTTCGTTGAGATATGCTAGGATTTGTAGGCGTACTTGTTATTTTTCACCACAGCCCAAGAAACAAATTTTACATGTATGATAACACCCCAAATACAACTATATTCTGTAATCTGTGACATTGAGATACTATCTTGTATCAGTCTCAAATGAATCCTATTACTTAACACGTTGTTCCAGTGCCAACAAATGTCCAATTCAGTCTGAAATATTAAGAAAAAGGCCTACAAGGAAACGACAGGAAGCAATAAAGACATCTGAATTTAATCAGAGTAATTTGCAAGTTACAACTTAACTGCTTCAATTAATGGAAAAAGAAGGAGAAAAAAGGAATCCTGAGTGAAAGTAAGCATGACTGATGTGACGGTCGGCATCTCTCCGATTCGTGATTAATGGCAGGTTTCTTGAACACATTTCCCCCTTAAATGACGTCAGATTCTACGTCCGACGTCCGGTCCAGTGACGTCAAAAATTCCTCATGCATGTTGAAGTGTCTTGGGGACATCAATCACAAAACTCATCGGTGCCCTGCGGATGCACACAAACTGAACCCGCGGCGGGGCCTGGTAACCATCCTCGAGTCATTCAACGTTATTCTGCTTCATTTAATCCCTGATAGAGTTCAGGCATTGCATTCAAGACATCCAATTTACTTTGGCGTTTTTCTGTGATTGCTTTTGCGAATGGATAGGATACATCTTGACAGGTTTTTTTTTGCCTTTTCATCACACAGGGTCAAGGCCAGATCAGACCTTATTGTCAAATCATTGAACAGGAAAAAAGTATCTTTAAGATAACATTAGATACGCTTCAGGCAAGCTGCTCCTCCAATGGACCACATAGCAAGACCTCACCCATGCATCACTTTTCCTCATCCTCACTGTATTACTTTCATTTTTTTCTCAAGACTTGCAATAAAATCTGAATTTGCTCTTGTGAAACTGACCGTGTATTAGAGTTGTTTCCTGCATGCAAATGGTTAGGACATAAACCTGTTCTTAGGGACATGGTAAGCTAAGCTTAGTCCAAAACGGACTTGCACATGAAGTATGGATGTTAATGTGGGTGGACTCTGACAATGTTTGCTTGAGGTACCGGTATAAAGGACAAGTTTACACACATGAACATTTTCGATGCCAATATATATTATTAACCAATTTGGATAAAGTCCAAATCGAGGAAATAGCAGGAAGACTTACACCCCTGATATCAGGAATATTACAATAATCAAAGCTCACCTCTTCAGTTATTCATAAATGGACAATTTTATATTTTATTATCAATATCAAGTAGCAAAAGAGTAAATAATAAAATAAGTTGTTACACTGCCTTCGATATCATAACAGCACTGTGGACTCTTATTCTTAGATTTTACTACCAATTTCTTTGTCTCAGTTTACCCCACAGTCGGACAAGTGTGAAGGTCAAATGGTAATAAACAGTGACTCTTTTTTATTGATCAATTCAAGTCAGGATGGCAAATTGGATGACAAATTTGGATTCGTGTACAAAACATATGGGAGGTCTTCCTAAAAAGTTCACACAGAAGAGGGGGCAATAGGGGGTCCACGATTGCAGGCAAATTCATACTGTGCATGTGGGTGTATGTTTTTTATGGCACACTGTGGTATTTTTGTAGGCCCTCAAATTTTTCGTAGGTCCCAAATTTTTCGTAGGCCCACATGTAGGCACAGTACCTACTGTGTCTATTGAATATTCTGGGCCTGCATTTAAATATTTTTACACTACATCAAACATTGAATTTGTAAGGACAGTGTGAAAAAAACTACTGTATATTCATCTAATGGTCTACGTGTAGAACCTGCATTCCATTCTGTACATGTAGGGGGCCTATGTATTGAGATTTCATTAATCCTGCAAAAATAGTCTTTTGACTGCATATAGCGTGATCCAAAAAGGCAGAACTGCAAATCCATAGCAGAATTCCACACTTTGTTGCAATAAATGATTTATGATTCTAATTCTACAGTTATCCTGTGATAGGCCTATGCCTTCATTATTGTATGTAGGATTATGAAGTTGAATAGCGATAGGTTATGCAGGTTGATAGCTTTATGTTGGCTACGTGCTTCAGTCACGTATTCCAGCTTTGATACGATAGGCAACCCAGCTATGTCTGCCGTGACTCTCATGAAAATGTAGGCCATGGTTTATCTCGGTAATACCAATTGTTGATTGATGTTCAATCTTTCAGGGAATAATTGGGAAGAAAATGAATACTTGTCTGGCACGGGCACACTGCAATTTGATAGAGAGAACCATGGAGGTAGAATGATCAACTGATTTTTGTTTGCTGGCGCCAACCTTAATTTGCAAAAATCTACCGTCCGTGTTTGGAAATTTGAATGCGGCAACCAAGTTCCCAAGTTCAGATTTTAGAAGTTAAATTGCAAAACAACTGTGCATGAATAAATGGTTTTAATAAGATACTTTTCCCTTAAAAATACAAAATTAACCTCATGCACAATTATCATACTACAGTTCAGGCATGTTACATGTACTGTACGTATGTTGTTATTTTCTTGTGCACAGATTATCCAATCAGACCCTCCTATGCAAACATGCATTCTGTGCAAAGTTGTCCTTTCAGTCAAAATCAGTCAAGTGACTGTTTTTAACAGTTGAGTGCTGCCTGCCTATATAAAGCAGGATTGACTGGCTGTGACTATTTATGTAACATGATACAGCTATGGTTTGACTGTAGGTGATTGATTAGACAACTGTGCCTGCCAGTTGCCTGCTTTTGTCTGTTGACTGAATTTGACTAGTCACGGTACTTGCATAAGAAATATGATTTGATTGTTGGTGGCTAGCGAGTGTGAAAGGCATGGCAAAGAGGATTGATTATTTAACTGTCTGTGACTGTCCAGACAACAAGAGGGTTAAATATGATAACTGGGTCTCAAAGAATCCTGCTTTTGTGTACAAAAATATACAGATATTCACTGAGCTTTGAGCCCGAACTTGAAACAAAGCTGTTATTCATCTGAGAAAAAAAGGTTTTTTTTGTTAGCCTGCTGTGACCGTTATACAACCCTCTTTGCTTGCCTCTCCCGTGAGTGTTTGCATTGTATCCCTCCAAGTTTGCCTTGGGTCAAGAGCATCTGCCTAGTAAATTAGAGTTTTATGACTTCCCAAATGGAATGGAGGTTCAACATCAACACATACCGCCCATTCATCATGCAAACCTTTTATTAAGGAGAAAGAAATGTTGGTCAGGTATATGTTGTCTCTAGTGGCCGAGAAAAAATGCTGCAGGAAGAGTTTTTGACAAATTGTGGGGAGGTCAGATTTGTGTTGTTGAGTTATAAACAAAAAGTGAGATATTTGTGCAAATTTAACATGAATTCCAGAGTCAGTGACTTGTTAATGGTGTAATAAATGAACTTGCTTATAACTTTGAGAGTAAAAAGATCATAACCTGCAAGTTGATAGTCCAATTCAGGGTTTTACAAGCCCATCAAACCTACATTTGTCGCTTCATGGCCTTGTGGTACAGTCTAGCTCAGCGGAAGTCGGGAAGAAGTCTATTTATTTAGAGATCAGTTTTTTACCGTTTCCATAAGCCATGCCTTACTCATGGGTCATAAATATGTGCAGTGGAATGTCCTAATGTACACTGTTGCAGTCAATGTGTAATCAATGTAGCTCAGAAATCACTCTGTTTAATCTATACAAACTTTATGTTGACTTTGGATATATGTAAGTTTTATTTCATTTTAGGAGTAGAGGGCCCCATGTACATTTGTAAGTCAGTATAGGACTTGGCTTTAGGTAATGTTTGTATCTCTGTGTTGTAAATCTGACGAAATTAATCTCAGATTCTGTCATTCTGACCAGTTCCGAATCTGAATATTACAGTTGGCAAGGTATCCATCAGGAAACATCACACCAAGGGTACATTTCAAGGGTAATAAAATAACAGAAATCATCACTACGTACTTTTTATTTACATGTAAACATTTGAAAATAACAGATTTTAGATGGAATCAAGTTTATCAATCAACCAAAACCAAACATAGGATTAGACAATAATAGACAAATTTATTCCTGAAAATAGATTTTGAATCCTGGCCTGTTTCTAAAATCCTTCCACCCTCACCTTGATTTCTATAGAAAGTACCACCTTCTTTTGTTGAAACCTGAAGTCCATAACCTATCATAACCCATGAAAAGGCAGGGTACACTGGATTTCCAAGCTAAGCAATTAACAAAGGTACAAAGCATAACAAACAGTGACCTCAACAATTGATGAGGCCAGAAGCAACCTTGTTGGTCAAAGTTACACAGCTTAAGGCAAGTGCCGATTTGTAAAAACAGCAACTTCCAGCCAAATAAACAACTTTTTTTTTTCATTTTTAGTTTACGACTTCAGGTGTCCCATGAGGAAAGGTCTGGTGATTTATGAATGGACAGGGTGTAAATGGAACAAAGGAGTTTTATATTTCTAAGGTTATGAGAATAATGCCTTTGGACCAGAAACTTTCCCTTTTTTCTTGAGACGTAAAAACCTTAATTATACTTAGCCCTTCATGTAACGAAACACTCCATAATTTCATCTTCAAGGTGCAAATCTGGACACAAGATGGATGCTTTGTACAGTGTTGCAGATGTGCAATAGTGGGTTGTGTCCAGAAGATCAGATGTTGGAACTTTATCGAAGACCCCAAACAAAAATAAGTTGGCTACAGCTCATGGATGCAAATGAATCCCCTTCCTATAGACGCTGGTGATGCTGTTAGCTGTAGCGATATATTTTAAGATGTGGCCTGTGGTTTGGGCATTATACTAATCCTACCTTGACTTTTGTCTGTTGTCTTGCCAGCAGCGGTGACTGAGCTAAGTCAAGACTCTCTCGTCTCTCCTTCCGTCTCGTTGAATGATAACGTTTCAGAGCGTGCTCGTTGCCGATGCATTTCTCCAACGGGATGCCAAAGACTAACGGATTAGAACATTCTGAGACAGAAACACAGAGAGACTGCAATTATGAGGTCTGTCCATATTATGGCCCTATTGTATTCAAAATGCAATAAATGCTATCATGTGAAGGTACGACACAGCAAAAGGTACCTGTGAATTTACAGTACACCAGGTTGAGTTCTATATCGACATCACTAATCATTAGGCTTATACTATGCTTCTGTGCATTCAGTCCCTTACACACATTGTAAGGGACTAGTTAGTTTGTCAGATTTGAGGTTGCATTTTTTTCGGTACATTACCTTTTCCTTCTTTTCCGAAATCTTTCAAGCTATCCAGGACGCTGTTATTCCTATGCCTCCCTCTCAGGAAACTCCCTTTCTTTGGCCGTTTGGTTAGAGGATCTGGAAAGAAAAGAAGAAATATCTTAGTCAACCAAAATGCTGCTGAATTGCAAAACTTGCTTCTTAAAATACTAAGAAATACAACTATATGAAGACATATATCTCTTGCTTCACTCCCATGTGCAACATTTTCCTTGAAACAAGAATCACTTTCTTTAAGAAATGCAAAAGGATTTGTTATTTGTCAGTCACATGGAGTTGAGAACCCTTTTTTTTTTTAAAATAGGGTTGGGGGAGGGTACTACTACTGCACTGCTTAAAATGGTATTCTTAAAAAAATTCTTGATTCACTTCCCAGATTTGTTTCTAGGGATTGAGACACGAAAACATTCCTTGAAACAAGAATTATTTTCTTATATTCAGAAATGTAAGAAAATCATTGTTAGCAGTATTGGGAGTATAGGTGATGTCTCATACTCCCTAGAACTGCTCATGATGCCAAATCAAAGTCGGTATAAATCCTGAATATAAAGTGGAAATTACATTGCACCATTGGCTTCACAATGACAGTAGTGGTTCTGTTAAAGTCTTTCCTATGGCAATTTTATGATGTTGCAAGTGAATGTTGTGTACATGTGAGTTTTTGAGTTTGACAGGCAAAAGTGGCCAACGACACTTGTTCCCTAAGGCTGAGTGAAAGATATACTGAGACTCCAGCAATGTATGGCAAAATGAAACAGTGTCACTGACCAGAACACTGGGTTAAATGTATAGTTTTGAACTCTCAAATATCAACTAGTGTGGTTAGCAATTGTCCTGAGGCTGCGGGAAGTTTCACTTCATCTTGAGGAATTACACACTTTATGACCCTGAACCACTTCCAATTTTGATGACTTGAAATGGAGTAACTAGAACAAAATGGTGTAAATGAGGGATTCATAGTAACAGATTACGAGAATTAAGCTGAGGGTACCAGTATATGAAAAGAACCACTGGAACTAAAGAATGTTTGCCTCTAGCTCTAGAGGGGATGGAAATGAAATCATTAAAAAAAATCAGAACACACAAATCTCATAGGACAGGGGGAGGTAAGTTAATACGTGCCATGTGCCCCAGGGGCAGATGATCTATTGATGAGTTCAGGTAATATTGTACTTTGGTTCTCTGAATTACTGGAAACAAATCTATTGCTAATTAGTTCCTAAGTAGGTCTTAATGGAGTGACTGTATCACGACCACCACATGGACTTCAGCCTACATAACCTAAACAGGTTGAATTCATGGAACAGCTGACATAATAATTACAGATTTACATCACCAACATATTGTGCAATTTCATCCATTATTCTGTGGATATCGGCCATAAATTACCATGGAAATGAACAAGTCAGCATGCCAGGTGTAAAACGTTATTGAGTTCCGATTTTCCTAATCAGCACAAACAGCATCTTCTAACAGGATATAATTACAAGTTTAAACTGATTCAAATTACTTTATGTGTTCACACATCCTTTCTCTACAGTTTTTCCACAGAGTCAAGATAATTTCTGTTAGCACAAACACCTTTGTATGTGCATGTACATGTAGTTCTGATAAGAATACCGGTACATTAGTGACTCAACTAACAACACGCCCTGTTTGTTTTCAGTGAAATAAATCCCTCCTTTGGGTTCTCATCTTGACAAACTCCTGATGCAGATCAGCTGAGTCAACCCTCCATTAAATTAAAGGGAGTATACATCATTTGCTTTTGCTGTAATTTTCAGAAATGGATGGAATTGGGGGTTGGAAATATATAGCAAATATAGTTACACTGACTTTTTGGAGGTTTTGGGTTCGAAAATGCTATAAAAAGCAAGAAAAATGATCATTTTCCTGTAGTCTGGTTCCCTGACTCCATATAAGAAGAAACAGAGCAGTTTATATACATTGGGGAATTGTAAGGTCAGGGAACCAGCCTAGCTGGCCCGTACCCGTTCATAGGTTTGTAATCGATTGCAAACAGGTGCAATGGTCAATTGGGGCCAGTATTTGAAAAAAAAGCCAGTTGTTTCCAACGCTGATCGGCCGATCAGCGTTGGAAATTGATACAAAAATACCACTTTTCTTGAAAATGACAGTATACCAGGTGCCATAATTTTACAGGATGCTTTAGACTGTCATTTACCAACATCCTATTAAGGTATTTCGCAAAAACTTGGTAGTTTTATTTTTCGATGTTTGCAAATGTTGTATATTCCCTTTAACTCACCGATGCAGAATTCCTTGCAAGAAAGTCAACTTCTTCAAATTACAAACATCTCCACCCCCTTCAACAAAACCCTTCAAGCTGGTGTTCTTCTATTACCAGTAAATCATCATGTTACACCATAGCCAAAGGCACAGAAAACATAACGGAATATACTCAGAGATGGATACATCATTGGAATGTCTGGAAACAGAATATGGGGGCCACCAACCGGCCAAACCACCTTACTTTCGGTTATTTCTCCCTGGGGCTTGGGGAATATTAGCAGGTAGCCAACATTACTAATGGGGCAATTTCCAGGACAAATTAGGGCCAATTTGGTTTGGGCTCTGGCTCACTTGGAGTAATTGTAGCGTTGATGCAAAAACATGCTGGGAAAATCCCTCGGGAAAATGTCAATTACGATTCTGAGAATGGATAAACCTTCTGAGTGTCCATTACGCATTTTAAGCCAGACTTGAAACGCCACCATATATTTCATCAATGGCTGGCTTTATTTTACTTTTTGTAATTAACAATCAACAAAGGCCCAATTTTACGGTTGAGCACAAATATATATAATTTTCGGCATTGCAGAGCAAGGACAATGCTTTTAACTGAGCTAGAGAGCCAATTATAATAGTTCTTTATGCATGCATGTGCACAGCTGTAAGTTATAGGCCCTATACTGCAAGGTACGGTACTCTGCCAGTGCCACGTAATGAATAGGCCTAATTCAAAAGCACATCTAATTTCCTGGATTTTGGATTTACAATGTATAGAAATAAAATGAAGTTTGAACAATGTACTTTAAGAGTGCATAGGCCTACATTAATAATTGATAATAGACAAAAATACTAGTGTCTGGCATAACTGAGTTATTTACAAAGAAATTGGTTTTGTTAATTCCAAATCAAATGATTGTTGATGTTCTTCCCATGGCAGCAAACAGGGTTTAATACTGTTGATTATTTTTCAATAAAATTCCAAATTTGAGATTGAACAACAATTAACAGGTGCTACCGGTACAACTTGATGAGAAAGCAATAATGCCGCACTGACTGTTTATTGACTGGATGCACTGATCAGCACTAACATTATGACACTGGTTGTTATGGGATCCCATTCCAAACTCAACCCAAAGCACCGTTAATAATTTCATTTTGTTGGTTTTTCCCCCTTGGTCTCGGCTTTAGATTGCACTTTTTGGGTGGTGATCATGCATTGACTTCTTGATTGCACTTTTTCACAGCGGAGATCAATAACCGAGCAGGTACAATCAGAAGAGTGACCGCCGTTCACTCCATGGTAGAAATTCCTATGAACTTCAATGTTCTGTTTAAGTACGGTTTTTGGTTCTTTTCCCAGCTTTGTCAGCACATACACTGCTAACTTTAAGACTTTCTAAAGAGCTAATCTTTTACATTTTAGGAAAAATTATAATTGCTATTTTGAATGGGTTTAACAAAAAAGAAGTCTGTTGAAATGAGAAAATATTTGAGATATAGCGTTTGTGTTGTGGACCATAGTTTTTGAACATTTCATAGCCAATTAATTATTCAAAATCTGACAATCATCTCCCAGCCCAATCCCAGATATTATTCATTCGTGACCATCTTTCTCCCATTCTGCCTAACACCTACATGCTTCAAACATGAAGGTGTGACTATCACACCCTAAACCGACGCGGAAGGAATTTCTAGAATCAAAATGACTGTTTCCTGGACAGCTACTGAGAGTGTTGTGCACAGGATTACAAGGTGAAGTCTGATGTGTGTCAATGCAAAGCAGTTTACATCAGAACTGACTCTCTAAAGGTGAGATGCCGACTAAGTGAGAACATTTCATCAGTGCTGTTTTTCATTGTGTGTCTTCCTCATTCCTCTATGCCGATAATCAGCAGGTACACTTAAGACTTTGCTAAAATTGGTCTATAGTCTAGTCAACTTCTGGGGACCATCCCCAAAACAGTTGGTTAAAATACAGAGTGTGTGAGGAGCCAGGATCATGGGGTTCATGACGATGTTCTTTTACGGTACAGCTAGGGACAGATCATCCACTGATTACTGCAACTAATATTCCTTGATGAACCCAGCTGAGGCTGCTTTCAACAGCGCTCACTGAATGCTTTGATTTGTGCCCATTTGGTTGGCGTTTGGTCAGACACACTACACGGTTCATGTTCAAGTATGTGAACCATATTGTCAAAGAGGCCCCATGACTTCTCCCTTGACGATGAGCATCGCACACACGACACTTCCTACAGATACACAAAAATCTTATTATCTAGGCAGAGACTTGCTCTTCTCCTTAAGCACTCTAGCAAGCATAAAGGGTAAGGCAGCAGTTACCATGGCAACCACATAAGGATGAGCTTTATTCGCCATCCATATGACACTGTGATAACAATGAATACTGAGAAACTTCCCTTGCTAGATGAAACACAAATCTCTAATAATACTCTGAGAAGGCAGATGGTCCCGCAGTGAGACTGATCAGATTGCAAGGAGCTCACATGTTATAAATGTACCAGCCATCGGCAGAATCAGTCTAGATTGACTGCAGAATTATTGTCCACTCATCCTAAATCAAACACAGCCAAGCTTTTATGGTAATGGCATCGATTTAGTGAAGGGGGCAAATTGATTTCCTGCCATAAATCAACGGTGGAGTCTGCTGCTTACTGCCGAGTAAAGTGGAACACAGTTTTCAAAAAGCAGTGAATTTTAACAGGTCCATTGTGCACAACACATTGTAATCATTTTTTTTTTTTTCAAATAAATACATTCAATTTTGTTGGTGTACAAAAATCAACACCCATGTACAAGGTTTT